ATATAATTAATAAATTAATATAATGATATTATGATTATTATATAAAATTTATAAATATAATTATAATAAATTATAATGAATAAGTTAGCATTATGAGAGGATGATTTTGATATATAATTATTTGATTAAAATTTATAAAATACCACGGATAAAGACTATTAATTCCATTATTATAATTTCAATAAAAAAATAAAGACTTTATTAGTGTCAAAAGAGAAATTTAAAGATTAATCCTTTTGTTTTGATAAAAGAAAAGTGTAATTTTGAATTAATACAAAACCTTAGATTTGTGTTCAAGCCTAATAAATGATCAGAAAAATCTAAAAAAAATTAAAAGCATAGTTAAATCTCTATTTAGATAATTTGAGATTGTCTAAAAATAAGGACGAAAACTCGACGATTTACATTGTTTAACCTAATTAGTCTTAGGAGTATTAGTTCTAGTTGCTCTCATTTTATAAACAAAATATATATATTATTCTCATTTTTATTCAGGGCTCAAATTTCAACTCCTCTAGACAATGAGAGAAAAAAATATTCGAGACTAAAATAAAATTCTTAAAATGATACATTATTCAATTTATAAATACTCTAATATATATTTATTGATTAATTTAGAAAATTTATCTATTTTTTTAAATAATTCCATTGTTATTATTTTATTTCTATATATTGATAAAACTTACTCTCCTGAATAATAATTTTACTTAGGTAATTTCCAAATAATCTAAATTCTTAACTATTTTTACCAATATCCAAAGGAGAAAAAAAAATTACTGTTAAATAATGGTGGTCTTCAGTTTATATAAAACCTTAAGAAAGTACAAGAATATCATAACTAATTCACCATTTTTTAAAGATGTTAGAATATTGATTTTTGTTATACAATGATTATTTTGTTGAATTTATTGATGTAACAATATGTCTGGCAAAATATGTTTCTTAAACTTATAACAATTGTAACGTTATTGATTAGATAGAATTTATCCTTCTGTAAAAAATAATTTATGTTGATTATTATTAATACTATTCAAAAATTATACAAATGCTAGAAAAACTAGAATAAGAGATAATCACTTCAAAGAAAAAGATTAAAGGCTAGAGAAATTATACATATAATTTTCTGAAATCTATAATATATAGTATAACCTGAATAATCCAATATCAATTAAGAATAATTTGGTGAATTAAATGAGACCTGAAGTTTTCCATTTAGTTTTAATATCATTAGAATTTATATCAATTTTACTATTCAGATTGCTGAGTAAAAGAGCAAATGAATTAGTAAAATGGATGTTTGACTTCTAGGTAAAAATAAATAGTTGAAAAAAAATGAATTAATTGATAATCAAGTGTAAAAGAATTAATAATTGATCCGATTTTATAATAAACTCTTCAAGCAGCATAAAATTAATTATCCCAAATGAGCAAAGCTCATATTTTCGAGATTAAGGCTTATTTTAAACCGCTTGAATTAGTTGAGAGGATTATCAATTTAACCTGCATGTTTATAGAATCTAAATTTAAGTTGTAAAAACATAATTGGAATGAATGAAGATTTTTTAAAATAAATTCTAAGTTTAGATGCAAGTTGTATAAATGATAAACAACTTTTGTAACGAAGGTATTAATTGAAAAGATGAAAAAATATTCATAATCAAGTGAACTAATTTTATTCACAAATAAAGATTTAAGCTAAAATTTAGATTTGAATTTATTAGACAATTATAAATTATAATTGAATTCAATGGCCACCTAATTGTTATATTTGTTTAGTGAGTTCTTCTATTAATGGATCATCCACCTGATATTCTCCACTTTCAATCAAGTATTCTCTTTCTTATAGCAATCTTTAGAGATCAGACTTATTATCTAGGTTTGGGTAGTTTTTATAGGATTTTTAATTTTTTTAAAATGTAAGTTTTTGTGATGATTTGTCTATTAATCCATTTTTAAAAGGATTATTGGATTAATTATTATATTCTTATATTTATTCAACTTTTGGCTGGTTGATAATCTATTACTATTATTATTATTATTATTCTTGTTAATAAATTTCCATATGTTATTTGATCATTTAAAAATTAGTTTGTGTATTTATTGATTGTTTTTATTTAACTTCCAACAATTCAAGTTTTACTTTTTCAAATTCTAATAATGTATTTTATATTAATGAATTATTATCTTAGGATTGTTTCTTTTCTTTAATTAATTCATCTCTCATTTTTTCATAATATTACTTATATTATTCTTTAATTTGATTAGTTCTATCTAACTCTTTTTTTAATTCAGTAATTTCCATTACTTTTTCTTATAAATTTTCCTTAACCATCGCTACAGGTGATTTTTCAATTTCCTTTTTAAGACTTTTATTTTCCTCCTCAAGTTTTTGAATTGCTGCTTAAGCATCAGCCAATTTCAAACTTAATAGAGTTTTTTCTTTTTCTAAATTAAGTTTCTCATCCTTTTATCTTTTAATAAGAATACCCATTTCCTCATCTTTTACTTTGATTATTTTAGCAGTTTCTAAAAGTTTTGATTTTACTTCATCCTCTAACTATTAAATTTTTTATTCTCTTTTCAAAAGTTCAGTTCCTTTATTTTTAATTTTATTTTCTATAACCTAGATTTATGTTAAGGCTTGTTTAAGTTATCTTTCTCTATCTAACTCTTTGTTTTTAAAATCTTAATATAATTTTGTAGTTAATTCAAATTCTTTCTATTTCAATAATACTCTAAATTTAGCTTCTTCACTTTTTTTCCAAGTATCCAATTCCCAAATAACTTTATGTTCTAATGAATGTAATTCCAAAATAACTTATTATTTTTCAGGATCATCTGAATTTGGATAACTAATAATTGGTAAAGCAGGATCTCCAACTATTTATTCAATGGCTGTCTATTCTTACTATTATAATTAATCAAGAGGTCCTAAATCTTCAAGATAACAGATGCATCTAAGTAATCCAATTCTCTTAGTATCTTAATCATTATTATCATCTATAGGATAATAAGCATCCAATGCTCTAGCATAACTTTTAGAGCTTTTTCTAATTGGACTTTTTAATAATTCTGCTAAGTTTATGGTCGATATGCCAATAAACTAATCTTTTTTTAATCTATCTTAATGGAATAATTCAATCTATAATTATGTCTCTTCAAATAGTTTTTGAAGTTCTTCTTTATTGGTATCAAAAATGTAAGAAGCAAAAGAATTTTAAAATGAGATTTCAACAAAAGGTTTGGTAATTTCACTACTATATTGAATGATATTACATGACTGGTGCAGTTCTAAATTATTATTTGATTCCTATTTATGGATAATGAGAATAATGAGCATAGATCAAACCTCTAAAAGAATGTTCTTTAATTGAATGAATGTCTATGGATAGTTTTAGTCTGTGAGAATTTGAATCTGACATTCTGTTAATTAATTATAAATAATGCAAGATGCAAAAGCAAGTGAGGAATTTGTATAAAATGAATAAGAATTTAAATACATTAGTGAGTAGGTGAAATAGAAATTGAGAAAAGGAGAATATAGTACAGATGAATTTTATAAGAAGAATGTGGATGAATTAAAAAGATGTGTAAGGTTTTTAGAAAAAAAAATAGGTTAAAATGATGGAAACCGAAGCTTAAATGACTTCAAATCATTCTAAAAAAATATTATAGAATAAGATTTTATAATATAAAAAGTAATTGGATGTGATTGAAGAGAGCATTAATGAATTATTGATAAAACAAAAGAAAACAGATAATTTAAAAGGAAATTTATTTGAGAATGATTTAATTATAGAAGAGATTGATAGATTAACTTAAGAGACTGAATAAATTGCCTTAAATGTAGATTCTAAAATGAATGCAGGAACTTTAGCATTGCAATAATCTAAATTTAAAGTATTATTTAAAAATGAAATAGAAATAAGACTTAAAATCGAATTTAAGGAAGAGTGATTTTACAATATAAATGATGAATAATAAAATAACTTTAGATAAAGCTTCATTAATGGTTATTATAATATTATTAGGAATCATAGACATATTTGCAATCTACAAAAAATTTCTATGATTATGTGTTCATATTTAATATAATTAATTAATTATAGAATAACTATTATTAACAGAAATGTAATAGGAAACATAAATCAAGAAAATCACTTTCAAATTTCTTAATGTAAATAGGATATATATATATATATTAGCAATTGAAACTTATGATCAAGCCATCTTAAAAAATTGTATAGATTACTCATGCATTAGTAACATTATTAAGTGGAACAATAGCATCAATTCAAGGAAATTAAATAAAGTCAGATTGGTAATCAATAAAATATTGTTTACGAAACACTAATGAGATCCTAGAAATTATAAATGATTTATAAACATTTTAAAAAAGAGTACGTTTTGAAAATTTAGAGAAATCAATCCAGATTTTATAATAAATTCAATAATAAAAAGAAGATGATTAATAAAGTGATTATGAGACATTTGAATTAATACAGAATACTTTGAATTAACTTTTAGCTATTGCAAAGCCTTTGTTTAAAAATCTATTATTATGTAAAAGAAGCAATTCAAGAAATAGATCACTAAGTTAATAAGGTTTATAAAAAACTAATAAACTTCAATCATCTTAAAAATCATTTTGCAATAAGACTAATATCTCTTAATCATAATTAAATCAGAGTCATAGCAAAGTAAATAGACCAAAAAGTCAGTAATCAAATTTAAGTAATAGTCGTTCATCATCAAATTCAAAGGACTATTAGAAACGAGTTATAGAGGCCTAAATTAAAAAAGTATATTGTAAATTAAATATAGTAATCAAGATTGGATAGAATTTTAAAACTTTAGACAAATAAACCATAAGCAAATTCTTAAATAAAACAAATGATTGATGGAACATAATCTCTTAATAGATCTTATAGATCAAATAGTAAGGAATCTTTAATGAGATAGGAAATTGAGAAAAATAAATAAATCATTAAAAAATTGAAATAATAAGAAAATGCAATTAAATGGGAAATTGAAAGAGAGAGTAAAAGAATAAGAGAAAATGAAATTGTGAATTAAATTCAAGATGAAATTAATAGATATAAAGAAAGTTGGTAAAAAGATTAAGAAATCAAACAAGAAAGAAGAAAAAGTAATTAAAAAAAAAATAGTTTGAATCAATAAAATAATTCAATAAATGGAATATAAAGAAACAATTCTTTTAATTATGATGAAAATAAAGGAAATAGTTTGGAAAAGGATCTTTTATTATCTGAAAAATTAAAAAGTGAAAAGGAATAATCATTAAATAAAATATTAAAAACAATAAATAATTCTAAATAGAAGTAGTTGAAATGAGGCATAATCTATTATTTTAATATTTATTTCATTTTTCCTTTTTTACAATATTAAATAATTCTGTTTTTCTTATATTACTAATAACTTCCTAGGTAATTTAATCTAAACTAATATTTGAAATCAAATATTTTAAATAAGCACAGATGAATATACCAGAATCGTTTGGTTATTATAATTATGGACATTCAGCCACAATAATATCTTTAGATTTCCAAGAGATTGACAAATTATGTTATTTGACTAGTGGTTCAATCATATTCCATATATGTTTGCAGATAGTAACATAAAATATTGCTTTTTTTTTAGAACAACTATCATAAACTTTCATTTTTATATCTTAACCTTCAAAAAGTATTTCTAATAGAATCCAATGTCCATTAGAATTAACAATGGTAAATATTTATTGATAAACTTACCAAAATTAACCTTTAATATAAGAAAATTCAGCAAAATAAGTGAGTACATCTAATTTTTACTATTCGAATAAGAAATAAGGAATAATAAGAGTTCTTTTATATGCTTATATTTCAGGTAATGACTTTAGATTAAAGAATTTTTCTGAATCCATATAATTAATATAATTAAGATATGCCTCTATAATTGAATCATTTATGGCTTTTTCTGATAAAAGAGAAGAGAGATGGTCTTTACTCAATTCAACATCAAATTTAGTCCATTTGTCATTCTATTTTACTTATGGTTTTTATGATTAGATTTATTGTTGTGTTTATTTAACTCCAGATTTGATTCTAAACATTTTGTTATTAGTTCTATCTTCTTAAATAAAGGATTATTGTAACATTGATTATTGTAAATTTTGTTATTTAATCAGTATGGTTCCATCTTAATTATATTCTTAGAATTTTTCAATTAAGGACAACTTTTAGAAAATTCCATCTACCTTTTTATTATTAGTTTTTCCATAATACTCTGTACCTTTTCCATCGATTTAGTCATTTTAAAATTAACCTTCAAAAACAAAATAATTATTATTGCAATAAGCATCATATTATTTTATATAGATTTTACCATTTCCATGCATTTTATTATTATAAGTTTCTCCTATATAAATATAATCTTTTTATATTATCATTTATTCTTTAGTATTTTTTTTTTAGACAATTAACTTAAATTATTTTGAATCTTGATTATCAAATTGTGATTATGAATTAGAATTAAAGAAAACAAAATCAAATTTGAATTCTTAAGTAGGTTACTCTTATTGTTATTCTTAAGGAGGTTTTGATTCTTTTTTGAGTTTCAAACCAAGACGCATAAAAATAGATATAAAAATAATTAATATATTAAATTACTATCAACCAAATATGAGTTTATATATCATTCCTCTCATCTCTCCAACTTATTATCTATTTTTTTCTTTTTAGTTTTTTCCATTGAATATTTAATACAAAAAATAGCATGTATGATCACCACAAGAGCTTCCATCATTCTATTATTGAACATCTTCAACTATAATATTATTCTAATAATCAAAACGATAATTATCTCCTAATTCAAGGTGGAATGTCATTAAATCAAAAATCTTTTAACATGTATCATAATATTTTTTAGGATATCCTGACATTGAATCTAAAATATGAAATTTCATTTAATATAATTCTTGCTATTATTCTCTCTTAACCAAAACCAAAAACCAATGAGAATTTTTTTAATTAACAACAACTGCTATATTTTAGTATACATCAAATATTGTAATTCCTTTAAATTCATAGCATAAAGTTCTCAATGAAGTTACTAATTTATAATCAATTGCAGCAGATGTAAAATAAGTAGAATCTATTACAAAAGTATTTAGATTCTTTATTGGGTCATCACTTTAAAAAACTTATTCCATTTGTTATTTTTGTAGAGCCAATACATAACCATCTATCATTGAACTATTTAACCATTATTTACTACTTGATAGTATTTTCTCATCATTAGAATTAAACTATTAATTATACTTTACAAATATATCTGAATTTATTTTCTTTTATTAAACTTATTATGTATTAGTATTTATTATAACTCCTTCCTCCATTATTATAATTCTTCTTTTTGGTGCTGTTTATGTTGGTTTATCTTAGATTTCATTAGGTTTAACAATCTCAACAACTTTGATTTTTCCATTATCATCTAAATCTACTTACTTTTTGAATTCATCATCTTTGTATTCATGTCCTTAAAATAGATTTTGACTACGAGAACTAAATTTAAGCATTATACCATTCTTCTTTCCATTTTGAAAATTTCCTTATAATATTGTATAATTAGGATTACAATCATTCCAAATAGTTTAAAAGAATATCCCTCTGCCATGTTTTTAATAATTTTCATTTAATTATCCATAATATATTATAAAATTAGGTTCAAAGCATAAGTAATAATTAATACCCTTGCTATCAATTGGCCAAATAATAGTTTATTTATCATCAACTATTTTACATACAGATTTTTAATGTTTCTAATTTTGAAATAGTTTTTTTATTGATATTTTTATAAACTGATTTAAAAATAAATCATTTACATTTTCTACTTCAAATTAATCTTTAATATTTTATTCTTTTATGAATATTGATAAAAAGTTTTTAATATAAGGACTATTAAAGGTAGAAATTATTTTTTTATTCTTAAAATCATAGATGATATTATTTTTGGGAGAAATCAAAACCATTTTAATGTGATTGAGAAAATACTCTGGAAAAAACATTTTCACATTATGATAGTATGAAATAACATGATTCATTCCTAACATTTTGAATGCCTATTTAGGATTATCATCAATTTATTAATTGAAAATAATTATATCAATTGTATCTGATTAATTTCCCCAAAATAATTTTTCTGATAATTTATTGAATTAATGAGTTAAGTTTATTATTTCTTGATATTCATCTACACATTAATTGTCTTTCTGAGTATTGATGTTTGGATAATGAAAAATTACTTAATAATTAGATCTTATCTAAAGTTATTCACATGCAATATTTAGTGTTTTATTTATAATGGGTTGTCTTAGTTGTTACATGGTTAAATATTGATAAATAAATTTATTTATTAATTTAAAAAAATAAAAAAGCCGCCCTCCAAGGGGGTCGAACCCTTGACATTTGGCTTAAAAGGCCAACGCTCTGACCAACTGAGCTAGGAGGGCTGGATTAATGATTTAATTGAATATGATTATTAATATTTCTTGATTTAAGCTGTTTTAATGAGTTGTCTATAATAGTAAAAATTGAATGATTATAAAATAATTATTATTACTTAAGAAAGAAAATTATAATTAAAAGAATTTTATATTTATATATTAATATATATAAATATAAAAAATAATAATTAATATATTATATAAACAGTTATCAAAATGGCATCAAAATACTTATAAAAATATCCAGTACCAGAGGGATTTCATTAAATATTACATGATTTTGCTAGAGAAGTAAATAGTATTTTAATAAAAAGGTATTAAGAGATTAACCAGATGATATCATAAAGTATGGTGCAGATTATTTTGAATGTATGGCATAAGGAAAAGAATTTAAATTTGAAAGCAAATACAATATAGCCAAAGGAGAGGCTCCAGCTAGAGTACACAAGCCACCTAAACCTTCAAATATGACTGAGAAGGCAAAAATAGTAGTAGAGATGTCAAATAACAGACCTGAAAGTCAGAAAAGAGTGGGATCTGGTAATCCAAACAATGTTTCCCATGTCAGTTCTTAAGGAAGCTTTCCTGAAGAGAAGAAAGCTGCAAAGGAATATGTGAATAATCTTTATGATAAGATCACAAAGGATATTGATGATTTTGAAAATCCAATTGAGTAACCTGAGGAATTGCCAAAATTAACCAGTTTTGTAATGAAATAATATTAATTTATTAGGATGATAGAGACATGCAAAATATTATTAAGATCTAAGCAGCAGCTAAAGGAAAAATAGTTCGAAATAAAGTGAATAAGGATCAAAAGAAATCAAAAGAAGACGTAAAATAAAAAGAATAGATTGATGAGTAATAAGAAGAGGTAATGTAAATTCAGAATGAAGAATAATAATAAATGGGTGATGTTGAAGAATAAGGAGTCCTTTAGACTTAATTAATTGAAGGTGTATAAGAATAAGCTTAGGAAGAAGAATGATAAAATATTAATAATAATAATAATATATATATAAATAAATAAGATTATAATATTATTATATTATGTAAGTTGAGTTATTTAACGCATCATATGAAAAAATGTTAAATGAAAGTGGTGTAAAAAATTAATTATTAAATTAAAATATAATGCAATTGAAAGAGAAAATAGGAGATGGCTTTTCAAGCGATCTACATTTATGTGATTATTAGAACAAATAGTGTGTAGTTAAGATCTATAAGGAAAATTATTCTGATAAATTGAGATAGAAGGAAATCAAAATATTGAAAAGTCTAGATCATCCACACATCATAAAGATTGTTGATCATCATCCTGATTACAATTACTTTATCTGTGAATAACTAAAGACTGATTTTTATACAATTGTCAAGAATGGGACTCGATTCGATGTTAGAACAGTGAAGTAGATTCTACTAGAATTAAGTGAAACTATTTAATACCTTCATAAACTTAATTATGTTCATCGGGATATCAAATTAGAAAATGTTATGCTTGACAACCACTTACAAATCATCCTAATAGATTTTGGTTTTGCTGATATTGTAGATGATAAAAAATAGTACATTAGAAATTGTGGAACACGTAATTATATGTCACCAGAATTACTAATTTCTGAAAAATATATGCAATCAAATCTGCTGAAAAAATCTGACATTTTTGCATTAGCTGTCCTAATATTTATTCTATATTACGGATTTCCTCCATTCTCTGAGGCCTCCTTAAATTGTCCTTATTGGAAAATAATCTCTGAAAAAAAATGGAATACCTTTTGGAAACAAGTCAATAGAAATACTAAAATAAATGACGTCTTATTTTAAGAATTATTTGAAAAAATGATATCACCTGATCCAGAAAACAGATATACTATTGAATAAATACTCAATCATCCATGGATTGATGGAAACCACGATCTAAGCTAATTAATAAACATTATTTGATTATATTTATATATATATAGTGTTATATATCATTATTCATAATATCCTTTAAATTTTATGATCTTGAATATTCCAACAACTTCATTTATAAATAAGCTCTAATACAAATAAGTTAAGAATAAATCACAAAATATAGAATCTAAAATAAATTCTATTAACACACCAACCAACAAATACATATCAAACTTAAATTCTAGTCCATACATTTACCAAATTCCTATTATCATATTCCCTAAAAATAAAATAACCCATAGTATCCAATAAAATCCAAATACTGTTCCTTTTCTCTTTTTTCTGAATGCTAAAGCCAATCCTCCATATAAATAATTACAAATCCAAGTTTATATAATTACTAATAAATAATAGGCTGTTAACATTCCAAATTTAAATGGTAAGGATGATAAATATACGGAAGTAAAGGTTACATACATCTAAATTTAGATTATATAAAGTGATAACTTTTATAAAGAGAATTCTAGAGAAGATGCTGTAAAAATGGCATTAATTGGATAAACACTCCAAAAATTTTTTGATTTTTTTCTAGTTTTTACTTAATTCAATGGATTCTGAACTAAAACATTACCAGTTTACACAGTTTCATAGATGTCGGAATATTTCTTTTACTTTTTTTTTTTAATTGGTCTCTTATATAAAATGCATAATAAAGTAAGAAAGGTTAAAAATAATCCTATTAAAGTCATGGAAATAGCAAAGGCACTATTTTATACAGTTTTGACAAATTTAAATTCTTATGGAATTTCAAAGATACTTGATAAACCAGATGAATTATTTGTAACATTTCTAACAAGTTAAACATAAGTACCAAAATCACCTAAATTATTTACTTAACAAACAGTGTAATATTTACATTTTAATAATGTAGCTTTAGTATTTTCCCAAATTTATTTATCTTCATTCCATTATACACATACATTATTTTCATTTAGATCAGCATAATATTAGTCATTTTTTGGAACAACAATAACCATATTCATTCCACTTACTGGTAATATTTTTCCAGATTTAATTAATTAGATTCTTGAAATAGTAGAATTGATAGTCTATCCTGATGATCTATGATTTTAATAGTAAAGATGCATTTAATTGAAAATAAGAGGAGTTTATGCATCAGATTATAGAATTTTAATTTCAGCAAGATTTTCTTCTGTAAAATAAATTTATGGAGTTAATAATTTTTTATCATTATCACAGGTACCATAAGATTTAACAAAATTATATTTAAATGTTGAATATGAATCATCACTAAATAGATCAAATTTTCCTATAATTTATTTATGAAATGGTCCTTAAGTATTCTATATTTCAGAAATCATAATAGATTCAGATTATTTTAATATAGAATTAAATAATGAATTATCTAAATTATTTAATTTCTAAGATGCAATATTTTCTTGGTTAAATAAATTTTTAGAGATAGCTCCAATGGTTGTAAAATATTTAAGATCAAATTTTAATGCAATTAGTTTTTCTAATGCTTATTGAAATGATTTAATATTGCTTTCAGTTACTGCATAAGTTGTATCTGATATCAATTAAATAATATCAACAAAAATAGGATCATAAATAGTTTAGGTATTCAAATATGTTAATAATTCAGTTTATAATTTAATAAAATCAGATGTTGTTGTGAATTAACATCTACTTCCAGATATATTTTAAATGCATTTACAAGATATCAATAGACATTTTCCATACATATTGCATTATTTATCACTTTGACAGAAGAATCCTTTTGAATTAAGAGTACCTATAAATGGGAATGGTCCTAAACTTGACTTAGAAATAAGTATATTTCCATATGCCAATGCATCATTAGAATTTGCTGATGATGTAAGTTAAAAGGACGTTGTATCATCTGTACATTAACCATTGTTTAAAATTAATGAAGTTTAACATTTTGTACATGTTGTAAGAGAAGTACATTATGTACAAGTATTTGGACATTTTAGACAAGATTATTCTTCTAAATAATAGCCATCTTTGCATAATTTACAAATATATTAATTAGTTATTGAAGTATCAGATTACACTTCACATTTATAACAATTTAATAAATTAATAATAGATCCAGAACAATCTAAACAATAATAGGTAGGATTAATAGTAGATTCTGATGTATCAGTCAATTTTAAATAACCTGGCAAACAAGTATTGCATTAAAAATTATTACCTAAATTAATACAAGTATCACAATTTTCAAATAATTATCCACATTTAGTACATTATTAAGTGCTAGTTAATACATATCCAGATTCACATTTTTAACATATTATATTATTAGTTGTTCCTATTTACATTGTATTTAAACATGTTTAACAACCAGTATTAAAAGTTGAACATAGAAAACAATATTATTTACTATTATCATAATAATAATTATTTGAACAACTTGTACATTTATTAATAATGCATTATTCACAACTAGCATACTTAGCTGAACATGCAGTACATTTGCCTTAGGGATTAATGAAATAACCATCTGAACATTTAGAACATGTAGAATTTGAACAACTAACACAATTAGTCATTGTAGAAGTTTAACTTTCACATTAACCTATACATGATAGAGCATTAGATCCTTTGACATAACCAGATTAACATTATGAACAGATTTTCTTAAATATTTATGAATCTCCACAAGTACTACAAAATTTGATGGGACAAAATTCACATTTTTTACCAATTAGAATGTAATCATTTAAACATTTCAAACATATTGTTAAATCTTAATTAAATAAAAGACAATTTTTATCATCTAATGAACATTATTTATTTTCAGTAGATTAATAACCATCATTACATTTATTACAATATGTCTTTTATGTTTCATCTATATAAAATGTTTATGTAATTTAACAATTCAAAATATCAGGGAAACAAAATGTTGAATTTGTATGTTTTGAATATCCAGTAATACAAGATGTACATTTATCATCTAAATGTATATCACAATATTTAATATCTTAATAACATATAGTTGAATTTATAGATACATGATAATTATTATCACATTTATTACATTTTCCATTTTATAAATAATATTTACAATTCAATATTTCATTGCTATTAATACATATCTGTGTTTTATCATCTTAATTTTTCAATAAATATTTATCCTAACATTTCTAACATGTAGCATCTATTTAAAGTGAACAATATAATATTTTCTACCAACATTATCCATTTGATAATAAATAATTATCAATACATGTTTTACAATCTTTTTATTATTATGTTGTTTAATCACAAGTAGTTACACTTGTACATATATCTTATTCATTCACTATATAATTTGAACAATCTAAACAATTTTAAATGGTTTTAAAACAATATATTCCATTTTCTAATCCATTATCACATGAACAGTATGAATTCTCTGTATTTGTTATCTATATTAATATTAATAATCCAATTATGAACATTAGGATAATATAATATATAATATATTTTAATATTAATATTCATTTCTTTTTCTTATTTTTTAATTCCTTCTCATTATAAATATTTGCATATAAATCCAATTGTTTTTTCTCTTTTTATAATAAATTCAATTTTTTTCTTTTGTAATTATTTTGATTTCTTTTACAAATAACATCAAAATCATCTTAAGATACCACAGATGGTCTATATGAAATGAAACTAATATTAATAAATATATTAATTACNTAACACAATTAGTCATTGTAGAAGTTTAACTTTCACATTAACCTATACATGATAGAGCATTAGATCCTTTGACATAACCAGATTAACATTATGAACAGATTTTCTTAAATATTTATGAATCTCCACAAGTACTACAAAATTTGATGGGACAAAATTCACATTTTTTACCAATTAGAATGTAATCATTTAAACATTTCAAACATATTGTTAAATCTTAATTAAATAAAAGACAATTTTTATCATCTAATGAACATTATTTATTTTCAGTAGATTAATAACCATCATTACATTTATTACAATATGTCTTTTATGTTTCATCTATATAAAATGTTTATGTAATTTAACAATTCAAAATATCAGGGAAACAAAATGTTGAATTTGTATGTTTTGAATATCCAGTAATACAAGATGTACATTTATCATCTAAATGTATATCACAATATTTAATATCTTAATAACATATAGTTGAATTTATAGATACATGATAATTATTATCACATTTATTACATTTTCCATTTTATAAATAATATTTACAATTCAATATTTCATTGCTATTAATACATATCTGTGTTTTATCATCTTAATTTTTCAATAAATATTTATCCTAACATTTCTAACATGTAGCATCTATTTAAAGTGAACAATATAATATTTTCTACCAACATTATCCATTTGATAATAAATAATTATCAATACATGTTTTACAATCTTTTTATTATTATGTTGTTTAATCACAAGTAGTTACACTTGTACATATATCTTATTCATTCACTATATAATTTGAACAATCTAAACAATTTTAAATGGTTTTAAAACAATATATTCCATTTTCTAATCCATTATCACATGAACAGTATGAATTCTCTGTATTTGTTATCTATATTAATATTAATAATCCAATTATGAACATTAGGATAATATAATATATAATATATTTTAATATTAATATTCATTTCTTTTTCTTATTTTTTAATTCCTTCTCATTATAAATATTTGCATATAAATCCAATTGTTTTTTCTCTTTTTATAATAAATTCAATTTTTTTCTTTTGTAATTATTTTGATTTCTTTTACAAATAACATCAAAATCATCTTAAGATACCACAGATGGTCTATATGAAATGAAACTAATATTAATAAATATATTAATTACTTTTTAAATGAAATGTATATCTAAACCAATTATCCTATTTAAGATAATTATTAATATAATGTTAATGTATTCATAAATAATTATGAAATAATGAATATTGTATTTAATATTAAAAATGGTAAATCTTTTAATATAAAATCTCTTAAATTAAAATAGATTTTATTATGAATAGCTTTTCCATAAATACTTTGAGGTAATATATTCTTTGTTAACTTTGTTTTTTTGATAATAGTTGAATTATATGGTAATATTTCATTTATTATTTTTTCAATCTCTGAAAATTTACCTATTCTACTTAAATGATATATATCCTGTAATATCACTTTTTTATTCTTATAATACTAATACATTATTGTTGTATTCTAAAATAGTAATTGTAAATAGTAAAAAAAATAGATAATTATAAATATAGTGAATATTATATGTGAGTCAGATGAATAATACATTATTATAGAAAAAGCATTACAATAGGGAATGCATTTCTAAGACACTAATTTTGGTAAGTCTTATACTTATCTAAATAATATTTATTACAAAGCTTTTGGTTTATTTTTTTAATTTAAATTATTTATTAGATAAAGTTCATAGATAGTTGAAATAAGTATGATAAATTGAAAAGAATTAACAAGACTAAAATTGAGTTCATGATTTATGGAATATATAAATATTTACTATAATGGCAAGATGATGAGTAAAATCAAATAAAACATATTGATTAAAGAAATTATAAATAAAGGAGTAGCAGTTTTATCCAGATATTATTATAGAGATTAATTTTCATTGTAAAATATATATGTTTATTATGGCATAACTAACCAATTACTTATGTTATATGCTATAGTTTTAAGTTTAGATTAGATTGATGTTTTAGGTACATAATTATATGCATATTCTCTTATTTAATAAGCTAAACCTGTATTAATCCAATCATTAAATGAATATTTAATAATAGATGATGAGAAATAATATTAATTTTGTAGGATACTGTAAAATCCTTTAAGTGTATTTAAAGTCAACGTATTTTCAATTCTAATTTTAGCAGGAGGGATTAAAGTAATTAAATCTAATAGATCAGATTCATTATAATTTTATCTAAACATTTCTTCTATTAATTCATCATTCAAATAGTATTCCATTTCAATTTTCTGAATTTATATGTTTAATTATCGAATTTATTACCATATTTATAATACATCTAATTAAGATAATTATTCTAATTTTGCAAATGGAATTTGTATAAGCTTTAATTTCTTTAATTTAATCTATTATTCAGATAAGTATTGTAATGATTCCTCTGAAAATATTAATCTATAAGGATAAGGAGTAGCTCTTATAAATGTAGTATAATTAAAGAATTGACACATAATATCTAAAGTAGACAAATTTAAATACAAGTTGGCTAATTTATTATTTTGTTGATATAAATAGGAATTTAATATGGCCAAATAATGTTAATGGAAATTTAAATGATAATTAGGAAATCTAATATCTTCAAATAATTTCCATTTATTAGTTTCTATAAATTCATTTCTCTTTTGTATTAATGTATTTACTAACATTATAATTGATCCAAATTCTTCAGGAATTCCATCAAAGATTCCATATTTCCAACTATCATAATCTATATCAACAGGTAGATTTTTTGGTTTTGGATAATCTTTAGCTGGAACTTATAGATAAGGTTCAATTGCATTTTTAAGAGATACATTATAACATAAAAATACTTATAATTATAATTTCTAATTTGGTTCTTGTAAAGCTCTTTTCTATATACATTCATAAATAGTATTTAATTTAATTTAAGTATCTAACATAGTACTAATCATATTTAATTCAATAAGATTAACTTTTTTATGTAAAAAGAAATTATCAAATAAATTCTACCATCCTCTATGTGTCAATGCATTATTTTAAGAGAAATTGATTTTCTTAATTGGTAATACATAATTATCTGGTTTTTAATTTAAATATAATTATGCTTATTCAACAAGATAAGATATTGTTTCATCATTAAAACCCATAAATTAAAGATTTAAAGTTGATAATTCTATTGCTCTATCTGTAAATACTAATGTTTATAATAAATTAGCCCAAGTAGTTTTTGATTAAACAAATTCATTTCTACCAATATCTAAATATTTTAATGGATATTTATCTTTATTTTTTCTATTATGTAATTATTAGAATGTCAACCAATTTTTTGCTGCTTGACTAAAGTGATCACACATTTAATCATTAAAATTAGTAACTAAGAAATCTATTCTTTCAATATCAATATATTCGAAAAAGATTAAATCTTTAGAAATTATTTCGCAACCTACTTCTCCAATATATAATGAATAATATATTGAAAATTATTTTAATTTTAATTAGCATATACCTTATCTTTATTATTAAATTATCTATTCTCTAAATTCAGCTGCTGGTAAACAAAAGGCTTCAATTTCTTCTCTTTTTAATTAACATTAATATAGAAGCATCTCTTCAACATGACTCTATTCATTATAAATAAATCTTTGACTTAATAATGTTAAACTATCTCTATTTAATTTAACTGTTGAACTATAAAGTAAACCCATATCTAATTTTATTGATTTAATAAATTGACTCATATTTTCAAATCTAAGCGAAGTGAAATTTTATGGATTGCTCAATATTATATTAGTAGCTTTGATATTTTTATTAAATGTAAAACATTCAAAAAAATGTTCAATACCAGTAGCTATTTATTTTATTTCAATTGTAAATTTAGATTTCTTTTCTTTTCTTTTAAGTTTATTAAGCTTATCTTTTAATTTCTATGAATATGGAAAGTCTACATTAGCAATTGATAATTATTCTAAACTTAATATACATTTATCTAAAAATTAAACAAAAGTTTCATCAAAAATTACTTTACCTTGAACATGTATTTCCTTTAAATTTAATTCTTAAATATCTTTCAATTCATTTGTCAATTATGAAAAGAAATTAGATGATAAATTTTCTTATTAAGCCTTTGTTTATATTTTGATAACTTCTAATTTACAATCTGGTTATTATAATAGATGTCCTAATATGGAAATGAAAGTTTTAACCTATTAATCATCAATTAATTAAACTGTTATTTATTTTAATGAAATCTATTTTTATTTATATTAAATTTATTTTAATTATTTATTTTAACTACTTATCTATTTATTATTTGATTGTATTCCCATTCCAATAAGTTCAATTTTTTATAATGGAAATCTTTGACAATATATGATATCATCAACAAAAGAATTAAAATACTTACATTCAATTGATTCATAAATACAAAGAAGAGTAAGTTCTGTAATTTTATAATCTTATCGATTATCAATTTAATTCATTAAACTTACTATCAATTATTCATTAAAATTCTCTAATAATAACTTCTATAAATTAACAGATTAAGAACAAATAAATGTTTTAACAAATTAATCTGTGCTTTTTTAATTTTAAGTAGCAAGACTTTTTAATGATAAACTTTCTAATTTACTTGACCATTTATTATCTTCATTTTTTATACATTAATTCTAATAAACATTATAATAAATTAAGAATTATTCACATTTTTCCATAAACAAAATTAAATTCAAATTTACTAATGTTAAATCAGTTAATTGATTTTCTGGATGCATAATTAAACCAGATATCAATCTTTCATAAATTTATGTTTTATCATTTTAATCTAATTCTTAAAAATTCATATTTAAATTTAACTATTTCAATTATTTAGGAAAATTAGGAGTAAATATATGATAATTATTTATTATTTTCTATTTTAAATTCAAATCATTTCTATATAATGTTGATTCTATTATATTCTTTTATAATGTATCAATCTTCTCTTTAATTTCTCTATCCTATTAATCTTCTATTTTTATCCTATTAATAGATAATTACTATTCCTTATCATTTATTAATTTAGTTTATTTTAATTTCTTTTTTTGATTATTATTATGTTTCTGTTAATTAATATTTGTTTTTTCAGAATTCTAATCATCTTCATCTACTATTGCTTTATTTTTCATTAGAACATTAAAGAAATCAATCCAAGTTGATTCAGATATTTATTGATTTTAGTCAATTTTTAAATTATATAGTTTAAATGCTGATTTTTATTTTTGATTATTATCTTTAATAAGTTCAATCTGTTCTTATAGTATTCTAAGATGTTCATTACTTAAATTACAATCAGAAAGATTTAATTTCTTTAATTATTGATGTTATATATTTAAAGCGATCTCTTTAATTAACCATTTAAATATCTTAGTATCTTCTACTTTACTCATTTTTATTGAAAATGATTCTAATTTAAAATTATTATATTATTTAACATTTGATTAATGATAATTATCCATGCATATTTTTAAACCTTAATCCATTTTAACACATGAATCAAATGATAAATGATTTAAAGAACATGTATATAGAAAGGCTGTTAAAGGATCTACCATTATTTCACATTTTTTATATTTTAATTCTTTCAATTCTAATTTCAATATTTCTCCAGAATTCTCAAAACTTTATGAAATACCTTAATAAAAGGCTTCATCCAATTTTTATTATTATATTTTTAATGATTTCAATTTCATTGTTGGATGAAGGACAAATTTTTATAAGAAAAATTCCCATGACATTTCATCTTCAAAATTTACATTTGATATTTTCAGATAATTCAAATCTTATAAAGAATGATTTAAATTTAATTCATTTTGTGTTTCAAAATATTCTTTTAAAAAATATACACAAGCTGAAAAATCTAGATTTCCAAATTTTAATTTTTTTATTCGAATATTTTTATTAAATACAACATATTTAAAGAATTATAAAACTCCTACATCATCTGTTAAATTAGAAAATTCAAATTCTTCTAAAGATAATATTTAATTTTTATCTTTAGAATTTATAACTTCTTCTAATTTATTAATAGAAAGTTAAGAATATAATAATACAATTTATTTCAATACTAATTTTTTGATTTTCATCCTATCATGAAATACAAAGAATTATAAAAGATCACTAATATTAAATACTATGTCTTCAATATCATCTAAAGTTATTATTTATAAAGGTAATTTATAATCTAAAGGTTGATTAAGAAAAAATTGTTCAGTTTCATTAACAAATTAAATAAATTCTCCTGCTATAGTATCCTTCTTTATCATCAATTCTTCAATATTAAAACAATGATTTAAAAATAAACAACGATATGTTACACTATCAAATTAATATGTTGATTCTATAAACTTAATTCTTTTAATTGAATATCTTATGCCAGGATTAGCTTATAATAATTAAAATATTTCTGCACAATTCTCTTTTAATCCTTCCTCTCTATTTGATTATCTAAAACACTTTTCCATTATAAATTCTTCAATCTCAAGGATATCTCCTACTCTAGTAAAAAAGAATTCTTAAAAAAATTGTTTCATTGTTGCAATTTCCATTCTATAAGTTTAATTAGGTAACTTTAATGATTTTAAAGGTAATTTAAAATTTTGATAGAATGGATATTTTTACTATTGTTATTATATATATTCTCTAAATCTTATTAAAGCTTAAATATATGCTTGAGTACGTCCAATATCAATATTTTAAATGGCTAAAATATATAAATAAAATTTTATTACTTAATTTTTTTAGATTAGATGTTTCTGTAAAAACAAAGGCTTATAAAAATTTGGCAATTAAATCATGTCTATTATAATTTTCAAGGGAAGTTAAATCTAATACTCTTAAATTTTATTTCAGAATTTTTCCTTATTCAATTGATTATTGAATTAATTAGTTTGAATATTATTGAAATGATTCAGTCATTACAAACATCTTATATAAAGTACTTAATTATTAAGGTAAGGATGAACTAAATTTAATTTACTTACAATGTAAAAATATATTATCTGATAGAATTTTATATGTTTTCTCAAGAATGGTTGAATTTTTTTCAATATCCAATACATTTACTCTAAATTTATGATATCTATTTCCCATTAAATTTTCTATAGGAACTGAATAATTAAGTAATGATTATGATTACATCACCATTTTTAATAATCCTTTAGATGTTGATATTTATTCACACATAATAGCAGAGTTTACTATCAGACTTGATGATATTTATAATTTAGATATTTAATCAATTCCATTTTCATTGAAATTTAAATTAATTAATTATTCTAAGGCTCTAAAATTAATTTAAGTAAATGTTGAATTGAATGAAAATGAAAAAAAGTTTAGTTTACTAATTTTTAAAAATACTTTTTATTCTTAAAAATCTCTTTATTATTATGTTTCATTAAAATTCTATCTTATAATAGCAAGTGATAAATATTATTTATTTAATACTAATTTATATTGATACTAATAATTATTAGCATTTTATTATCTTATGAGTTATTTCAATTCAGATATTAGCTATCCTTTGTAAATACCTGGATTATTTGTAATTATTATCTATATTAGAAATATAAAATATACTTTTTTAATTTAAATGTCACCCTTTACTATTGCATTCAAGAAATCATGAATTTCATTATTATCTACTTTATTATTATTTAATTTTATTATAAAATTATTACATTGCAATTGTTTAAGCCATTAAGCTAACAATGCAAAATGTTCAATTGATAAAACAGTACTTGAAAACTTTACTTATTGAATAGTATTTATTTATCTAAGATTTGATTAGACTTTAAGAAGATGATCTATTCGATATTGATTTTGAAACTCTTTAAAACATATTTTTTTTAGATTTTAGTCTTGTAATATCTTTTTCTATGTTAATATTATTATACAAAAATACTCTTAGATTCTAAATTTATATATCTAATGGTATGGATGGCACAAATGAAAAAGTTAACTTCTGTTTCATATTTCTGAATTTATTAATATTATAATTATTATCATTCTCATATTTTTAAATATATATATATAATTATTTATTGTCTTATCTTAAACATTATTTTTATTGAATAATAATAATAATGGAAACTTATGAAATGATATTAACAATTATAATAGCTGTTCTACTTGGTTTATTATTAATCTACATCATCCCTAAATACTTTAGATTTTTTCATGGCTCAAATACCTCTCCTAAAAAAATGAAATATATTACCAAATCATAAATCTCAATATAATAAGATTAAAATGATAAAGATTTTTTAGATCAATAAGATAATTATGATTCTCCTAAAGCAGGCTATGTTTAATTGATTCTCTAAAATTATGAATATTAATATCTTAAAATTACAACTTACTCAATACTATATGAATAACGATTAGTTATACCCAAAAATAAAGTAATTAAAACTTTAGAATATCAATATAAATTAGATAATCAATATAATTAATCATATAGATGTATTGAATAAGAGAAAAACCAAATTATTATATATAACTAAAATACTAAAGAAAAATATTATAAGGGTATTATTGAAAATGCCCCCAAAGATATTTATTTTGGTTTTGAAGATATAAATAGAGAAAATTCAGCTAACTATTATTTCAATTAATTAATTACAAAAGATGAACTAACAGAAGGATCATCTACTATTATTGATGCTTTCTCATAATACTTAAATCTTGAAAGTCTAAAATAATATATAAGAGATAATAAAAATCATATTTAAACCTATAAATAAAATATTTTTTTTCCTAGTTCCATTTTAAAAATAGGAAGGGATGAAAAGTAATTTAAATAATAATACGAAAACTATATTTTTTAATATCAACCTATTAAATATGATTTATCATTAATCTACGATAAAATTTTTTTTATTACATCTTATGAAGAGAATAAAGATTATTTTTTTATTGAAGTCTTTCCTTCTCATTTATATATTCATGATGTAAAGGATCGAAATAAAGAAAAATATGATTATACACCCTATTTGAACTTACTTAAAAGTATATATCCTAGCCTTGGCTCAAGTATAGTAATATGTGCAGAGTGTTAATTGAACCAAAGATTAACAAAATCCTATTTCCATGTTTGTTATAATATGTTAAAAGAATCTAAAAATAAAAAGCTATAATCAAAAATACAATCTATTGCATAATTATAAGAACATCTATAGTCACTAATAAAATTATGATTCTATCATTTTACATTCAAATATTTTAATATACAATTATAAAAAGAACAATTATAATTTATATTTTTCTATTAACTGCTGTTATTTATTAAAAAATACAAATCATATCATAAATATTATCATATAATAAATAAATAAAAATCATGTATTTTTTAAGAGATTAAATAATTCTAGTTTAATTGCTTCCACATTAATATCATTATATTGACATTTTTCTTAGATTGAAATTGATTCTAAATATTCAAGTTTCATATTTAAACAAGTCCAAGGACCACAATCATAAGTATTTTTCTATAAATAATTAAAATTATAATTAACATACACTTACTTTAAATTATTAAATAATGTAGATAATATTTTTATCATTCTTTTATAATACCAATCGTAATGTCTAATGGAGTCAAATATTTCTATTTTATATATGTATTCATTTATAACTTTTTCCTTCATTATTTTAACCAAATACCAATGAAACTCTTAATTAATCACAAAATATATTGATTAATAAATATCTATTATTTAATAATCTATATATTTATATTCTAGTAGATAATTTTAAAAGATTCTTTTTTATATGGAATTATTGTTTTACCACATATTTGTAAATAATGAACTTGGTAAAAATAGTTTTCTTTTAATATTAGTTTAATTAAAGCCTTGAAAAAAATCTTGTTCATTTTTAATTGTTAAATAAGATGCATATGCATCAATAATATTACTTGTGAAATAAGTTTATGGTTATTATAAGATTCTTAAATCCAGTTATGATATTTATTAATTAAATTTAATCCAAATTTATCTTGAAGATGTTTGATTCTAATTTGTTCCTTTGAATAAATTATTAATTAATACTCCATTTTCCATTATTTTTATCTTTTGATGAAAGAATTTAGAATCTTAAATTCTTTATTAATCAAATTTTTTAATTTACTCCTTTTATCCATTAAACCATTTCCCTTCATATTCTATTTCTTCTGATTTCCCATAATATGATATACCATATCCATGACGATCAGAATTTTTCATTTCACCTTCATAACAATAAAATTTTGGATTATAGTCTTAATCGTATTCAACTTTGTAATGAAAAAATTATTCTACTTATAAACCTTCTTAATTTTCTTGGTTATTTAAATGAAATAATAACTCATTTTGAGTGGCTTTAATTTTTATATTTTTTATAAGGTAGATAATATACTTCTCATTTGAGTTAGGGCAATTGTTATTTTAAAGATTGATGTTATTATTAGCAAGCAATTCAAAAATTTATTTTTGTGATTTTGACTTCTTTTTTGGTCTACCACACCATTAGCATATAAGAATGCACTATTAATATAGCTTATAACAAAATATCATAAAAGATGAATAATTGTAATATAATTTAAATACTCAATTATTCCAATCACTATTAAGTCGAAAATAGCTACTGAGATCATCGTTGACAAGAGACTTAGACCATCTATAGTTTTTGAAAAAAGACTTAGCAATAGTTAGGCCTTCTCTTATTTAGCAAAGTTTTTAAATATGCAACTTAATATGTCTCTAATTTTTTATTTACAGGTATTCTTAAATTAGAGGTTGATTCATTATTTGAGGTATGTGAGAAAAATTTTCAATAATGAATTCTTTAAGTTTTGGTCCAATATTTTTGAAATAATTTTTAGATTCTCTAGGGAATCTATATTTTTTGTTTTGAATTTATTTGCTTGGTGTCTTGAGTATTTTTTGGAATGCTGGTTGATTTACATTTTAAGGTTAATCAATCTAAAAGTTGATACCCTCATCTAATTCTGCTTCAATCAGCATTCCATCAGACTCAATTTATGGTTCATAGTTTTCTGTTTATAGAAGAAAACTATCAGTATCAACATATTAAAGTTTATATGAGAAATTATCTTCATATAATATTTCTTCAAATGTAGTTGACATTTTAAGAATTTATATATTTTTTACAATAGGTATTAGCTAGTTAAATAGGTTTAATTACTGATAATTTCTGATTAAATGCATTTATGAAATACTTAAATTAAATTTAAAAATACAAAAGCATTAAAGATTTACTCTATAGTAATAATCTAGCAATTATCATAAATAATTAGGATTATAATAAATACATTTTTCATATTTTTTAAAATTAAGTCTACATAAACAAATAATTATATCTTTAATTAATTAGACATATTAACAATAAGAAAATGAAATTAAATTATTATACAATATTAAATAATTATATAGAGTGAAATCTTTCAAAAAATTAAAGGAAAATAAAATATTATTATGTATATGAATAATATTAATTAATAAAAATAGAGAATTTTTAATAGTTCATTAAAATGTTATATTATAGTATCTACTTAGAATATCTTATTTTTGGATGTATTCAATTTGAATATAAAATTTCAATTTTATAACATAAAATCTTTCAATTTTCTAGATATATTTGAGTAAAAATTAATTTTATCAAATTGACTTGATAAATTTAGTTGAAATTGAATATATTCTATAATAATAATAAATAAATTGTAATTTATTGTATTTTATAAATTGAATTATATTTATTAATATTATAATAGTATTAAATTAGAAAACAATATAATTCTTTCTAAAAATTAATGATAAATTCAATATTGATATGAATATGTATTCATTGTTACTATAATTATTATTATTATTATTATTTTTAATCGAATCTAATTAATACCTTTCCTTCACTCATGTTTTTCTTATAAAACTCCAAACCCTCTTTGAATTCAGAAACATCAACTGTTTTGGCTACAATAGTTTTAAGATTAGTTTTGAGCAACCCTTTTAATTAATTCAACAATAGTGCTTAACTAATAATATTTTTTGTTTTCAAATATTATGTCAACCAAAATCCAACAACTTTTTTGTCTTTGAAGATTAAATCCATAATAGATACATTTCCAACAGGCTTCAGACTTAATCCTCCATATACATAACAAGTTGAATGATTAGGCATAACTTCAAGAATCTTACCTGTTAATTCTCCTCCTAAAGCATCAAAGAAAACAGTTGCACTATTTAAATATTCTATAAATAATACCGTAATGTTTATAACACATTTTTTAACTTTTCTTAAAAATCAGAATCAGATGAATTTAATATAATATCTGCTCCTTCCTTTTTCAACATATCTACTTAAGCATCTCTTCTTATTATATTAATAACTCTAACACCATTCGCTTAAAAGTGTCTAATCATCATTCTGCCTAATTAAGAAGCAGCTGCTGTATGAACAACAGCTTAAGTTTTATGTTCTTTTGCCACTTCTAACATTGAAATCACTGTCAAAGGATTAACAAATGAACAACAAGCCTCTTATAATGTAATATCATTATCTAATTCTAAACAACCCAAAGCATCTGCCACGCTATATTCACCATAAGTTCCAAATTGAGATTATGAATAAAAAGCCACTCTTTTTCCTACTAATCTCCATCCCATAATTCCACCTCTAAATTATTTACATTCAACTATACCCATTAGCAATAACAGTTCCAGAACCTTCGAATCCTGGAACACATGGAAATTGTTTACCACTTGAATAAGCACCATGTAAAAATGCAATATCAGAAGGATTGATTGGAGCAGAGTCTACCTTGATTAAGACTTAGCCAGATTATGGAGTAGGAATTGGAATTTCCTTGACCACAGCTTCTTAGCCTGGGCCTTCCAAAACAACAGCACGCATTGAAATTTACATATTTATATAAAAAATATAAATGTGGATTTGTGTACATTTTCTTAAATTTAATTAAATTTCTAAAATTCTTATTTCAATTATAAAAACTATATAATTTTGAGATTTTGGAAATATTATATTATAAAATAATAATTCATACAGCTTTGTAATCTTTTAATATACTCTCTATATTCCATTACTATCTTTGTTCTCTCATGTCCTTCAATCTTTTTTCTTAATATAAATATATTATTGATACCATGAGATTCAATATTATTTTATTTTTATTGATTTTATTATGTATCTTCTTTTTCCTTTTTAGCCTCTTTTTTCTCTTCAAATTTTTCTAATTTAGGAACTCTTTTAGCTTAATTACCAACTTAAACAACTTCCATTTTACCTGGATATCTAACTTAACCTTTATGTTCTTATAAATATTATTTAGATAATCTATATAATTAATATTATTATTTACTTATCTTTATAATTATTTCTTAATTGAGCATGTATTTCTTTTCTAAATAATTCAAATTATCCTACCTATTCTTCTTTTTTAGGATCTTCTTTCTTAATTTCTTACTTAAATTGATTTTCATCTAAAATTTTATTATCAATTTCTTATATTTAAAACTCTTTTTCTCCTTAATCTGTCATTAAAACATCATATAATAATAATTAACCAGGTAAAAATGTTTCAAATAACATTTTATTTTATTTTAGAGAATCTAAAAATTTTTTACCTTCAATTAAACCTAATTCATCATTTTTAATTTCAATTTATTTATCCATTTTAATAGTTGCCCATGAAAACTTTCTCATAGCTCTTTTAAATGCCAATTCATTTTATAATGCTTATGAATCACTAGTAATAAGTGATGTTTCTCTTGTAAAATTCTTTTCTATTCTTTTAATCATTTATTATATATCATCAATAGATAAACATCCATCTTCATCAACATCACTTAAATCAAATATCAATTCTAATTTTTTCTCTAATTCCATTCTTGCTAATACTCCAAGAGATAAAACTAAATCTTATATTTCAATTTTATCATCAAATTCTAATTAAAATCCTATATAATAAATATTAGATATTACTTTCAAATAACTTTTCAAATAATGTTTCAAATTTCTTACCAACCCAAATTTCAAAATATGTTTTCTCTTATTAAGATTTCTCTTATTATGCTTTTTCAAATATTGGTTATACATTATTTGATCTAAACCATCTTTCAAATAAACTATCTAAAGCAGATATCTTCATCTTTTTTTTATCTGAATTATAATTAGTTCCAAACCATTTAAGAAATTATTAATCATAATTCTACTTAAACCAATTTTCAAATGCTTAATCTGGTGGTTAATGTTTTTCTGATTAATTATCTCTTCTTTAAGCAGGTTCTCTAACCAATTATGTATCTGGATCAAATCTATATGATTCAGCACATGATCTTTCAACAATTGCTTCAAAATCATTCTTCATTTTATTTTAATATCTTGTGAATTCTTCAGGTGCCAAAATTAAAAAGAATTAAGATGAAATATAACTATATTCTCTACTTTTAACATGTAATTTAAGTTATTTTNACATCATATAATAATAATTAACCAGGTAAAAATGTTTCAAATAACATTTTATTTTATTTTAGAGAATCTAAAAATTTTTTACCTTCAATTAAACCTAATTCATCATTTTTAATTTCAATTTATTTATCCATTTTAATAGTTGCCCATGAAAACTTTCTCATAGCTCTTTTAAATGCCAATTCATTTTATAATGCTTATGAATCACTAGTAATAAGTGATGTTTCTCTTGTAAAATTCTTTTCTATTCTTTTAATCATTTATTATATATCATCAATAGATAAACATCCATCTTCATCAACATCACTTAAATCAAATATCAATTCTAATTTTTTCTCTAATTCCATTCTTGCTAATACTCCAAGAGATAAAACTAAATCTTATATTTCAATTTTATCATCAAATTCTAATTAAAATCCTATATAATAAATATTAGATATTACTTTCAAATAACTTTTCAAATAATGTTTCAAATTTCTTACCAACCCAAATTTCAAAATATGTTTTCTCTTATTAAGATTTCTCTTATTATGCTTTTTCAAATATTGGTTATACATTATTTGATCTAAACCATCTTTCAAATAAACTATCTAAAGCAGATATCTTCATCTTTTTTTTATCTGAATTATAATTAGTTCCAAACCATTTAAGAAATTATTAATCATAATTCTACTTAAACCAATTTTCAAATGCTTAATCTGGTGGTTAATGTTTTTCTGATTAATTATCTCTTCTTTAAGCAGGTTCTCTAACCAATTATGTATCTGGATCAAATCTATATGATTCAGCACATGATCTTTCAACAATTGCTTCAAAATCATTCTTCATTTTATTTTAATATCTTGTAAATTCTTCAGGTGCCAAAATTAAAAAGAATTAAGATGAAATATAACTATATTCTCTACTTTTAACATGTAATTTAAGTTATTTTAACATTTCTTTAGTGAAATTAGATTTAGTCATTTTACCTTCAGATAAATTACCTGATTCTCTGAATTCCTACTTTTGTGTATCATTCATACCTTCCATATCTTCTTAATGAATACATCTGATAAGAGTTTTTAAAAAACTTCACAAACTGCTGGATTAAGTGGTTCCTTTATTTATTAATTCATTTTTTATTTAAATGATTGCTAATTAAAAGGCCATGTAAAAAAAGAGAAATATCCAAAATATTATTGATAATGATGATGAAATGGGAGAAGTAGCAGAATGGGCTGGAATATCAGCTGCTTAGGCTAAAGATGATGATGATTTCGATTTTGATAATAAATAGGTCTTCTAATAATCAAATGATCATGTTGAATAAGCTAGATAAAAAATCAATTAGAAATTAAATAAGAAAGGAACTAATGTAAATTAAAGAAATGGACCTTTAGTCAATAATCTCAAAGACAAGGCAAAAAGTATTGCATTATAGAATAATCAAAACAACGAAACACCCATAAAACAACAATGTTAATCAAGTGATGATGAAAATGAAAAACCTCGTATTGATAAAGGAGAAGAAAGTCCAGATAAAAAGGTTTTTAGATTGTCAGAAAGAAGTATTGGTAAAATTGAAGAAGAATTCGAATAAGCCAATAAAGAAAGAATGATGGATTTAGAAAAGAAGAAAAATGAAATTAAATAGATAAACTTTATAGAAGCTTGGGATTAATTGAAGGGTTCTTAAGATATACGTGATTAGATTGAATTTATCTAAAAAAAGACATCTTTTTTAGATAAACTATTCGGATGTTTCAGTATCCATTTGAAAAGTAGTAGACTCATCTAAGAAAAAAACTAAGTACTATAATTCTAAACAAGGTTTGCTTAATGTCGTAACTGTCATTTGATGATAATAACGAATCTCATTTTAGAATTCTTTATACAATCTATTGCCAACTTATGACTACTGACTATTGTCTAAGATATGGATCTCATTGGGAAATGATTGGATTTTAAGGCACTGATCCAGCTACTGATCTTAGAGGAGCTGGTATACTTGGATTATTATAAATGCTTGCTTTTATATCAGAATATAAAATATATATCAAGTAAGCACTAAAGATTTTTCAGGATATTAAAATTCCATTTAGTATTACTCTAATTAATATTACAACATTTGTGTTAGTTAGTCTTAAAGACAATAAATTGAATTAACTAATTAATTAAGAAGATTCTGTTATAAGTGTTATAAATAAATTATACTTTGCTGGATTCCATTTATTAACTAAAATTCTTAAAAAGTATTTATTATTACATTATAAAAGAGAACAAATTACTTTCCATACAATAGGAAATCATTTGACACACATTAGAAAGTTAATACATGAATAACCACAGAAACTAATCAGAGAGTTTCATTAAGATATTCAAAGATTTTATAAAATTAATAACATCTGACTGATTTATCTATAATCATTCATTTTTAAAACACTATTGTTTTATATTCTATATTTAGTCATTTGCTATATATTATTCAATAATACTTACCCTTTAGAATCATAAAATTAAAGAACACTATTGTTCATTATTCTTAATTAATTATGATTATCACATTTTCAATTCATCTTGATGAACAGATATTTTTAAATCAAGTTGAGTAATCTTATTTAAAATAATTCCATGAGTCATTTGTAAATCATTATAATTATTATTCTTTAAGTTATTTGATTATATATTTAATTAAATATATTCTAGTTCCTTTATTAGAGTCTATTACAAAATTATTATCTTTAAAATATTTGGTTATGGTATATTTTTAAACTAAAATTTCCCACTATTTTTTTTGGTGTTATTTATGTTTAATATATTATTTTTTAAAACATTTATTAATCCTTCGAGATATTTAAAAACCCTTATTCTCTTAAATTAAGCATTTAGGATAATATTATATTATAATCTTATATTTAATATTAATTCATTCTTCAATTATCTAATTTTTATCTTTTTCAATTTTTTCCATATATTCCTTTCTTAAATCATAAAGCAAATTGTTAACTTATTAATAATAGTTAGTAACAATATTCTATTCAATAAGATTTTGTTATTATTGTCTAATATCTGATTTATTATTACTATTGTTAGATTGCAATTAAATCTTCCTATGTTTTCCATCTCTTAATGACATTATTTTAAATTAAGGAATTAGATCCTCTTCACAATCTGAATCCCTTAATTAAAGATGTTGAGTTTCTTCTTCCTCCATAAAATTTAAATATTTTTATAAACAAATAAATTAAGTTGAATTTTTATTACAAAAATTAAAATATGTTAAGGGTTCATTTAATTGCTCATACTTTTCCATTTATTCCACCAAAATATATTTACTAAAAGCAATCGCAGATAATTTTTATAATCATAAATGCTTTTAAAGATCAAATCACAGAATATTAATATAATGATGGATATAATAAATTTAATAATATAAATCTCGTATCAATTATCATTCTAGTTTTTTATTTATTTGATGATAATTATTAAGTTATAATAGATTTATTTATCATTTTAAATATTAACAAAATTATTAAAAAAAACAGAAGAGAAATTGGAGAGTTAAATAAAAAAGGATGATTTATGTTATAATATATATTAATTAAAGAATCAGTATTATTGTGTATTTAGTCTATGTATTAATCTATATTTTGCGGGTACAATTTTGCTTTCTTCAACTAATAAAATATATAAAATATAATTACTTGTTTTATGAAATTGAAGAAACTCTTAATCAATTTCTTAGGCTGTGTATTTAATCATATTATGAAAAATATTATATTCTATTTTAGTGTCTTGATTGGCATTTGATTTTTATAATGTAGTGAATTTAGTAATATTAAGTTATTTAGTATGTATTTTATTAATTGAATTTGGTTTAGTATCTGAGAAACAGCATTTTTAGGAATAGAAATGATTTTTATTGAATTATTATTATTATTGTTATTATTATTATTATTATTATTGTTATTATTATTATTTTACTTTTTAATCTATGAATTAAACAGAATTTTCATCATCATCATATAGAGTAATGTATTTTTTACTATCAGGATCGTCTTTGACTTTAGATTCTTCCAATATTTTGTCAGTATACTTAACATTTTAATCATTAATTTAAGATTATTCAATTTTCATTTTATCATTATAATTAGACTATTATTCTCTATTACTAATAGGTATACCATTTTTAACACGATTAAAGAATTCGGAGGGTGTCATTTTATCATTATCTACAATTTTATTATTGAAATTTTCAGTTTTTCTTCCTGTCCTTAAAATCACCTTAATGTTTTTCTTTTCAATTGATTCTTATTACATTGATTCCTCTTCTATATTCTTACCTCTTACACCAAAATAATATATTTTAAAAGAGTCTGATTTCTCTGTTTATATAGTTACTGTCAATCTAGTGTATGGCTTGAATGATACATGAATAATAATTACCACTTCTGATTTAATTTATGCTGCATATATAATATAATTTTCTTCATTTCTTATTTTTATCAATTTTCCACTAATTCTTTTATACTCTTGATCTAATTCATTTAAATTGTAACATTTATATAGTATATCCTTTTCAGGTTCTGGATGGAGATCTTAATTTAAGTTATAATAATGTACGAAGGTTGATTTCTTAAATTAATGTGTTTCCGAATTCAGCTTCAATAATCAAGTTTTGGCCACCATTAAAATACTATTAGCAAATTTGATTGTCAACGAGAATGTCTAAATTATTTTAACCTTGATAGGGTTTTGTTTGGACAGAAATAAATCTGATCATTTTAATTAATGAAATTATTTAGTATAAACACTTAAGTGTAAATTATTTAGAGGATTTTAGTTATTTCTTTAAACGAATAACATTTAAAATATCATTTCTATTAATAAAAATGAAAAAAATAATTCTAATGACATTTAAAATTCTATATTAATTTTTATAATGAATTACTTATAATATAATAATTCAAGCATACTTCCCTTGATAAATCAATTACCACTTACTTCAAATGAAAGATAATTGTATGGATAATTATATGGAATAAATTACTAATAATAACAATAATAATAATAATAATAATAATAATAATAACAATTTAATCCTTATTTAAGTTCATTAAATTATGCCTATTAAACTAATTTCATACCTGCCTATACTAATAATTAGAAATTACCCTATATTTAATCTTAGGTTATTGATCCATTACCATTAAATTATAATTTAGGATTAATGGTTCATCAACCTTAAAGTTAAATTAGATTGGCATTTGATTTATCTGATTTTGGATTACCAAAAGAACCACCAAAACCATAAAGAATGATTGTTAAAAAGAAAATTCCATAAACTATTTATAAAGCACCAGAATTTGATTATTTTGAATAGGTAGAGATTCCAAAAATTTATTTATCGAATGAATAATAATTTAGAATTATAAAAAATAAATAAACAGATGCCCATAAAAAATAAGAGTATTTGGAAAGAGAAATTTAATTAGAAAGAATAAAATTAGAAACTGGAAGACATAATAAACAATTAGAAAAACAATAGGATATTAAAACAATAGAAGAAAATCAAAGTTAAAATAGTCATATGGGTGAAAAATCCTAAGATGAAATGAAAAATGAGAAGAAAAAAAGAAGATTAGCAAAGAAAGTCAAAGAGGATAAGAAATAGTTAAGGTAATTTGGTAATTATAAAAAACCTTCCATTTTGAAATTAAAGAAAATTATAAATAGAATTAGAAAAATGTAATGGTTTGGTAGGATATATATAAAAACATTAGAAAATGAAATAAAAATTAAGAAAGATTAATAATCTAGAAAGTAATAAACTAATCGTGAAGAAGCCAATGAAATGCTCTTAGATTGGATTGATGATACAACAAATGATTTTTTATTAGATTTATTGAATACTAATGAATCATTAATAGTATAAGTGGGTTAGGAGAAATAGAATACTGTAAATAAAAAGAAAATTAGTGCTTTGCTTGATACTTTATCAATTAAATTAATAAAAGAATTTAAACCAGAAAAAATTATCATAGGACCATTAGCATCTTATTTAAATGATATAATTTAATCATATTCTTTTCCTCCTTTGAAAATATATAGTAAATTTGAAATAATAAGAATTCCAACTACAAAATTTGGTAGTTTAGGATAAATGAATGAAAATTGTTAAAAAATGATTTTGATAATATTTATTGTACTGAAATAAATTGCATTTGATAACATTTTCAAAGCTTGGGAATAACATCCAGATTAATCATAAGATAATCAATAATAACTATTAAGAATCTAGTAAAATTCTATAATTCTATCTTCAATCATACATGAATTAGTAATTAAATGGATTGAAAAGAATGTTCCTATTCAAAATGAATATAAGTTGAATGAGTTGGAGAAGAACTTTCAATTTTATTCAAAACCTTTTACTACAGAGAAAGATCAAGCTAATAAAGAATATCCTATTAGTTTCTTGATTGAAGGAGTTATGGCTTCCACTTTGATTTAAAAATATATAAATAATAGCAAAGGAGAGAAAGAGCCTTGGATTATAAAATTAGAAGATACTATTGAAAAATTTATAAATTCAATTTTATAACAATTAAACAAAGAATATACAAATACAAAAAAATAGATTAAAAAATAGAGAATATCTTAAATGATGAATAATTATATAAATTCTTAATGAATGCATAATCAATAATCAAATATTTTAATTTGATCAACAATTACTTTTAGAGCCTTTGTTTATGTTTCTGCAACTTCTCCTCTAATTTCTAAATATCCTGCTATTTCATCTATTAAACCATTAAACTATTTTTTTGTTATTAATCCTTAAATATATTTTTTTAAAACAGGAATTTCAATCAATAATTGTTTAGACAAATAATCCAATTTAATTGTTGAATAACATTTAGCATATCTTAAGATCTTGCATTCAACAATTATTTATTATAAATAAGGTTTCAATAATGCCAAAAATGGATCCTTTTAAAACAACTATGAAATATAAAATATATCTTACTTCTGAATTAATAATGTTACTAAAAGTTTAAACATTTTATTATTCATAAGATAATCTTAAATCTTAAAATACTTTAACATTAGGATCTTAATCATAAACTTTACTCTTCATATCATCAAATAAGTTCATTTTAAAATTTTCAAGAATACTAATCACAGATGCATAAATAAGAGTCTATTTAGCTTCTGGTGAACTAGCATCTAAGAAATTATAAAAAGCTTCCATAAGTTTCTTTCTACTTTATTCATATTGTCTTTCTAGAGCCTTTTATTAACCAATTGTTAGATTGATAACTCCAGATATCTTAATTATAAATTATTAATACATAAGGTTCAAGCAAATCTAAATTTGATTTTAATAATTATCTATAAATTGGTTTAATCTAATCTTGACGATTTGTAATATTGTATAATAGAACTCTGTAAGCCAATAATTCAGCAATAAATGCTTATTTTCTATCTTCATCTTGTATTTGACTATTATCCAAAACAGATTAGATATTCTTTAATATTATAATAGTAATATACATTAATTGTTTCTTCTAATTTAATATAATCCCCTTTTTAAAAATAATCTTTGCATAATTTCATACTTGCTCCACAATAAATACCAATTTGATTCATAAATTTTAATTTATCTAATAAGTTTGGTAAAACAATAGAAATAAGATGAGAATTATTTGAATTCATTAGTGCATCAACAACAATCTTAAGTGCTTTATCTCCTTCTGTTTTATATTATTTATCTAATAATTCTAAAAATCCTTATATATATTCAAGTAAATGATCGTCTTAAAATTTAGATTTCATAATTGTTATCTAAATCAAAAACTATTAAATATTATATGAAAAGTTAATACTTAATAACTCTTAAAACTCCACTTTCTGGAATTAATGTCTTTAGACTTCTCTTTCTATATTACTTCATTAAAGAGTTGAAATGCCGTATCTGGATTGAGTTTCCATTCATCTTCTGCTCTATTATAATTATTTTCTAATTCTATTTCATCTTGATCTTCTTCTTAATCAATTTGATTCTAATCATAATCATAGTCATAATCATATTCTTAATCTGACATTTTATTGAATAATTATATTAATGAAAAAATAATAAGTGTAAGCCAAAGCTAAAGCTAAGACAACTGAGAAATAAAGTAAGTTGAATTAAAATTCTAATGATCGATATTATCCTGATCTATTGATAGATGAAGATGCTTATCTTAGAAATAATTATAAAGTGGTTCGTGAATTGGGAAGAGGAGGATATGGTGTGGTTTATAAAGGGTATGTCTAATAATATTTTAGATATGCATACAATAATGGACAAGAAGACAAGACTAAGAAATATGCAATTAAAGTCAATTTCTCAACAGTCTCTCCAGAATTAATATTTGCAGAAATTGGATTCTTAAAATTAGTTTAAGGAAAGGAGAACTTACCTCAATTAGTTAATTTATTCTTGACAAATTAGAAAATATACATTGTAACAGAATATTTTAGTTTTGATCCTTTTATTACATTTTTTTCTACTTTTAACATGTAGTAAATTAAAGATTATTTGCGAGAATTATTAAAGGCTCTATTAGTATTGAAATAGAATGGAATATATCATAGAGATGTCAAACCAGGTAATTTTCTTTATAATCCAAAAATCAAGAAAGGAATTCTTATTGATTATGGATTATCTGAAATAGATAAATCATTCGTAAATAATATGTTAGAAAATGGTGGAAATACATAAGAATTAAGATAAAGAAAATAATTATATGAAGATATTATGAAAACAATCTCTTAGATTGGTCATAATAAAATAGGCACTGAAAGTTTTATGCCATTGGAATCAATTTTACATTATCAAGAATAATCTTATGAAGTAGACATATGGGCTGTAGGAGTTATATTTTTATAATTTCTAACAAGGAAATATAATCTATTTAGTAATGTGAGAATGGTTCATAAACCAGCAGTTTCTAAAAATCTATTTTATGTGAATTTTATCTTAGAATTAACATCACTATTTGGAGCTGAAGCAATTACTAAGATTTGTAATAAATTTGGTAATATATTATTTATTATACATATATAGGATATTATCTAAATTTACCATCTGTTGTTGCTAAAACCCCAATTAATTGGAGAAGTGTAATTCATGTAGAAGGATTTGATGATAAAGCAGAAGATTTACTAACTTAGTTATTAGAATTAGATCCTTAAAAGAGAATTAAAGTTGAAGATGCTTTATAACATCCATTCTTTGAATAGTGAATTAATGAATCCATAATAATTAATTATTTAATTATCATTTAAAAATATCAGAGCCTTCAGGTTCTTATTGAGTTATTTGTTATCTTTATTAATAAAATTATTTCTAAAGAGTTTCCTCTTCTGATAAATGTGATCTAAAAGTCTATAATTAGAATTGTAATCTATATATATATATATTAAAATTAATATACGTTTAAATTTCTTCCATTTTTGTCAATAATATCTAATCTAATCCTTTCACATACTCATCTACATCAGATCCTGGTTTATCAATATTATGTAATAACATCATTTCCTAAAATAATCTTAAATAAATAAAATTACTTATTTAACTAATTCAACCATTGAATCTATATGAGATCTATGATTAGAAATCAAGTTTTCTTCTTCTTCTAAAATTACACTAATTAATTATTCATGTTTCTATCCAATTTTCATTAAATCTTCTTCCATTGATTAATTTATTTCTTAAAATATATAAAGTATTAATACTTGATTTACGTTCAATAGGTCCTGGTCCTGGAAAAACATTCTCATTAACATAGGGACGAGGTTCATTTAATTATGGAGTTGGTTTTTAGAAGGAATGTTTATTTTTAGTTTCATTAATTTTGAATTATGGTTATTATTATTATTATAAGGGAATCATGGGTTAAGGTTATGGAGGAGGAGGTTAAATATAATTTTGATATGAATATTATTATTATTATTATTATTATTATTATTATTATTATTATTATTATGGAATCATCATTCCAGGAATAGAATTTTATAAATTTAAAAATTAAGGTTATTATTATTGTTAAAATAGATTTTAATTCTAATAATTTTATAATGGATTATTCTTAAAAGGATTAAATTATTATTAAACTTATGTTTATTTTTTAACAGGTTATTATTATCTTGGTAACATTAATTCTCTAGCTAATTTATCTAAAGATGTAACTTAATCTTTTAAATCTTTATCATTAGGTTTTTTTAATTCTTTCACTCTATCTGCATATCTTAATGTATTTAATGTATGTTCAGATGATGAATTAGAAGGTGAGAAATTACCAATCATAACAGTCTTACAATTACCAACAAAAGAATCTTTTAATACTAAAGTTAATTTAGATCCTCTAAAAGGAGTATGGTTTTTATTTAAATCTAATGCTCTAATACATTCTTTTAATGCTAATAATGATTTATTAATTTCAGCACCATCAAATCTAGTCTATTTATTAGTGTCACTTACATCTGCACCTCTTTCACTACCAGCTAAATCAATGAAAGATAATTTTCCATGACATTTATTACCATCTTTTAAAGTTATCTATAATATTGCATGAGATCTTGATGAATCATTATTTGATGAATTTGATGCTGTAATTCTTGATGCACTACCTTATTCTATCACTTTCATTAGTTATTCTACAGATTGTACTTTCCTTTCTTATAATCCTACTACATTAACATTTCCTTTTGCATCTTCTCTTGCATGTAAAAGTGTTCGTTCATTTAATAAATCAAAGAGTTTCCCACAATAGATTTCATAAAATGATATAGATATTTATAGATGACCATTACATTCATTGTTTAATAAACAAAAAATGTCATAAGCTGCCAATAAATATAAACCAGGTACTCTTTCTGAATAATCACCAAGCATTGTATATGTTTTACCAGATCCTGTTTATCCATATGCAAAACATGTTACTTTTGCCTTATTAAATGCTGCTTCAACAATTGGTCTCACTATTTATAAATATAATTGCTCATTTGTTGTATTTTCATCAAAAGCAGCATCAAAATTAAATTAATGCTCCTCTATATATTTAGTCAAATCAACTTTTGTTCTATAATGATCCATCAAATAATTAATACCTTTATTCTTTTACAACAACTTGACTTTATTAATTGTAAACATCGACAATATCGATATCGCCCTTATTCATCTCCTTTTTATTTAATGGCCTCTTACGAACTGCCACTATAATCTTAGGTTCTCCTTATTCAATTAGCATTTTAAATTTTACTTTTTTTTGAATTTAATTTGTTATTTTTAGTTCGTTATCTTCATTTATATATATAGATATTTGGATATCCTTTCTAATAAGACTTCTATATTTAGATATGTAATAATATATAATTATTTTGTAATAAAATAAAAGTAATCATATCATCTTAACTTAGATTTAAGCTTAGCTTAATATTCCAAGTTTTCCTTCTATACTTTTTCTAATAATGAAGATTTCTCTAATACTTTCTAACGTAATCTTTCTATTTCCTTATCTTATAATTCACATTTACTCTAAAATTCATTAATAGTTATATTATTGATCTTTACTTCTTCAGAGTATTTCTACAATTATTTATGTTATTATACTAGATTTCTATAATTTTCAGCTTACCTTGATAAATCACTTATCAAACTATCATTCTATTATTTTAGAATATTAATTTCTCCTTCTTTAATTTATAAAGTCTCTAAGATTTATTCTTGATTTTAATTTTTTCCATTAAGATTCATTAAATCTTTTAATTAAACTTACAATCTAAAGACTTACTCATCTTTTTATTTAATGATATTATTAAGTCTAGTACATTCATCTCCTAACATATTAGTTTTACATTCTAATTCTCTAAAGTTTTATTAATATGATTATTGATTCTCTTTATATTAAGTTTCTAATTTTTAATTCATTAATTTCAATTATTAATTTTATTCTTTATAACCTAATAATTCTTATTCTAAAAATTAAATCAACATTTATTTTTATTTATGAAGATCATTTATTTCATTTTAATGATTTTTCTCCTAATTTTCTAAAGAAGTTTATAATTTTTTAATTTAATTCTGCTCTTTAGTTTATTATTATTATAAAAGACAAATCTACTCCTAAGATTTTCCATACATAGTAGTCAATTCATTTATCTTTTATTATAATGAATTCTTGTGTTCATTATATGTTTAAGACAAGTGTTCAAAATCACATTCAATTAATTTCAATTTGTTTTATAAAATAGATTCACTTGCACTCTTAGATTCAGCTACATCTTTATATTTATTTAGTTATTAACAAATTTCTTAATTCTATTCTCTTTATTGAGTCAATTTATTCTTCAATTCATTAACATGTTATTCCTAAGAACCAATTACAGCTTATTATTTTAATAAAGTAAACTCTTAATCTTTTGATTATGAATCAAATTATTAGATTGCATATGATAACTTCTCTTCTAAAATATTATTATTTTTCTTAAGATTTATTAATTGAGTTTCCTAAAATAAAATTATAATATTTACCAATGCTTAAACAAGACTTTAATTCTTATTATCTGAACTAGAAAGTTATGATAAATTTTATTAAAGTCTAGCAATTTCTTGTTTTGCCTATAGTTATTCTTATCTCAAAGCTTATCTATGTTTTGATTCTTATTATTCCATCTAGTATTTCAAATTAGCTATATCTTATTTCCAACTTAAATCAATTTATCTCACTGCGTCATTGTGACTCTTTTCTTACAATTCACATTTATGTTTATGGAAATCCAATTAATCCTATAATATATATTAAAAATATATATACTTTGAGTTCCTAATTTTCAAGTGCTAATTTTGGATCTTGTTGGACTATTACTTAAGGTTCTTAATTTTTTTCTTTTAATTTTTAATTTTCTAATTGTAATCTGTCTATTTCCTTTATAAAAGTTTCCAAATCTTAAATTGAACAATTAGGCTTTGATTATTTAGAAATCTATTGTGGAATTGTTATTGGAGATTATGGAGGTAATTAAGAATTTGATGATGTTAATGATTGATAATTTGATACACTTGGTTTTATGAATGAGAATGGTTTTGTATCCTACTTAGTTTCAGGTCGATTTTCTCTCTTATCAATTGAGTTATGTTGTGATAGTGGTTATCTGATGGTTGAATTCATTGGGTAAATTATTAACGGATAAATATATAAATAAAATTTGTTATTATATATCTCTCCTTTTAACATAGATTTTATTTATAAATCCAATTAAAATTATTTATCTATGAAAATATCAATATTAGAAAATTTTATTATCTAACAAGTGGTCTTCTTTATTATATTCTCATGATCTAAGTTCTTATAAATTCTTATTAACAGTTTATATTATTTAGTTTTATAATTAAGTTGTTAAAAAACTTACTATTATTTTAGATTATTCTTATATTATTCTTGTTTTACTCTCATATTATCATTTCAATTAATGAATTATTAATATTTTTTTATTGAAACTTTAAAGAGACATTAATTATATCTAATTATTTTTAAATATATCATTACCATATTTAGATTAAAATTTGAAAGCTCTTTACTTACTGTATATTAAATTATTATTTATTTCAATAAACGTTTTAAAATTTAATTTTTAATATCTTTAAATTAAATATCATTTATTTGTTAAGGTGATTAGGTTAAAAATAAAATATTAATGAATTTCTTTTATCTAATACTATAAAATTATTATTATTGAATTTATATTAAAACTAATATAATCATAAAATATTTTATTTTGACTCATACTAGTTTTCTAATTTAAATTTCTTTTGATTCTCTATTCCAAATACTCAAGTATTATGCATTTTGACTGATTACAGCGAAGGTTTGCAATCCCTAAAATTAAATTTTTTATTAAATAATGAATTGTTAATCATTCATTCTTCTATATATATAAAGATTTTGACCTGATTTGAATAATAGTATCCCTTTTTCATTTATATATATAGATGGACTAAATTAAAAGCAGTCTTCTGTTTGTGTTATTTAAATTTGTATTCCATTAATAAAAATTTATGAATCATTTTCTTTTAGATATAATTATAATGTTGACTTAGAAGATTGAAAAATAAACATATTATTATTAATAAAGTTGATTCTATAAATTGGAAACTATGATGTGATTGTTTAAATTTAATTCAATTAAAGATTATCATGATTAATTAATTGATGTACTAATATAGTATGATTAAAACATGATAATAATATTTATTAATTTTCTGATAAACTTAAAGCTTGAACTTATTAGTCTAATTTAATATATGTTTCAGAAATATTCCATTCATTTTTTAGAGTCCAAAATCTAACTGTTTCATCTGTACTACCAGATATTAGAAGATTTTCAAATTTATTAATATCTAAACAAGTCACACTATAACAATGACCATTTAATTTTTATTCACAAAAATATTGTTATTTATCATCTAAAGACCATATAATTATTAATTTATCTTATCCACCAGATACAAATCTTTAAGAACGATTCATATATTTTAAACATTAAATATATCCTGTATGACCTTATTTGATAGTTTATCTTAATGAAAATTAATCATTTTCATTTTAAAAAACTTTTATTTATTAATTTTCACCTACTACCATTTAAGAAGCATCATAATAAAATGAAATAGCAAAACACCACTTCTCTTATTTAATAGTACTTACTTATTTATATTCAATTTTTTAAGATAAATATGAAAAATTTTATTATGGAATTTAACTTTAAGCTTTTTTTTTGCTTTACATTTATACTTTTATAGTACTTGAACATATTTCATGTTTCTTCTTTTTTCCAATCCTTTCAATATCACAATTCTTATCACACATTTCAATTTTATAAATTGATTGATAAAAGCTAGTAATTAATTAAAGTTAATCAATATAAATCTAATTTAAAATTTCTTAAAATTTTCTTATATATGATTCATTTGATTATTTAATCTTATTTTAATATTCTATTAGACTATTTTAATGACCTATTTCATTTGCCAATTCTATAAGCTCATTCTAAGTTAGATTTTGAAAATCCTTGGTATTTATTTTTTATTGATCTTAAAGTTAATTTGAATATTCACTCATATATTTTTACAATTCCATTAGAACATTAACTAATTAATTCTGCATAGAATGGTTATATTAACTGAGTAATTAGATTGAGTTCTCTGTCTTTTTCAAATAATAAGTTTAAGATAATTCTATTATTTTTTTTCTTTCAAACTATTATATCTAACATAATAAATAAAAATCTTCTAATTTTGTAAAAGCAATTTTCTTAGCCTTAATACAATCTAAACATGCTATTCTACCCATTATTGTAATATTTTCATTTAAATCAATCATCACTCCTTTTTGATTATGTTCTTAACATTTCACATTTTCATAACTTGATTTTTTATTCAATAATTAACAAAGATTTTAAATCATATCCTTAATTTATTCAGAATTTTCAGTTTAAATTTAACTAATTTTTTCACTAATCTAAAGTTTTTTTTTATCAAATTCCAAATTATATAATTATAGACTAAGCATTGATATTATTTTATTTGTTTTTTAAGTTTGTTGCTGAACTTAATCAAATATTTATTAAAATGATTCATTATTTTAAACATCTAATTTAAATTAAGAAAGTAAAATAAACCCTTCGTTTATTGTATTTATTTCATTATTCAAATTTTTTATATTTTTATCAACTTATGCTATTGTATTATTTTTTATGTCATTTTGTATTCTTATAATTTCTTCAAGTTTTGAAATTGTATTTTGATTCTACTCTCTTTTCTCATGAATCAATTTCTATATAAATTCTTTTCTATCATTTAAAATATCCTCAAGAGGAATTAGATTTTAATATTCTTATGCTAAACATCTTATGCATTTAATTTTCTATTCAGGTAAATTTTAATCTCTATCAAACATTAAACCATTATCATTATGTTATGAACATTTTTAGAAATTAAATGAACTATTCATTATAAATTAATTAATAAAAAATATAGAGGTTAATTAACTCATTAGAGAATTCATTTTCTTTAATTCTCTTATTCCTAATATGGTTCAGGCTAATGAATAGAACTCTCTTCAACTTCTTCATCTTAATCATTTTGAGAGCTTTCTTCCATCTCTTATTCATCAATAGGATAAAATTCTGGAGGTTATTATTCTTTCCCATTAGAACTTTTAATCTCTTGATCTGAGAAATCTTCAATTTAATTTTATTCACTATTTACAATCATTTCCTCTAAAGATAATGCTTACAATAATAATAAACAATTAAGTTAAGCTATATCCTATTTCATATTTAGTGGAGATTGACTCTTTAATCTATTAAATTTTTAAAGATCATCTTCTTAACTGTTTAATATTTCATTTATTCTTATAAGTGATTAGAAATATTAAGTTTAATCTTAAATATCATAATTTAGTTTTCTACCTATTCTAGATTATGATTATTATATTTCATTTTATTAAAAGGCATATTCTAATTCTTTTCTTATTTCATCTATTTATTTATTTGTTAATTTATTTTAAGATTCTACTTTTTCTTTGAAATTTTTTAAATCTTGTATTTATTCAATCAATTTTTCAGCTTATTCATTTTAATTTTATTCTACTTGATTTTTAATGATTTCATCTGTAAATTCTCCAAAAACTTATCTAAGTAAATTAATTTGATCTTGATTAGGGCGTTATTTAGATAGAATAATCAATGCTAATTATTAAGCTTAATCATTAGGATTCATTTTATTAAATTGTTATTTATTTCCAATTACTTATTATTCTAATTATTATATAGTTAATTGAAGTTCTTAATTCTATTTTAATAATTAATCATTTTATTATCTTTATATTAAATGTTGATGACTAATATTGTTCATACCATTTTGATAATCAAACAATTACTTTCTTAATTTATCTTGTTCTTCTTACATTGTTTAATTTAAAATTCTTAATTCTTTTTCAAATCTCTAACTAATTTCTAATTCTTATTTTAATTATTCAAGTGTCTTTTCTAAATGATTTTTCTCATTACTCCATTTTTATTCTTAAGTTTAAAATTCATTAGAAAATTATGAAAAAGATTCTTTTTTCATGACTTCTGTTTCCTTTTCTAAATGATTTGCATGTATTTTTAATTTAGTATTTTCTAATTTCAATTTAGCTAATTCTTTTTCTAATTCTTTAAGATATATTTCAAAATAAGATACATCTGTTTCTTTTAATTATTCTGCTGGATATTACTATATATGATTATTATAAATACTTCCATTATTCTAATAAATAAATAATGTCTATCTAATTATGCATATTAAAATAAAAAATAATTTTCTCTAATTAATTATTCTTTATCTCTTTCCATAATCATAAGATGATCCTAAGTTTCTTTTAAAACACTCTTCAAATATTAAATATCCTTTTATGCTTTTATTGTACTTTCTATTTATTATTTTAAACCTATAGTATTATTCTATTCTAATAATTCAACTTATTCTTTAACTATTTCCCACTATTCTTTATAATGTTATATTTTCTTCTCCTGCATTTAATATCTAATACTTGAACTAGCTAATGATTTCTTAGTGGATTCTTATTGGATTGATTTAGTACTATTGTGTAAAGTTTCATAATTAATTTCAATTTCATCAATTGAATATGTTGCCAAAGTTTCAAGAATAGGTGCTATGTAAATATCTCCTTTTTAAATGGATTTTATATTTTCCTCTAATTATTCTCTTAATCTGCGAATAACTTCATAAAATTATAATACAATATCTGGTTTATGATATTCTACTTAATAATTTAATTGTTTATGTTGTGGAATAATTGAATTTTTGAATATTTTTTAAAATTCTCTTAAAAAAGGATGCCATGGTTTAATAATGATATCATTCATTTTATATATTTCCAAAGTCCTTCTTTTCTTTTTAGCTTTTTAATTAGCCAATAATAATGAAGCTTATTTTGGTTTTTATTTTTGACATCCATAACATTAATAAGTTGATGTTAATGGATTATAATCATAGAAATCACTATGATTCTCTCTATCTTTACCTTTCTATAAATTCTTTACCATATAATTGTTTAATATGACTTCATTTTCAATAATTGACATTTTTGAAATAATAATTAAATAATTGTTACTTCTTCTTGAAATTCGTTTTTAAATTAATTTATTAAATGAAAATCTTGGTGCTTTGCTTAATAGCCTTAGCTATTGCAGATAAGTTTGATCAATTTAGAGCATTTGATGAAGATGAATTTGGTAGAACATTAATTGATACTCTATAAATGCAAATGAGTACAGGTGAACCTATTGCTAGATTCATTGAAATAATGAGAAACTTAGAAACATCAATTGAAAATGAATAAAAAGAAGATGATAAAGCTAATAATGAATATTAAAATTAATGCACAGAAGATATTAAAATATTACAATAAGAAAGTGCAAATTTAGAAAGAAGAACAGTTGAAATCTAATCAATTTTAGATGAATTAGAACCATTAAGATCATATAAATAAGGTTAATATGATGCAAAGAATGCATGGAAAGTAGAAACAGAAAAGAAATTAGCTGATCTTGTTAAGAAAAGAGAAACAGAGAAAGCTGAATTTGATAAAAAGGTTGAAGAACATGATTATGCAACATTTGTTATTGAAACAGTTAGAAGAATGTTTTCAGATAAAAATTAAAGTTTTTTATAAATGAATAATGAATCATAATGGTAAAAAGTTAGAGATTACTTTATTAATGCATCTGAATAAGCAAGTAAATATATATTATATCTATATTTTTAGAGAAATTTGAAATCAAAAAGAGTTATTCTAAGTTGTTCAATGTTTTTGCTGAAATTGCTAATGCTGCTCAAAGTGAAGATTTTTAGAATTCACCTACTGTTAATAAAATTGTTAATTTATGTGATTTAATGCTTAAATAAATTGAAGATAGTAAAGCATTGGAAACTAAAGCAGAATAAAAGAGATTGAATATGTTCATGTTAGAAAAGGGTAATTTTGATAAAGATTTAACCAGTTTAAATAATGCTCTTGCTTAATTAACAGCTGCTATCTTAGGTTTAGACAATAGAATATAAGATTAAAAAAGAGATTTAAGTGATTATAATGCTAGATTGGATGCTAAAAATAAATAAAGTGAAGATAGAGGTGGTGAATGTAGAGAAAAGGCATATAATTATTAATTAACTAGAGAAAAAAGGTATTTTTTATTTTATAATAATATATTAGAGAATAGAAAAGATAATTAGTATCATAAATTATAGGTGCATTTTCAGCTAATTAAAGAGATTTTGCAGAATATGTTAAACTTAGAGGATAAGCAGGAGATTTCAGAGGAAAAAACTTTTAGGTCTTGGGTAATCCTACAGAAGATTGAATATGAATAATATCATAATAATTTATTATCAAACTATGTTCCAGAATTTCCATAACGATTAATTCTGAAGAATTAGTCTTTCAGATAATGATTAATAATTATGAAGAATCACTATATAACCTTGGGATTGGAAAGAAATGCTCAACAACGATAAATTAAGGAAGCATACCATAAATTAGCTTTAAAATGGCATCCAGTATTATATATATAATTAATCTATTATTAGGATAAGAATACTAATTGTCGAGCTTAGGCAATTACATATTTCCAAGAAATTAATGAGGCTTATAATATACTATCTCAGTAAGAAAGCAAGAAAAAGTATGATCATAAATTGGAAAAGCATGATCATTTCTAAAAACTCAATTTTTTTCTGGAACAATTTGAAGAAATGAATGAAGAATTTACTTATTTAACTAAAGATGATAAAGATACTTTGAACAAATTTATCAATAGGATAGACAATCAAAGTAAAAGAATTAAGAAACATTGATTATGTATAAGACAACTTATTCTTTTTGATACTTATAATTTAATAAGAATATTTCATGGTTATTAATTTTTATAATTTAATTTTTGCATAAACTATTAAATTAGTTATAAAACAAAAAAAAAATTATTTAAAATTAATATCTAATACAAAGAGGAATAAGAAAAGTTTTTACTTATTTCCATCTTTATCATCTTAAAAGACATATATTGAGTATAAGCATTCTAATATATGTATAATCTATTGTAGACAATATAATATTTTTCATATCCAAACTTTAATCCCTTTAAGAATTAATAATTGTAGTTATTAGTAAAATGAATATCGAATACAAAATTATTAAGCAGTTGTTTAAAAAACATTTTTATTATATTTTTAATTTTCATTAAACTCAATGACTCTACCTGACACTTACTGAATTGAGCTATAAATTAAGAATAATTGCAAACATTTATAATCTTAGACAAACAAAACTTAAGCAAGGTTAAAATCTTTGCTTAAAAATCTCTGTCTATTTCTATGGACCAGTAGATAGCCTATTAATTAAGGATGGTTCTTAAACTCATTTGAAAGGGACTGTCTAATTATAATAAAGAATCTTATGTTGCTCATCTTAAAATTGTAAGTATTGTTTTCGAAAATATAACTTACTCAACTGAAATTCAAAAATAGAACCAAATTAATTCAAAGTTTTAATAGTAAATAGTTTATTAATAAAAGATATTTAATTATAAAAAATTATGAAGATTGTTTAATGAAATTACAATACTCTGATTTATATAGGGAATTAAGACTTTAAGATTGCTAAAATAAAGTTAAAAATATCTAAAATAAAAATTGCGAGAAATAATTAAATGTATTTTTGGTAAATTACATTAGTAGAATAAGAAATAGAATCACCTAAATTAAAAATCTTAAAAAATTTTGATAATTTGATTATAATATAACTTTAAAGTTTTAAATATGAATATCATGGCTATTACTATTAAAATGCTTATTACTATAATAGTTTCTATTCTCGTAATTTTTACTTTCTAATTCTTCTCCTTTCCACTCTTGGAATTTTATTACCATATACTTTATTCTTATTCTTATTATTTAATTTAAGATAATTGCATTAATTTTTTAATTAATCAAATACAGTTTGAGATATTGACTTTTATTTTTCTTTTATTTGATCTTCAATAAGTAATTCATTAAAAATTTTATTCAAACTCCATTCAACTTCCTTTTTAGATCTATCAAAAGACTTTTCAATTCGTGAATGATAAGTAGCTATAATAAATAGTTCTTCTGGTAATTCTTCATTTAAAAAATACCTATAAATTGATTACAAAGTCTTTGTATTGAATTTCTGTTCATTAATTATTTATAAAAATTAAGGTTTATTGAATTCCATCTTACATATTAAAGTATTAAAATCAATATTTAATGTTTTTATTTTATCCTCTATTTTTTATTTCAATATTTGAAAATCTTATATATTATCCAATTCCTCTATTGTAAATTATGATTTAATTTTATTAATAATTTCATTCTCCAATTGTAAATCAACTTCCATAACTGTTTTGAATAATTAATGATTTCTTGTAATTCTACAGATAGCTTCAATAACTAATCGTTAGATTATCATCCTAAATTAATCTTATTTGAAATTATTCTTGATCTAATTTAACATCAAAATAGTTTTTGATAAATCTTCACATTAGGTTTTAGTTGACAAATTTTCATCAGCCATTGTTCCTATTGGATCTGATAATAAATAATCCATATGATATTTAATCTTGGTTGAATCTGAATAAGCCAACATAAAACTAGAATTAATCAATTCAATCATCTCATATTTCCATTAGTTTTCCTCTTAACAAATCATATACAATAAAGTATTGCCTAATAATGCAGCATAAGCATTTTCAAAACAAGTATCTGCATTTTCCATTAATACAAATGTCATCTAAATATGGAATATGCTTGATCTTAGAAAAGGAATAAGAATTTCATGTTGATATAATGGAACCAAACAATTAAATTTTTCCTTTTCATTATCCCCAATATTAAATTCAACTTCATGATTTGGAGAATCTATAATTGCTAATGAATCAATATATTTATTTATCTTGGCAATATTAAGTACTTCAACAGTATATGGATTGATTCTTGATTGATCTGATCTTTTTACATACAAAGCATATCCAATTATAGGGAGAGATTATACTAGATGATATTGTGTTTCACAATTCTTGACACCTTCAATTAAATCTGGATCTGTTAAAATATCAACTTAATTTTATAAGGAAAGTATTGAAACTGGAAAATCATGATTGACAAATTTAGTCTTTTCAATCATAGCTATAAATTCTTATTTATATGTTTAAAATGCTTCTACAGATACACCTGCAAATTTCAAAGCTTTATTATGATACTTTCCAATTTAGGTTCCAATTTTAAGTCTTTGTGCAGCTGTTGCTTCATCTAATTCTTATAATGTTTAAGCAGATGCCAAAAACTTAAGTTCTTAAATTATTTAATTAAGTGCTGATTTCTATTCTTATACTCTCTCTAAAAATGTTAACTTTTTCCCAAAAATGAATTTGTTTAATTCAGTCAAAGCTATTTAAGCTTCTTATGCTACCTTTTTTCTTAAAGACATTAATTATAAATTTTATAACCAATAACCTGCAATTAATCCAATTTATTCTCCTTTTACTTCTATTTTTTATAATTTTCCATTTTCTGTTTCCAACTCGTCAGAATAAAATGAGACCCAAGAATCAGGCCAAACTAATTCTGTAATTTAATCCCAAGGAAATTAATAGCAAGGTGAAATCTTTATTGGTTTTTGATGTTTCATATATTCAGCTGCAGATAGCATTTCAATTTAAAATCTCTTATCTATTGAATCAATTCCTTAATCATTTGTGTCAACCAAAAATAATGGAGGAATAGATCTATCTCCATTATGGTACAATTCTCTTAAATTCATTGAAATAAATGTAGGAAAATTTTTGCCAACCCCAATACAAATAAAATTTAAATTTTCTANCATCTAAATATGGAATATGCTTGATCTTAGAAAAGGAATAAGAATTTCATGTTGATATAATGGAACCAAACAATTAAATTTTTCCTTTTCATTATCCCCAATATTAAATTCAACTTCATGATTTGGAGAATCTATAATTGCTAATGAATCAATATATTTATTTATCTTGGCAATATTAAGTACTTCAACAGTATATGGATTGATTCTTGATTGATCTGATCTTTTTACATACAAAGCATATCCAATTATAGGGAGAGATTATACTAGATGATATTGTGTTTCACAATTCTTGACACCTTCAATTAAATCTGGATCTGTTAAAATATCAACTTAATTTTATAAGGAAAGTATTGAAACTGGAAAATCATGATTGACAAATTTAGTCTTTTCAATCATAGCTATAAATTCTTATTTATATGTTTAAAATGCTTCTACAGATACACCTGCAAATTTCAAAGCTTTATTATGATACTTTCCAATTTAGGTTCCAATTTTAAGTCTTTGTGCAGCTGTTGCTTCATCTAATTCTTATAATGTTTAAGCAGATGCCAAAAACTTAAGTTCTTAAATTATTTAATTAAGTGCTGATTTCTATTCTTATACTCTCTCTAAAAATGTTAACTTTTTCCCAAAAATGAATTTGTTTAATTCAGTCAAAGCTATTTAAGCTTCTTATGCTACCTTTTTTCTTAAAGACATTAATTATAAATTTTATAACCAATAACCTGCAATTAATCCAATTTATTCTCCTTTTACTTCTATTTTTTATAATTTTCCATTTTCTGTTTCCAACTCGTCAGAATAAAATGAGACCCAAGAATCAGGCCAAACTAATTCTGTAATTTAATCCCAAGGAAATTAATAGCAAGGTGAAATCTTTATTGGTTTTTGATGTTTCATATATTCAGCTGCAGATAGCATTTCAATTTAAAATCTCTTATCTATTGAATCAATTCCTTAATCATTTGTGTCAACCAAAAATAATGGAGGAATAGATCTATCTCCATTATGGTACAATTCTCTTAAATTCATTGAAATAAATGTAGGAAAATTTTTGCCAACCCCAATACAAATAAAATTTAAATTTTCTATGGCTGGCCTTGTCTTATCTATAAGTTCCTTTGAAAATTCCCCTTATCCATCAGAGACAAATAAAACAGTAACATTCTTCTTTTATTTTAGAGAATACAACAATTTGTTCAACTCTAAGAATGCTACTGTTATGTTTGTTCCTCCTCCACCATAAGTATTAATATTATTTGTAAGATCAGCTTAAGGAATACTTTTTACTTTAGTATCAAATGTAATTGCGCAATGTAGTTTTACCTTACTCCTTATTTCATTATAGTATTTTGCCACATATTGCCAATCTATAAAATAAAATTTATATTTTACAGTTATACATGGATCCTGAACAATCCAAGATTGCCAATAGTTATGTTTCTTCATATTTAGAACTTGGTACTTTAAAATAGTTTAATGAGACTTCCTAAAACATTATTATTTAATTTATGATTTGAATATAAGATCTAAAATATTTAATACTCAATTTATTCTTTCTTAATATTGTATTCATTTATTGAAAACCAGAAATTAACATATTTATAATAATAATTTAGAAATTGATTTACTTTTTTTTTACTTTCCTGAAGAAAAATCTTCATAAAATTAGAAATCGAATGAAAATAAATACAAACGAATAGATTTTATTTAAAAAATATAATATATTACAAAATTATATAGTATTTTGACTATTATTATTATTGGGATTGAAAATTTAAATGTATCATAATAGATTTATAAGGAATTTGAAGAATATTATGGTTACTTTTGTTAAATTACAAATAATACAAATTTTATAAAATATAATAGGATTTTGTTTAATATTTTGTTCTAGTATTATTAAGAGTAAATATTTCTTCTTTAAGTAAAAATGAAAATAATGGAGGGATTAAATAGTTGAGAATTATAATTATTATAGTATTATTTTTTTGATTTATGATTGATAATTTATAAATTCTTCAAAATATGTTTAAATTAAAATTGTAACAGAGACTCTCCTAAATTAAATTTATAATTGTTATTTCTTTTTATTGGATTCATTAAGCACATATTGGTCTAAGGATTAATTGTTTTTAAATTGCAAAGGATCCAACTGTGCTTATCATTTCTAAATATCCAAATTTGGAAGGTATTTCTAAAGAAATGATTATCTAAGGATTTATAATTAGAAAGTGATAAGTCTGATATATTTGATAATAAACTTTACTTAAATTTCAAAAACATTAAGCTATTAACATTCTTTCTTTTTATAATTTTTCTAGGGATATTAACATATATTCCTATATCATTTCAATTATATTATTTAATACAAATGGCATTTTAGTAAAAATACTTTGATGTTGTACCTTTCAAAACTCATATTAGCATTCTTCAATTAAAAGTTACTTAAAATAGGTTGAAACTTAGAATAAGCTCATCAGAAAAACCATAATTAATTGAAAGAAAAACTAAATTACTTATTTTAATTCCTCTCTAAATACCAGATATGGCTATTTTTATATACTCTAGAATATCTATAATATTTCTATTAAATAATAAAATTCTATTTATATTTTTCAAAATAAAAAAATTACGTTTTGTAAAAGATAAATATTATGAAAATGAAAATGTCATTTGATAATTCCTTATTCTTGTCTAAAAACAACTTTCTAGCAGAAATCTAGAACAGAGTTCTCTTAAAATTTGAAAGCAATATATATAATAAATGAATAATTTTGTATATGCATTTTTCAATTATTTTATTAAACTCCTTAAATTTTAAGTGATATCTAGTATGTGTTTATGACAAGGGATAGTTATAAGGCTAGCAGACTTTATAATACTATTTAAATAAGATTGTAAAGATCTCTAGTATGAACTTTCCTATTGATTTGGAGCCTGGTGCTGTAACATATGTTTTTTTATTTGGGTTCTATTTTATTATAAGATGCCTCCTTTGCATTATTTAGTTTGCTTATTTTATTAATTAGGAAAAGAGTGTCTCAATGATTGTATTAATTACTGTAATTCTGTACTCATTATGTAATAGTGTAAATTTTTAAGTAATATATCTATATTTTTATTATCTTATAAATAATCTTAATCTAATAGTGTAAACTTATCAATTTAAAGAAATATATTTATAATTTAAAGACGTATCTATAATCATAAGCTTATAGTGTAAACTTATATGATTTGTTATATTATGATTTAGCGATTAAAAATATTCATCTTCAAATTTATATCTAGTTTGAGAAATTGATATCTATGATTTTGATTTTTTCAAAAATGAATATTATTTATAAATAAATATTATCCCAAATTTATATACTATGAACATACATATTTAAAAATAGCTATAGTTAAACAGAATAATGATGTTGAAAGTTATTTAATGGTAAATAGATCATTAAACAAAATTAATTCATTAATCAAGTGATTAAAAGGATTCCAGAAACGAGGCATTCTATTTTTCATTTACTCTTTTCTATTTCCATTTATCAACTAAATTATTAGACTATAGAAATTCTAATTTATTCTACTTTAATATATTAGTCATACCATAGAAAACTTTTATTCATTCTGCTGATAATCAATAGATATTTATTGAGGGGTTTGCCAACAAGCCTAAGGCTGTTGCTATTAGGGAGCAATATTGGGAGATAAATTCTCAGGATAAGGGCTTCTAATCAAAAGAGGTGACACGCCCATATTATATGGAGTATTATTATTATACATGTACATAGCTTAGGCAGGAGTGTATACCATAGGAGTTTGGTTCATTTATGGGAAAGGAGAAATTAGATTATAATTTTATTAGTAATTCTTAAAGTACTAGCCCATTAACATTTAAATAGGGGTTTGTTAAAATTATTATTATATATCCTCTTAATATGGACGAAATCCTTAATATAAATATTAATTAGGTTATTAAATTGGAGATTGCTAAACTTATTTATACCCATATTAATCATTTTTTACTTCCTCTATTTTTTACAAGGAAGGTTAAATATTATAATATAATGTGTTAGGAGTTGAGAGATCTTTTTTATTATTTTCACTTAATAATTAGGATTAGAATTACTACTGTATTTTTAATTATTATTCAAATGAGAATTATTATTATTATTATTATTATTATTATTATTATTATTATTATTATTATTATTATTATTATTATTATTATTATTATTATTATTATTATTATTATTATTATTATTATTATTATTATTATTATTATTATTATTATTATTATTATTATTATTATTATTATTATTATTATTATTATTATTATTATTATTATTATTATTATTATTATTATTATTATTATTATTATTATTATTATTATTATTATTATTATTATTATTATTATTATTATTATTATTATTATTATTATTATTATTATTATTATTATTATTATTATTATTATTATTATTATTATTATTATTATTATTATTATTATTATTATTATTATTATTATTATTATTATTATTATTATTATTATTATTATTATTATTATTATTATTATTATTATTATTATTATTATTATTATTATTATTATTATTATTATTATTATTATTATTATTATTATTATTATTATTATTATTATTATTATTATTATTATTATTATTATTATTATTATTATTATTATTATTATTATTATTATTATTATTATTATTATTATTATTATTATTATTATTATTATTATTATTATTATTATTATTATTATTATTATTATTATTATTATTATTATTATTATTATTATTATTATTATTATTATTACAATTATTATTATTATTATTATTAATCTAGTTATATATCTTATTAACATTCTTCTACTTTTAATTTAGTTCCTTTTTATTTTGATTTTTTTAATGAATCTTTTGATGACTTAACATGCACTTTTTCTTAAATTTGTAAAACATCCTTTATATTCTTTCTTTTCTTTGTTTAAATTTCTATTTCTTCGATTTAATTAGATTATTTAAGATTAGGTTTAGTTTTAACCTATCTCAAATAATTTACTCTAATTTGAGACTCTTCTTTTTGTGGTTCCTGAACTTGTTATCCATTCTATTTATTTAAATACTCCTTAATAGCCTATAATTCTTCAATATCATCATCGTCTTCATCTTTATAGATTTTTTGGATGAGACTCTTAAATCTATTTTAAATATTTAAAATATTTACCTGTTCTTTACTTGATTTTCTGTTCTGCCATCCAAAAGACTGGAAATTAGTGACCATCTCTTACCATTCTTAACAACCATGTTCAATAATTGGATATCTTCTTCTTAATTCCAATTAGTTCTATTGATTTGTTAAATTCTAATTATACTTTTTAAGTTTTGGATTTAAATAATTCATCCATCTTTCTCTAACCTATTTGGGAGTTCTTATGTATTGTCCATTGTTTTAATTATACAATTCTAAAGCGATGTGTGTCCAAATATGTTTTTCATCTGATTCACTTGATTACAAATATGAATATTATATACTTCATAAGTGATCTAATGATTTCATCTTCTTCTGAATCCCAATTAATACTCTTTGAAACTGGATTAATAAGAGTTATCCATCTTTATTTGAGAGTAACTTCATCTATTTTAAGAATATTAGATAATTATCTCCATTCTTCTTCTGTAGGGTTGATGGTTTTCTTATTTTTCAATTAAAAGAATTTTCCTAATATCCAAATGAACATCATTTTGCATTATTTATCCCATTTTCTTTTGATACTTGCTTTTTCTTCTGATAATAATCTAAATTGAATATTGATAATATACTTTTAAGCTATGGTATCAAAATGTTTGCTATTTGGATTGATGAAATTTTCTTTAATTTTAAATTAATTTCGAAATGGAAAGGGAAGCTCTGAATTTTTGAGAGAACCCAACTCCTGTAAAAATTCATGAAACATTAAATTATATATAATTATACAGATAAGAATTAATTAATGCTATAAGAAAAGATAAAAAATTATATAAAATCTCGAGAATGCGCAACTAATCGTGTAAAAACATTATTAAGATAACCTTGTCCAATTCAATTTTAAGTTAGATAAGAATTTAGTCCATAAAAAACAATACATTAATTTCAATCTCAAAATGGAAGAGTCCGATCAGTTTTAAAATTATCAAGGAAACTCACAAGATAATGTTCACCTCCATTAAAATTTGATGAAATTATTACAAATGCTAAATCTAATATTGCAAGAAGAACATCATAGAAATAATAATCAGCTCCATTGTTAAAATAGAGAGTTAAAGATGTTAATTTATAAACCTAATTTCCATAAGTACCAACATTTAGGATGAGTTCTTAATGGTTTGGTAAATAAAATAGATCTCAGTCAAATTAATTTGCTTTCGTTACTTTATCAACATTGATTGATGATGAATTTAATTATAATAAAGAAAGAGTCTCTAAATTTAATAATATGGAGAACAGACTAGTAGAACATTAATTCATTATTAATGACTTTGATCCTATTCTTAATGTAAATTGAAAAAAATCAAAATTATTTAATTAATTTAATATGCTTTACAAGTCTTCCTATTATTCTGACCTGAAACCTTTGGATAGAAATCTTCAATAACAACCTAAAACTCAATTTTTACCTGAAATCCAAATGTACCAATAATTTAAATCCCTCTAAAATATTCCCCACACTAGTAGAGCAACTGATTCATTATTGTCTGCCAGAAATAGTCTTATTGATTAAATACAAGAACCTCAAACATCAAGATCTTAATATCATTCCATTATCAAGAATAAGAAATTCTCCTTAAATCCAGAATAACAAAATGAAAAAAAAGGACTATTAGTCAAATTTGAAGATTTGGGAACCTAAATCAATTAACCTAAAAGTATATTAAAAAGAAAAAATTCAAATAGTAGTCAACATTCAGATGTCTTAGATTTCTTTGAATTAGTAGAAGAATAACCATTACCTATACGAAATAAAAAACATATTATTCTTGAACCTTTATAATCTACACCTTCTCCATAAATGGCTAATGCTATCTCACCTAAAAGAGTCTCCTTTAATAAATAAATCTAAGTTAAATTAATTAGTGATGATTATATTGATTCTAATGAAAAAAGAGTTTAAAGTAGACACTTTCTTAGAAGATAGATGACAGACTTCATAAATTGATAACAATAATATAAAATAAATATTTTAATAAATATTATAATGTCAAACAATTAAATCATATACTAATAATAAGAAGAACAAAGATCTCTCTTTTCTCGATTATGTGCTTGTTTGCAAATATTTAAAGATAAAAAGAAACGAGGATCTCAAAATTAATATCATCATGAAATAGATACTCCTAAATCATCCTTTATTGTATTAATAGAAAATTAATTCTTAGTTAGGTTAAAAGAAAACTATTGTCTTGGATTTAGATGAAACATTAGTACACAGTCAATTTCAACCTATGGATAATTATGATTTCTGTTTGGATGTACCATTCTAGTGTTATATAAGATTGTCGTTTAATCATAAAATTTCAAAGTTTTTGTTATTGTTCGTCCAGGTGCTAAACAATTTATTGATGAACTAAGCAATTTTTATGACATTATTTTATGGACTGCAAGTCTCAAAGAATATGCTATGCCAGTAATGGATTATATTGATCCTGATAAAAAGGCAATAGACAGATTATTTAGAGAGAGTTGCACTATTATCAAAGGTGGATTGACTAAAGACTTAAATAAATTAGGTCGTGATTTGAAAGATATTGTCATTGTTGATGTAATTATATATTAATTAATTTCAGAATTCAATATTATCATTTGCATTGAATTCTGAAAATGGTTTTCAAATTAAAGATTTCTTTTATGATACATAAGATAGAGAACTTGAATAAATTCTCCCATTTTTAGTTTGGATCTCATAAGTAATCTATATAATAATTAAATAAGCTTCCTGATGTGAGACCAGTGTCTTTATAATATCAGTAATTTATAAATTCATCACCAGAATAGTTAAATCAAAGAAGAAATGGTAGTATTGTACCATTAGATTAATAAAAGTTTTACAGTGTCTCCAGATCTTTTACAATGCAAAGAGAAAAAATTAAGTAAAGTTCTATAATAAAAACATTAACATTATCTAAAAATGATGAAGAAGAATTTGATGAAATTGTCTTTAAAAAACAAATAAATTCAGGAGTCATTGCAAAATAGGATTAAACAAATGATAGTGAAAAGGAAACATTTGAAATTGGCAATTGATTATACTAAATATTTGTATTATAATTAGTATAATATAAACAATATTTACATTAAGTAACAATAATTCAAATTATACATTCTAAAAATTAATAGAAATATATATGATTTTATAAGTCTAATCAAGAATAGGTTTAGATAAATTTAAAAATTACTATATCATAATTGAAATCATCATCAACACTTTGTTAATGTTCTAAAAAGATAATATTATAAGATCTAAAAAAATGAAATAGAAAGATATCTATCTTGAAATGATAACTGAATTTAATAATAAGTAATAGCATTACTTACAATAAAAAATCAATAAAGATATCTTAAAATCATTATTTTCAAAAATGAAAAAGGAAGAATTGGATCAAGTGGAAGAATTGTTATGAAAAGCCTGTAAAAAAATGACAGAAATAAATAGATTTTATATTAATGTTAATCCAACATAAGATTTATTTTCAATAACTGTTAACCAAACTTCTTATTTTATTAATGTCATTTTTTGATAGATGGAAAATATTGAAAAATTTTGGCTGATGTAGATTTGAAATTTATAGCAGTAGTTTATTTATTGATTAACCCTGGAAGATTTTTTGTAAGATATATAATAATTATTAGATGATAAATAGGAGAGATTCAATACTTAAGTCAATATTGTATAAGCAACTAAAATGATTTTAGATTAGTATATGCATTATAAGTCTTAATTTTATTGTCATTAATAGAAGTTGAATGTAAATTTAATAAGTTATGAGATGAGGTTAATAAAAATAGAAATATATTATTGATTAGATTTATATGAAGAATTAATTAATTTTGAGATTAGTTGAAGAATTAGAAAATGATAGCTTATTTTAAATTTAATAGATTGAATTTATATAGGCTATTGTTAGAATTTCAGAAAAGTATTTTCCAATTGCAACTAGTAAGAAAGATGAAGTAAAAATTCAGTTTATAAAGTTTAGATAGAATTGAATTAAGATTTTAATAATCTTTTTATTATAAACTAAATATCTTTATGATATATTTATTTAATACTTTAGTTGATGATAAGATCAAGAAAAAACTAGAAGTAACTTACCATTAATGAAGTTGAAGAAGATGAATATTATTGAAATATGTAATATCAATTTTACGTGCGTATTATTTATAATAATTACATAATAAGTGCATCATCATATAAAAAATAATTATAAAAAAATACAATGTTAGAAGCTGAAAGAAAATAAGGATAATTCCCATAATTAGAGATGTCACATTTACTTTATGGTGGCAAAGAGTACTTTGATAAATTTCTTGAAAGATAAAACTTCTTTGATAATCATCCTATGTTCAAAGTTAATCATGATTTTTACAATAAATCAAGATAGGATCAAGTTTATATTTTATTTATTATTTAACTAAGATTCTTTTGAATGCTGAAAGAACAATTGAAGCATTCAAAACAATACAATTGGCTGATCCCAATTATTATACTCCAAATGTACTATGTCCATAGGGTATCTTCATATCTACAGTTCATTTTGCCATGGTCATACCTGCATTCTAAGTTTTGGCATCAGATGAATAGATTTCTAAATGGATGACTCTATTAAAGAATCTCAATGCATTCGGATGTTATGCCTAAACAGAATTAGGTCATGGTTCTGATGTTTAGAACTTATAGACAGTAGCTGTTTTTGATAAATAAACTTCAGAATTTGTTATCCACACTCCAAATATAGAAGCTACTAAATGTAATTCTAAATTATTTAAATTTAGTTTGGCCAGGAGAATTAGGATTGTATTGTGAATTTGCCTTAGTATTTGCTTAATTACAAGTAGATGGTAAAGGATATGGAGTACATCCTTTTTGGATTAGAATAAGAGATAAGGAGACTCATAAACCATTATCAGGTATTGAAATTGGTGATATTGGTCCAAAAATGGGTTATTCAGTAAAAGATAATGGATTCATGAGTTTTGATCATTTTAGAGCTCCTTTGGATAGTTTATTAAATAGATACATTAAAGTTAGTAGAGATGGAAAAGTAGAAAGATAAGGTAATCCAAAAGTAGGATATGGAAGTATGATGTATATGAGAAATATTCTTTGTGATCAATATACAAAATTTGGTGGTAGAGCTTTAACAATAGCTATTCGTTATTCATTATATAGAAAATAATTTAAAGATGATAATAAATAAGAGATAAGAATTTTAGATTATTAATGTTAATAATAGAAATTATTCCCATTATTAGCTGAATTTTATGCTTGTGTTTTTGGAAGTGTAAAAATTAAAGAATTAGTAAATGATAATTTCAATAGAATATCTTAATAAAATGATTTTAGTTTACTTGGATTAACTCATGCTGTTTTAAGTGGAGCCAAAGCTAATTATACATATTTTGTAGCAAATTGTGCAGAATGGTGTAGATTAAGTTGTGGAGGACATGGATTTGCTCATTATTCTGGATTACCAGTCATTTTCTTTGAAATGTCTCCAAATGTAATATATTTATTAATTATATTTAGATTACTTTAGAAGGAGAAAATACTATATTAAATTTATAATTAGCTAGATACTTACTTAAATAATTATAACATATAGTATCAAAACCAAATGCAGTTCCTGAATTCTTTAAATTCTTATCATAAGAAACAGTTAAAGTTGATGATGTTACATCTCTTGATAATTTAATTGCACTTCTAGGTTTAAATTGTGCCATTCTTACTAAATATGCTGCATAAAAATTAATGTCTCATTCTGATATGAAAGAAAGTTGGGATACTAAATCTGGCATTGCTTTAGCTAAAGCTGCATCTACATTCATTCCTTACTTTAATATGCTTTGTTTCTTAGATACTATTAATAACAAAGCAAAAGATACAAAGACAATTTTAACAGTGTTAGCTAGAATATATGGTATTAGTATGTTGTTGAATAACATGTAAGGATTATTATTAAGTAATATAATTTATATAAGAAATAGAGAATTAACTTAATAGTCAATAAATAAAAACACTCTAAGACACAAGGGAATCACTATATCCAATTATAAGATTAAATGCTTTAAGTTTAGTTGAAGCATAAGGATTGTCTGATAATTCATTATAAAGTTTGATAGCTCCAAAAGAAGGTGATGTTTATATGAACATGTACAATTTTGCTTCAAAAGAAAATTCATTAAATAAATAACAAGTACACAATGGCATTAGTTACATTCAAAAAATGAGAGAAGTAAATGCTAAATTATGATTTCTAACATTATCACAATTCATTTTAAAAGAAAATAATAACTGCAGTAATATCATCTATTCCTTCACTATGAGCTTTCCATCCAGCTACAGCTTCTTAAATAATCTTCTAACATGCTCCCTAAACATCATTCTTCTAATAAAACGGATACACCATTTCAGCAATCTTGATTATTAAACTCATAATACACTCTAATTATCTAAAAATTCCCATATTCCATCTGATCCTAAAACTATAAATATATCCTCTTTATTGTCAATTTCTAATGATTTAATATCTGGAGTTTATGAAACTCCTATTGCTGCAGCAACAGTATCTCCTAAACTTCTACTCATTGCCAATCCAGGAAATTATGCTCCTTTTGCCCATACTCTTGATGGTCCAATAGGAGCTCCATTAGGTAAATGATATGTATCAACTACTCCTCCATTTTATTCAATTCTCTATCTTTCATTCTCTAAATGTGGTTTATGATCGACTGATAATTCAACTACATTTAAATTATTATTATTATTCTTTTTAACTAGAATTGCTCTACTATCTCCAACCCATCCACATGAAATAGTATTCTCTCTTATCAATAATACTGTCAAAGTACTACCTGAAAATTGACAACCAAATTCTGTTTAAAATTTCATTTTCTAATGCATTTCAAAGAATACTTTTTGAAAATCAAATACCTTATAAAATTTAGTTAGATTATCTATATATATATATAACATTTTTCATACATTTTAATAACTCTTTAATAAATGAACTAACATATTCTCCATCCATCCCATGACCATCCATAACTGCAAATGCATAATTATAATCATCTAATTATAAACAAAGCTCTCTATCTTAATTTGTTTTCTCTTATATACCATCAAACCCAGCTCTTGATTAACTATAATGTGATATTTTTAATTTATTTTTTCCTTATTATTATGTAGTCTATATATCCTCTCTTTAACTCTTAATAGGAAGAGTCTGAGTTAATGAAGTTTATTAACCTTATAGTTATTATTTTGTTTTAGAATCTAATATAAGTCTATTCTTTAAAAGTGGTGGTTTTTTAGTTAGATCAGCTCCTGATGTTGATTTTTCCATTTACTTCTAATAGCCTTTTAAGTCAGGCAACTTTACTGTCAATCTTTGTGCAGGAGCACTCTAGTTAAAATTTGATTATTGTTTTAAATTATTCTGATTTTAATCTTCAACTGTAGATTATGGTACTCTAGATTCACTTCTTTCTCTTTTTTATGTAAAATGATAATTCGGTTTAGTAACTGATTATTCTTTTCTATTTTCAGAAGATGATCTATTGATTATAGGTTTGAGTTGTTATCCAAATTTTTAGAACATGACAAATTAATTTATATAAAATTCACTTTTATAGTAAATGGAAACTATCTTCAATTTTATATTTAGGCAAAACATAATTAAAAGTATTTGTTTAAGGTATGTACCTACCTCCTATGGCATGTTATCCTTCAAATTCTTTTATACCTTTCAAAGGTAATCCCAAGGAAATCACAAACTGTGGCACATATACATTATACAGATTTCCATTGTCAGTATGCCATCCAACTGGTAGATTGATGGCAAGTACTTTTTTATTTACTTCTGAAAAGGCATGCATAAATTCTCTAACAGGAGTTTTTGGTTATTCTATTGAAGTAAGTGAGATGGCATCAACAACTAGATCATAATCATTTAACCAATTAGCTAATATGTTCTTTGTCATTTAAACATTTAATTGTTCTTATAGATTTTAAAGAATATCAAAATGTAATGTTGCTGAATGTGATTTACATTGCATTGCTAATCTACTTCTTAATGGATCATTAGAATACAAAAGAACTACATCAACTTCTACTTTTCTTTAAGCCAAATAACGTGCAGCTGCCAATCCAAAATATCCGTTTTGATATGAGGATCCTTAAAAATCTTATCCAATAATAAAAATAACTTTTTTAAGTGGCACATCAATTCTTGATAAATAAAGGATATATTCTGCAACACTCTAACCTCCAATTTCAGCCAATTAAGCTTTAGTCTATCCATATTATTTTCCCATTAATATTTCCATTAATTATTAGAATTCACTACCTTTTAAATATGATAATGTAGGAGGAGGCAATGAAACTTGTTCTTAAGCTAGAAGTGGATTAAGGAAAGTTAAAAAAAATATTAACATTTGTTAATATTTAATTAACAAAAAATAAATAAATGAATTAGAAAATAGAGTAGTTGAACAATAATCTAATAGGTTTTCATAAGATTGAATATTATTAATAAAGAATAAATTAAATATATTATTCAAATTAGTGAATGATTTGCATATAAAAAAATTCATTTGTTTCATTTCTTAATTATTATTTTATATCTTGAAAAAGATGAATGAAGATTGGACAACTAAGAAAGTAGACAAATATGTTGTAGTAAACAAAACTTTGGGCTAAGGAGCTTATGGAATCGTATATAGAGGCTTTCTTTAAGAAGACGAAACTAAACAAGTGGCTGTAAAAACCATAAAAATAGCTGTAAATTTGTGAAGAGTTAACTTTATTAGACAATTTCAGATACTCCAAAAATGATTGAGTTGATTAAAAGAGAAATAGCTATCCTTTAAAAAATCAATCATCCAAATATAGTAAGATTGTTTGATGTAGCACGTACTAATAACTATTTGTACATGTTTCTTGAATATTGTGCTGATGGAGATCTAAAAGATTATATGGCCAAAAAGGAGGAAAAAAGATTAAGTGAGGTAACTCTCATTGATTATTTTATAAGCTTGAAGCTGTGATCTTTATCAAACATATTGTCGAAGGATTTAAAAGATTGTATAAGCAGAAAATTATTCACAGAGATATAAAACCAGCTAATATTCTTCTTCATTAAGGAGTGGCTAAGATTACTGACTTTGGTTTTGCACGTGTAATGGATTCAGAAATGAATGGTATTTTTATCAATTCAATTTTTCTTTAGATCCTGCTTATCTATCAAGATTAGGATCACCTCTTTATATGGCACCATAAATTCTTGAAGGTCAACCATTCTCAGCCAAATGTGATGTCTGGTCTGTTGGAGTTATGTTTTATGAACTTCTTTATGGTAGAACCCCATGGTCTGCTGAAAATGCTTATTCTCTATTAGAGAACATAAAAAAATAAGTATAATATTCAATTAATCAATAAATAAGTCATTAAAATTTCCACCTAAGCCAGTAAGATCTCAAAAAATCAAAGAACTTATAACTCTAATGTTGAGAGTTTAAGAAAAGGACAGAATATCTTGGGAAGGAGTTTTCGAAGATCCTACAATTAAAATAGATGAAGAGACAATCAAAGAAAATATGAAAAATATCTTGAAAGAAAAAGGTAGCGATAATCGTTATTTATAAAGATGAAATTTCCAAATCCATCAGTCTCAATAAATTATATATTGATCAAAATTTAGTTGTTGGTTATTTGGCTAAAAATCCTATTAATACTCTTGAAAACTCTAATCAATAAACTTTAGAAGCTTCTGCTGAAGCTAGATCTCAATCAGCTAAATTTTCAAGTTAATTTGATTCTGATTCTAATGTAAATTATAACATTAAAAATCTTAGGCTGATATTATTATGAGCAATTACAAAAATGAGAAAAAGAGAAGAGATGCAATGCTCAAATATAATAATTACTTTCTATTTGAAAGAAATATTGCTTTCTTTTTTAACTTTGTTATACAAAAAATAATTAAATTATAAACGAAATTATAGCTAGCAAATGATAATTATTTCAGATTAATTTATTTAATAGCCAAAAATCAAATGGTTCATCTTGAAAGAGTCAATTAATAATTATAAAGAAAAGATCATGATAAATTTGATAAAGAAACTTGGGGTAGATTTTTAGCATCTTAAGTATATCATTTAATTTTAATATATAGGAATATCAAAAATTAATTTAATTAATTTCAATGGATATGAAACATTCATTAGATTTCTATACTGAAATATCAAAAAAATGCAATATAGTTTAATAAGAAGAATTAGCCAATGGAAAAGCAACAGGTGCCGTATAAAGTTTGATTAAGAATTTCTTATCAATTTAAAATAATAATTTTGAAGCAAATGATACATTTCATATGCTCTATAGAGATATTATTGTTGAGAACTTGAAAATCATTAAAAATCTAAATAGTAAAGAAACTGAAATTAATTTGCTCTTACTTTATCTTTTAATATGCTAAAATCCATATGAAGAATTTAAAGATATTAATTATGACTTCAATACCTTTTATGAAGAAATAGAAAATTTAACACTTTAAGAAGTTCAAGAAAAGCTTCAAAAAAAAGGATAAAAATGAGTAATATCAAAATAAATAATAAATTATAACATACATTGTTTTTCTATTTTTTTTATTTTTATATTAATAATGTAGAAAATTATAGATTTAATAAAATATCTTTTTATTTTTTACATAAATCTAATATTAATTAATTAATTAAATTTTATCTATTTCATAAAAATATAAACTAATTTATATCAACCTATTGAAGAACTTCTTGATTTTTTCTTTTTACAATTAACTGAACCATCACTATCTGATATTCTACCTTATATAATTCTTGGACTTGATTAATCATCTTCTTCATCCTACTATTCCTATGAACCTTCTTGTGAACAACTATTCCTTCTTTATTATTTGAGTTTCTATTTTCCAATACTTTTTATACTACCACCACTAAGACTAGCACTCAAATTTAAATCTCCATTTCTATATTAATCCATTTATTCTTCCTCCTCTTAACACCATTCATCAGAATTATCTTAATAATTATAAAATATATATACTTATTGATCTTTATCTGAAAATATGATTTTTTTATTTGTATAACATCATTGCTTCACCATCCTTCTCATAAGTTTTTGGTTTACAAATCTATTTGATATCATTTAAATCTTTTAAAACTACAACTAATTATTTATTATCTTTGAATATTGAATTCTCAATCTCATCAATCATATTATTCAGTAATTAAATTGCTTAATCATATTTCTTTCCATTTGCTAATCCTTTTGCTTAACCTATTCTATCACCTGCTTTGGCTCTTAAATAATTAACTTCTACTAATTCCACTGGTATATATTATACCTCATTCTTAGTGAATTCTATTTAAATATATGATGTTTTCTTAAAAGCAGTATCCAATCCAAGAAAGACACCTTATAAATCAATTTGTAATATTTATTCATTAAAAAGTTCCTATTATTTAAAACTAGGTATTTCAATTTCTAAAGCAAATTCTTTTTTATCTTCATCAACTAAATAATTCAAAGTCAATTAGAATTCAATTTCACTCATTTTGTTCCATAGAAAATCATCACCAAATATTTTTGCTAATTTAAATTCCTTATTTAATTATTTGACTGTCAATATCACATTTCTAGCTTTGACTGATAACATTGAACTCATTGCTAATATGAAATGTTCAGATACTCTTTAAATTTAATCTATATATACAAATTATCCTCCTTTCAGATTTGCTATATTGTTCATTACTTTAGCATCATGATCAGAACCATAACCAAAAGTATTTATTGTTAAAGTATCTTAAATATTATATTTGTGTAAAGCTTATTAACATCTCAAATCAGCTCCTTTATCATCATCTACACCATCACTTAATACAAACATGCATGTAACTGGATTCTTATATTTCCTATCTCTAATCATTCTTAAACCTAATGCAACACCTGATGCTATATTAGTTGAATCTCTAATTCTAATATCTTTTATTGCCTTCTTTATAATTTTTTTATTTTCTGCCACATTTCTTGTCCATTATAAATTTATGCCTGCTTGAGTAGCAAAACTAACTATTGATAATCTATCAGCTGGTTTTAAAATCTTTTATATGTATCTCAAAGAGTTCTGTACTAACTTTATTTTTTCTCCATCCATTGATCCACTTACATCAACAACACACATCAAATCGATATTGGCTCTCTATTTCTTTAATTATGATTTCAGAGATTAAATCTACATAACAATAGGTAAGATTTGACAATATTCTTGTATCTAAATAGATTTCTAACGTGGGAGAACATTTAAATGAACACTATTCAATAATTCTTCTTATAGTGCATCATGATCAATAATATCCTATTCAATTGTTACAACAGCCTATTCTTCTACTTTCTCTTCTAATTCTCTAGCTTATTATTCACTAATTAGGGTTTTTATTATATTTTCATTTATTAGACCACATCCTTGTTAAGGATTATAAAATTATTATTATTATGGTTATATAGGTAGCTCTTCACATTCTTCATCAGTATTATATGACGATCCACTATTCCTTCTATAAATTTATTGCATTTTTTTAATATATTATACTTATCATTTTATTTTTATAACTAAATATCATTTAAAACTGTTGAATTATGATAAATTAATTATTTTTATATCAATCTTATTTAATCTATCATATCAAACTTAATATAATTAAGAAAATTATAATTTATTATCAATCAAACAATGTAAGATGTTGAGAAAATTAATTTACTTTTTGGATAAATTTTATATAAATAAATAATAATAATTTCAAATTGTTACAAAAATTGAATAAGTAATTTATTTATATAATAATTAGGATGCTATTATTCTTAAATAAAAAAGAATCCAATTATTTATTAATCTTAAATTATCTGTATGTTGAATATATTGAAATTTTATGTCAAAGATATTTTAGATTATAAATAAGAAGAGTATGGTAATGTAATGAATCTAACAATAATATTAATTTATATTTAACAAAATGAAATAGCTAATACGTTCATTAAACTATTTTCAATAATAATTACTTTCATCTAATATTTACTAATAATAAGTTGTAAATAGTTCAGATAAAAAAATTAATTATTCATCATCATTATATTATAAGACCTAAATCAATTAAAAAAAGACAGATTATTATCTAAATGAATAATATATATAATAAATGAATTTCAAACAATTGAAAAATATTATTTTAATTCCCTTACAAGCTACCAATCCTACAAAGTTAATTCTTCTCTATAATATTCTTTAAGTATATCAATCTCCTTTCTAGAAATCTTTAAATAAATTGAATATATACCCTACTTACAAGTTATGGTTTGTTCAAAAATTGACACTGAAATTAATTCATATCCGGATTGTCTTCAACTACTATAGTAACTAAACCAGTTGAGATACGAGCCTCTGTCAAGGCTTATTAATTTTATTCTATTCTCTTTACTACTCCTATTTATTTGACATTTGCTTTTTTTCTGCTAAACTAACTTAGTGGTGTTCCTATGACTAATATTCCTTATACTATCTCAACCTTTAATATCATAGGATTTGATATTTAAATTAATTCTACAATCTAGACTATATTAATATATATTACATTTAATAGACAAGGAAATATTGTTTAATCCTTCAACTATTTCTTTTTATCCTCACTTATATTTTTGATATATTTTTAATAAGTTCCTATCAAAGAAAAGCAATTATCATCAGAAATAATTTAAATTTAATGTTATTTAGCAAAATCTATAATCTCCAATTAAATATTGATTCCAAAAGCTAAAATACATTCTTATCTAATTATTAAATAATATTTTACTTTTGATTAGCCTACTTTTACTTTTATTAGCACTTTCTAACAAACTTTAAGATTTGATCTTTGGAAACTATTCCTATATTAGAAAAGCAGATCTAAATTTTATTTTATTATAAAAATTGCACTAATTTAAAAAGTGAAGCTTAATCTTAAGCAAAAGCACCAACACCTTCATTATCAAGTTCAATATTTGACAAAGAATTAAAAAATTAATTTTTAATATACTCTTATTCTTCTTAAACTGCCTCATCTGAATTGGCAATTTTAAATTAACAACCTTAAAATATTGATTATAATTTTTCAGTTATTATTCTAACAAATGCTTACTTTGTTTTAACTTCATCTACTGAAACCCAATTTTTATCAAAATAAGTCATTTTAATTTCTTTATTTATTTCTTAAAGGTTTTATACTCTTATAGAAGTTGGATATCCATCAACTGCGATTAATAAGTAATCTCCTTTTTTTAGATGTCCATTAATTATTAAACACTCTATTATTGATTAATTTTATTCATTATCCTTATTATTTAACACTAAATATTCAGGCTAATTGTTCAATATCGGATACATTGGAAGACAATTTACAATTGTAGCTAATAAATCTTCAAAACCTATTCCAAAAGCTCCAGAAGTAGTTACTATTTGTATATGGGTTTTAGATTCTGCTTATTCCCAATATTGAACTGCCTTCAAATTCTTTTTCGCTAACTACTTCAATAAATTTTTTAATTGTTCATTATAAATAATTTTACAATTTTTTGTTTAATTTTTTAATTATTGATATGCTAATTAATGTATGTTTCTTTATTCAAAGCATTTATCAAACTTATTAAGAACAATAATAAAAGGAATCTACCGTAATTTAAGATATTAAATATCTTTGATACTTTTTGAATCTAAACCTTGCATTATATCAACAACTACTATTGCTATATCACAGTTTGGATAAGTTAGGAAATTTTTATAATGTTAAGGTCGATCATAAAATATAAATTTTTAGTTTTAATAATCTACAGGATAATAGGATTGCATTTAAACAAACAACTTTTAAATATTTTAAGTTGGTTGACAAACGTATGAGTAACCAAAATTTTCAACAGAAAAGCCTATTTTTTTCATAAAATTAATTAATCCTCTGATTATTGTAGTTTTTCCTGCTTCAAAATCACCTAAAATAGAGCAAGTGTAAAATTCTTTTTAGGCTTGATTATTTTTATTTTTTTTATACGATTATTATTATTATTATTATTATTATTATTATTATTATTATTATTATTATTATTATTATTATTATTATTATTATTATTATTATTATTATTATTATTATTATTATTATTCTTATTCTTATTTTATCAACTCCTCTAGTAATTTTTATTTTTGAAGAGTTTCCTAAAAATATTTTTGTTGTTACTTCAGAGAGCCACATTTAATTTAAATATGTTGATTAAAACCTGATTTATATTAATTCTATTTATCAATACGTATTTATTCTTCTTTTTAAAATTATTCCTCCTCTTCATATTAAATTAATTCGAGTCTTCTCTCTTCTTATTAAATAGCTCTTTTTTGTTCTTACATTTCTAAAGCTAATTAAGCAGCAACTTTTAATTTTTTTGTTTTTTTTGCACTATCCTTTATAAATTCTTATTAGATTTATTAATTTTTTTCATCATTTAGATGTTTTTATTATTTTTTTTTTCTTTTAACATTTTATTCTTTTTAAAAATCAGTTTAATCTAGTTGTTATGCATTTGTATTATCCTTATCTTTAGAATGATAAGAGATATTATTAATTATTTTTTAATGATTCTATCTTTCATCATCACTTTAATTTGGATTATTTTATTAGAATACAGTTTTGATGGAATTTTATTGTTTAAAATTATTATCATCATCACTGATTTAATATTGAAGTTCTTCGAAAAACTTTGATTTGAAAGAATTTTATTATTTAAATTAATTATCACTATCACTTTCAGTCTGATTATCTTAATCTTATAAAAACTTTGACATTATTTTCTAATTAATTATTAAACAAAACTTCTTATGTTATAAATAAGTTTTATGTATTTCTTTTATAATTTTTTTATAATTTTATAAATAATATTTTTTCAAACTAGAGATTTGATATATTCATCATTTTCATCTTCTTCCCATAATTATGGTTAAATCTTCCAAATTTAAAGTATATTTTTCTCTTATTCTACACTTGCAAATAAATTTTTATGATTAATATTCCAAGATAAATCATTTACTTTAGATCTATGTCCTCCATGATAAAACTAATTAATATAATTATATATATATACCAATAATTCAGATGGACCATCTTTTTCATCTTCAGCTTTAATTTCATTTCCAATTTTATAATAATCCCAAACAACAATTTTAGTATCAACAGAACCAGATGCAAGTAAATTTCTTTAATGAGGAGACCATTATAGACTATAAATGGCATCTTCATGATTTGAAAATGTATGGATATCTTCCTCTGGTTTATTGATATCAAACATTTTAATTTAAGCATCATTGGAACCAGTTGCGAATAAATTAGATTAGAAATGATTAAATTGTGCACAATTAATTTCTTATGAATGTGCTTCTTATTATATTGTAACTCCTTGATTTGTTCGAATATCACAACTAGATTATAATATTAATATAATTTTACATAGCAAATGTTTTATCATCAGAACATGATATAAATATATTTGGATCTTGAGGATGCCAACAAATATCTTCAACTTCAGCTGAATGAAAATTGTATTACTTTATCAATTATCCTGTAAAAGAATCCCAATGATATATTTTATGATCATAACTAGCAGATAATAATTATCCATAATTATAAAGATTCCAAGATAATCCATAACCTTCTTTCATCTATCCTTTTAAAGCTTACACTTTGGATTATCTACTTAAGTCATATATGCCTATAAATATAAATTAAATTGGTACCAACTTCACCATCTCCTGCTTAAGCTGCTAAAATATATTGATCATTAGGTGATTATCGAATTCGATTAATTTCAACTTCTACTGGAATTTACAATTCTTCTTATACTTTACCCACTGCTTATGTTTTCCCTTTAGATATTTAATTATAGATACAAATGTTATTTAACAATGTGTAATCTAATTATTCATTTATTTGCTTAGGAGTAGCAACTTTAAGCAATTTTATATAGTCCTATTCTTAATTATTGGTCTAAGTGGCAACTACTAATCTATGTAGTTCATTGTCATTTTGATCACTATGATAATAATGCAAAAGACATTTCAAGTTCATTCAACCAACAAACTGTTAAGGATGGCCAGTTGTTTTGATGATTGATGCAGATTTCATACATAAATGGAATGTTTTATTTCCAATTTCTATACTATTCTTCATTATTTCTCTCTTCTTGTATTTCATTTTCTCCACTCATATTTTAGGCGCGATTTTATTAAATATAATTTAGTATAAATTCCACTCAAAATACTTAAAATGTGTTAAAGTATTATTATTTAATTATGGACGCTGCTGAAGTATAACATGATGGTTCCTCACCATCTAAGAAAGTTAAATCAAATCCAAATGCTCTTAATTCTCTTAGAGATGTATTTATCATCTATACTCATTCTAGCATACTGTGGTAGTAGCAGATACAGGCAAGATAAATGATATCTAAAAATTCTAACCTTAAGATGCCACCACTAATCCAAGTTTAATACTTGAAGCTGCCAAATTACCAGAATATCAAGCCTTAATTGATGATGCTATCTAAAAAGGAATCAAAGCTTATTAAGTCTCCAAATAACCAGTGTATGTCTCTTTATTAACCTTAAGTTAAAAATAACCAAAAAGAACAAATTCTAGAAAGAAGAAGGATGAACCTGAAAATTAAGAAATTGTTGAACCAGAAATACCATAATTCAATTTTAATACATTAAATCCAGAAGAACAAAAAAGTGTTATTGGATTAATAACAGATTAATTGAGTGTCAATTTTGGATTAGAAATCCTTAAGTTAGTTCCAGGCTATGTTTCAACTGAAGTAGATGCTCGTTTAAGTTATGATAAATAAGCAACTATTGATAAAGCTAAAAGGATTATTCTCTTATATGAGCAAGCTGGTATTTCTAAAGAGAGAATTCTTATAAAAATTGCTAGTACATGGGAAGGAATTTAAGCAGCTAAAGCATTAAAAAAAGAAGGAATATAATGCAATATGACACTCATTTTTAATTATCATCAAGCTTTAGCTTGTGCATAAGCAGGTGTTAGATTGATTTCACCATTTGTTGGTAGAATTTTAGATTGGTTTACAAAAAATAAAAGTGGTGAAGATTATTCTAAATAAAATCATCCTGGTGTAAAATTAGTAACAAGTATTTGGAATAGTTTTAAGAAATTCAAATATGATACTATTGTTATGGTATATAATGAGATTTTATTAATTATTATAGGCTGCATCATTACGTTTAGTAGATGAAGCAACAGAATTATGTGGTTGTGATAGGATGACTATTCCAATTAAATTACTTAATGATTTATAAAGTTTAGAAGGGACAGTATTAGAACCAAAATTGAGAGTAGAAAATTTGGAAAAATTAAATATTGAGAAAGTAAATGTTGATGAAAAAACTTATAGATGGGAAATGAATTGTAATATTATATTATTTATTATATAATAGAAGATGCTATGGGTACTGAAAAATTAAATGAAGGAATTAGAAAGTTTGCTTAAGATTTAGAAACTTTAGAAAATGTAATCAAATAAAAATTAACATAAAATAACTAATGAAACAGTTAACACATTAATATATATAACAACATATTAGTATCAAAGATTAAAGTAAGTTAAATTCATAATTGACGTTTGAATTTCAGAATTCCCACCAATTTCTTTTTAGTTTAGGAACACCTTTTCTTTCATTATTAAAATTAGTATCATTAGAAAATCTAACTTTTTTAGTTTATTTAATTTTAAACACAGTATGACTTGATTTAATAGAATTCTTTCCCATAGAAATACTTCTTTAAGATAAGGATGTATTTTTTTTTAGTATACTTTTTACACTTTTTACTGTTTTATGACTTCCACTTTAACTTCTTTCATCAAAAGAACAACATTCACTAAACATTTTTTCAAAAGCATCTTATTATTATTATTTCCTTTTTGTCTCATTTTTAGGAGTACCAATACTTGCATTATTACTTGCTATTTCTTCTTTGTTTTGTTTAATCTTTTTTAAAGCACTTTTTCTCATGATATCACTTTTAGGTGACACTTATTGATCTTTTAAAGGTATTGTTGGTGTTTTGGAAATTTGAGATTTTTAAGAAACAGTATCACAATCTGCTTTTTTTGGTGCAAATTAAGATGTTTATCTTGGTAAATAAGGATTAGAGGAGGATTAAACATATGTTTATTCAATTTAAGTTTGTTTAAATGAGTTTTAGAAAGAAAATTAATTCTCAAGTTCTTATTAAGATTTCTCTTTTTCTTTTTATTTTCTATCATATTCTTCTTATTGTAATTACTTTTACATTTCAAACTCTATTTACAATCTTTATAATTCTTCTTATTCTTTTAACAAACTTATCATATCATTATAATAACATACTTTTGTTTAATCAAATACTTGACTTCTAACTCTTAATCATTTAGAAACCGATTTTTTCTATCAGTTGGAACAGCAATACTATTGATTTGTTTTGTCTTAACAAATAGTGGTTAATCATTTTAAGAATGACTAAATTTAGACTCATCTCCAATTGATTCTTCTTTTATTAATAATTAGGGTGAACAATAAGGATCAGTCTTAGAATCTCCATTTGAATGTTATTTCTTTTTTAACTTTACTTTTTTCATAACCTTAATATTTAATTCTTTTTCTGCTACTTATTGTTTACAAATATTTTTGCATGTACTACCCATAAATTATTTATTATAATAATTTAATTCAGTTTTATTTTTATTAAAAATCCACTTTAAATTATTTGAAGTTCTTTCTGATTTTTTTAAACTTAAATTTTTCATTTTTTATGTACAATCCCATTCTACAATTTTAGTTTAAACTTCTCCCTTTTTACTTTAGAACTGGTATTCATAATATTGTTGACATATACAATAGTAAATTGCTTGTAGTACCTATTAAAATCTAAAAATTAAAAATAAATGAATAAATCAAGTCTTGGTCCAAAATTACTACTCCAAATTAATATACATATAGAGGATAGGGATGATTTTATACCAGAAGAGCCGTTTATCAATATAAACAAATAACAAAAATCTATAGAATCAAAATAGAGGTATGACACTAAGGGAAGATAGATAATTAAGGGTAAAAGCTATTCAATTGATTTTGAAAATTGTGTGATTGTTTGTGTTTATAATCCTACAGAAGAAGTGTTACAGATTAAGGAAACACTTTCTTAACTTTCAAATGTTGAATTAACAAATGCCAACTTTAAACATCCTTAGAGTTTTAATAAATAATAGTAGTACACTGATTTACCTATAAAATCTATACTAAAAAAAACTAAATAAATAGATGCTATAATTAAAAAATGAAGATTCTAAATTGCGAATATATTGCAATTTTGATGCTTTTGTATTTATTTTATAAATACTTATTTGTATAAATATTAAATATCAAAAAATTTATAATAAAAATTATTTGATGAGTATTTTCTCTTAAGAACTTTTCAATAACAAAATTACTTTACAATTTAAAATTATATTATAACAAAAGATTTTTATATTTTTATTTTTTATTTAATTCGATACTCTAGAAGGATTAGGACAAAAGTGAAATATATTGAATTTTTTATTTAATGATATTGACTTTTGTCATAAGTTATATAAATATCTAAAATTTAAAATAGAGTATTAAATAATTACTAAAACTATTGATTCTTTATAATTATTAATATTTGTTTTGAATTGAACATAATGAGGGACATTTTCATATTGGATCAATAAAATAAAGCGATCTCAAGTTGATAATTATAAATAAAACATAAAACTTAAAGTATTGTTATTAATTTATTAATTAATTAATTAATTTTGATCTTACCTATTTATTGTTTGCAAAGAAATTTTACTAAGCCTAAGAAATGTATATGGAAATTTTAACAATTTAATTCTAAGATAAATATAATCATTAATCAATAAAGTGTTTAATTTGTATATATATAAAAGAATTATAATATATATATATATTAAATTTATTTATTAACAACTAATTTTATTTGTTTAATGATTGAAGAGGAGATTTCAGGATGGATAGATGATGCCGATTAATTAGATAGAGGAAAGTTTCATAAAATTAAAGAAGAGAAAATAGATAGAGTTATCTTACATTAAAATCTTCGTAGTTATAGTTTATGTTAAAAAAAAGAAGATTCAGATAAAATGCTTACTTCTAAATCAAGTCATTATTGAAATGTATTTTAGATCTCTTTACTGACAAAGAGAATTCATCCCAATATGTAAAGTACAAGATGTAGAAAAAATAAAATAGTACAATAGAAGAGTTGAAAAAAGTGATGGAGTTTTTATCAATAAATGAATAATATAAATATGAGACTCATAGAGCATTTGATCCAAATGATGATAGATTTATCAAGCAGTAATAATAGCTTATAGAAAAATAAAAGTAATAATAAGAGTTGAAAAAAAATAAATTCAAGCTATAATTGGATATCAAAGATAATTATCAATCAATACCAAAATCAAAAAGGTTTTTGTAACCATTATCTGATATATAATAAACATAAAAGATTAATAGTGATAGATCATAAAGTAATTAAATTCAATAGAATACAATTTAGGAATCAAAAAGTTAAACATAAACTAAGTTTAAATTTCCAAAATTCATCATTTAATAATAAAAATATAAAAGATAACATTATAAAACAGATGAATATATTGGAAATAAAGATTAATAAGAATAATAAATTAAACATTTCATTTAAATTAATAGAATATTTAGCAATAATAATTTAACAGATACTAAACAAACCATTTATACTCCTAAACCTATTACTAAATACTAGTTTTAATTATAATAAACAATTAGCAATATTAATTAAGCTAGAGATAATGGATATACATATGATCTATTTTCAAGAAAAACACTTTCAATATAAGAAAATAAAGAAAAATAGAAATAACTTAAATTATTAGAAATAGCTCTAAAATGTAAGAATATTAAATGATATTATTTTATATATCTATTCTACTATAATAAATAAAGAGATTTTTATATTTTCTATTATTTTATGATCATATATTTGGTATTTATTTTTTATATGTATTCTTAGATTTATAAATAATTATATATAAATTATTGTTATGATTGAAGAAAGAGATATAGCTTGTTAGACAACTCTAGAATATAATGAAAGTACAGTATATTAAATAGCAAGTCAATGAAAATAATACAGATCCTTAATAATAATAATAAATACAATCACCTATAAAATAAATTTAAGTTAGATAACGAAGTTTAACAACTTAATAAAATACAAAACAGCTTGTAATTATATAGACAAGAACACCTAAGAAATAATCTATGGCCCATATTGCTGATTTAAAATAATAAATCTTAGATATAGCTTTAAAATTTGATGAAATCATTAATAAAGAGTAAACATAAAAAAAATAAGTTCCAATTAAATCTTAAGAAATATAAGATTATGAGAACATTATCAAAGATTAGATGATTGAAATTAAATCACTTTAAAATCAAATAGAAATTAATTAACGTAGATTATAAATTAGTTTAGAAGATAAAGAAATAACTAAATTAGAAGATAAATTAAAGTATCTATAAGAATTAGAAAAAATTTTAAAGGAAGAGAATAATTCTATAAAGAAAATACATAATTAATAGTAATTAGCTTTAAATTAACTTGGAATTAATGAATAAGATGAAAAATTAGTAAATATTATTATTATTATTTTTAAGAAACTTGAAAAATTGAATATTCTTAAATAGGAAAAACAAAAAACTAAGTAATTATAAGAATAATTAAGATAATTGGAAAATTAATCAAAATAAAATCATAATAATTGTTATAAATAAGTTGAGAAATTAAGATGGATTGATAATAGGGTTTAAGAATATAATAAGAAGAAGAAAAAGAAATTAATTAGTAAAGATGATGTTGAAATTTTAGAAAGTTAATTACATGAATTAGTTTAAGAAATAGAATAAAAGAATTAAATTAATTAATCAAAATTAAAAGAATTAGAAAAAGAAAGAAAATAATTAACTATGGATGTTGAAATCAGAGAAAGATAATTAAAAGAAAAAGATAAAGAATTGAAATTAACTATTATGAAATTTAATGAGAATAAGAGATTTGTAATTAAAAACGAAATAACAAAATAATGATTAAATATTCATTATAACCATTAACTTTATTATACTTCTTGAATTGTTAATCTTTCTTTTTAATCTACTTTTAACATCCCTGTTATTAATTATTTGACTTAAAATGAAACAAATGAAGGATATTCAATTTTGCCTAAACAAATTTTCTTATTTAAATCCTTTTCTGAATTACCTCTAAAAGGGAATACACCTGTTACCATTTTAAAAAGGATTATACCACAGGCCCAAATATCTACAGATTGATCATAAGATCCTTTTTTAACTAATTCAGGAGCCATATATTATGGAGTACCACATGAACAAGTTTATTTCCCATTAATTTTAATAGAATATCCAAAATCAATTAATTTAATCTTTCTTGTATTATAATCTATTAAAAGATTTTCAAATTTTAGATCTCTATGACATATATCTTATTAATGCATATAATAAATTGCATCTATAATTTGTCGAAATATAATTTTAGCTTCATCTTCATTTATTCTTTTAAATGGTCTTCCTTTCATAAAAATTTCCAAATTTGTTGGAGATGAATATTCCATAATTAAATATATTGACTTATCATTTTCATACATATGATATAAATTGATTATGTTTGGATGTTTAAGTTAATTTAAGATTTCTACTTCTCTTTCTAGATTTTTTAAATGCATATTATTCATTTTCTTTTTATCATATATTTTAATTGCAACATCAATCTCTAAATCTTTATGTCTAGCCATCTTTACTTCAGCAGTTGCTCCAATTCCAAGTGTTTTTATAAATGTATAACTATCAATTGATTAATATTCATTAGGAATTTAAACAATCTAAGAATACTCTTTTCTAATATTTTCATTTTAAGGATTTTCCTCATAAATAGGTTATTGAGCAAAATTAGTTTTAAGAATATTTCTCAAATTGCTACCTAAATTTTTAGAAACTGGAACAGTCTTCTTTTTTTGTTAAACTGGATAATTTTCTTATTTTGGTGAATATTATTTTTTAGTCTGTTGAGTCTTTGGAGGAGATCGATTAGGAGGTATTCTACTATGATGAGAAACTGATCGTCTTTAAGTATCCTCTCTATTTTTAAGGTACTTTTTTCTTAAATCAAATAATTTTGAATGTTAACTAAACTAATTTGCTTAAGAATATGTCTATTAATGAGTTTTATGATAATCTAAAAAATGAATTAAAATTTACTTAAAGACATATACATTTTTGATTCATGATGTTATTCTAATTCTTGATTATATGGTTATTAAGGGGTATGTTGAGATGTAACTTATGATTGTTAATCAAGTTTGAGCATTTATTTAACTATTAAATATAAATTCAGTTAAATATATATATATTATATTATATATATATATTTATATTATTATTATATATATATTCTCATTTCTTAGGTGGTGCTTTGGCTGCAGGTTTAGCACCTCCTGCTGCTGGTTTTGCTCCTGCTGCTGGTTTTGCTGCTGCTGCGGCTGTTTTTGCTGCAGCTGCTGCTTTAGAATCATCAGCTTCCTTTTGTTTTTTTTCTATAATAATAAATAATATAATAATACCAGCTGCTTCTTGTTTGTCTAAGATTTATTTCTTTGAAGTTGGTGCAACTTCATCTGGCAAGATTTTAGAAATAACACCTGCAGCTACAGTCTTTCCTCCTTCTCTCAATGCAAATCTTTGACCTTAATAGAGTGGTAAGTTATATGAGAGATTCAATTTACAAGTGAAATTATCTCCTGGCATACCTACTTTAATGTTCTCTGGTAACTATAATGTAACAGCAACGTCTGCAGTTCTTACGAACATCTAAGATTAATAATAATTTGCATTTACTTATGGACGATAACCATTAGGGAATGGTTTTTTACGACCTCCTTCTTCTTCCTTTAAAATGTACAAATTTGATTCAATACAATTATGAGTTGTTAAAGATCCTGGCTTACATAAAACTTATCCTCTTCTAACATCATCTCTTGTTAAACCTCTAATTAAAATTCCTACATTATCACCAGCTTCTCCAAAATCAAGTTGTTTTTTGAAAGTTTCAACTCCAACAATTGCAGTTTATTTTGGCTTTCCATATCCAACAATTTCAATATTATCTTTGATTGATGCTTTACCTTAATCAATAGTTCCTGTTACAACTGTTCCTCTACCAGCAATATGATATGTGCCTTCTATTGACATTAAGAATGGCTTATCAATTGGTCTTTATGGTATTTTGATCTCTTTATCCATAGTATCAAGTAATTAAAGAATAGACTTTTCTCCTAATTCAGGTTCTTAATCATTGGATGCAAGTAATGCTGAACCTTTTACAATCTTTGCATTGTCTCCATCATATTCATATTTGCTAAGAAGCTCTCTAATTTCCATCTCTACCAATTCATGGATTTCTGGATCTTTGGCTAAATCTATTTTATTCACAAACACAATAATAGTCTCCACACCAACTTAACGACATAAAAGCACATGTTCACGTGTTTAAGCCATGCAACCATCTGTGGCTGCCACAACTAAAATGGCAGCATCCATCTTAGCAGCTCCTGTAATCATATTTTTGACGTAATCAATATGTCCTGGACAATCTACATGACTGTGTAATAAATTATAGCATTAATTATTACCCATAATGTCTAGTTTTTGTTTGATATTCCACTGTAGCACTATTGATTGTGATACCACGAGCCTTCTCTTCAGGAGCCTTATCAATTTTACCATATTCTTGGAACTCAGCAAGTCTATTTCCTTTATATTTTATAATTACTATTATTTAGCCAAGACTTTTGTGATGGCAGAAGTAAGAGTTGTTTTACCATGATCTATATGTCCTATAGTACCGACATTAAGATGAGGCTTGTCTCTGACAAATTTGGCGAAGAGTGCACGAGCAGTATTATTAAGGGATAAAGGAGCTTGTATGGAGCGAAGAGTGTGGAGCATTCTTTAATTTTAATTACGGTTGAGATTTAAAATAATATACTCTTTTGTGATAAAGATTTATTTATTTAATTAAAAATGTAGAGATTATAGGGTGCCACACTCGGTCTATGGAGCAGCTTTACTCCAGTACCTTAGTATGCATTCGCCACTTTGAATCTGAAATAATTGAAGCAAAGAATGAAGTCTGTGGGATCAATTAGAAAGATTACCAAAGCTATGAAGATGGTTGCAGCATCTAAGATGAAACAAGATGTTTAGAGATTAGAGAATGGAAAGCACTTCGGAATACGTTCAATCTAAGATTTATTTGCCTAAGAAACTTATCTATAAAAGAAGCAATTAACATTTAAGATTAATAAGACTTTAATTGTTCCAATTACATCAGATAAAGGACTTTGTGGTGGAATCAATTCATCAATCATTAGAGAAACAAGAAGCATTGTTAGATAAAATCGTAATGCTTATAAATTATTCTTGGTTGGAGAGAAGGTAAAAAATATCATTTTTACATTAAGTCCTTGGGAGCCCTATAAAGAGCCTTCCCTGAATTACTTACTCAAGCTATAACAGCTATCTAAACACCAATCAATTTTGCTAATAGTTCTTCTATTGCACATCAAATACAACTTAATGTTACAGAAGACATTGATTAAATTTCTGTCATTTTCAATTAATTTAAGAATGTTGTTTAATAAGTTGTTAAGCGTGTTGATTTACTCAATAGAAAGAACTTCATTGCTTAATTTAGATTGGTTACTAAATATGATACAGCAGAACCTGAAAAGGAATTCGTCTAGAATTACATGTATGAATACTATGTGGCAACTGCTTTTTATCATGCTATGTTGAATAATTTTGCTAGTGAAACATCTTCTAGAATGAACGCTATGGAAAATGCTTCTAAGAATGCAGGAGAAATGCTTGATAAATTGACTCTTGAATACAATAAGGTTAGATAGGCTAAAATCACAGTAGAATTATGTGAAATCATTTCAGGAGCCTCAGCTGTCTGAAATAATAAAGAAATATATAAATAAAATATTACATATTTATAGTTATAATTATACCTTTATACTTTCATACAAACTATCTAAATATATTTATATGTATTTGTCATATTTTATAATTTCTTAACCATAAATGAGAGAAAATCAAATAAATTTTCATAATCTAATTCTTCATATTATGTTTTATTATATTCATATCCAAACAACTCTTTATTGAATATTATTTCTTTGATATAAATATTATTCAATTTTAAATTATTATTAATACAACCTTATATAATCCATACCTTTAGTTTCTCAATATTATATTAAATATTATTTATTTATTTATAATTTTCATTACATATCCATCTTGTCCAGCCATTACCTCATATAAATATCCATAAATTATTATTATTCCTCTAATTATTACATTTAATTTATTAGCTAATATCAATTATAATTATTAGTAAAAACATATATCTAAATCAATCTTAAACCATTCTAATTTAACTTGGCAATTAACTTTAATATAAACTTTAATTTCCATATTAACTCATTATCAAACTTTTCTGTAATTCATTATTATCATCCAACCATCCCATTCTCTTTCCCTTTTCCCAAATACCTTATTTAATCGTACCATCTTAAAATACCATAGTTCCTCTTCCATTCTATAATCCTTCTGCAAAGCTTCCCTCATATCTCTTGCCATCAGCCCAAGTATAAACTCCAAAACCATCCTTTTTATCATTCTTAAACTCTCCTTAATATGATTTCCCATCTGGCCATTTGTATACTCCATATCCATGCATAAAACCATTAAGAAATTATCCTTCATACTATCTTCCATTAGCCCATATATATGCTCCTTAACCATTAAATTAATTCTATCCCCATTCTCCTTAATATGAAGTTCCATCAGCCCAATAATAATTTCCTTCCCCATGTTTCATTCCATTTACATAATTACCTTCATATCTTGATCCATCTGGCCACTCTTATTTCCCAAATCCATGTTATACATCTTCTTTCCATTCTCCTTCATACTTTCCATTCAGTTTATAATAAAAAGTTCCAAATCCCTCTGCTTGCCCTTGATTCCATTCCCCTTCATAAATATCTCCATCAGCATGAGTAAATTTCCCTCTACAATGAGGTACATTATTATGAAATTGTCCTTCATACCTTGCTCCATCCGGCCCTTATTATTTTTATAATCTTTTTACATTCTTGTATTCCATGACCTTCTCGTATTGTACCTTTCCATTATCCTGTATAGAGAACTCCATCTGGAAACTAATAAGTTGGTCGTTCTTCTATTTTATCTTCAATTTCTATTGGAACCTATACTTTCTATATTGGAATTGATTATTAGGGTCTATAACTCATTCGTATTGATTAAACAAAGTCTTCAGATGGCCTATCAGTAAATTCAATATTCTCAGTATATAAATCATTATTAGTAGTATCAAATATGACTTCTGCTTTTGAACAATGATCTATTGCAGTACATTAATTTCCCATTGATAATATATTACTTAGATTAATAATAAATTTTACTTATAAAATTATATGTAAATTAATCAATATATAGTGTTGTCTTAATTTAGTATACTTTCTAATAGTTATAAAAATATATAATTATACCATTTATGAAAAAAATATCATTTACAATTTTGTTGTTTTTAGTATATTCATTCTATTAATTTAGCCAATAGTTGATATGATTTCATATTTTAATTATAATCCAATGAATTTAACTAAATTAGCTCTTATTAATTCTTATATATTTTTATTTTTGATGGAGTAAATTCTATATTTAATTTTACTTAATAGATTAATTGTTATCAAAGTTGTATGAATTGGTTTAAANTTATCATTCTTAAACTCTCCTTAATATGATTTCCCATCTGGCCATTTGTATACTCCATATCCATGCATAAAACCATTAAGAAATTATCCTTCATACTATCTTCCATTAGCCCATATATATGCTCCTTAACCATTAAATTAATTCTATCCCCATTCTCCTTAATATGAAGTTCCATCAGCCCAATAATAATTTCCTTCCCCATGTTTCATTCCATTTACATAATTACCTTCATATCTTGATCCATCTGGCCACTCTTATTTCCCAAATCCATGTTATACATCTTCTTTCCATTCTCCTTCATACTTTCCATTCAGTTTATAATAAAAAGTTCCAAATCCCTCTGCTTGCCCTTGATTCCATTCCCCTTCATAAATATCTCCATCAGCATGAGTAAATTTCCCTCTACAATGAGGTACATTATTATGAAATTGTCCTTCATACCTTGCTCCATCCGGCCCTTATTATTTTTATAATCTTTTTACATTCTTGTATTCCATGACCTTCTCGTATTGTACCTTTCCATTATCCTGTATAGAGAACTCCATCTGGAAACTAATAAGTTGGTCGTTCTTCTATTTTATCTTCAATTTCTATTGGAACCTATACTTTCTATATTGGAATTGATTATTAGGGTCTATAACTCATTCGTATTGATTAAACAAAGTCTTCAGATGGCCTATCAGTAAATTCAATATTCTCAGTATATAAATCATTATTAGTAGTATCAAATATGACTTCTGCTTTTGAACAATGATCTATTGCAGTACATTAATTTCCCATTGATAATATATTACTTAGATTAATAATAAATTTTACTTATAAAATTATATGTAAATTAATCAATATATAGTGTTGTCTTAATTTAGTATACTTTCTAATAGTTATAAAAATATATAATTATACCATTTATGAAAAAAATATCATTTACAATTTTGTTGTTTTTAGTATATTCATTCTATTAATTTAGCCAATAGTTGATATGATTTCATATTTTAATTATAATCCAATGAATTTAACTAAATTAGCTCTTATTAATTCTTATATATTTTTATTTTTGATGGAGTAAATTCTATATTTAATTTTACTTAATAGATTAATTGTTATCAAAGTTGTATGAATTGGTTTAAAATATAAGAAGCATTAATTCTGTATATATAGTAGTTATTAAGTAGTATTATCATTAGAAAATTAAAAAATTAAGCATTCTACACAATAGACTAAAATATATATTTATATATTATATAAAAAAATTAAATATGAATAAACTAAATCGGAATGAGAAACGAAAAATAAAATAGATATATAGTCTCGCATTGAAATTTGTGGGGATTTTATTAATAGGATTCTTTATGGTTTTATATTATTTTATTGTTTATTCATTTATCTATGACACTATGTTATTATATTATTTGGTTTACAGGAATAAAGTATTAATTATTGTATTGATGTTGATTGGATTGATTGAAGGTAAATAGAGAATTGATAATTTAGCATTCAATGTTATATTTAATTATGGGTTGGTATTAATAGTGTCTCCAGGATTTACATCAGATATATTTATAAAAAAAGATGATAAAGTAGAGGGTCCATTTATTTATGATCCAATAAAATGCTAATTCAATAAATCATAAATAGCAATAAAATTAGATCAAAGTACTTTAAAATATTGTGATAAATGTTGTTTACCAAAACCTTAGAGAACACATCATTGCAGTATATGTAATAAATGTGTATTGAAAATGGATCATCATTGTCCATGGGTTGGATAATGTGTTGGACATTAGAATCATCGATACTTTATTTTGTTCTTAACTCATATTGTGATAGGAACATTTTACATTTCAATTTTGAATTTAAATATAGTAATGAGGTATTGGTTTAACTGGAGATAGCAATCAATTTCAAGAGTACAGAGTTTAACAATCAAAAGCATTTTCATTAGTATGGCCCTTAAATATTTCTTTGTTTTTCATGTTATCAGCTTTTTCAGGTTGGAATTGGTATTTGGCAATGAAAGGAATGACTACATTAGAATTTTGGGATAAGAATGATGCATTTAAAAAGAGTAAAAGAATACAAAATTTATAATAAATCTTTGGAAAAGTTAAAAATTGGATTGAAATATTATCACCAAGTGTTAGAGATTTACCATCAAATGGAGTAATATGGTATGATACTTAAATTGAACACTTAAATGTCTTAAATGAATTATAGTAAGAAGAGGAAGATGATGAAGAAATGATTAATTGATTTTATAATGAAAGTTAATTAATTTAATTTTTGGAGCGAAAATGGCAGCAAATTAAGATTAGATATTTGATGAATAATCTTAAGAAGCTACAATTAATGAAGAATATAAAATATGGAAAAAGAATGCTCCATTTCTATATGATTTAGCAATTAGTCATCCAGTTGAGTGGCCATCTTTGACAGTATAATGGCTTCCAAAAAAGGAAACACCACCAGGTTAAGATTATTCAATTCATAAATTGATAATTGGAACAAATACTGGAGATAATGAGATGAATTCATTGATGATTGCTAAAGTATAGAAAACTAATAAATATTTAAGGTACGATTGCCAAGAGATTCTGATGTATAATAAGACCCTTCAGAATATAAATAGAATGAACCAAGTGGTATAGGTAAAGCTACTGGAGAGAGTAGAATAGAAATTGATGTAAGAATAAACCATGAAGGAGAAGTAAATAGAGCAAGATACATGCCATAAAAATCAAATATTATTGCCACTTTCACAACAAAAGGAGAAATTCATATTTTTGATTATATAAAGCATCCCTCATAGCCATCCAATAATTTAGTAAAACCTGATTTGAAATTAGTAGGACATTAAAAAGAAGGGTATATAATATATCAAATTTATTATAGATTTGGTATGTCTTGGAGTGAATAGAAATTAGGACATTTGTTAACAGGAGATTATGATGGTAAATTATGTATTTGGGATGTTGAAACTAATGCACCAGAACCAAAATAAACATTTTAAGCAAATAATTTATAAATTGAAGATGTATGTTGGCATAGATATCATCCAGATATATTTGGTTCATGTGGAGATGATAGACATGTGAGAATGTAATAATAATAATTATTTAAAAATAGTTGGGATACTCGTAAACCATAACCATTAAGTGATATTTAAACACATGCTGGTGATATATATTGTTTAGATTTTAATCCATTTAATGAATACTTTTTTATTACTGGATCAGAAGATAAGAGAATCAATTTATTTGATATGAGAAATACTGAAAAACCCCTTCATACTTTTGAAAGTCATGGTGATTAAATTTTATCTTTGAAATGGTCACCACATAATATGAAAATATTTGTTAGTAGTTCAGCTGATAGAAGATGTATGATTTGGGATTTTGGTAGATGTGGAAGATCATAAACACCAGAAGAAGCATAAGATGGACCACCTGAATTATTGGTAATATTAATATTAATAAAATATAGTTTGTTCATGGAGGACACAGATCTAAGGTTTCTGATTTAGATTGGAATCTTAATGAAAAATATATCATTTCTAGTGTTGAAGATAATAATATTTTATAAGTTTGGTAATTGGGAGCGCATATTTATTAAGAATGATTTTATATATATATATATATATATCAGTATTATTATTAAATTTTTTGTTGTTAAGCCAATCTACCTGTGGGAGGTTTTTAATCTAAAGGATTTAAATTTGAAACTAAAATATTAAATTTATATTATTACTTTTTTTAACTAAAGGAGGAGTAATTTGAGAAGTATTTTAATTATTGTTTTAATTATTATTAATAATTATTGCTTCACATTAATTATTAAGATTAGGAACTGGATTGCCTCTGTTATCAATAGGATTTAGAATAATCTTTTAATTGACTCTTTTTTATAACTATTATTATTATTGCAATTCATCTTTTTAATTTTTATTTGTTTTTCCTTCATAAATTTCTAAAAGTTATTAATTTAATTTAGTTTTCTCTACAATGCTTAATCCCTTATTATCTGTGTTACCATTCATTCTTGGTTATGATTCTCCTACTTTGATTACATATTTATACCTTTCCTCTATCTACCAGGTGATTAATTTCTATTATTTTCTACATCTCTATAACTTGATGGTAATGGCCTATGATGTATTTCAACATGTCTATCTTATTTTTCTACATCAATTAAATCCATAGCTTTTTAATAAGGCAGATTAGGAAAGTTGACTTTCTTAGCTTTAATATTAAATGGAGGTATTTTATATTCTTCTAAATCATCATTCCATTCACAACAATTAGTAATTTTTTCAATATCTTCTTGTAATAGAATCATTCTCAAAATTCCAGTAACCAATTTAATTTCTTTTGATTATGATCTAATAGTATCTAAAAACTCTTCTTTATCATATTCAAAATCTTATTTCATTTCATCTTATTCTTTTTATTACTGTTCATATTTATTTTTTAAATATTTAACCTATTTTCTTAATTTTTCAACTTCATCTTAAACATTATTATATTTATTTTCAATTTCAAGCATTTCCTTTTCTTTTTATTCTTATTGAATTATCAATTATTCATGTTCCTTTTTTTATTATTCTATAGCTTATTACATTTTCTTATATTTATTTTTATCATCATCTGTTCCTTTACCACCTTTGATCATCATTTATTCCTTCTCTTTTAATAATTCTTCTAATCTCTATCTTGCTAATCTCTCTTATTCAGCTTATTCACTTTTTTATTTCATTTCATTTTCATATCTTTATTTCTCCTATAATAATTAATTATTAATCTCTTTGAATTAATTTATTTATTCATGATGATTATTATTATTAATATTATTTAATTTTCCATTATTATCAACATTCTAACGATCTCCATTGTCTTAATTTTATTTCATTAATAATTCTCTTAGTTTTTTAATTTCTTCAGCTTATTCCTTTAATAAAGCATCTTTGGGATCTTCATTTACTTTGGGTTGATTCTTAATCATTTTTGCTCTAGAAGCATATCTTAAACTTGACAATGTCTCTTCATAATTAAAATCAGATGGAGAAATGGCAGTAATCATTATAGTCTTAGTATTACCACCTAATGAATCCTATAATAATCTAGTTAATTTAGAATCCCTGTATGGTATATGTTATGTTTTACCATCAACTAAAGCTGAAATCACATTTCCTAATGCAGATAATGATAAATTAATTTTAGTTGCTTCTTTTAATCTATCTCCTGTAGCTTAAGTTTTAGATTATCTTTCACTCCCTGCTAAATCTACTAAGTTCAATTTTCCAGCAGTAATACGTTCATTTCCTTTTTCATCATTCATTGAACATTCAATATAAACTGTAAAAATACAATGACTTCTACTTGATTCCTTATTCATTGCTGTAGCTCCAACTGATCTATTCTATGCTCCTAATACCATATATTTGTCCATCTCTTACAATGTTTTCACAATTGGAATATTCAAATCCTTAACAAATATTCCTTATTATCCTTCTTTTAATTCATATCTTTATTTAACATCTTTACTTAATAAATCATGTATTTCTTCATTGTAAATTTCAATATATGAACATCTCAATAAAAATTTCTTATTTGAATCAGAATTATTATTGATAATATTGATTATCTATTCAAATGTTCTTGGTATAATACCTTTCATGTTATCCTAAGATTTATGTGATTGAATATACATTTTATGGATCTCCAATCATTGTGAATGTCTTACCACAACCTATAGGATAATTCATATAGTATACCAGTTTAACCATAGGCAAAGATGGTTCCGTTATATCCTTCAGCCACAGATTCTACCAAATTAAATGCAGTTTATTAATATATTTAAAGTTAAGGTGTATCTGGTCCAAATACATAATCATAGGTAAATTGTTTTTGATCATTATCTTAATTCTAGTAATACAATAAATTTTGCATTAATACTCTAAAGAGTTCTACAGAATTTGTACTTTCATTTGCATTTACACATGGTTTACTACCATTGTCTCTTTCTTTCTAATTAAATGGTCTGACTCTAACTATAACCTTCACACATTCAGCTGGCATGATAATATTGTTATAACGATTGTAAAATTAATTAAAATAATAATGCAACCTTAATGGTCTTCTTTCGCAAAATTACAAAGAGACTATGGTCTGATGCCTGTAGGGATGTATTCTCCATAAAAAGCGAATTTATAGAGATTATTGCCTAGATATCCTGAAAGTGTTGATGTAGGTCCTACAAGTAGTAAGTTTTAAGGGAATGTATCATTGCCTGCTTTACCTCCTTTGAAAAAGTTGAGTAAGATAGAGTAGACAGTATTGATTTATAAGGGAAAAGTGAATAAATTGCCTTCTCTTCAATTAAGTGATTAATAATTATAAAGGAAAAAATAAATATCAGAGACAGATGGTATTAGGAAATCAATTACACCAGAGAGGAGATAAGGAAAAAGAAATTCAGTTTAATTTGCAATGAGAACTAAGGCTGGTTGTTAGCCTAATAAGGCAACAAAAATAAATTAAGATGCAGCTATTTTATGTCCAAAGAATTTAGAAAAGTTTAAAATATTCTTATTAATAGTATGGGTTATAAGTTCTTTGCAGTCTGTGATGGACATGGATAATATGGTCATATGGTTTCTAATTAGATCAAATAATAATTGCCAAAACATTTAGGAAAATAATTGAAAGAAACAAATGATTTGGATGATCAAATTTCAAAGGCTTTTGCAATTACAAACAAAGAATTGTGGAATTCAGAAATTGATACAAACTTATCTGGATCAACAACTGTATCTTTACTAATAAAAAAAGATATGGTAATTAATTTAAATGATATAGATATACTCTGCAAATGTTGGTGATTCTAGAGCCATTATGTGTAGATTTGATAATGGATGGAAAGTAGTGGAATTGAGTAAAGATCAAAAACCAGATGATCCATAAGAAAAAATTAGAATTTTAGATGCAGGAGGAAGAGTTGAATAATAAAAGGGTTGTGAATCTATTGTTATCTTTAGATTTTCATGGAAATGGTGTAGGACCATTTAGAGTTTGGTTATCTTATATTTAAGCTCCTGGATTGGCAATGACTAGGTCTTTTGGTGATAAAGTAGGTGCTTAAGCTGGAGTTATTGCTGAACCTGAAATCAAACAATTCTCTATTAGTGCATAAGATCAATTTATTGTAATTGCATCTGATGGAGTTTGGGAATATATGAGTAATGAAGAGGTACTTTAGTAATTAATTAGGTAATGAATATTGTAATTCCATTTTTGGAAAAAGATAATCTTGATCAAGCAGCTGAACGTATTATAATTGAAGCCACGTAGGCATGGCGTAGAGTATATGTTTTTTACTTATTTGAAGAACAGTTTAGCAAGGGACGATATTACTTGTATAGTTATATTCTTATAAAAATGAAAATTTTATTAATTACAAAATATCAAAGCATTAATGTCTCAAGATCTTTTCCCTAATGAACCAAATCTTAATACTGCTAATGAGGTTGAATAATATATAAAAACACTTTTGCAATATCAAGATTCATGCGAGAAATCTGCAGAATATATGCAGGCAGATGCTGCTCAAAAAAGAATAGTGGAGTTGAAAAAATAATTGGTATAAAGAAGGAGAAAAGAAATGCAATAGGCCCATAATTAATAAGAGTAAGAAATTGAAAGAGCTCATCTTGAAGAATATAATTAATTCAATCAATTCTGGGATGAGAAGATGTAAAAATTTAATGATGAAGCTTCAGCTGTAGAATCAGAATTATTAAACAAATAATAAAATGAATTTAATAAAGTCTCTGAGGAATTAGAAAGAACTATTCCTTCAAGGCCAAAAGAATCTTCTGATGTTCTTAATCTCAAAAAAAGAGAAGAATATTTAGCTAAACAAAAGAAGTATACATTTATTTAATTTTTTGTTATGTTGAGGCATAGAAAATCAAAGAACAGAGAGTCTAAATAGAAGAAGTTGACTATTAGAAATACTAAATAGAAAGGACTTATAAAATAAACACTTAATTGAAACAATTAAAAATGAGACATAGAAATGAAATCAATGCTCTTCAATAAAGAATTAAAGGAGGATAAGATGAATAAAAAAAAAATCGTAGTCTCGACCTAGAAAAGTACAGTTACATCTTATTATATATAGATTATTATAAAAATATCAAAATATCAAAAAAGAACTGGAAATCAAATAAAAGATGGACAGATTAGCATTTGAAGGATAATTCACTAATAAAGGTAGTTCCAATCAAAGTGTTTATATGAGTTAAATGTGATTCTGTAAATTCATAAAGCAAATTATAAATAGCAATTTTCTAATTATTTATATATTAATTTTAAATAAAAATTCAACAAAATGACAGACACAGGTTTTGAATGCTCCCTTTGTATAAAATTAGCTATCAAAGCTTAAATATGTGAAAAGTGTGGTTCTATGTATTGTAAGAAGTGTCTACAAGAAATATTTGGTAAAAACTATGAATGTGTTTAATGCCAATCCAAATAGTTTAGATCTATTAAAAAGTCAGCTTTACAAGAAGCTTATGATGAAATTCTCATTAAATCATAAATAATCTAACCTAAAAAAATTGAAAAGCCTCCCCCTAAGCAACCTGTAATAGAATAAAGAACACAACAAATATATTTAAATGAGAAATGTATAAATTTTGAGATGTGTCAAAACAATATTAATTCAATATTTATAAATGAAAAAGTATGTAGTCTTGAATGTCTATATTTCAATAAAATATAACCTCTACTTGAATAATAAGATTTTACAAAAATTAGAAAAGAAATTATTAATTTAGAATAATCTATTAAAAATAAAGAACCAATATAAATATTTAAAAAGATACCTTTATCCTTATCATTTAATCAAGTTGGGGTTTCTAACTTCAATTTTGATAGATGTGGTTAAGGAATCACAATTAAACAATCAACTATTATTTTATAAGAAGATGAATATACATTTAAAACAGTCACTTCTTCTGTTGGTTTCTAATAAGGAATTCATTTTTGGAAAATTATACCATTGGCTATGACAAAAAATGAAATGAAAATTGGTATTTCAACATCAGATAAATATGATCTCAAAACAGCTTTTTCTGATTACAATTTTGGATATGCTTATTACACAGTAGGTTAATTTAGAAATGGAAGCAATTCTAATGTAATTACTGTAATTCAATTTAGGGTTTTGAATATGGTGTTAAATTTAAAAATAATGGAGAACTTGGAATATTATTAGATATGAATAGAGGAGTCCTGGCATTTTCATATAATGGCAATTTTTTAGGCAAAGCCATATCTTCAGAATTACTTAAAAAAGGTCCTATTTATCCCTGTGTTGCCTTACTTCATCAAGCTGGGTTTGAATTTAAATGTGGTATACCTATTCCGTAAAATATACTTGAATAGTTTTAAAAATGAATCATATTATATATATATATATATATAGATATATATATAGAATTAATTCATTTAATTAATTAAGTCAAATATTATATTTATATGGAATCCAAGGGATGATTATCTTTACTCAACTTAGCCTTATTTTTCACAAAAACTCTACTTGGAGATTAAAATGTCTTATCTAATTATAAAGTTAAATGAGATGATTATCTTGAATTAGTAGTTTTTGGAGATGGTAATCCTAAAAATTAGATTTTATTTAATACTTGATACTATATTACATAATATTGTTTATTAATCCTTAAACAATTATTCAAATTATTCTTTATATTATTTTTAAAAGAAATTAGCTTTTTGTCTAATTAAATTGATTAAATTATCCAATTAAGATTATGATTCTCCATAAGCTTTTTCACACAATTTATAATACAATCCTTGAATAGTAATATTAATATCAGATGATAAATCATCTGGACAAATGTAATAACAAATGTAAGAAATCATTTAAACATAAAAATTCATCCAATTTTATTCTTCTTTTAACATTTAACTAAAATAATTATAATAATGTTTACTTTTTTAATTCCTTTATTTTAGTATGTATAGTATCTTTTAATTTATCATTTTCAGTTTATAATCTTCTAGTTTCAATATTTAAAGTATTTTAATTATTATTACACATTAATTTAGGTATTTCTTATTGTAATTTTTACATATCCTAAACTAAATTAGAAAACTACTATTCTTTAAATTCTAAAATTTAATTCACATCTTATAATTTAGTTTATAATAGATTATTTATATTTTCTAATTCAATTATATACATTTCTTATTCATGTAAATCTAATTGTGATTATTATAATTAATTTGCTATTGAAGATTTCTCTTCCTGTAATTCTTTAATGAATTATCTTAATTCTAATTCATTACTATGTTATCTATCATATAGAGTAGAAAGCTTTTTTAAATTTTTGATATTTTCTTCATGATAATCTTATGGTTAATATTCATATTATGATTCATTATGAATACTTTGATCTCCATTCATACCAATTATATCTTTTATTATTTGATATAATTAAACTTATTAAGGATTAGTTGAAGTCTTAATTTATAATTATCTTTAAGTGTAATATTCTTATAATTATTCTATTCTACTTTCTAAATAATCATTTTCTAATTGCAATTCTTTTATTTATTTTTTCTACATTTTATTTTCTTTATTCATATCTTCCAATTATAATTTACTCTAAAAAGCATAATGTTAAGATTTCTTTTTAATTGTTTTAGTTTTCTCTCTCTCTTATTTCAAGAGTGTTGAAGTAGTTGAAATAAAACTTTATTGTAATTTATCTATTGTTTCTAAGAAATTCTTTTTGGATCCCTCTAAATTCTAGTTTCATAAATTAATATAAAATACTTTTCTTATTAAATTAATATCCATACAATATTGTTCAATTATATATTAATTTTAGTTTTTAATGTTTCTTTCCTTGTTTATTAATAAATTCAAAATTTTAGCATATAATAATTAATCTTCTTTATTCTCTGCAAGTAATTCTAATCTAATACCATTTTTTGCTTCAATTGCTAAAAAACAATCTTATTCAGCATTTGGAGGTAAAACAAAATTCTTTTTAATTAATTTATATCTATATTATAAAAGATATATCTTTACTTATTATAATTTGTATGAATCTATATAATAGAATCTATAGGGATAGTTTATTTGGCTGTTGGAAATTTAGTAGAATTTGATTTCCAACATATTGAATCTAAAAAAGAACAATAAAATATCATTCTTTAATCCCATTTCTTACAATTTGAACGAGAAAACTTTATGAATTATGTACCCTTCATAAGTTATTAAAATTCTTTAAATTTCGCTTCTGTTTTTTATTGCAAATTCATACAAACATCAAATTAAGTTGCAATCTAAACTATTTAATTATCAATATCTTTTATTTCTAATCATAATTTATAAATTGAACCTTTTTCAAGTTTTTAAACAATCAAATTATCAATCTTATATTCTTATTGCCATTAACGCAAATCATTTTCCAATGATTATTCTAGAATACTACTACGATCTAAACATTAAGAATCAATTGAAAAATCATTAACAACTTTTATTTCTGAGATTTTGGACATTTCTCAAATTATTCTTAATTTAATACTCTAATCCGAAGTTTATGATTTAGTGTGGGTGGAATCTATGATTGTATCATCTTTATATCTAATTGCTTAATGTCGATATAAATTATGCTATTTGTTGGGACATCTCTGTTAGTTCATCTTTAAATTTTGAATTTAACGAATATTATCTATAATACTTTATTAAAACACAAATAATTAAGATCAAAAAAATATTTCAAATGAAACTAAAAAAAATCATTCATTTATAAATCACTATAAGATTTTACTATTTTATTTTATGGTAACATAAAAAGAATAGAAAAAATGATAAATTTTGTATTAAATTATGGATTTCAATGTAAATAATCAACATTTTTTAGATATTTCATATAACTGCCAACATCAAAATTTGAAGATGTTTGATTTATTGAAGGATTTGTATTTGTATTAAAAGGAATCTTTTATGCAGATCTAGGTTTTTCCATTTTAGTCTTCTAATTTAATCGTATAGGAATTTATGCTGTTGTTTAAGAGAAACCTTATAGAGAATTTTAAGTAATTTCTTATCTTAAATTAGATAATGTTTTATGCATCATATTCAATTGAGTCTTTTCTTATTCAATTTAAATTTTATTTTATTAATTCATAGTTAATTGTTAATTTAATTCAATCTTCTACTTTTGAATTTATTCTTATTCTTATTAATATAATTATTTAAACTCTTAAACATTTGAGATTTCTTATTAATAAATTTTCTCTTTTTCATTAATTTCCTTCAATTTATCTAATAATAATTATCTCTCATTTTCAACCAAATTCAATTTTCTTGTATATTCAGCATGTAAACTATTAACTTAATTATTTTTCATATCTAAATCTCTTTATTAATTTATTAGTTGCATTTCTTTAGCACCTATCTTTTGTTATTATTTTTCAATATCTGCATATCTTTATTATATAATTTCATTATTCTTTTATGTAAATTCAGTATATTCTATTTTTTATTATTCAAAAATCTATCTATCTACCTCTAATTATCTTAATTTATTTTAAGCCTAAGAATTTAATTCATGTTTTTAAATATCAAATTCATTTCTATATTAATAATATTAATATAATTACTTTTATCTTTATAATAATAAATTCTCTTATTCTAATCTTTTTTTTGTTTCCAATTCCAAATTTCTTAATGATTCTTTAATATCCTATAATAATTATTTTTCACTCTATAAGGATTTCTTTTCACCATCAATTGATGCTTAAAACAATTATTCTCTTCTACTTAAATCATCTTATAAATTTTGTAATCTTCTTTTTTCATTTTCTAAATATGTTTTTTCTTTTTCTAATTAAGATTCCTTTTCTTAAATTTCATTTTTTTTAATTTCTAATTATTTAATTTTATCTTAAGTTTATTATTCATGTTTTTAATATAATTAGTTCTTTAATAATTCTAATTCTTTTGCACTAACATTTATTTTTTCTGCCAAATTGTCTAGTTACTTTTATTCTCCTAATTATTATTTTATTAGTTCATTCTAAAATTATATAGAATATTAATTTTTACTTCTAATTTAGCTGTATCAATAATTCTTTATTTCTCTCTTTCAAATTCTGATTTAAGTTATTCCTTTTCTTTTATAAATACTTTTTCAATATCTAATTTATCCTAAAGTAATCTTGTTCTCTCTCTCTTTTCAATATCTAATTCATCTTATAATTTATTCTTTTCATTTTTAATTTATTAAATCTCTTGATTTAATTTTTCTCTATCTTGTTTTAATAATTATATTTCATCTTATAATTTTTATAAATTTATATTATTATTATTATTATTATTATTATTATTAATATTGAATGCTATATCTGGTTATTTATTTTATTTATTTGAATAATCTGATTGAATTGATTATTTTTCAATTTCAGATTATTGATTATAATTAAAAATTGGGTCTTAACTTAAATCCATTCCACTTTTTTAAGGTTATCCTTTATTTTATGAAAGTATTCTCATCTTGCCTCTTCTACTCTAAGTCTATATAAGATCATTATTATTATTATTTTAATCTTCAATTGTTTGGATTGGCTATTCATTTTTGACTACATTTGGTTTTGGCAATTAAAATAAATCTGCCATTTTCTGTTTTTTTGATTCATCTATAATAGCTGTTTAAGGTCTTTATACAAAAGCATAGGACTATTATTTATCAATTGGAGAATCTGAAGATTTTAAAATACTATCAAATTCATATGGATCATTTGAAATTTTTTTTGTTTCAATTTTCCTTCATTAAATAATTCTATTTACGGTGGATCTACAAATGATCTTCTACTTCTATCTCTTTAATTTGAGGGCTTATAGTCCAGATCTATCTCATCTAATAATTCATCGATATCCATATAAATAATAATTAAAAATATTCAGTTTTATTTTAATTGGGTTCTAATTTTATTTGATTGTTCTAATATCATGTTATATTTCTCATTCATTCTTTATAATCGTTCTAATTTTAATATAATTTCTTACAATTTAAATCATACTTTTAATCTTTTTGTAATGCATCTGTCTTAACAATTCTCTCCTCTTGTGATTAAGATCGAGTAGGTACTTTTATTGAATTAGCAACTTAATTTTATTTAGGTGAAGTTAGAGGAGTAAATTTTGAACTTTAGGAAGTATTCAATTTTCTGTTTGTATTGCTACTAATTTAAGGTTTAAAAGTGCATTATTCCATCTCCTTACGTTACTTCTCTTTATCTGCAACCTTTTTCATCTATTATCTTTTTTCATATGTAGATTTTAGATCATCTTTTAAACAAGGAGTTTATTTTATTTATTAAACTCTTGGAGAAATATTGATTGATTATACAAGTGATTATTACTTTTTTTCTTTCTCTTTTACTATTTCCTTATCTAATTAAGCAATTTCATTTAACAATTATTATTTTTTACTTTATAATTATTAATGAAAAGTTTGTTATAGAACATTTGAACTATTTATTTAAGATTATTTGATATTATTATTTGAATTATTATTTTCAATAATTTTACTTACTTTTGGATGAGGTTTAGGTACAGTTTGTATTGGTTAATCAATTGATTTTCTTCTAAATGTTTAAGATGTTCTTGAAACATCTATTTATTAAGATTAAGCTGTTGAATAATCTAATTGTTATTTCTTTAAAACACTTTTCAAAGTAGATGATTTATTTGGATCAATTCTCTTTTTTGGTTTAAATTTTCCACTATTTTTAGTTCTGTTTATTTATTCTTTAATTATTTTTTATCTTTCACAATATGCTTTCTCTGCTTCATCTGGAGGCATTTAACTATAAGTGTAAGTTTTATGTGTTTTCTCCTCTTCTATAATTGGAGCATTTTTTACAGTTGAGTAAGAATTTCCAACATTAAATAAAGCACTATCTGAGTAAATATTAATTATTTTGGAAGGTGATTGCTCATTTTCATCTATAGATTTGAGTGGAGAGTTACCAGCCATAAAGTTTTGTGTTTAAGAATTAGATAACTACTTTTTTTTAAATGTCAATGCTGATCCGTTTGAAAAGGCTGAACAAGCAACTTTAATCAACGGAGAAGTTGACATTTGAATTAATTAATATAAATTTATTAAAATAAAAGACTTAGTCTAATTTTTTGATTTATATTTATTAAAAAATAGAATTATACAATATTGTAAATAGATTAACCATATATATTTTATAATAAACTTAAAATATACACAATACAATGTATTTTCCCATTTGTTTATTTTAAATATAAAAATAATAGTTAATACTTGATGTAGAATATTAATAAATACAAAAAACTAAATTTACATTTCAAGGTTCACCAAATAATCTTTATTTTTCCTATGATTTAACAGGATAATAATATGCTGGCTATCTTTTTTTCGTTTAATATTTCACATCAAAATACTTTTTTTTTATAATATATGTAATTATTAAGCAAATGACTCCAAAAATTAAATATGTGTATTTAATGCCACCATCAACCTTTTTTTCAATATTTTTATTAGGATTAATGATTTGAGTTTTTACAGGTTCTGTATAATTTGGTATATCACTTACTCTACCTTATTTAATATTAATATTATCTTTTTGAGTTACTTAATCTTCTTCAGTACATTTTGTTTCGATTGGTCCCAAATAAACACTAAATTCTTAATATTTATAAATACCCATCTTAACATTCATCTCCAGATATCTTTCTATATCCTTAACTTTTTAAATATGTTCCCTTACATGCTTTTGGTTTAATTTCTTTCATAGGTACACAATTTGAATAGATGTCTCTTTTATACCCTACATCACATTCCCAATCTGCTTTAGTACATGGACAATTTTCAGTTTAAACTGGTAAATTAGGCTACTTATTATAACATTAAGAGCTTCTCTTTCTTCTAATATATTTCTCTTTTTATCCAAATAAACATTTATCTCCTGCATAATTTGAAGGATACCAAAATTCATAATCTGAATCTTATTCACCTGCTCTATCAAATCCTTAGCATTCTCTAACCATAATTTAATTTATATCTAAAGATACAACAACTCCTTTAAGAGCACTTGATGTAAAATCATCTTGTTTTGCAACTCCAAGAGTTTTACTATCTTATATTCCATGAAATAGGAATTTACCATTCTTATATACTACATTTGTTATATCAAAAGTAACATTCATTTTAATTTTTTAGAATGTCATACCTTCATCCCAAGAGTATAATATTTCATTTGCTTATTCTTCATCACTCACAAATACAATGACTCCTGTATTTTCAGCAATATCATAAATATGCATTCCATCTAATATTTCAAACCAAGTATGACCTCCATCTCTTGAAAGATATGTTTTATATTCATTTCCCAAATAAATACCTGTATTACCTGTACCTATGGCAATATAAGAATGACTTATTATTCTATTACGAGGAGCTTCACTTCTTCCAAGAAGATGTAATGAACAATCTCCATTACATTATATTGGTTAACCTTTATAATCATATTTAGGGGCTTTTAAAGCATGCCATTCACCTCCTTATTCAAATGTAATTCTTGTTTATTTATAGTTCTCTAATCTTTTAATTCCATCAGTGTTCTTAGTAGATCTTCTCATTTTAAATTTCTCAAATTCAACATTATCATAAATATTAGCAATATATGTTCCTCTTATAATAGGTTCAAAATCACAATTTCCAGTATCCAAACTTCTTACATTATTTATTAACGATAATGTATATTTTGTACCAGTACTGTCACTTTGATATATATTCATTATTTTAGGCATATCTTCAAGATGAGAAATTGAAATGAATATAGATCCATTAACAGTATCAAGTACAGTAAAAGTATATTTTTAATGATCCTCTATAGGTAAAACCAATTCCACAGGATTGAGAGTACCTTATTTAATTACTTCTAAATCATAACCCTTGCTAAAACTATCAGCATCTATCAAAATAAAGAGATATTCTTTTGTCTGATAGAAACCGTAAGAATTATTTCTAAGTAATTTAAATGTGTTAAAGTAATCATCACTGTAACTTACTTATTAATGACCTTAATCATTGATATAAGATGCAACAATTCTAGAATCAGGAATTTCTGGTAATTCTATTAATTTATCCCATATAGCATCTCTGGTTCTATTAAGTACCATCCTCCAATTTGCTCCATAATCATTACTTACATAAATCTATTTCTTATATTTATCTTTGCATAAGGTTGTTGATGAATTACATCTAAAATCTTTAAAAGCCATTAGACTATGTGCTTCTAAGGAATTTAGTTTGAAATCATGTAATGTTTTATCATGTTTAAATTTAGTATAGGTTTTTCCACAATTTTAAGAAACATAAGATGTATCAAAATCTCCAATAAAATAAAGTACTTAAGAATCTGCTTCAGATTATAAGATTTCTCTTATAGTAAACTAAACAAAATATATTAGATTGAATTACATTGCTTATAAATTTAGGCATTTCAGATGTAAAATTTTTATAGAGCATACCCTTTGCTGTAAGTATGAAGGTTTCTGATTTGCACCATATGACTTACTCAAGTGGAGAATCTAAAATTTTCTGTGATAACACCACTTGTAGCAATAATAATGTTAACATAATTAATTTATAAACTTAAGAGTCAAATATCTTATATAGATAAATATATTAAACTTAAATGTTGAGTTCTAAGGCTGGTGTTGATCATGTGTTACGTTAATTTGCTAATAAGAGAGTATTAATAAGAGTAGATTTCAATGTGCCTATTAAAGAAGGCAAAGTGAAGAATGCTACTAGAATATAAGGAGCTATTCCAACAATTAAAAAGATATTAGAATAGAATCCAAAGAATATAACATTAATGTCACACATGGGAAGACCAGATGGAAAGAGGTAATAAATAATAATATTAATATATATTAGAGTTGATAAAGATTCTCTTAAAATAGTTGTTCCTAAGTTAGAAGAATTATTAGGCACTAAAGTTAACTTTGTTAATGATTGTGTAGGTTCAGAAGCAGCTGAAGCTACAAATGCTGGAAATGGATAAATTAATTTATTAGAAAATCTTAGATTCCATATATAAGAAGAAGGAAAAGGTGTTGATGCAAATGGAGCAAAGATTAAAGCAGATAAAGAAAGTGTTAAGAAATTCAGAAAAGAATTATCTTCTTTAGGAGATATTTATGTTAATGATGCATTTGGTACTGCACATAGAGCTCATTCATCTATGGTTGGAATAGATCATAAAATTAGAGTTGCTGGTTATTTAATGAAGAAAGAACTTGATTATTTTGCTAAAGCCTTAGAAACACCTTAAAGACCATTCCTTGTTATTTTAGGAGGTGCTAAAGTTGCTGATAAAATCCAGTTAATTAAATCTATGCTTGATAAAGTAGATGAAATGATTATTGGTGGAGGTATGGCATTTACATTCCTTAAAAAAATTCATAATGTTCCAATTGGAAAATCACTCTTTGATGAAGAAGGATATAAAATTGTTGATGAAATTCTTACTAAAGCTAAAGAAAAGAATGTGAAAATTCATTTACCAGTAGATTTCATTTGTGGTACAGGATTAGATGCATCTAGTCCTGTTTCATTACATGATCTTAAATCAGGAATACCAGATGGATGGTTAGGTTTAGATGCAGGATAATTAACATAAAGAGAAAATGCTGAAGCTATTGGAAGAGCTAAAACAAGTTTATATTTTTTAGATTTTAATTTTAGTTGTATGGAATGGACCTTAAGGAGCATTTGAAATTGAATAATTCAAGAATGGTTCTGTGAGTATGTTGAATGCTTTGGTTAAATAGACTTCAAATGGTGCTACAACTATTGTTGGAGGTGGTGATACTGTTAATCTTGTTGGAGCTAATAAGGCTAATGATAAACTAAGTCATGTTTCAACTGGTGGAGGTGCTTCATTAGAATTATTGGAAGGAAAGATATTACCAGGTGTTGAATATCTTACCAATATTAAAGATTTATGATAGATATATGATTCATATAATACAATTTAATATCATTAATTATTTAAATGGATAAGCAATTACAATAACAAATCGATCTCATTATGTAAGATAATGTTTAAGGAGCATTGATTGTTGATTAATTTGGATTCCCTTTAGCTAATAAATCATTGAATCCTCAATTAAGCCAATATGTTAAAAATATAGCAGATTGTGCAACAGCTTTAAAAGACTAAATACCTATTATAGCCATAGAGACTGGTGAATCTAAAACATATATAATCAAACCAGGATCTAAATTTAGTCTATGCTTGCTAGCTTGAATAATATATATATATAATATAAATGGCATTTATTTATCGTTCTCGTAATCAAAGTTAAATTTTGGATTCTTCACCAGGTCCAGGCTCTTATGAATTAGACAGGAAGTGGGAGAGAATGAGCACTCAAGTACCATCTTTGCCTTTGGTTGAAATCCCAAGAAAATTAAGTCCTGGACCAGGTGCATATGATCATAAAGGTTCATCTCAAAATAGCCAAGTTGCTAGTGCAATCTTCAAAAATGAAGAAGAAAGGTTTAAAGATGAGAAATATGGGTTAGTTGGGTAATAATATTATCTATTATTATAGTCCAGGATATTATGATATTACTATGTTATAAAAACATAAACATCCTCATTCTCATCGTCCAAAAATCATAGAATAATTAATGTATGCAGGAACCTATTAAACAGCAAATTCAATACCTTATGAAAGTATTTTTACACATAAATTAAGAGAGATAATAAGCCAACGTTGGACCTGGGTATTATGATACACAGCTTTCTCAACTTAATAAACATGCCAGTTTAGTAAGTAATTGGTCAAGGAGATCCTCTAAACATGAAGAAGTAGAGAATCCTATAGGTCCTGGACATTATGATGTTGATAGATTTTATAGGTATAGAGATAGAAAAGTTGGATAATAAATTAAACTTTCTACATCATAAGAACCTAAATTTTATGTTAAAAAAGGATTAGATAATAAAATCTATTATAGTTTCTAAAAGTCATCTACACCTGATTCTGATTCCTCATAATATGAATATTTAGATGATTCTACTCCAGGTCCAGGTTATTATTAAACTTAATCAACTGCTATTTCTACAGGTGCTAAACTATTAACAAAAGCACCAAGATTTGCTCTTAAAAATTAAAATATTCCTGGACCTGGTTAATATAATCCAGCTTTAATTTCTATTAGTTAATAAGTAGAATTTCCAAAGGCAGAAAGATTTAAATAGAATTCTAATTCAATTTCACCTAGTCCAGTAACCTATTCACCTAAAACTTCAATGAAAGATAAGATAGTCTAAAAGTTGATTCAAAGTCCTAATTAAGAGGTTGGTAGTAGATTACCAAGATTTTCTAAAAAAAAATAAAAGAATACTCCTGGACCTGGATATTATTATAATGAAACTAGCAATATAGAAAAAAAAGATGTCTCATCAAGTCCATTTAAAAGTAAAGTTAAAAGAACATCATTGAAAACTAATGAAGATGTACCACCTCCAGGATTTTATGATACATCACTTGGATCCATTTAAGAGAAATTGAAAAGTTAAATTGAATACAACATTGAATAATTAATAGACAAACCACCATTTGGAATAGGAGAAGAAAGATGGAAATAAGCAATTATAGAAGAATCTGAAGATGAAAGGATAGAGAGAACATCTAATTATAAGAAACCAATTTCTAAAGATCCACCAGCATTTGGTTTAGGATAATAAAGATTTCAACATCAGAATAATGAAAATCCAGATCCTTTATCATACAATATTCAACTTTAATGGGTTAAAAAGAGCTTTAATTTTTAGTAAATTAAAAAATGAACTTTATTTACTTAATTTTGTATTCAATTTTTGGTTATGATTAAACTTTTCTATATTAATAATAAATAATATAATTCATTAGATTAATTAAATTAAAGAAATTGAAAACTAAATAAGTATTAATTTATTTCTTTATTAAAATAACAAACTTATACAATGAAAATATAATTAGATATTTCTATCCTAAATGAAAATAAAAACCAATAAAAATCTAAACTTAATCAATTATTCATTGAATTCCAATAGATCCATTAATAATTTTCACTAATATCTTAGAAAAATACCAAAACATAAAATTCAACTTTATTTTTAAATTAAAATTTGATTGTACATAAAAAGAAAACTTGCAATTTATTTTCAAAATTTACAATAGAAATTATTGTCTAATTTACTCTGTATTTAAATGTTAAATAGATTATGTAATTACGAAGAGTAAATAAATTATTTAATTTAATTATTTGTAAATCTCTGCCTATTAGGATTATCTAATACTAGCATATACTAGAGAATATTCAAAGTAATTTAATTTAAATTCCATAAATAATAAATATGATACCTGAATAAAATTTTCTAGAAGAAGATATATTTATAGATTGGGATAATGTATGGAATTTCAAAGAAATTAATAAAATTTATGGTTCTAAAGAATTAGAACCAGAAATCTATTAAGTGTTCAAATTTATGTATATTTCAATATATCCTGATTTTCCTGAAGTTATTACTCTAGAATAAATTAAAAAGATGTTATCTCGTCCATATCTCAGATATGATGTACCTGAAAGTAATAAAATACTTACTGAAAAATAAATAAATGCTTTATAAGATGTGATGTTGCTAGATACACAAAAAATTAATGATCAATATAAATTTTCTGCATATATTTGTTTGTTATTATAAAAATATGTACAAATGACAAAATGTGATGCATTTAAAAATAAAGTTTAAAGAGATTAATTACTAAAACGAGAAAGTCTAATAGCTGAAAGGTTAAAAATACTAAATAAACTTAATTAAAAAATAATCAAATGATTATAAGTAATTAATTTTAAATATTGACTTCATTACATATATATTACTGATAATAACATTTATTTTAGTGTTATTAATACTCTTTATTTTAAAAAATATACATTATTAGAGTATTATTTCTTAAATATCATTTTGTACTATAATATATTTATAAACTTTTTGTATATAAAGATTATAAATTATCACTTAAATTTGAATATCAATTAGTAAATATGATTAAATCAAATTATTTTATTAATTTTGGTAGCTTCTTTTATCTATTATGCAATTTCAAGAAGCTATTTTCTTATATTTGCTTTACATTTCATATCATTTTCTTATTATGCTTATCGTATGAGTGTTTCATATCTTTCATTTAAAAACTTTAATTTTATTTCAATTTCATTTTATTATTAAGGTGATAAAGGTGATGTTAATCTTTTTTTAGCAACATTCTTTTTTTCAGGACTTTAACCTGTATTTTTCATATCCTCTAAACAATCTCTAATTACTTATTTTAATTAACTTTATCTTGTATTCTCATTTATTCTAGGACTAAAGTATGTTGGTAAAATTTAATCCAAGTTTAATTTATTTACAGTTTTTTAATTCTTATATCCTTAATTATAATATGATTCTTCAAAATCTTACTTAAATTATCTCTAATTTCTATCTTCCTAATCAAATTTGATACGAATTGATTAATATTTCATATTTAAATCTTTATAATCTAAGGTTAGTTATTATATTATATCCTAATATTCCAAAGTTTTCACTACTAATTCTTAAATACGCTTAGCCATCTATTCTTCTCTACATATTCTATTTGTTTAAACTTCATCAATACTTTTATAATATACACGATCTTTTTCATCTAATTAGTATCTTAAATTATTAATTTGTTTTTCAAATTCATTCAACCTAATTTATGGATGCTATTGTTTATAATTATCATATTCCTTTTAAATATGCTATAATTCCTTATCTAAATAATCAATCCTACTCTCTAGATTACATATTATTGAATCTTTATATTCCAACTTTTATTTATACTCTTAAATAGTATTCAAAAGAGTTGAATTTTCTTCAAACTTTTTTAATTCTGCCTTGTGTAATAGACCCTTTTCATTATTTTTATATGCTTATAATTGTCGTTAAAGATACTCATTTGATGATTATAGCTCATGTTTATCATGTTTAAGTTCTTCATTCTTTCTTATTAGTTCTGATACACGATCTTAATAATCTTTTAAATGCTGAAGTCTCTCTACTTGTAATTATTCTATTTATTAAGATGCCTTGTTATTCATTTCAAACTCTTATTAGATTTTAGACAATTGAAATTGCAGTCTTTCCTTTTCTCCAGATAATTCACTTATTTATTGCTTAAGATGTTCTATTATTATATCTTATGGTGATATATCAATTGATTTTCGTATGCCATCCTATTTTAATTTATCTTGCATATTTTTCATTGCTGATGCATAAGCATTACTCATGGTTGGAGTAGTTGGAGAAGTAGAAGAAAAAGCTCTTTAAGTTATTCTTTGTTCTCTGTGATGCATGATAAATATAATTTTTATTTTTTTATGAAAAAAGTCAATTCTAAGTCTTTCGGTATTGAAGTTCATTTTTCAATAAAAGGTATTAGTAAAAGGAAAAAGCTCATTTAAGGATTTTATCAGTTTAAATCTATTTGATTTCTTCTCTAAATTTATTCAGCAACTACTCTATACTAATATAATTTAAATATTTCTTTATTTTTTAACATAAAAATTATATTAATCTATAAAAACGATAATAAACACATAAAATTCAATTAAAAAAAATGATTGTTGAATTACACTTTTAATGTCCTTAGTTGTATATAATATACTTCAATACTAAAATAGCAATTATCAATATACATCAATATAATTTAACAATTCCTCTTCTTAAATACTAATAGGATTATTACCATTAATGTTAATAAATAAATTTTGTTATTAATTACTTTTTATAATTTAAATATTAATCTAATTGTCATTTTAATTCTTTCAAATTGCTAAGATAAATTAAATAATTGTAACATTATTATAATGATTCAAAAAGATTTTTTTAAATATCACATCTCCAATTTTAAGGAAAACGATTACCTACTGATAATATTTATTTTAATTATATCTAAGAATATAAATTAATCTAATAATTGATTGAGTATTTTCCAAAATTATAAAATCAAATTTAATTAATAATTCTGATTGAATATTAAAATATATAGATAATCTACTAATTTATTTATGATCATCTTTTATAAGAATACTTATAATATTATCCACTTATAATATTATTAAAAAATTAAAAAATAATTAAAATATCTTTCATCTAATTAATACTAAATTCTTTAAGTATTTTAATATTATTATTTGTTAGAAGTCTTCTTTGAATTATTTCAAATAATTCTAGAATACAATATAAATAATGATAATATTATTAAAGTATGATATTCAAATATCTATAGTAAATTGTGACACTTCTTATTTGGTTTCTTAAAGCCATGGATGATTTAAGACTTATTTAGTATTCATTCTATTTTTAGGATCTATATGTATAAGATTTTTAATGAAATCTTTTAATTCTGGAGTGAATTTAGATGGAAATCGTATGTTTCCACTTAAAATGATTTATTACATTTCCAAATAAGATAGATCTTCCCAAGGAGTCTCACCACTACATAATTCATATGCTAGTACACCCAAAGACCACATATCTGTACTTTTATCATAATTCTCTCCCTTTATAATTTCAGGGGAAATGTAAGCTAGAGAACCACATTGTGTAGATCTTTCTTATTGTGGAGAATAGATAGAATGAGTGAAATCAGCTAATTTAACTTAATCATAGCATAGGAAAATGTTTTCTGGTTTTAGATCTCTATGAATGATACCATTTCTATGTAGATAATTTAAGGCTAATGCAATTTATTTAATATAAGATGCTGCTACTTATTCAGTAAATGAAGTTTCTGGTAGTGATCTTAAGACTTTATGTAATTATCCATGACAACAATATTCTAATACAAGTATGATATCAAGAGCTATTTATATATATAAATATAATAACTGGTTTGGAAGAAAGTGTAGAGTTTGACAATATTTGGATGATTGAGAAGATATTAAATTTTCAATTCTTATGCTATACTTTTCCAAATAGACTAAATTTATTATTTTTTCATTATTTTAAGTGCAACATGTATTCCAGTAGTAATTTCACATGCTAATTGAACTTCACTATATTTTCCTTTGCCTATGAATTATAACATATTATAATTTGACAATTATTAAGTTTTTGGTAAAATGATCTTGGATATCACTTTTTTGAATTGAAATTATTCTGTATTATAATCTTGAATATGAAGAACATTTTAATTGATTTCAACTAATTTTTATCCTGAATTAGCATTAGATCTAATTCTTTTCTTAGGTTTTTCATTTTGATTGGATTTCTTCTTAATAGTTTTTAAGAGAGTATCAATTAGTTCTTTTCTGTTAATTTTAGGATCAATAATGTCTTACTAGGTATGGAGAGGGGAATTTAATTTGTTAATAAGTTTAATAGGATTGGTTGATGCAGATCTTGAAGACGGTAGTTTATGCATTAATATATTATCGTTATGAACACACAACTAAAAATATTACAATTCAAGTATGAAATAGGACAACCAAGTCAGTTTTATTTTTTGATTGCATCAGGTAAAGAATTGTATTTCACAAATACATTGAAACTTTAACATGGACTCAATGACTTTAGAGATAAATTCAATATTACAATCTCATAATTCATTGATTTCTAACTATGGGATTATTGGGGAGATCCTATAATGAAAGGAATGGGAAGACTTGATATTTAAAAGGTTCTTAAAGAACGTAAGGATATGCATATAATATAAATCTGGAATGATGTTAAAGTGGGTGAGCTAATGATTTAACTTATTTTTGAAGAAGAAATGTTATCTCTTTAGTCATCATTAAAAGAAAAATCATCATTTGGTCTATAACCAAGTTTTTTGAGTTAACAAGGAGCTTCCTTTTATGACAATTATCTAACAGATAAGCCTTTAGTGTATATGTCAGCTTCACGTGGTACTCAATATAGACCTACTCAGTCCCCTGCATTATAGATAAAAAAATGATTATTTAATTTTATGGACTAAGAGAGTGTTTTTGATCTATCTTCTTTATCAGATTTTCAATCATTTAAGATCTACAAAAATTCCAGATTGTTTGAGAAAAATCTATTAAGTATAGTATATTGATTAGTCAATAAATGCAATGTCTATATAAATTAACATAATAATGACTATACTAATAGATTGAACTTGTTGATCATAAAGGACAAGAATATATATATTTATGCATGGGTTTAAATTAAATTGAATTTACATAATGTTGAACTTAATTTCAAAAATTCATTATAATGATGTTCTTAATTATAGACTATGAAGCCATCTATAGAAATTACATGGATGGATATTCATTGATGATTCAATTTAGAGAAATAAGAACTATTATAAAATTATTAATATATATTCAAAGAAAAATAATGATCATGTTTATTTTATTAACTAAATTAATATCCATTTGATGATATATTCAATAATCTAATGATTTTAGTAATAATAATAATATACTCTTTTTACATTTCATATTATTTTTCTAATAACTAGAATATAATCTTATAAGATATATTTCTAATTTTTCTAAAGGAAATTATGATAATAATTATGATTTCATAGTTAACTCTCTACTTTTTCTTTATTTAAAAAAAAACAACATCATAGATATGAGATATTAAAATGTCATATTGGAACAATAAAGAAAAAAGGAGTTACAATTCTTTCTCTAATGGCAATACAAATCAATTATTCTATAATTAATTTTATGTGAAATTACTAAAATCCAGTTTCTTTATTATTTTATATATGTGTTAATCTAATTTATACTAAAATTATATTTATAAGTGGATTAGCATTATAAATTAGTGACTTATTTTCAAAAATATCAAAACAAAGTTATTTTGTATAAATTACAAAAATTTATAGTATTATATATTGTTGACATCAATATTTTAAAAGATTTACTTTAGCATTATTTGTTGTTATAAATCATTGATAAGAAAAGAAGTTATATTTTAAATTTTTAGTTACAAACTTTGTAGAATCTAATTACTTTATATTTTTAATACAACAAATATATAAGGATAATAAAATACAAGATTTTCTTGATCAATTTGAAGTATTAGTATTATTAATAATACTAATTTTTGCAGAATACAATCACTACCAAATTGATTTTACTATTTTTAAATTATATTATGTAATCTCTAGTTTTATCAGCTAGAATTCCTTCAACTTCAATTTTACATAAGAAGAAGTCCTCAGATTTTCACAGTGTAAACTCAAATCTGACTAGAGTACAATCTCCATCTGGAAATAAAATAAATTAAGCATTTGGTCGATGTTAGACAATGAAAACATTGAATAGTGAAAGAGATCCTGTTGAAATAACAATCTCTTTAATTTTAAATGGACAGAAGTAATTCAATCATTATTAAACTAGATTTATTGTTCCTATTAGCATTTACTAAAATACCACTGATTTATATAAGAAATTAATTGGAAAGGTACTACAAGTGAATCCAACTCTTGTAAATAAAATAAAACACTTTCAAACACACTCAAGTGTTAAGAATTATAACATTGATTACTACTTATCACTTGAACTGAAACCGTTAGAAGTATTTGAAGAATAAAGACATTTGAAATTAGAACCTTATTATTCAAATTCAGTTGGCAATCAAATGAGTATTGAAGATTACGATATACTGAAATGTATAGGTGTAGGGTATAATTAATATATATATGGCAATAGTGGATTTTCAAGAGTATATTTAGTAAGAAAGAGAGATAATGGTTTATTTTATGCAATGAAACTGATAGATAAGAACTTCATTCTTAAATCTAATAAGGAAATAATCATTTGTAATGAAAAATATGTAATGGAACAATTAAATTCTCCTTATTTAGCTAAATTATTTTATTCATTTGAAACTAAATTCTATCTTGTTTTTGTTATGGAGTAATATATCCTATTAAATTTAGATATTGTGCAGGTGGTGAATTATTTTATCATTTGAGAAAATGGAAAAGATTATCAGAACCATTAGCAAAATAATATTTTGTTTAAGTTTGTTTAGCAATCAATGAGTTGCATAAATTTGAGATTGTCTATAGAGATATCAAACCTGAAAATATATTATTAGATTTGGATGGATATATAAGACTATCAGATTTTGGTTTGTCTAAACCTAATATGAATAGAGATGAAACAGCATATTCATTTTGTGGATCACCTGAATATATGTCACCAGAGATGTTAAAAAGAGAAGGACATAATTATATGGTGGATATTTATTGTTTAGGTGCATTGCTTTATGAATTTATCTTTGGATCACCTCCTTTTTATTGTAGAAACATAGACTAAATTTATAATAGTATTTTAAATGATAAACTTTAATTTCCTCCATATAAAGATATTAATCCTGATCTAAAAGATTTGATTTCTAAATTATTAATAAAAGATCCTACTAAACGTTTGGGAGCATAAAATGGTATCAAAGCTATTTTATAACACAAATGGTTTTAAGATTGTGATATTGAAGCCTTAGTTAAAAGGAAATGTGAGATCAGTTATAGACCAATGCCATTAAAATATAATTTTGATGAATTGGAATTTAGCAAAGGAGATCATGAATTTTAAAAAAAGCTTTATGAAAATTTAAGATTGGAGAAATAGGTTAAATTTAAAAAAATATAATTATAGGGTAAATTTACTCGTTCATTTCCACATTTTGAATATGTTAATAAAAGAATTGTAGATTATAGATAAAACATATTAGAATAATTAACAAAACCAAGATAGATCTAAGGATTATAAGGATTACCTAAACAGTAATAAAAGACTCAAATATGTTTATCACCAGTATCTTAAGTAAAAGAACATTCAAACATTTAATAATTGATTTCAGGATCCTTTAAATAATCCTCTTAAGCTAAGCGGTTCAATACAGATATGGACCTATTTAAATTGATGAAATAAGTATGATTATTATTAAATATATATATATATATATATTTTGTTTTTAATTTCATTCTTCTTCAACACCTAATAATCTTATGATATCCTTACAATAAGAAAATAATTTTTATGATTTCAATGATTCCTATAAGTAATTTTCAATTTAAGTTATTTTATGATAAGTCTTTAAACTAAAATAATTAACATAATTTCTATTCTTAATAAAGTAATCAAAGTCTCTTATAATTTATTAATCAAACTCCTTAACATTATTATTATTAGTCTTCTAATTGATAAGAGTAATGAGAACAGTAAAGAACTTTGGTAATCTATCTTAGATTTTACATTTGACTATTTAATCAATATAATGTATTAGATATTAATAATGATAAGTTTCGCATTATTATCTTAAAAAATCTATTGGAATTTCCCAATGTTTTAAGTTTCTACTTATTTCTGGAATGAATATCTTTTCTTTACTAAAGATAATTATAATTCTCTTTAATTTACAACTTGAATCATTAATTCTACATCCTCCATCAACCCCATCATTTAAATTCTATTGTAATAATTCTTTATCTTATTAACTTAATTTATGTGTATATCGAACTAAAACAATTCTAGGATTCCTTTAACATTCTGGAAATGTAAGTTTATTAAGTCCAATTACAATTTCCTTACCATTTAGATGAATCATGGCTGTTAAGAAATCAATTAAAAATTAACTTTTATCAAGAGATGGACTGAATGCATTAATCACTAAACCTGAAGTAGATTGAATATGTAATAGATTAATTAGATACTTAATATTTCCAACCTTTTAACAGGTAGCTCTCCCTATTAATCTACTAAATTAATAGATCCCATATAAAAATAATGTTTATTCATTGAATAAATCTGTAATATCAGAGAAGAGAGGGAAATAGTATTACTCACCTCTTTGAATTTTAGCAAAGTTTAATTGAATGATAGGTTATTTGATCATATTCAAATACACTTTCTCATAAAAGATACAATTTTTAGTAATACAATTTGAATCTCCATTTAATTAGAGTAATATTCTATTTGCAGTCTTGCATTCTTGTATGATATTAGAATTCAAATAGAATTTATCATAATATTGTAAAGATTCAATAGCAATGCATACTTTAAGTTCTTCTGGAATTTATTATTGAAGTGTATTTTGAAGTAGACAAGTACAAGAGATATAATAAACAGGATCTGATGCAATTGAGATACTCAACATCTAAGGTTGTTCTATTACATATTCAATCTTTGGTAAAATTATTATATCATCATCTTCATCTAATAAAATTGTTTAAGGAGCTTTTAATTATTATGTTCCATTTTTCTATTGTTAATTGATTGAAAATGGTTTTTCATGTTTAATTGTATATTCATCTTTTTTCATTTTAACTATATCTTACTTTTGTTTACGAGTTGCATCATGCAATTCTACTAAAGAGGTTCTTACTTTTAACATAGTATCTGATAATATATGTCCACATCTTCTGAGTAATTTGAACTTTCTTTCAAATGATTCTTAATCTGAAGGAGGAGGGAAATAATTTTTAGGAATCTTTTAGTAGTTTTCTCCTTTAGAAGCGGTATTGAGTCTTTTTAGAGTTGCTTAAAAACTAACTGATTAAGATAAATCTAGGACATCTTCAGCTTTACGAACAATTTCATTTAATCTTAAATATAAATGTTCTAGTGTACGATATATTTCATCATTTATATGATCTGGTAGTAGTTCCTCTACTTACATTATTTTTTTTAATTAATAATCATTGTCCTTTAAACATTTGAGTAATATTAATTTTAAAAAATCATTACAATAAATATATCACTATTCAAATTTTTAACTTTCATCATCACTTTAATATTCTTCTTCTTCTTCATCCATTTCATCAATTTCATCATGTTCCAGTAATCCACCATATAATTTTATTAATTCTTCAGAATCTTCTCTTTCATCAAAAATCAATTGAAATTTATTATTTTCTAATAAATTGTCATAAAAAATAAGATGCTTTTTACAAGGTGGCCATACATTAGCATCTGGTGGTGGTATTATTGTATCGATTGATAATCTCATAGCATTTTCAACCATTTAAGGTATTATTCTCTATAAAACTGGACTACTCGTTTCTAAACAAGGATTAGTATTTATCTCAATTAAATATGGTTTGAATTATGAATCTATCATAAAATCTAATCCAAATATCTCAAAATTAAATTCCTTTTTATGTGGAGCTAATTTACAATATACTGATTTTATGCTAATTGTAGCTATTTCAATCAATTAAGGATATAAATCCTTATAGAAATTATATTTTTTTGGTTAATTCTCCAAATAACGTTGAAACTCAGATAAAGATAATTTATTGCCATTTTCATATTTCCCATATGTGTCAGCATATTTCTATATGGCATCATTTGTTAAATGAACATAAAGATTAGCAGGATCATCAAGATCGAATTCTTCTGATGAAGTTCTGATATATCCATCTTCATACCAATAAGCTCTAAAAATATTATTCAATTAAGTGATAAGAAAGTAACACCTGATATCAAATTTTCTTTTATTATATAGAAATGGTTTCTCAATGTACCTTTAAATTAAATATGTAAATGGCTTTCCATTTTAATGCACTTACTTTTTACTAATAATTTTATTAATCTCAGTTAAATTTTGACAAACTATGATTCCAGTTCCTCTGTTTGTAAATTCACCAGGTTTGACTATCCAAGTAGAGCCTCTAGATAGTAAAATAATAATACTTTGATAGTTTCTTGTAATGTTCTAAGAATTATAAATAAACTTTGTCTCTAGATCCCTTTTATACATGGAATGTCATTGGTATTATGGAATGAATATCCTATTTAGTTAATTCATAATATCTTTTGAGATTGTGATATAAAGCTTTCTTATTACCTAAATGATAATTTTTTTCAATATGATTATGAATCTAAATTTAATAATGATTGAATTACTTTCAAATTTGGATGAACTTTTAATAAGGTGTATCCTTTCTGATTTATTAATTTGAGGTACGCTTTTTAATTTCTTTCTATTTATTTATAATCAGAATCATCATTCATTATTCTCAATAAATAATCAATTTGAATTTTCTTTGCTTTTTATATTAATGATTAAGGTTGATTAATTTTCTACCTCAACAATTACTTAATATCATTTTTTGATTAATTTTAAGTGTCCATATAATTCTATACTTTAATTTATGTCCAAATAAAATTACTTTCAGAATCAATTAATTCAGTGTACTTATAACAATTCCACCACCATCTCAATTTAAATATTTCTTTAATAAGTAGAGAATTATTTCCTCTACCAATTTTAAATTTTAAATCAATCAAACTATCTTATGGTACTGTATAAAATCCACTTTAAGTGGAAACCAAAAATAAGAAATGCTAATAATTTTACAATTTAGTTTAAAATAATTATTCTCTAGATAAAGATGAATAATCAGTTAATGAAAATTTGAAATTATTATTTTAAATTTATGTTGAACTACTTTAAGGAGCAATTATTTTTGGTGGTACTGGACTGGCATTATTATAATTAATAGATTGTTTTTATTTACATTTTTATGGTATTTTGCATTTAATTTTCTTTTCTATTTCTTCAGTAAATGATTAAGATTTATCTACTTCTTTATCATGAGAAAAGGCTTTTTATCTTATTGTCTGTTAAGTTAATACAGTATTTTATTCCATTATTTTATTAAATGGAACTACTTATAATCCCATAATTCCAAAAGATTTTTCTGCTTAAACTCTCTATTACATCCCCTGTAAAATATTCGTTAAAATCTGTTTGGTATTATTAATATCAGATGGATAAAAACCTTTAACTATTCTAACTTAACTATTTTTCTATTCTTCAAGTTAATCACAATTAGTTGTTTGTACTTTTCTTTTATCTTTCTTTTAAGGGCTATTATTTGGAAAAACTACACTGTATGTACCTTGAGTTTAGGGTTCTTATGAAAGATTTCTTTAAATAGTAATAGCTATTTTAAGAGAATAAGAAAGAAAATACCTTATTAGATTCGATGAACTGGTTTACGAGGTTGACTTTGTCGTCTATAAGATATTTTTTAATTAGATGCCTATTCTTTAGTCAAGTCAGAAAATCTAATACTACTCTTTTTATTTAATTCATTGATTTTCTATTTAATAGCTAATCCATTATTAAGTTTTCTAATTGGGGGAGTTTTTATATAAGTTTCATCTTTCTGCATTATTTTATTGTGTTTTTATTATTAACTATTAATTTATAATAGAAACAATTATTTTCTCCTATTATTATTAAATAAAAATGATGTTCTTCAAGTAAGATTTTATAGATTGTATTTTTTAAGCTTCTAGCGTTTTTTCTCTGGTTTTAGTTCAGTGTTAGAGCCTTTACTGTCTCAAGATAACTGTACATTAGAGATGATTCTTGACGAAGACTCTTTATAAGAAATCAAATTGAATGGTGCATAAAAGTTTGGAAATTTGTAAGCATTTTTGATTTATTAAAGTGTTACAAAGAATATAGATACATTTAGTAAGATGATAGGATACTTGTGTGTAAATGAGGATGAGGAATATAACGAGAAAACTTAGATTAGGTAAAATGATTAAACTAAAAAATCATAAGATACCCCTTTATGATAAGTGAAGCTATAGGAAATGAGAATGGTCCAATCATAGATTATCTATTCGAAGCAGATAAATCAAATGCAAATTATGAGCAGAATGAAGAACGTAGACAGGAATTCTTAATCAAGATTTTTGATATCTTAGATAGGGATTACTTGAATGTAACACTTGCCAGTTATTTATCCAAAGTAGTGTGTGCAATCATCAGAAAAAGAGGTTATGATGTATTAATTATGCATAAACTTATAAGCTATGGAGATTTCTATCTTAACCAGAACATAAATCAATTTTAAGTAATTTAATAAAGAATTTGGATGTATTCCATGTTGCTGAAATCATTGAGAAGTTGATTATACTAGACACAAATCAAGAATTATAAGATAATCAAACTAATTTCTAAGAAGAAAGAAGCGATCTCTTACGTCGAGTAATTAGAGTCTTCGAATATAAAACTCATCAAATTGACATTACAGATAATTCTAGTCATATAATCATTGAAATTCTAAATAAGACAGAATAGTTTCTATCAGTCCTTAATATCCCTGAAAAACTCTTTGCTATTGCTGTAAAACATCTTTAATTTAATCTTAGTTAAATTCAAGTTCAGCAACTGTAGTTTAAGTTTTAATCACATTAATTGAAGCCATTCATAGATATGTATAATAACAAGAGGAGAAGAATCCATCTTATCAATTTAGCTATAACTAATTCTATCCTATAGCCTAAGAGTTCAAAAATGCCTTGTTAGCTGAAAAGATATCCATAAGTAATTTTATTTACTTATTCAAGGTGCTTTTAACACTACCTATGGAATTTCACAACAGCCCTTTAGCTAAATGAAATTGAAATTGATACAATTATATCTATCTATCTTGAGAATTAATAATGTTGAGTTTATCAATCAATTTGATCATAAAGGAATCTATGAATCACTCATGAAGTTTGTTATTCAATACGAATTTAACAATCAATTACAAAATTACTTTTATGAAATTACAATCTTCATTTTTGATAGACCTCAATTTGAAGTCATATAAGAGGAGTTCCTATCTCTAGATCTTTTATCTTTCATTATGAAGTACAATAGATATGAAAAAGAGAATATTGGAGCTTTGAATTCAAAAATTAAAAGAGGTTATGTTGGAATTTTGAGTAAACTTGCTTATTATTTCATTAATAAAATTGAAAACAATAAAGAATGGAATCAATATGTTGAATAAGTACTTAATCCTGTTAGGACTATTGAAAATCAATTTATGCTTGGAATCAATCCAAAACCTAAAATACCCATTGATACAAATGATGATAACATGAATGAAATGTTTAAAGTATTATAATTCATTTTATCTCTAGAACTTTCCAAAAAATAAATATTCTCAATAATAAACATAAATTTAATAATAAGATTAATAGCCTACTGTTGAAGTTGAAGAAGAAACAGATGAATAATAAAATACTGATGATGCTGATGAAAATCTTATAGGCTCTTAAAAAGAAGAAGATGAATAAGAATAAATCTCAGAAGTCAACTCTAAAAAGCCTGATATGTTAATAGAGGTTGAAGAAATAGAGAAAGTTATAAATAGTCCAGAAACTAGTCCTAAAGTTGGTAATCAAATATTCATTATTTTTAGTTGAATAAATTATTTAATTCCAAGAATAAAACTTAAAGACATCTCCATAAGCAAGCGAGATTCTCACTGATTAAACTGTTAATAAATATTGGAAGGCTCATGAAGGTATGGAACATCAAGAACCTGGCAGAAAGGGTTCACATGATGATATCCATAAACATCAAGCTGAACATCATGAATAAGTGAGATAAGATGAAAAACCAAAGGAAAATTAAGATAAGCATGATGAAAAATAATAAATTGTAACTCAAGAGAATTTAAAAGTTGAAGTTTAAGAAGTTAAAGTTGAAGAAATCGATTCACCTGAAGAATAATAATAATAAGAAGAATAATAAGAATAAGAATAATAATAATAAGAAGAATAATAAGAATAAGAATAAGAATAATAATAATAATAATAATAATAATAAGAATAATAAAAAGAATAATTATAAGAAGAATAATAAGAATAATAAAATAAATAAGAAGAATAATAAGAATAATAATAATAATAATAAAAATAATAAAATAAATAAGAAGAATAGGAAGAATTAATCAGTTGATTCCATTATTACATAAAATTATACATTATTTATGTTAATTCAATTTTTTTATTTCTCTAAATAAGCTATTTTAAATAGAATCTTCAATTATCTATTCTCTAAATACTGTATAATGTAAAATTATACTTATTTTTACTTTAATAAGCATATTTTTATTATTAAATTATGATAAATTCATTTACTATAACAGTTTCCATCAAAATTATTTGAATTTAAGTTTTGTTTAAATTCTCTGTTTAATTTATAAGTTAATTAATTCAAAAATAATGATATTTAATACCTTTTTATAAGCAATAATTCTTAAACATAAAAATTTAATAATTTTGCTAATCAATTATGAGAATAGTGAGTAAGGAGATTAATAATACTATTTCTTATGATTAAAAATGTGAATTTATTATTATATTTGTAATTAGTAACATATGCAACTAATTATAATGATTTTTATAATTAATTTGATTTCTTTTAAATTTTATGTAATATTGATAAATATTTAAATTAATTTGATTATTAAATATATGAATAAAGAATAAGATGACTAGGAAAGATAGCCTATACTAATTGAAAAAGATAATTAATTTTTTGATTGGGAGACATTCAAAAAATAATACTATCAATAAGAAAATGTGTTATAAACAACTTTGAAATAGTTTAATGAATTCCATAGTGATATTTCAAGAAAACTAATTTAATTAGAGTATTAGAAATTTATAGCATCATAGTAAATCAGATCCAATTTGTGAAGAAGATGAATAAGACAATCGAAAATAATTTTAATCGATTGACATTAAAAAGTATTAAGATTAATTTGATGATTTAAATTTGATAATGAGTACAATGTCTAGAATGCTTAATGAATATACAATCAGTCCAGAAGAAGTTTAAGCCAAATTGAAGAATAATATGTTAAGAAGATTCAAAGAAATTCATTAAGAACATGAGAAAGAAGTCTTAAAATTGAAAGTACTACTTGAAAGCATAAATAGTAAGCAATGAAAACAAATATCTAAAAATATGAGCTATTTAAGGAAGCAATCATAAACCAAAATACAACAGGAAATTAAAAATATAAAAGAGATTACCAGCTTAATGATTTTCTGTCAAGGGGAGTGAATTAGGCATCTCATGTACTTGATATGGCATCAACAATACATTCAAATCTTTAAGATCAAGGTTATAGTGTGAATTCTATATAAAATAAAGTCACAGATTATATTGGTATTTAATTTTTTGATGAGTAGGATAATTTGAAGGAATCAACTAATTGATAAATGGAATACGCTATCATAAAAATAAGGGTTAATTAATATTAATGGGTTTAATTGCTTTATTAGTTTTGATAATTTTATTTAAATTGATTTGATATAATAATTTATCTAATAAAAATTGTAAAAAAGTAAACTAGTATATGTAAAACAATATTTACAAATAATAGAATATATAGAAATTTAATAATAATATAGTTATTTATTACTTCTTCATTGAATAGTGTGTGTTAATTTAATTTACACTTTTTTTAAAATTTACTCCATTCTGATGAAAAATAAACATATATGTTCTTTAATGCAATCTTAATTAATTTATTCCATATCTTAGTTCTCAATTTCCTATTGTTAAAGTTCTTATATTTTGGTTTCAATTAATTAAATTATAAATCCTAGAGTTTCTGGTAGGTTCTCTAATAATTAAAAATAATATTACATTTTAATATCTAATCTAATTATTATTATTGTTCAACAAGTTAATTTTATAATATTTAAGATTATTTTTTACCTTTATTTTATTTTTTTTATTTCAAATTTTGATTTTATTTTTTCTCATCTCTATGTTCCTAATTTATTTCTTATAAAACATTATTAATTTATTAAATGCTCTCATATTATTATTTAAGATCTACTATTTATAAAAGTAAAGATTCCTTTTCAATTTATTATTAAGATAATTCTTCTGATAATCTAATAACTTGATCTTTAAGATTTTTTATTGAGATTTATGAATTATCTAATTCAAAATCTAAATTTTGAATTGTTTCATGTTACAGTTTCATATCTTTTTAGTATTTTTAACGTTTATTATCTAATTCATTAATTTTTTATTTTAACTTTGTTATTTCATTATCCTTTTTAGATTGTGATGCTGAATAAGTTTATAAACTATTCTAAAATTCATTTTCTAATTTTTTTCTTTCATTTTGAGATTATAATAATTATTCTGATATATCCTTGATTTGTGTTTCTTTTTAAGCCAATTATATATTAAGACTTTCTAATTTATTTACTTTCTACTATAATTAGATATTCTCTTATTTTATTTCTTCTTATTAAATACATATTTCTTAATATTTTTTTTGAAGCTATTCATACTATTTTTAAAAGGATAATCTCTTTTCTTCTTACTATTACTAAGATTCTTCTACCATCTTTTTTAAATGATCTTTTGTTTCTTAATATTAAGATTATGAAAAACCAAATTAATCCTAAAGATTTTAATTTTCAATTAAAACTTCATTTAATTTTCTATGTATTTCTTCATTCTAATTAATCAATTAAATTTTATCTTAATTTAAAGTCTCTTATTAAATGATCATTTATTAATTTATATCTTTTAATTTGGCAATATCATCTTATAAACAACTAACTTTATCTTACAATTATTTAGAATTATGCTATTCTTATTGTAATAACACTTTTGATTAATCAAATTATTATTCTAATACCTCAATATAATTTTTATGATCCTAATTTATTTAAGCAATTTTTTCATTTAAATGTAATATATCCTTTTAGAGATTTTCTAATTAATTATCCTTTTCAATAGTATTTTAGGATTCTAACAATTATTATTTTAAATTCTAAATCTCAGCTTTATCTCTTTCTTATTTTTTGTTAATTTTCTTTAAAAGGAGTTCATATTAAATATTTTGTGATTCAGATTTCTTTAAATTACTTTCCAATTCAGACCCTATGATATATTTAAAAATGTAATACTCCAATTCTTATTCTCATAACATTATGTTGCTTTATCAATTTCAAGATTTTTTAATTTAAGATGCAATTATTATATTTCTTTTTGTAATTGTTTTTCAACCGAATATAATCTCTAATAAATATATATAAGATATATATATACAGTATTTTCAGTTTAGAGACTTTTGATTAATTTGTTTTATCTCTAAAATTCTTCTTCTGATCTAATTATTTCAATTTCTTCGTCACTCATTTTAAAAATATTAATATCAAAAATGGATGAATTAGAAAAGAAATATTAAGATTAGATTAATACTTTATAAAAGGCCATAAAGACATAAAATGAAGTGCTTATTAATAAGATTCAAACTATAATCAATTAATCAACATTAGAAGTGTTTCAAACACTTGAAAGTAACTTTGCTGAATTCAGATAAAATTATAGAGAAATTAGAGATTTTAAATAATAAGAAAATGAATTTGTTAATTATGAATACTTATGTGAGGAGATTTAAAACTATGCCAGCTTAAATTTGAGAAGTAATGTCATATTAAAGTTTAGCTTTGAGAGAATAAATTTCAAATTCAATTGGTGGCTTACAAGATAATAAATAAGTTAAAAATGATGATTAATAAGTGTCATCATTATTAGATGTTATGTAGCTATTACTGAAGGCTGCAGAATTGTACATGAAAAATTTAAAGGAAGCTGTGTCATTACCTAGTCCAATTGCTTTGAAAGATAAATTCAAATAAATTTAATAGGTTGTTGGAGGTTTTAAAGATGGAAGAATAGGTAGAACTATAAATAATGTTGAAAGTATTTCATTTAAAGAGAATTAAATACTTAATTGTAGTTAAATATTTGACATATTTCCTTTATTGAATAAAAATCAAATGTTAATTGCAACTTATGAAAATGAATTGTTTTTATATGATGCAAATTTGAATTCAATAATATAAAGAATAGATTCAATGAGATTTGTACCATGTTCCTGTTTACAATTATTCAAATAGAAAGATAAGAATTTTATACCTTCTAATTTAATGTTATTAGGAGGAAGTGAATTTGATCCAAATATATATTTATTTGATTTATATCATGGAAAAAAGATTTAAACATTTCCTGGACATGAGAAAAGTGTTAGATTTTTATGTTAATTGGGAGATATTAATACATTTGTAAGTTTGGGTAGAGATTCAAAAATGTTCTTTTGGAATTTAATAAAAGGAGAACCACATTAGATATTATCTATTCCAACTATTGAAATTATTGAAATGTAATTTTAGGTTTCTACAAAATGCATTTATACATTAAGTATAGATGGTAGAATCTGTATTATAAAAATATCTGATGATTTATTGAATTTTGGAAAAGCAGAAATAGTTAATTTGATTGAATTAGCATAGACATCAAGTTTATCTTAAATGATAATTGAAGAAAAATTAAAAGTAATATCTTTTAGTAATGGATGGTTGACAGGTTAGAATTCAATTAGAATATATGATGAGATTCCATTATAAACAGCTAGAAAAATGAAGAAAATGTTAGAAATAGGTTTGGAAAGTGAAATTTCATAATTAAATACAATCATTACAAAAGAGTAATTGATTGTAATTAGTATTGATAAAAGTAATGGAAAATTAAGAGCATTTGCTAATGGATATAATTTAAATGTTATTTCTAATAGTTTATAAGATGTTTAAGAATAGACTAAATAATCAAGATGGAATATCAAATTGTTTACTATTAATGGACAATTAAATTTAATTAAGTATGGAGAAAGTAATGAAATTCAGATTTATGAATTAAAATATAAATAATAATGAGTAATAAAATTAGAAGTCATAATATAAATGACTATTACCATGATCGATTGGATTCATCTTTCAATAATGTCAATATCTCATTCATAAGTACACTTCGAGCACCAATTTAAACTAATGATTTAAATAAAACTGTTCATGACATTCCAAGTTGTTTTGGTCGAAAGACTCTTTCAATGGAGAAACGTCATACTACTAAAGATATAGAAAAATTAGGAAATATTTCAATAGTATCATATTAATCTAAATAGAGTATGAACACTTGATACGTAATAGAATAGGAATTAAACCACATCTAGGTTCTATAATTTTCGAAACATCTCTACGTAATAATAAGAAGCGTTCAATCTCATAAAATTAAGAACATAAACCTTAAAAGATAATAACAAAAGAAAGAACTATATTACCTAAAGTACTTAAAGATGCCTTTATAGAAATTTAAGAAAAAAACATCAATTAATTTATTCATTGTCTAAGAGAAGAAGGTTAAGGTACAATAGGACCAGCTTAAGTAGAATGGGTAACTTCATTAAAATCAGAAAGAAAAAAGAAAAAAAAGAGATGAATAATAATATATTAAGTTATTTTTATATTAATATAATTTATTAAGTATTCTCTAGATTATTATTTAGTCAAAAATTTCATTTTATTTTCTTATTGATTATTATTTATTTAAACTAATAATATTAAGTTATATATATATATTAATAATTTAGATTAAATAACTATATTATTTATTAAAAATACTAAAATATATATTATTCAAATTCATTAGTGTAATTCATATATATTTATATATATATTCTTTTAATCTTCAAAATAAGTATCTGTATAATATTAATGGTAAATTGATTCAATCTATATTTAATAAATTATATAAATACTTAATCATATTTATCTAATAATTTTTTAACATTATCATTCATTAAATAATTATAAATTACAATATGAGAAGGTAATTTAGATTGTTATAATTTCTATTAAATATATTTAGCAGAATCTTAATGCAATTGATAAGTTTCCAAAGATGTAACATCATTAGTTGGAGAACAATCTGGGAATGTCATAGAAATATTCTTATGTATAAAACTATAAAATGGAGTTCGATGACATTAAGTGAAAAATTAGACTTCAGTAGCATTCCTTTATCTTAAAATTGACATAGTTTTCAAGGCTCCAACATCTTAATATGTATTCATTAGAACAAAAAAAGATATGTTAGAAATTACAGCTAATAATATTATTATCTTTTTTATCTTTTTCCATTTAATTTTATCTAAATATTCTAAACCTAAACATATAAAATAAATAATGATAGGGAATAATGGAAGTAAGAACCTATCCTCTTTATGAGCTGATAGACTCAACATTAAAATAGTGAAAATCATATAATATATTAATCTAAGTGGTTATGCACTGAATATCCCTTTATTAATATAAGAATAGCTAATTTTAATATTAATATTACATTCCAATAATAAATGAAATCACCCAACCAAGTTATACATATGGTAAACCTTATGTTATAAACCATAATCTATCATGAACTCCATAAAAAGAACTCATTCCTGACAATAAATTAAACTCTAAAAAATTGTAAAATGTTGAAGTTAATTTTCCATGATATAATGAATCAACTGAAATAGATAATATAATTAATAGTAGTAGAGTTATACCATTTATTACTAAAATTTAAAATCTTCCCTTTAGATTAGTTTTTGCAGTTATTAAATGATAAGGCTAATATGATATAATAATGAATTAATTACCCATATAAATATCCAAGGAATTATTGATGATTGACGTGCCATAACATTCACAATAACTAATAATCTACATAACAAATTGTTTTTGTTATGATTAGTTTATAAATATTAGACCCAATTATATAAAGCTAATGTAAAGAGAATTGTTTCAAAAGTATTTATAAGAGTTTTTGAAAAACAATTCAAAGAAAACCAAAGGGTATAATTTACCAAAATTATATATAATTTATTTCTTATTCCCTCTAATGTAAGTAATTTAATCAAATATATATCATAAATAGCTGATATTGCACATTATAATCTAAAAGTTTATAAATCAATATTATACATTCTAGGACCATAAGCAATTATTTATGGATGATCTAAATTCAGTTTACTCAATATCCAATACAATAAACTAAATAAACTATGATAAATTGGGCCTCTTAATGGTTAATCCCTAGTCCATTCCCATGTTAGCCATCCATATCCAAAAACATCATTATGAGCTATCTCAGGACCTTACCACATTTCATCAGCATAAGGAAGTGCTTATGGTATTATCTTTTATTATTAGATATTTATACTGCCAAAAGGACTCTCAAAGCAAAAAAGAAAATATACATATATTATAAATTAATTTATTAATTATTTGTTTATTTAAATATATATTATATTCACACAATGATTTGTTTGTCTTATTATTCTATGATAATAGATTCAAAGCATAAAATCTTTAAATAATTAATAACAATTCATTTAAGGTTTAATTTTTATTAATCATTATAAAAATGAAAATAAAGGTTGATATTAAAAATTAATGCTTTATTTTCTATAAAAACATTTGAGAATATAAATTATTATGATAATAAAGTTCCTCTTAAATTTATTTACTTTTAATCATAATTTATTACAAACTTAAAAACTATTTTTTAATAAATTAATATATATAATAAGTATAGAAATGTTGCTTTGTCTAAATAAATCGTCAATAAAGAGTCTCTTTAGAAGCACTAACCACTCATGTGAAAGTTTAACTGAGAGAGAGAGAAGAAGATCAACTGCTGAAAATTTAGACATTAATACCTATTTAAGTTCATTATAAATGATGAGTGATAGAAAGGATATTGATAAAAGAATATTTAAAAATTTAATTTAAAGTAAAACCAAAAAGACTCCTTTAAAACAAAATCTATTTGCAAGTAATTCAGTAAAGGAATTAAATCAATCTACTTAATAATCAGCATCTAGATAAAAACCATTTACCAGAGCTAGATTTGCATCTCAAAGATCAACAATTTTAGGCAAATAAGCTTAAGCATAAGATTAATATGATGAATAAAATAGTGAGAAACTTTAATTACTTAATGAATCTCTCTTTAAACTTGTTGGATAATTATTAAAATTAAAAGATGAAATGAATAACAATAGAAAGTTTTATCTATAAATTTATAAACTAATAGGCTTAAAGAAAACTCTTTAAAAATTATTATTTAATTTAGAAACATAAACAATAATTGAACCTTTAACAGTATATCATTTGAAATAAAATATATGTATCAAAGAACATGTAATGGATGGAACCACTCTTTTAACTCTTGATACTTATAATTTTAATATTATTAGAGATATCAACTTTTTAATTGAAAAAATTGATGAATTATAAATACAAACAGAAGCAAATGGAATTCGTTAACTTGAATATAAAGTATCACTCATTCTTTTATTAGATTACAGATGAAATTTATAATCTCAAAATGGAACAAAATAAAATGAAACATAAAAGAGTTCAAAGTCCTAAATTATTGTTTCAACAAAGAATTATGAGAAATCAATTATTACCAGAAGGTAGCATGGAATAAATAGAACAAAAATTTGGACCATTTCCACTTATTTAAAATAAAAACAAAATCATTCATAATTAGATTTAGACTATAATTAATAATCTCAATATCAAATTTAAATATTGAATCACATACTTAATCTCTTTTATTATTCTAAAAAATAATCAATATTTTGAATTAAAGATTTAAAATGTAAAACTATTGTCTTCGCACCTTAAACATCTAATTGATCAACACTATTTGCTCTAAAAAAACATGGAGCAAATATTATTGATAAATTATATAAACCCATCTAAATTTTATTTCATTTTTATTACCTTATTTTCATTTTCAAATTTTGCTACAAATTTTATAAATTCTATTAATCTGAAAATTGTTAATCTATTAACTTTTGGTAGATGTGCAAAAAATATGCTAAACATATCTATGAATTCTTTAGTTGGTACTTAAGGATCAGTATCTCTTAAAATTTAATATATTTCAAAAGGAAAAATTGGTGTTTTTAAATTAATTAAAGAGTTTTTTAATACTGTAGCTATAACATCAGGATCTGATATTTTTATAGCTTCATAATTAGATTATAATAATTAATCTACTAATTTTATTTCTTCATCATGGGAACCTGACAATCGAAATATCCCTTATTTGCGTAAATAATCTATATTGTTAATATAAAATTGTAGTATCTCTTCAAGAAAAACAGGAAGTCCTGATTAACCAATTGGATAAGAAGCTAACTCTCTACCATAAAATGGTTATTATTCTTAAAATTCTATTTAATTACACAAGAATCTTAAAATTGATTAATGCAACTCAATATCATATAAATTCAGAAATGAAGTACTTAAAATTGTAAATATATTTTAAATACTTGTTTATTAAGTGTATTTTATCTTTTAATAACATTTATAGTGAAAAAGGTATTGTTTTTTCCTTCTTTCCATAATTCTAATTGTTGCTTATCACAATTAATTTATCAATTCTTTTTAATTATTAAGAATTCACTTTTCTCTTAAATAATGTGAAAAATTACTAAATAGTTTGTTTTATCAAATTTTTAACATCCATTGCTTTCATTTCTGTATCATCCTAAGAGCAAACAATTAATACGAATCCTCTAGTATAAAATTGATTTTATACTTAAAAGGTCTGAATTGTTGTAAATAAGATTAAAATTTATTCACTATTTATTCTTCATTTTTATTTTGAATAATCAAATTATATAGCAAAACATAAATAGGCTATTCATTTTTATCTAACCCTAATAAGAACTATAAATTAAATATACCTGCATTTAGTAATCCTTGAACTTCATATGATTAGCCTTAAATCATTTTAAACAAAATTTATAAAATTAATGGAATAATTTCTCAATTTTCACAAATTATTTAAAGAGCATTTTTTATAAAGTGAATAATTAAAATATTTTAATATTTAATTACATAATATACTTATTTAATTATCCTTTTATTCAGAGAAATAGTCAATAGTAATATTATATTTTTAGATTATAACTTCAATAAAAGAGTATTTCTTATATATTATTAAATTTTATTTAATTAATTATATGAATTTGATAGATCACTAAACATATACTATATCTGTTGTATGGATATAGTTCCATTTATTATTTAATAAATTCAAATTTCAACTAGAAACATCCAAATAACATATATCTTTTTAAATTATGGTATTTACTAATTTAAGTAAGTACAAATAATTTTTCAAAAAAAATGCTAAGTATATTGAGAATAATAATTGAAAGACTTCTATAAAGTGTATAGAATATTTAATCCAATCATTTTTGAAAATATAGACTAAAAAAACCAATTTGTTATAAAAAATAAAAAAAAAATGATTAAATTTAAAGTCTCAAAAAATTAAACAAAATGAAAATATCTTGCTCATTTCTTTATTGAGTATCAGTTTTACAAAAATAATAATTACTTTTTCAACATTATCTATTTTTTTATTAAAATAGAGTTATCTATATTATCTGTTTTCATAAATATGTAATTACTAATTATATAGTTATTTAAATGTATTTATAAGTCTTATTATTATTAAATTATTCTAGAATAAATAAATCAAGAATCAACTAAAGTTTTATATATTTTCAATTGACTTTTGCAATATATCAGAAATCAAAAGCTTTGAGTAATCATCTATAAACTTTTTTTATTCAAATTCATCATTATTAATTTATTATTATTGTGATTCAACTATGAATTTGTTATCCTAAACCTATTGATCTTTTTATAGAATTTCAGAATTATTATTTTCTATTTTTATGTCTTATTATTATATAATTTAATTCTATTCATTTACTATTTATAGTATTTCCTATTGTTTTAGTTCTTTTTATTATTCTTGGATAGATTATAATTATATAGTTTATAAATTTGATTTTGATTCTGTAATTATAAATGCTGGTTGAATAGTTGTTTAATCATATTATTTTTTAGATTACTCTTTTGTATTGTTATTTTGTTCTACATCAAAACTTTATTTTGTGCTAATAATTGCAATTTATAGCAATTCTTTCATATAAATATTAGTTGTATTTTAGTCTGAATTTATTATTTTCAATAAAGTAATCTTTGGATTAGATGAATTAATAATGAAAAATTAAAATGCAGATAATAACAATTTTGCATATACATCTTTCTTTAAACTCTATACGATATCTTTTGGGGGTTCTGTGAATGAAATACATTCCATATTTTTAGAACTAGCCAATTCAAATGCATCAACAAATGTTTGTATTTAATCTTCCTAATCTTAGATATGCTTATAATATTTTAGAATATATACAAAGTTGTTAGGGATTTTCAAATGAATTATAAATTGTATTCCATTTTGATGAAATGGAGTAATTGTTGGTATTCCTGCAATTACTAAAAAATATTATATATTTTTACATTATGGTCTAGTGTTTATTGATGACATTTAGATTTTAATGAATTGAGCAGAATAAGGATCATGAGCAACATTTACTAATAATAATCAACAATTTGAAATTACATATGGCTGATGCTGATTCTGATAAAATATCACCCTAAAGTATTTGTACAAATGCTTTTCCTATAATTTTGGATAGACATAACTTAGATTTCATTAATGATTTCTATTCTTGTCTTTCTTCTCCACATAAATCTATAATATAAAATTTATCTTACTTCCCATTTAATTAAAAAATAATGAAATAAAGTGAATTATTATATTCTTAACTATATAAAAAATATTTTAAACATATAAATGATTTATTTTCATAATAATAATAATAGGATTGTTATTAAAGATATTACTATCATTTTAGAATCAATTGTATGTTTATAAATCAACATGTTTAAAATTTATTGAATCTCTATCTTTATTATAATTTTAATAATAAAGAAAGAGATGATGATAAAGAAATCATTTTTTGTCAATATTTCAAATTATAGTATATGTCTTTGATTTTTATATATCTATGAGGGTATAGATAATTGATATCATTATGGTTATTCTATGGATTCTTATAGATTTGATTTTGGCTACTTTGGAATATCTTACATCTCTAATTCAGCTTCTCTGATTTCTTGGGAATTAATCCATTCATCAACATTTTGTTGTCTTTAAATTTGAGAATATTCACTATTGTAGCTAATTGCAAAAAAAATAGCATAAAGCTTTAATCAAATAAACATATACCACTGCTGTAATAAATAATGCAAATGCACCTTCAATTCTACTATGAGGTACAACATAGACAGTTTCAGATCCAATAGCTATCATTAATCCTAAATAGGTCATGAAAATGCATCCTGGAGCTGATATAAACATGCAATATTAAGCACAAGAAACCATTAAATTTAATTATGAAATTCATAAAAATATAAGGAATTAATTCTTTTTACAATATTATTTTGAACTTATTATAATTTTAAGGCAAAAATGTTAATCAATTTTTTAGTTTTAAAGCTAATTTAGCTGATCTTGGTGTATTAGTAGTTGTTGGTTATTTGGTGATTCGAGAAGAAGAAGTACTCGACACAACCATTTAACTACTTGGAACACTTATAGGATTATTATCAAAATCATATCCATTAAATAAATCTATTTAATATAACATTTATACTTTATACTGAATTTCTTCTAAGCATTATTTATTATTCTTCATTAATGGAATCATCAGAATCTCGTCTGTTATCTGAGGGAAGATAATTGTCTTCATTGCCCTAATAATCTTGTTTAATAATGAACATTAGGGATGAATGGAGCAATCAATTATTTAGTAATTAACTTTTCCCAACTAAAATCTTTGAACCATGGATGTTCCTTCACTTCATCTGGTCCATTGTTACCCAATCGATTCTATGGCTTCCTTTATAAAAGCTAAATAATCATATATATAATTAAATACTTTATTAGTAAAATCAGCTGCCTCTAAACTCCATCCTGGAGGTACTTCTTATCTCTTAATAACTGCTTATTTAGCAAGCATTTATTCTCTTATTTCTTATCTACTTCTTCCTAAATATGGTCTTCTTCCTAACATGCATTCATATATTATCACTCCAAGTGCAAAATAATCTACTGCTACACCATGATTATGTCCTATCATTAAAAAATTTAGATTTACTACACATAACTTCTGGAGCCATATATCCAGGAGTTCCACTTGTATCTTGTGAATTCTCAGGTTTCCATATTCTGGCTATACCTAAATCAGTCAATCTGAGATATCCTAGTCTTATTAAATAAATGAATCATACCATTACTATCAAATACTAAATTTTCAGGTTTAAGATCTCTATGCAATATTCCTAATTAATGTAGATAATCTAATGCGACTATTATACATCCACTAAAAAACTCTTATTATATATATATATATCTATTTACTTGTTTATTCTTCATTGAATTTTCTGTGTCTTCCTATATGATATCTTAGATCTCCTCCAGATAATAAATCCATTACCAAATATAAATATTCTCGATCTTGAAAAGAATATTACATGTTAATCAGAAAACTTAATTCAATTTCAATTTTTACTTATGTTTCAAACCACTCAATAACGACTTTTCATTCATTACTGATTAAACTGATTTCTTTTAAATAATTCTATATTGTTAATCAATAATACTTTGGTTTAGACATCACTTTAAGAGCAAAAAATTATTTATTTTTCTTTTATCTAACTTTCCATACCTTACCAAATCCACCTCTTCCAATTGCATCAATAAATTGAAAATTTTATACAGAAACAACTTAAATATCTATCATTATTATATACCATTATTTTCCATAAGATCTTCCTTTTTTTCATTAATATTACAATTACCCATTCTTTTTATTTTTATTATTAATTATATGATTCTTTATACTCTAATTTCAAAAGGAAATCTAGTCTTATCAGAATATACAGAATTAGAAGGTGATTTTACAGAAATGGCTCGTATTGTACTCAAAAGTGTAAAACCCAATTAGTAAAAATAAATATTTAGTAAAGTATATGATGGTAAAAAGTAGAATGAATATGTCTTTTGTATTACATGCATTTCCAATCTTCGATTTCTCTGTATGATTCACAATAGTTATAATAAAGAAAAAGCTTTTGCATTTCTTGATGCTATTCTTTAAGAATACTAAAATTGTTCTAAAAGTATTATAAATTCAATATTTTAGATTCCGAATTTAATAATGGTCAATTCTCTTCCCAACTATGTCGTATGATGAAAGCTTTTAATCAATTAGATTAAAAAGATGCATTAACTAATCTTGAAGATACTGTAGAAGACTTAAATGAATCAGCATTTCTAAATTTGCGTAAAATGATTGGTATATATTCTTTATAATATTAATTAGAAAGAGAAGTTCGACTTGATGTATTAGTGAAAAAAACTGAAGAATTAACTAAAAATGCAGATATTATCTTTAAGTTTAGTAGAAATGTACATAGAGCATCAAGAGGCAATGAGTTTAGATTTGGAGGAAAAATATTAATATTATCATTTGTTATTTTTGCAATTTTGAGTATATACATCTATTATCAAATTTGATACTAAATTTCTAAATTATTAAAATGATCAGAATAAAATAATGATCAATAATCTTCTACAATTTCAACAACTCCACATATGTCTATTATTGGATATAAATCTTTTGTTGTATCAATTTTCATAGTCTAATTAATTTATTATTTTTTACAAAAATTTCTTCATTATTAATTATCCAAGTTAGCAATTATTATTTTGTTTAAATCTTCAAACTAATAATGGATTCTAGAAAAATCTTAATTTTCTTATAAGATTTATTATTAATTGATGCATCTAAATGAGAATAACTCATACTATTGCTTTAAATTAAATATAATCTATTTAGGAAAATTCATTACCCATGACCAATACTCTTTAATTTATCCTAATAATTTGATTCTATTGGCTTCTCTAAATGGCATAATCCCAAGGCAATGCTGAATCCACTCACAAATTTAAATTTTAAAATTGTCTCTTCATTTTTTGGAATCAAATAATCACATAAAACATATCCAACTCCACTTGCTTATTTCCCATTATTTTATATTTAAATATTTTAAATTGCCCTGTATTTTTCTGAGAACACTAAAAGATCTTATTTTAATGGTTTAATATTTTATATTTGTATTTATTCTTTTTTTAAAGATTTTTCTTCCAAATTTTCATTATCAATTATACTTAATGAATTTAGAGCAGTTTTTATAAGACTTTTAAAAGTATTTATTTCGTTTGTAAGATTGTTTATTTAAAAATTTACTTCTTTTTCTATTGATTAAAGTCCCATTAATTTCTTTATAAAATTTTCTAATTTGGAGATACCCATAGAGTCAATGTCTTAATCCTTCTAACTATTCAAAAGATTCATTGTTTCATTTAATAAATTAGATAATTAGAGAATAAATCCCTAAAAATTTATTAAATTTTGATAAGACTTTAAGCACTAATCAATCCATGACTATAGTTGCCCATATTACTTTAAATCATTCTCATGGCCTTTATGAAATTCAACTTTACAGCCAATACAATAAGGTCTTGGATTTTTACATTTTTCATTTATACACACCCCTAAAATCTAACTCTCTTCATGGTCATGTTATTGGCACTTTAACTGTGACATCATATTTTGAAATACCTAATCCAATATATAAAAGTAAATAAATACTTTTTGGTTTTAAAATAATTAAAATATATTTTATTATTTGTATTATAAAATATATAATTATGACTATGAATCACTCCAAATTACAAAAATAGTCAAGCATATGATTTAGTTTTTCTAACAATAAAATAAATATTAGGAAATAGAGTCTTAGAGGGAATCAAACCCTAAACTTTCAGCTTTTTAGATTGACACTCTAATTAAGTCTTAAAATTATTTGTTAATAATTATATATATGTAAAAATTGGAGAAATATTTAAAAGAATTATAAAATTTATAATGTTTCAGAAAATTTATAAAATTAATAGAAATTATTTAATTTAAATGATAGAACAGTATAATAGAGTCATAATAATTTTAATAATTATGTTAAATCTCTCTATCAAAAATATATTTGAATTTTTAGACAAGAAAATAGATGGAGTTAAAGAAAATCTATTGAAAAATATAGGTATATATGAATTTATATATTTAGATTAACTTTAGGGATTGGGAATACCTGATATCTGTATAATTACTAAATAATAACCTCTTAATTTAATCAAATCATCCTTTGAGACCTTAACATCATTTCATTTTGTATAAGGTTTATGTCCTTAATCATAAGCAGATGTTTTTGCTTATCTTCTAACGATTTTACAAAATTAAGAAAAAGCAAAGTAAACCTTGTTCTCTAAAAGTTAAAGTATTACAAAAGTAAAATATGTATCTATGCAGTTAACTTATCTTTCTTATGACAGTTTTAGCAAAACAATTTTGGTGTGCGAAATTTAATTAGAAGGTGAGAAAAAATAAAATATATTTGGGGTTCAAGAAAATAATAAATTCATTTTGCCTACTAAATAGCATTGGAAAGGGGCATATATAAGTAATGTACTAAGAGCTATTGATGAAGATCTTAAGTTGGCAAGTGTAGGTAGATTCTTTAATAACATAAACTTAAAAAACAATATTAAATTAGGATAAATGATTCATTCACTTCTTGAATTAATCACAATTAATACATAATTTTTTTAGGATTTTGATAAAATAATTTCAAAAAAATGTTTGTGTGATTTTGATGATATTTTATACTATATATGTTGGCCTTTAGGTATTTTGGTCACATACTTAGTAAAATCTAATTAACTTTTAATTTTAATAAATGAATTAGAAAATATTTAAAATAATGTTGCCTTTTATTTAATTAAGAGTATTATTTTCTATAAAATGAAGTAGATTTTAAATTAAATTTAGATAATATTAAAAGTCTTTATCTTGTTTAGTTAAGATAACATCAAATTACTCTCAATTAAATTTAGTAAAATATTTATTTGGAAAGCTTTTGATTAAATAAGGTAAATTTTAGTAAGCATTTTTGTTACTTTAAGAAATTTTAATAAAATGTTCTGAAAATTAGATGATTTGGATTACATTAGTAAAAAAATCAAATATTATTTTAGGCTTCAATATTTAGAAAATAAAATAATTATTAAGTCTGTCTTAGCGTATTAAATAAAGCAGCAGGTCTTAAAGTAATGAAATAGAGAAAATAAACTTGGATTGAAACTTATCTCTAAAATTATAGAGTTTTAACCCAAGATTATTCAATAACTAATTTAGATGATTTAGATAAAATATATACATTAATTAATCCTATTGAAGTTGATTAAATTGAGAGTTTTACTTAATTGAGTAATTATCCTATACTTGAAAAATTATTAATGAGACTTAGGGTTTAAGATAGAAAAGAATTAAAAGTATTAAAATATTTATAAATAGTAATGGCATATTTAAGCATCAAAATTTGTGAATAATTAGGCTTATAAAATTGGATAATATGTTTATGATTTCATCTCTTAAAATGAACTACTTTAGAATAAGAATAAACTCTCAGAATTTCAAAAAGAAATAATTAAACTTTCAATTTAAGTTGGTCATAAACAATTATAAAAATATTTATAATATTATTTCTATTATCCAACAAATTGTTCTAGTTCTTAATATGATAATAATAATATCGATAATGCATTCTTCGAAATTAGATTAAAAAATAAAAGCGTAAGAAGAAATTAAAATGATTTTGTAAAAGTAATATTAATAATTTATATATTAGAGATAAAATAATAACAAATCAGTTTCTTTAAATGAACTTGATTCAGATGAAGAAGATTAACCTGAATTTTTAAATTATAATTTAAACAAATCTTTTGATTTTTCAGAATCTGTTTCAAAAACAAATTTATAAAAATTAAATTAAAAAGAGATACTTCAAAATTACAAAATTTCACACAAAATATATCCAAAATTAGCAAAAAATAACTATTAGACAATTCAAGAAAATACTTTCGAGAGTGTTGAATCTTAAAGGGATTATGTTTGTAAATTAAAAGGAATTAGAAATTCACTTATGTAAAATAATAATATTATGCAAAATTTTAAGGAAAAGAAATTTAATAAAGCATAAAAAGTATAAATTTATGGATTAATTCATCATCTCAGTAATATTATAACTTAATAAATATAAACTGAGATTGGAGATTCAATGAAAAGAAAAAAAGATAATTTAAATCCTTTACTTAAAGAATTTATAGATTATATTTCTTAGACATAAAATATTCTAGATGAATTATTTTACAAAAATAATTAAATAATAAATCTTAACTAAAATTCTTAACATAAATCTATTTATAATTTAGATAAATAAACATCAAAATAAAAATTAACATAAATATTTAAATCTTCTTTAAAAGAATCTTTAAAAGATAAAAATTATTAATAAAAATAAATAGATCTAAGAGATTTTTATACTATTTATGGATTTTAATTTAATGAATAAAATGAACAAGAAACATATTTATAGTTTACTAAACAAGAATCAATTTTTTTATATAATTGTAGCAAAATTGCTAATAAACTAAAATAATAAAATTTATCATAGAAACTTTTATAGAAATTAAGTGATCGTATTATTTCAATTTAAGTATCTTATTCTCTATTAGATACATATAAGGATGATCATTCTTAACTAATTTAAATGTATTAATTTATATAAAATAAATAGAATATAAAAAATAATACTTGATTTTTTAGAATGTGGGATCTCTAAAATAGTATCAATTCCTATTTGGGTTGAAATTCATTTGATTAGATTAATAAAATTAAAAGGATGTAATTATGTTTTAGGATTACTATGTACTCTAGAAGATATTGATACATTTTAATTGCTGAAGAAAATAGTCTTGCAAACAGAAAATTTACTTTGAAAATATTCTTGATTTTATATTGTTTATTTAATTATTTTCTATTTTTTTAATAGATCTTTTTGATTTATAAGAATTGTATTATTAATAATTTATAATCAAACAATGGTTTAATGAACAGAATTTCTAGCCTAAAATTTAGACTTATTAAAGTTTAATTGTGAATATTCTTGGGTTTCACTTTTTTTTAATTTTGAATTTTTTCTTACTACTTGAGATGATTGTATTTGAGAATCCTTTTTCAATACTTTGAAATTTGGGATTACACTAATACGAGGAGATTCTTAATCTACTTATAATTCTTCAGGATTTTTTTCAATTTCATTAATTTCTTTTTAAAGAAGATTATTGCTTCTTTCTCCATTTGTAGGACCTTATATTGATTTCTTTTTTGCCAATTATTATTAATCATGTTGAATAATGTCACATTAAAAATAAGGATGAGATAAAGCTGCTTCTGCACTTATTCTTTTTTCTGGATCTATTTCAAGAAGATTTATTAAAAGATCTGTTTCTTCTGGAGTAAGTTTATAGAGTTAAAGAATTTTAAAGTCTATGTTACAATTTTTATTCATCTTTAATATTTCATTTGATGTCTTTCCTGGAAATAAATCTCTGGTTGTGACTCTATTAAAAAATAAAAAAAGAAAATATATACAATTTAAAGAAAATACATCCAACACTAAAAAGATCTACTTTTTCATTATAACTATCTTTAAATTTTTCTGGTGCTGCATAACCAGGAGTACCACATATTCTCAAGTCTTATGAGGGATCTATATGAACTGCTAAGTGAAATTCTGTTAATTTAAGTCCTTCTATGGAATCTTTATTTTTGAATACTATATTTATTGGCTTAATGTCTCTATGCATTATATTATAGGAATGTATGTCTCTAACAGCAGTAATCAATTGCTTTATAATACTGATAATTCAAATTACTTTCATAATAATTAATATTTAAGTTCTATCTAATGCGACATTCATAATTAATTCATATAAGTTTACTCCTTCCAAATACTCTTAAATTAAATATACAGTATTTTCTCCATTAAATACTTCATGTAAATTTTACACATATTCAGATTTAATTTTTGTTAAACAAGAGATCTCATTATGAATCCGAGTCTTATGTAAAATATAGAATAAATACAATAGAATCTTCAAACTAATTTTTGGCGAGACATTTTATTTCAAATGAATTACCATTTATTCTGTCAATGCATAAATATACCTAAATGTTAAAATGAATTTACTTCATCAAAATTTCCTTCTCCTAATTATTACATGGGTTTATAAAGATGACGAACTGTTTTATACATTATTTTATTTTTTATAGTTTATCGCAACTTCAAGAGATCCTCATGAGTAGAATGGAATTGTTTCTCAATGTTATTCCACATAATGCTAAAACTTATGAGTTAATTCATTTGATTTAATTGCCATGAAATGGTATTATGCAATTCTAATTCAATTATATATTTAGGTTCTTTTCCAATCTTTATTAACATCCAAACATACTTAATTTAGAGTAATCTTAGTGGGAAGCAATTAAAGAACATATTTCTAATCTAAAAATGTGTGTTATCGGATACAAATGAAACTTAACTAAGACTCCATTAATTAAATAATAGATTTTTATATTTCATTCAATTAGACCCAACTTAGTTTCTTATCTTCTACTTTTTATAATCAAAAATGAATCAATTCTAATAATTTAATTTATAATTAAGAGACTTTCTATTTCTATACCTTTCTCATATTAAAACTAATGTATTTTTAATTATCAAAATAATATTTCTATTAATTTTGACTTTCTTAAATTTTACATGATGAATTAAATCTTATATTATAATTTAATACCTTCTATATCCATAATATTTATATAGATTAAATTATGTAAATATGAATAATAATTTGATAACAACTATTTAAGTTAAATATTATTTAAATTTGAAATAGGAATAAGTTTGTAATAATAGAACAGTTCAGTTCATTGATTTTGACTAATCCATATGTTTTCTTTTTAATTGTAAACTTAAATTATTAATATATTGACTGATCCCTTAGTCTAATGATAATAACTTAATATCATGAAAGATTATTCTATTTAAAGTTTATTATAACTTTTTAAGAAAACGAATTGTCAATAAGGTTACATAATTTATTACATGCATTCAAATAATTGAATTATTAATTTTTATAACATCATATATATTTTGTAAACTATATTCAAATCATATAAATATTCATCTATTTGAAGGCATTTATCAAATACTAACCTATTTATTAAGACAATTATTAAAGATAGATGACTATTCTGAATTTAAGAAAATAAATGTATTTATATTTCAAAATTAGATGAATCTATTAATTTCTCTCAATGTATAAACATAAATATATATAAAAATAAATTAGAAGAATAAATAAATATTATTTTTTTTAAGAATATAATAATATATATATAGATGATAATATTCATAGATAGATATTTATGATTAAAAATGAATAGATTTCGTTTACTTTAATAATAATTTAATATTTTATAATGTGAAATTCTTATTAAATGCTTTGGAAAATAATAGTTTTTTTTATTTATATATGATAAGTTAGAAATAATTGCCCAACATTTCAAGAACACCTCAAGCCAAAAGTTTTCACTCAATTGAACATTTATTCAACTCTTCTTAAAAATAATCTAAATAATTTCACGATAATTCGTTAAAATCTCTTCATAACATTAGTAATGTCTCATTCATTCGAAATGATAAACATGAGGTTAAACAAGATGTATTTATATTGTAAAATGTCTTTAGTAATATTATGCATCTCCATTGTTAAGCAAATCTCAAATGTTTGAAGTAGAGAGGCAAAGCAGACAAAGAAGAAATGAAGTTTATTCTCAAATGCTTAGTGAAAATCCATTCAAATTTAATAATGATTCCTAAGAAGACATAGTTCCTGAATATCCTCGAAGTACTTACAAAAATTTATGCAAATATTAGAAGTATCTTCTATTCATGTGAATTTATTTGATTTAAGAGATAAAGAGAAATTAGCATAATTATTACATGAAACTAGTGAATTCTCTGATAAATTGTCCTAACATGTCCCATAAACAAAACCAGCAAATGTTCTAATTCAAAGATAAGATGTTATAAAATTAGCTTAATGGATTGATTATTAAATGAAAATAATTGTAGTTGATTCAAAACTTAAAGAAGAGAAGTTACTTATATAATTGGAATAAGTATTTAATTAGAGTCTCAAAGAATTAGTTAGAGAAATATCAATTGATTGTGTAGAAAAAGGGTAATAATTTACTTGTAATTAGAGTATTATTGGAAAAGATTTGGAATCAATATGTTAATTTTAATAATATAGTCATTTCAGCAAATCAGTAGGATACAATTAATTAAGAAAAAGAATACTTAAATCAATTAAAATAAGTAATACTAATATTAATCTAGGTTCATTAAACATACTAATTATCAGTTTAAGTTTATGAAGACAAAGTTAAATTATTAGAAAAATAAATACAATAATAATAATCAAAATATGAAGAAAAAATTATGGATTTTGATAATCTAAATTCTAAATATAAACATATTATCTAAAAATTTCAAGATTTAAAATAAGAAAATGATGAACTAAAAAATAATTATTGTATAACCATGAATGAAAATGAAGAATTATCCATTAAAAATAATTCTTTATTGATTGAAAATTAAAAAATATTCAAATAACTTAATGATAGAATTAATCATAGTCTTTAAAAATCAAAAAGAGGTTAAAATGCATATGGAGATTTTGATGATCATAAATCAACTAGTTGTTATGATTTATATTCTACTATGGAAATACATGTCAATAAATTAACTTAAACAAATGTTCCAGATAAAATTTAATAATATGCTTAAACTGATTACAGATATTTCAAACAAGTAGGTGTTTAATGTGACAATTTAGATATAGATGAATAACTCATTTCATCCCCTTAATCATCTATTAATAGGTAATTTTTATTATTTTTATAGAAATAATTCCAATCCTCCTAATTCAGAAATTAGAAAAATTAAGGAAATCAATTTTGCTTTAGAAGAAAGAGTTCGACTAGAGATTTAAGTACAAGATCAATTAAAAAAATAAAAATAATTAATTTAAAGAGAAGTTGAAGCATAATAAATTAAATTAACTAATTAAGATAATTTAATTGTTCAATTATAAAAAGATATTGAAAATTTATAATAATAATTAGATAAGAAAAATGATAATAAATAAAGAGAAATGACAGTTGTTAGTATTGATTAATAAAATACAGATTAATAAATGACATTAGGTCCTCAATAAACTACTTCTTCAATCAAAACAAATTTAAAAATTGAATCACAAAATAAAATTCATGAGAATGTATCAGATTTAAATAAATTAACATAAAGTTAAAAATCTAAATAATTAATAAATTTAGAAGTATCCAAATAATCATAATCATAATCATCCTAATAATTTAAACAAACAAATTCAACTGGATTAAGCAAATTAAGTTCAATTGAAACAAAAGATTCAAAAAAATAAGTTAAGTCCTTTAAAAATTCTACATAAATAATACCAAGAAGATAATCATAAAATTCACTACATGTTAGCAACTCTTAAGAATTAGATAAGAATTAAAATAATGAGGATCCTTTAAGTAAACTTGTTAATGATTTTATGATTGATACAAAAAATAATCATAATTAAAGATCTAGTATTGTTTAATAAAGAAGATAAACATAACAATAGAATTATATTATGATATAATAAGAAAAATTATGTAAAGAATTATTATTTATCATTAGAATAGAAATAATAAAAATTGAAAAGGGAAAACATTTATGTAGATGTCGCTTTAGCCTTTATAAGTTAATTATAGCAAGATTTTAAATAAAATCCAGATTAAATAGAAAATACAATAACTCTATAAAACATATTAAAATAAGTTTCCTTTTTCTATAAAGAAAGATTGGAATAAAAATATCCATTATATGCTATTTGTTATGAATATTTTATGAATCAATATGGATTAAAGAATGTTGCTGAATAAAAAATGACATAATTTTGTTAAAGCTTAATATTTTACTAATAAAATCATAGAATTAGATTATTCTCTAGATTTTTATAATTAAATGAAGGAATATCAAATGAAGATCTAGATTTTTATATATAATCATTATCAACTCTAGATGAACATTCTAATTCATTAAATTTGTTATACTGTAATTAAAATAATGATTGCATATATGTTAAGTAATCTAAAATATAAAAATAATTAATGATATTAAATGAAAAAGGATAAGAGATACTAGAATAACTCAAATAAGATTATAAAATAATAAAAAGTGAGATATATGTTGATTTAGATTAATATTATTTGTTTTGCCTTGAACAATTTTAATATTTAAGAAAAATATAATAAGATAATTTTCATGAACTATTTTTGGCAATAGATGTTGATGATAATTAGATCATAAATATTGAAGAATTTTTAATATTATTTAATTTAATTGAAGATAATTAAAATTATTTATTGTATAAAAAATTATTTTTGAAAGAGATTCAAAATAATGATGGATTAAACTTTTATTAATTTGGAATGTTTTGCATGCATAATAATTTGTTTACAAAGTAAAGATAGGATAATTTCTTTTTTTCAAATTAAGATAGCATAAATTCTATATATAATAATTGGGGATATTAAAGAAATATCATTACTGGTAGATTGAAATAGTCCAATTGTTTTAATTAATATTATTAGAATTTAATTAGGAAATTAGATAATGTATATTATAAAATTTAATATTATTAGGCTTTAAAAAATAATTTAAGTTATACTTGGAATTTATGGAAAATCTTAGAAGAATAATCCAAAAAAGTATTCTTGGATACTATAATTATGAATTTTATAGGAAATAATTTAAATAGCATAACTGAAAAATATGAATTTTTATTCTCAAAAGATTGAATTTAAATTATAAATAAAGGAAAGCATATGTTAATAGAAATTAATTTTAAATTTATTTTCAAAATAAATGAATTAATAATCTTAATTTTGACTTTAAGAATATCATACTTGATATACATTTATATATTAAGAATTCTTCAAATCTTTTTAAAAGAATTGGTAGAACTTATCAAAGAATCTAATAAACTTTTCTCTAAATCCTATAATTAATGTATTTTCACAAAATCATTTGCTTTTTTTAAATAATTATTTAACACAACTTATTTATGCTATGATTTGAATTATTGTTATTTTAATAGTTTAAATTGTTCCAAATTTTATTATATCTATTATTCTTATTATTAAACTTTATGCTTTTTCTCAACATTAAAAGATTTGGATCTCTCTTTTTAAAGAGTAATAAATTTATCATATTATAATGATTATAGTTTCATTTATTAAAATTTTTATTGTTTTTATTATTAAATTGTAAGACGAATTTGCTATTAAAGTTTAATCTAATCTTATTTTTGTTACTTTTTCATATCTCTATAGAGTTGCAGAGATTAATTTCTTGTCTCTTTGCTTTTTTACATCTATCTTAATAAAATTTTATACTCTCTCAGAATGCTAATTATATTAATTTCGAATATTATTAATATATTCAATTTTAACTTCAGTTTGTTACTATTTTACTTGTCTATATTATGTTTAAATATACAATCTTTATTTTTAGATGGCTAGCAATTTAATTCGATTAATCATAATATCTAATTATCGTTTCATTTCAATTTATTCTTTTTTAGACACTCTTTCACTTATATTAGAGATGGGATCATCAAGTTTAAATGAATCTTCTTTTAGACTAAGTGCTATTGACATTCTAAATTTATTATAAATTTTAATATTAATTCATAATTAAATGAGTGGAAATAAGAAGATGGATGTTTTGATAAGCATGAAAGCTGAAATATAAGCATAAAAAGAAGGACAAGAAAAAATTTAAAAATTATGTTTTGAAAATATCAACATAGGATAATTTACAAATGAAACAATAAAATTATTGGCAAAATATAATGATTTAAGTAAAAATGATGAATAAAGAAAGTATGTTTGGAATTTAATGATTGCAAATTGTCATCTTTAGATAATTTAATAGGATTTCCAAATCTAACAAAATTACGATTATGCAATAATTATTTGGATAAGAATAGTCTCCAACATATTATATAGCATTTTCCAAAAGTGACATACTTAGATATAAGTGGAAATAAAAAAATAAGCTAAGATGTATATTATTATTTTGAATAAAAAAAGGATCTTAAAGTTTTGGTTGAATTAAAAGAATTATAGCATTTAGTGTTTAATGAAAAAGATATTGATAGAGCACTCTTGTTTGAATTGATACCATAATTGAGTTATATTGATCATAAGGACAAGACTGGAAATGAAGTAGAAGATGAAGAAAATGATGATGAAGAAGATGAAGATGATGATGATGAGGATGAAGATGAAGAAGATGAAGATTTAGAAGATGATGAGGAAGATGATGATGAAGAAGGTGCTGAAGAAGCAGAGGAATCTGAAGAAGAATAGCCAGTTTAGAAAAAGAAGAAATTATAATGAGAAAATATTAAAAATAAATATAGACTCATTTTTTAGATGGTTCAGTCAATAAACTTTAATAAAATTTTAGATTGGTTACACTTTTTGTATTTTTGAGTGTTTCATTTGAAAATATAACTGATGATAGTTATGATTATGATTATTGGGATAATAGTGATTGTTAACTATTCTGAGAATTTTTAGTTCTTTTTCTTACTAAAGAATCTATTGTATCTTTGGTAACTTAAGTAGATGAGTTTTTATCAAATTCATAAACTTTTTATCTTTTCTATTAATAGAAAAAGGCATTTTCAAACATAGGTGTAAATTAAGTTATCAACTTCTATTCCCTATTTAATTATTCAAATAATATTCTATCATTAGTTGTAGGCTGTTTAAATACTAGCTTAGTTAAGTCAGGTATATATGGTGGATCTACTTTTTTTTATATGTATTTTGCTATATCAATATCTTAAAACCAAGGATGTGCTAATATATCATCAACTCCATTCTTTTATCCTAATCTCTTACTTGGATCTTTAATCATAAGTAATCGTATCAAATCTTTTACTTCTGGACTTAACTTTTTAGGAAATGTCACCTATTCATTTAATAATCTGGTGTAAATAATATTTTTATCTTCACAATAAAATGGTGGAAGTCCTGTAACAAATTCATATAATAATGCTCCTAAACAATAATAATCTATTAAATAATTATGTCCATCATTATGAAACATTTCAGGTGCCATATATTCAGGAGAACCACAAAATGAATAAGCATTTTATTCTGGTTGCATGTTGGGTCTAGCCAAACCAAAATCAGCCAATTAAATATGTCCTGTTATATCTATTAAAACATTTTCTGGTTTTAAATCTCTATAGATTATTTATTAGTGATGTAGAAATCCTAAAGCCAAACATACTTCTGTAATGTAAAATCTAGCTTGATTTTCTGTCATCTTTTCTACTTTTTTCATATAACTAAACATTTCTCCTCCAGGACAATACTCAATACCAAAAATTATCCAATTCTTTGTTTCAAATACAAATTCTATTTTTGATGTGAATAACGAACCTTTATTTGTAGTTTCTATAAGAATATCTCTTTCATTCTAAACTAAATCTTATTTTTCATTTTATATAACAAAACTTTTGCTTATTAACTTTAACGCAACGAAACTACCATCAATTAATGATCGAGATAAAATAACTGTTGAGAATCCACCTCTACCTATAACATGCAAAAATTGAAAGCAACTTAAATTCAATTGTTTTGGTGGACATATACCTATTATAGGTTTTAATCTAATGGTTTTTCCAATCATATGATTCATTGGGAGAGAGGGAACAGTGAGATAGTAATCAAATCCAATATTTTCATCTAATGTTGAGTATCCAACGACTTAATAGTTCCCAGATTTACTTTTTAGTACACTTAGAATTTTATCAGTTGTCACATTTGGATTAAATCTATGAATTTGTGTAACTTCTGAGGAATAATGAATGTAAATAGAAATTTCTTATTTAATTATTTTATCAATAGACGAAGATTTTCCTCCTATTTAAATAGAGCTTGTTAAAATATCTTCAACGCTATTTCTGCGAGTCATTGAACCTTTATCTAGAATAAGTTTATTATTATTTTTCAATTTTTAGTTTAGAATTAAGTTAATTCCCTTTGAAATTTATTGAGATGGGAAATTTGTTTCAGTTGGAATTTTCGATGATTTTGCTTATGGTTTAGGTTTATCTCTAGAATTTGATCGTTATTAACTATGGACTCTCTCAGTTAAACTGCCATGATTAACCTTACGAGCTGAATCTTATTTCACCATATCCTTTAATATAATTTGCGATAGATTTCTTTAAATGAATTTTAAGGGAGATTATGATGTATTTTTGCTGGTTTGATTTCTAGTGCTCATTTAAAAGTTTTATATTACACGAGCTGGTGACATTATCTATCCACTTCGTTATCTCATATATTGTTATCAAATAAAAAAATTAATATTATTTACATTATTGATAAGTAAAGATATTCAGATCAAAAATTTCTATTGATTATCATCTATTACTTGAAATGAGTTAATAATGTAATTGTTATAATTATATTGCTTTATCATATATTTATTATTTTAATATTTAGTTATTTTCTTTAAAATAAGATGGATGTTAAATAACAAATATAATTATTTATATTAAACTTTTATCATATATTATATTGATGATATTTTGAAAAAATATCAATTCATTCTAATTTAATATTCTCCATTCTATGTAATATATCTTACCCATGGTAATGCATTATATCCACTTTTATCTTAAATCTTTAAATATCTGACTTAAAAACCAGAGACAGTAAAGTAAGGAATTTCAAATGTGATATTGATAGGCATCTTCTAAAATTTATCTCTGTTTGGTGATACAATTCTATATTTAAATTTATATATATATATACGTTGGGAGATGGAATACTGCATTCATCATAAAATCTCTTTAACCTCCAAATTATTTGATACTCCAACACATAGCTTCCTTTTCAGGCATATAATTAACAGAACCATGTGCAGTTCTAAATTGAGGTTACTCTGCATCATCAGGAACAGGTACAAATATCTAAATTAATATTAAAATATTACTTCAACATTATTTGCAGTACTCTTAGGCTTGAAATTAGATTTAGCTTTAACTAGAAATTCTATTTTAGTTGCTGACTTTCTTTCTATTAGTACATCTACTGAAAATAATGGTTTGACTCTTATATCCAATCTATAGGAGATCAATTCGAAATCACCATCTGGAGGTGTAAATTATATAACTCTTTCATTTTCAAATTTTGATAATCTTACACATTAATGAAACTTAATATCATCAAATTCAACTGCTCTTGATTTTGATTAACGACCTTATGCTTCAAAAAATGCTTTGTCATTCAATCCTAATTTCAATTCAGGCATTCCACTCAACATACATTTGACCTATACTTATCCTATAATCTCGCTTTTTATTACATTTCCTTATTGACCTATTAACATATTCAATTTTTCAATAACATCCAAAAAAACTTCATTCTTTTTATATTTAATTCCCTCCTTTCTCCATGATATTTTATTAGAAACCAATGCAACCACATTAAAATTTGTTTATTCTGGTTATTTCTTGTCTTTCAATTAAAAACTTTCTGTTTTGATAAATTCTTTCAAAATTTTAAATTCTGTTGTTTACGGATATCCATTATCAAGCATTTCATCTAACAATTCATAAACTACAACAAAATTATCTCTAATTGATTCTTCTTCAACATTAACAAAATATTCCTATAATACTTATACCAATCTGAATAAAAATGAAAAAATCATTAGACAATTTGCATTTTAAGAACAGACAGTCATAAATATTAAATTATTATGCCTTATAAATATGTAAGTATATCCATCCTTATCTATCATTACAGGTTTTTAAGTATATTCATCGAACTCCAATAACTTTTTATTAAATGTTTCATGAATATTCACAGGTAATTCATTTCTGTATTATCTTGTAATCAAGACTCTTCCTTTCTAATCTAAAATATAAATTGATGAAATTCCAAACATTAATAATAATAAAACACGTCTAATTAAAATAATTAGAATATATGCACAATATCTAAGTTAATAATCTAATAAGAAATTAATAATTATATTATTATGAATTAATAGAATTTGCCTTTTGAATGTTTTGGTCAAAAAGGTGTAAAATATATATGTCAACAATTGATTGGAAGCGGCACTCAAGGAAGGGTATATTCAGGCATCAGAGAGGACTAGCCTTAAACTAAATTAGCTATCAAATTTACAGATGATATAAAGGATGACGAATTGCAATTTTTAGATTATATCTAAAAATCAACAAAATAGCTTAAGCACATAATCAAATACTATGAAGTAGTCGATTATACGAAAAATAATGGTTTTCCAAAAAGTTCATAAATAGGAAAATATTTGTTTGTTATGGAATTAGGCTCCAAGAATTTACTAGAAGAAGTTATATAATCAAACAGATACATAGATAAATAAAAACTTAATATTATTTGTTAAATTGCCCTTGGGATCTTTGAACTTCACTAAATAAAGCATTCTCATCGTGACATTAAACCTGAAAACATCATTTTAGTTGGTGATATATGGAAATTATGTGATTTTGGATTTGTTAAACATAGCATAAGCTAAAAATAAACTTAAAAGGTAGGTACTCCTTATTATATTGCTCCAGAGGTTTTTTTAGAAAATTCTGATTCTATTAGGTATGATAATAAAGTAGATGTTTGGTCTTTTGGATGTATTATATATGAAATATTTACAAAAAATTTGTTTTTTAATGGAAGTTCGCCTAATGATGTGAGTTTAGAAATTGAAAATTATTGTTTCTAATAACAATTAAACCCTAGAGAGAAAAATACTGATCCCAGATTCTAAAATCTTCATAATTAGGAATTGTAAATATTATGCAAATGTATGATGACTGTGAATCCTTAAGAACGCTATGATTCTAAAGAAGTAGTGGAAAAACTCAAAAATATTTGTAACGTTTAAAATAACCCAGCTGATATGCCACCAATAGCAATATTAGAATAAAAGCCTAATGGATAAAACAATCCCTTTGGAGGCATCAATTAAAAGTAACCTAATTAACAAACATAAATCTCTTTTGAAATATAGACTTAAGCTTAAAGCACAATAGAATCCAAGTTTCAATTTTAAAGTGCAGCATAAACTTAACTCACTACTAATTAATATATTTAACCATCAGCACTATAGATTAAGCCCAGCTAATAATAATAAAATAATATGTAAAATAAATAAAATCCATAAACTTTCCAAAAAGTAAATACTGTGTAAAATCAATAAACTATAACATAATAAATTCCTACATAGTAGATTCCTATATAAAATTAATTAAATTTACAATCATAAGTTCCTATTTAAAATCAATAAACTTTACTATAATAAAATCATATCACAATTAACTAAAATCAACCATAAGCAAATTCTATATTCTAAAATCCAAAACAATCATTAACACTTTAAAAAAATCAATCGTAAATGTAATTTTAAATTTCCATTCCATCATCAATAGTACAAAATAATCATAAATAAAATTAATTGATAGATGATTCAAATATTTTAAATTTATAAAAGGTAGATTCTTCTTAAATTTTTTAATAAAATAGTATTTATTAGATTAATAAAGATGATAATGATTTGATATCTAAATATCTTGATAAAATAGTTAAACCAGAATATAAGAGTTAGCTTAAACAATTTATTCAGACTTCTTCTTCAAAAATAAAGACGAATAATATTGATGTGACACAAGATATCGTAAAAGAGAACTTGATTTAAATCCTTATTGAATTTATTTAAAGTAAAGTTTAAAATATTTGAAAATGAAAAATTGAATAAAATGATTCTTCTTAATCATTAGTTTAAATGATAATAAATATTTTAATTCAAAATCCTTGTTTAACTATTTGACCAGCTTTGGATAAATTTGCTGAAGATTTTTTACTCAAAATTGACATCAGTTCATTTTGTAGGGATACTGATAGATTGTTTTTCTATGGAGGAGATGAATCTGTTCTAAATTTGTTAACTGATTATTCTTCAGACTACTGTAAATAACCTTATTATTATTAAGTAGTTGAAAAATTTATTTTTTCTGATAATTCTTATTCTAATTGTTATATATATTCATCTAATTAATAAACTCTAGTTTATAAGGAACTTAATTATTATTTATAATAATCAATTTGATTTCCTACAGAATTTTTTTTTTGAATATCTTCTTTAGCAAAATTCAAAATCTAATAATAATTTTATGAATTAATCGATCTTCCTTAATATTTCAAATCGTATTTATTAATTTAGAACTTCAACTCTTTTAACATCTTATTAACAATATTAAAATCTATTTATTTGCCTTCTTCTATTTCATGAAATTTTGGTATGAACTTTTCAAAGGTCTAATCAATGATTTCATTATCTTCAAATTCAAGATTTACTATTTCATCTTTAATATATAAGGTTTTTTTCAGCTTTTTAACAAAAATGATTGCATAGACTACTTTTCTGAATCTTAAATAAATATTATGATTTCTGATCTAGAATTCATTTCTTAGGAGGACAAAATAATGAATATAATTTGAATATTAAATTAATTGAGAAAACAAAAATTATGTTCTCTTATTTTTAAGTAAATATGATATTAAACTAAAACTTAATGCTACTTTATTTTATGAAATTGCTTTTCTTACAAGTAATTCTTCAAATTCAACTTGAAGTTAAATATATTAATTATTTAATTCTTCGAATTCTTATGCTATATCTTATTTTTATTATAAAAATTATTAGCTTAACTTCTCTTTTTCTAAGATTTATTAATCATATTAATGACATGATTCAATTAATTGATCGATATATTGATTATCTTTTTATGCCTTTAGATTTTATTGTTCAAGAGCATCCTATAATTAATTTATTTTATCTTCTTATTATTCAATTATAATTTAATGTTCTAATTGTAATTAATCTTTTGCTTTAATGTGTTCAGAATTCAATTATTCAATTTTATATCTAAGTTATTCACCAACTTTATGCATGTCTTAAATATTTTTACAGACTTAATCATTTTCATCTTTTAATTGAGTATTTGTGGATATTAAACTCTAAATGATTTCTTTGATATCAATAAAAAATTCTTCAATTTGTATTTAATTATAACTATACTTCTTCTTTTTTTTAGGAACTGATTTACGACTGGAAGCAGATGAAGATTTTCTTCCTTCATATAATCTTTCATAAACATTTGACTTTTTTTTTGCAACCAAACATTCTGCAATAGTTTCATCAATTTATTATTAAATATAATTAAACAATTTTGAAAATTCTTTATTTTATTATTCTAATTAATTTGAGTAATCTTTTTATTGTTTAAATTGGTCATGTTAAATTTCATATTCTTTTCTTAATTTTTCATTTGCCCTATTCATTTCATCAAATTACAAAGCATAATTCTTTTCACATTCCATAGCAGTTTAAACTTAAATATTGAATTGTTCATTTAATTATTAATTTTTTTTTTCTAAATCCTCATATTAAATCTTTATATATTTCAATTCAACTAATTCTTAATGTTATTATTCCAATCTTGATCGATAATCATCTAACTCTTATTTTAATAATTCATTCTCAGTTTCCAATTGCTTAAGCATATTCATTATACTATTTTCAAACTTATTTTTTTCAGATGTTACTTATCTTAATTATAATTCGGTTTCTTGTTTCTCTTTTTTTAAAATTGAATTCTTTTTAGTTAATTATTATAATTCATCTTCTAATCCTTTTACTGCATCTTTTATTAATGAAATTTGTTCAGTCACTTCTCGTTGAGTCATTTATTTCTAAGATAATTCTTAACTTTAAAATTTAACTTTCTCCAAAAGCTCTTAATTCTTATCTTAGACTTCCTTCAAAGCAACCAATAATTATTAGTTAAATTATTACAATTACTTAGTTTTTTTCTATTAATTATCAAACATTTAATCATGTTCTTCTTAAAGAATAGAAAATTATCGATCACCATACTCTTTTTATTTAATTGCTTAACTCAATTATTCTTCTAACTCTTGTAATCTTTCTTAAAGTATATTTATTGTTTAGTCCTTAATCTATACATCATTACTCAATAACTTGATTCTAGTATAACTTTCTTATATAGCTTAGACACTGTCGTTCATACTTAAATTTAAAATTATTTATAAATAACAATCTAATCTCATTTCATAATCATTCCCACTATATTCAAACCACTCTTGGCCATTTCCCTTTTCAATTACTATAATTTTTTCTTATGATCTCCTCTACACTTATAGAATCCATGAAAATTTGTTGCAGATAAAAAAAGACATAAAATTGGTAATGGTAACTTATAAAAATACTATTAATAAATTACCCAAATAGCTTTAAATCCAATTAAATCTCCTAAACACATTATAGCCCAAAAAATAGTTCCATAAACAAGACAAGCCCAAAAAAAACACTAATCAACTTTATTCGATTGTTCTTAGGATTAAGTTTGAACATTCCATTTTTTAGCATTGAATTCAATCCACCAACACAATCCAACCAATTTTAATCCAAAATAATTCTTCATCAAAATAAATTGAACTAATTGTAATAATCCAACCAACAGATATGTATTTGACATATCCTACAAAATAATAAAACTCAATCCTGGTAATCCTGTTAGTACTACTGCTGCAATACAAATTAAAGGATGAGCAGCTTCTGTTATATCATACTATTGTACTAAAAGATCTTTCTAATTATGTTAATTGCTTAATTTACATTAGCTGCTTCTATCTCTTCTTCCTATTGGTTATTTTGATAAACTGAATCATATTTGTCTACAGTTAGATCCACATCAGGTTCTACATGTTCTGTTATTCTCTTAGGCTATATATCAATCTTAAAATCCAATGATGTTTATTCCATTTAATATTATTTATTGATATTTCATAATTAAAAATATAACTCAATATTTCCTTCTCCCACTACTTCATAGTGCTATTCTTGAATCAAAAGTAATTAACAATTTTAACATTTATAATCAAAAACTTATGATGAATTGATCTCATTAGGAATAAATATTTTTGTTTAACAACCTACCTTTGTCTTAAAAGATAAAAAAAACTCTCGAGTTTCAGAGTAATATTAATTAGTTTCTATAAAATCTGTACAGATTTAATATGCATAAGGTCTTTTTAATGCACTAAGTTTTAATTACTAAAATGATCCATCTTCATAAAATAGACCCTCCTCATACATAGTTGACATAGTTGTATGATCATTATATCCTTTATATTACCAATAGGTCCATGATTATTAGTAACTATCGGCTTTGTCAAGAATAAAATCAAGTATATCTTTAGATTTTTAATCATCTCCAACAGCTCCAAATTCTGTCAAAAATCCTCCTATTTTAAGATCATTAACGTTTCTCATCTTTAAGTAATACATTAATTAATGAATCCTATTACATATCAAAGATGAAATCTTCTCTATTCCACAATATACATGATAACTGAATACTTCTTTATTTTCATATTCTTGTCCACCAATATTTTAATCAAAACCTGCTCCTAAAACATCAAGAAAATCAGACTCAAAAAATATTATTTTTTCTTTATCAACTTTTCTAATATAATTATGTATAAGTTAATAGAATGGAATTAAATATTTTTTATTTGCATGTCCTGGCCATATATAATCAACCATACTATTTTAGAAATTCCCTGGAGCTGGCTCATTCATAATTTCATATCCTATAACATTCCATTCATTTTTATGTTTTTCTGCTACTCTCTCCCAAAACTAACCATAATAATCAGCTAATCCATTAGTATTTGAATAAAGCATTTCAAAATTTCTTCCTATATCATTAGTAGAATAAAAGAAAATAAATTTTTACTAATAACAATCATCCAATATTGGATATCCTTTAGAATCAAATCTCATTTACATCGTTTTTGGAAATGGAAAATCGGTTTTTTAAATTGCCCAATCAGGAAATCCATTTCCACAAAATTACCTATTAAATAAGTCTTAATGAGCATCTAAAATAACATATATATTATATTTCGCAGCCATTCTCACAATCATCAAAATTTTATCTAAATACTCTTCGTCTACTACACCTCTCTTTGGCATCGCTCCTTCAAATGAAACATGAAGTCTAATAACATTGAAGCCATTCTTGCTTAATATTTAACAATCTTCTTCACTAAAAGACTCCATATAGTCAAACCCTTCTGTCTTTGGCAGATAAGGTGCTTATTTATAAACTACATTGAATCCATGAAAAATTCTAATTGCTCCATTCTGATCTTGAAAGTATCGACGTTCATTTAGAGTTATAGGAGAGGCAAACACACTTATAATTAAAATAAGGGTTTAATATATCTACATTTAATTTAGAGAATATTATTAATATCAATAATTAAATAAATAATAAAAATAAATTGATGAATTAATTAAAGGTAATTAAAACAAAAAATACTAATAAACTCATTTTATAATTTATTGATATTTATTAAACCTTACCATATGAATTTCTTTAATTGAATAATAGAACTTATGTTTACATTCCAGATACCTATTTTATTATAATAATTTAAAAAATAGACTAATTTAATAGATTTTATTATATTAGATTTGAATATTCTTTAATCTCATTAATAAAATAATTTAAAGTGTATATCATCCAAAAACATAAAACATATTCAAAATTTTTTTATTATTCTGAAATATCTTTAAATCTTTTATAAACAAAACGAATAGTTTATCAATTTTTTGGAAATATTATTTATCGATAAAACAGATTCATATTTATTTAGAATATATTGGATAAATTCTTTATTATTTATCTCTGAATTTCATCATCTGAAGATCAATGAGGCTTTTTATAAATCCTAAAAAATTAAAATATTACTTATCACTCTTAATTTTACATTTTTTCCTTAATTAAAAACTAATCTTTATCTAATAAAAATTTAATACTAGATTCAAACTTATTCTTTTATTATGCTAAAAAAATATATATTTTCAATTTCTATTTAATGGAATTTTAACATATTTAAATATCAATTTAAATGATAGTTTTGTATATTATAAATTATTTAATTGAAAAAAAGATATAAAAAGAAGTATGATTAATTTTAATTTAATATCAAATTCAAAGAAATTAACTTTAAATCTCTCCTTAATCTAAATCTACAAGACATCCTATGTTCTTAAATTATTATGATAATCTTTAAAATAGACTAACTTATAATAATTTAGCATCTTTTGATTAAACTTATGGTTATTCAAATTCTTAATCTTGTAATAATATAAATACTTTGCTTTTGAGTATACAAGATATACAAGATGGTTCTATAATTTTTGTAGATTAATCAACAATACAATAATCAAATGAATCTGATTATAAAATATCAGTACAATTTTAACAAGTTGAGAAATAGAAATGTTTATTTTTTAATTTCTTATTGATTTCTGAAATATCTTCAAACTTTTTAAAGTCAAAAGAATATTTTTAATATTTTTCTTGTATTTATTCTTTTTCTCCATATAATCTTAAAATCCATCCACATTCATTTGGAAATGTTTCGCTAAAATCATTTATTTATTCATCTAAAATATCATCATCAGCAGAACAAAATAATATATTTTTATTTTTTTATCCTAATAAAAATAATAAATGACTTAACATATTCCTTTTTCCATTATAACCTTAAATTAAAACAAAATCTTCAGCTAATAAACATAATTAAATAGCATTAGATTATTATTCATTTAATTATTTAAAATTATCTAACATTTATGAAAAAGATTATTGATCGCCTTCATGAAGATAAGATTAACTCTTAAATTAGGGAGTATAACCTAATATAAGAATTTCTTTTTTTCTTGATAATTTTTGATTTATAGCAAGCTCAAATGTAATAAAATTATAATGTTTAAATGGATTTTTTTATTATATTTATTGGATTAGAATATCTTCTATTTCTAATTCTTTACCAAAAGTACTTAGTTCTGTTTTAACTTGTACATGCATACGAATCAGATATTCAAAATCATCTTCTTCATTATTTTCTAACCTAGATGTCTAATTTAATAAGTATTTTTAAATAATATTAGGTTACTTTTTTAAAATGAATTAATAGCTTTTTTAAGTTCTTTTACAAAAAAGGGTAAATTCTCTGTTTGACGGAAAACATTCTTTTAAAACTTAAAGAGCTTAACTTTCTAAATATGTGTTTTTTGAAGATAATATATAATGGAAGGTATCATTAAGGTTTTATTTTTATTTAATTTCATATTCAATTTGAGTTAGAGTTTATGCTTTTTTTTCTTATCTCAAATTTTTAATCATTTCATTTAAGTAAATTTTTGTTTATTAATTAACTTATTTTTTTATTTATTCATATGATTAAATTGGAAATTAGAATGTTGATTAATTTTCTAATAGAAATAAACCATAGCAAACATATTTACATCCACATTTCTCACATTTCATTTATTCTTATTTTGTTTTAATTTCTAATTCAAGTTTAGGCAAAAGTGAAAAATCCTCTTATTTCTTTAATTGACATAATTCTAAAATATATAGATTTCTACAAAACAATAAGTCTTTTTATAGATATTAATTATTAGTAATGATTTTATAATCTGAATTATTTAAATATAATATCATTCCTAATAAGGTTTCCTATTCATAGTAATTATTCATTAAATATATATAAGTTTAAACTTAAGTATCATCAGAATTTAACTTCATTCCAGTTTTAATCTCTATTGGTATTTTACAAAATCTTTACTAATATTTATCTATAATAATCTTAACTTCAAAAATCATATCAATAACTCCAACTAATCCCAAAACGGATGATTAAATTTTTTTTTCATTTGCGACCCATTTTATAATTTAGATTTAAAATTTATTCTATTATATTGGTTATTTATTAATAACAAATTTTTTAATCCAAATTAGTATCTTAATAAATCCTTATGATATACTAATTTCCATATCTTTATTTTTCTCATTCCCCACAGTATATATTTCTTTTAAAAATTTAGATTAATTTTGTTCAAAAAATATCTTGAATTAAACAGGAATTTAATTAATATCTAATTCATATTACTTCGAATCATTTATTTATTAAAAATATTTCTCAAACTCATAGATAGATTCCATAAGATTTTAAAATATATAATGTAAAAAATTACCTCTTAATTTATTAAAATTGGTACCAAAAACTTAATTTGAAAAAAATTCTTTGACTAATGGTTTCCTTCTACAATATACTATATTACTTAATTTAGTAGCTGAAACCAAAGTTTTTGGCTCTAAAACATAAAAATGATCATTTTTTAATCTTTAACTAAAATAAATTGTGTTGTTATTATCAAAATTCCCATATACAAGAATTTACATTCCTTATTAAACATTATTTAAATTATTGTGATGATCAAAGAGCAAAATGAAATAACGAATTTCCATTTAATCTTTTTTTGCCTCTATTAATAAATAATGATTGGTGGTCAATTTTTGAGCTTCCTATTTAATATTTAAAACATTTCCACCTTCAACTTATTATTGTGAATTTAAGATTTAAATGATAATCAAATTATGAAAAGCATTTTATTATTTAAGTTAATCACAATTAATGGTTGAGATATTGGAATCATTATATAATTCTTCTTATAGATATTAATCTTATCCAATCATTTGCAATTTAATAAAAGAATAAATTATAAGGTGCCTAAATGAGTGTTATAATGATTAAATATATAATATATATTAAAATAAAGATTATTATTATACAAAAGTATCACTTAGGTTGAATTCTATTTAATAATTTCAATAATGATTTTTGATTAGTATTTAATTCTGATTCACATTTCTTTATACATTTATTATCATTTTAACATGCTTCTAAACAGATTTTATTTTCATTTTATATCAACTACAACCCTTTTTTATAAATTAAGTATTCATTTGCACAAGTAGCATAACAAGATGATTCAGGATTAAGCTCCCAGCACTTATAACATTAAGTTACTGCTTTTAAAAAGAAAGTCTCGTGATCCATTGATTAATTTTATTAAAAAAATATATTTTTTTTCATTTTTTCTTTTATACCACTATATTTTCTAGTATTAAAGATTAGACATCTGGTGAATTAGAATATAAAACTAAAGCAAATTTGCCTAATGGAAAATTTGATGATTACTAAAATATGAATAATAATAAAACTTCTGTGATCTATAGTTTTTTGAATTCTCCTTTTCCTTTTAATAATAATTTAGTCTTTCCAACCAAAAGAGGCTTTCCTTGGGAATTGACAGTAATTTCTTTAGGAAATTTATCTGCTGAAAATCTTCATTAAAGGAATAGGGTACAATTTAATGTAGACTGTGTATTCTTCATTTTTTGTCAAATTGCCAGAATAATCTCTCAAAGAAATAGAAAGTGTGAAATCAGATTTGCAATATAAGTTTTAAATTTCTTTTTCCAGATGAATAAAGATGTTTGCTTCGTCATTACTATACAATTTGAATAAATTCTTGTTTCTAGATCTATGCTTTTATTAAAAATTCTCTAAACTATGTTAAAAGGATTTAAGTCCCATGGAAAGGTTATGGATTTGAAGACTCTAAGATGATAGCATATCCTCAAGCATCTTGAAATTCAAATCTTTCTATTTATCGAGAAATTCTTACAATTCTTACATTAATAATCATAATGATTAAGGTATTGCCTTTGTTGCTTCTACTTACAATATGTTAATCTGAAGATGCACCTGTAGCAAGATTTGCATATGGAAATATGAATTTCATGCCAAGATAAAGAGCTCCCTTCTTTAGTGCTATAGCAGTTACCCCAGATTTGAAATTCCAAAAGATATCTCTTTCTGATTATTAAGGAAAGTATGTGGTTTTGTTATTTTACCCATTTGATTTCACATACGTATGTCCAACAGAATTAGTTGCCTTTTCAAATGCAATTGATTAATTCAGAGCTTTGGGTGCAGAAGTATTAGGTATTTCCACAGATTCCCATTTTACTCATTTGGCATGGTTGAAGACACCAAGAAATTAAGGAGGAGTTGGAGATCTTCAGATTCCATTATTGGCAGATATTTCAAAGAATATATCAAAAGCATATGGTGTATTAGTTGAAGATGAATTGGATGAATTATATGGTGCTTCATTAAGAGGATTGTTTATAATAGATAAAAAAGGTATAGTAAGAACAATGTAAATAAATGATGCTCCAGTAGGAAGGTCAGTAGATGAGACATTAAGATTAATCTAAGCATTTTAATACACAGATACTCATGGTGAAGTATGTCCTGCAAATTGGAAACCTGGACAAAGAACTATTGTTCCAGATTAAGATAAGAAAGGGGAATATTTTGCAAAAAGTGAATTATGATCATTTATATCAGGTTAATTCATTTAATAGAGCTTTTCTTGTTATTGTCTTTTTGCCATCAAATTTATTAAATTTAGCAATCATTAATTCTGCATCTTATAAATTTACACTTCTTGTTGTTGAATGTTCTAAAATCTAGAGTACATCTAATACATCCATATATCCTTTATGAAAGTATCTATCTAAAGAACTTAGAGTTCCTTCTCTTAAAAATTGTAATTTTGCTTTTTGTAATTACTGCTCTTATTCACTTAATAATTCAAATAAATTATTGGCAACAATCTATACTGAACTTTATAGATCTGATACTTTTATCTTTTATTACAAAGGTTGTCTGTCATCATAATAAGTGAGTATATTTAAAAAAAATTCTTGAGAAATATTCTTTGTATTAACTCCCAAATCAGACCATTCCTATTGCCAATCATTTGAAATTAAAGATTTTAAGATTATTACTTCTTCTAATTGAGCCATTACATTTTACAAACATCTTTATTAATTTAAGTAAACTGACATTAAAGTATTAAGTTCTTTAGATTCATTAGTAAATGATCTAGGTTCTGTATTTTAATTTGGAGTTCTAGTTCTAGTACGAGCCTATTTTGTTTCAGTAGTTCTTGTTGTAGCTGTTGGTGTTTTAGCACGAGGAGTGTGGCATCCTTTATTATCTATCTTTTAAATAACAACTGATTATTATGTTTAAAGTGGTTTATATCTTCTTCTCAATTTCTCCATATAACTCTAATGTTAAGGTTCTCTTTTTATTACTGTACTTATTTTCATTATAGGAATTTCAATTTTATCTTGAGATCTCTATCTTTATGTTTTAATAGCTTAACTAAAATCTTCAAATGTCATTATATTGGCATCTCCTCTACCAATTCTTTTTAATAATAGTTCTATTTCATCATCAGTTATAGTTTATCTTATTCTTATAAAGAATTTCTTTAGCTTTTATTAATCTACTATATTTGTTCCAAATGATAATTTTTTGAATAATACTTAAACATTATAATCCCATCTCTTAAGTACTTTAAATCTTTATTCATCTAATTATCTTTCTAATTTTATTTCTTCAAATAATAATCTTAAAAAAGTTATATCTGCTTCTTTTTTTTGAATAATACCTGGTTAACGTAGATATCTCTCTTAAAATTTAGAAAACATTAATTTATCTTCAAATCCACCTAAACGACCAATCAAATCTTTTAATTCATAATTCTATGTTTCTATTTAATATTTTAATAAATAATCTGATAATTAATCAATTCTACAAACAGAATTCTTAAAAAAAGATGGAATGAATTCATTATCAGTTATTTCTTAAATAAATTCTAAACATCTATCTAGTCGTCTCTAATTATATATTTTGACATACCTCATTCCATTTATAATGATCTAGAAAAATTTACATAACTCTTATTAAGTTTCAATTGAACTCATGTCTTAATTCGTTAAAAAATTAATAAAATCAAAATAAAATAAATTCTCCTGATTTTGCTAAATTCTTTTTATTCCAAGTATTAATTATGACTTCAGGTTCTTCATTTGGAATTTCAACCAATTTAAACTATTTTCCTGTTTCTCTATTTAACATTTTTTGTTCTCTATCTTTTTAACTTTCACCTGATAAATAAAGAAAATTCTTGCAATCAACAAATTTTTTCTTTGGTTAATCCTACAATTTTTAATTATATTATGTAATTAATTTATTAGTATACAATCTTGTTTTATAAGATTAAGTAGTCTCATTTTCATTAATTTCTAAATTATATATATATATTATATACTATTATCTGAAATCACAGTTTCAACCTATTTAAATGGATTATCAATCAATTTTGAATTAAAATTAGCCTAAATATCAGATAAAACAAATTGTTATTATTAACCAAGTCTTTCTGCATCAAAATCTGATAAAAATCTATTCACTAATCTATTTTCAAATTTCTAACAATTTTTAGATTTCATTGATTAAGTAAGTAATGAAAATTATGGTCTATTATCTTTGTGATCATACCATCTTAATTTTAGATACCAATATCTACTACTATTTTTTTCCTCTTCACCTTTACTAAGTTCTATTGCTTAAATCTTTTAATTTCTTTCTCTATATTAATCTGCTCTACTCATTATTGTTTATTCTGGTTCTCGTTAACAATTAGAAGCTACTTATATATTAACATTTTCCCATGAAGTCTTTACATTCTCAAACTTCTTCATTGCTCTTTCTTCTCTTGATAAAGCATTTTTTAAATGAAATGGGAGTTTCTATTCTACCTTTTCTTATTCTATTTATGCCTCTTAAATGTGTTTTTCAGCATCTCTTACTATTTGATTTAATTCTCTTTTGCTTAAATAACGTTAATCAACTTTACTCTTCTTTGGTGTTTTCCTACCCTATTATTTATCTAGAATAATTGATTAAGCCTATTGATTAGTTCTAGTAGGAGGTTATTCATCTAATAATGAATCATCTGTTGTCATTTGATTCTATTAATTTTTCTTTAGTCTCTAATATTGTCTTAGTTTCTCTTAATGAATTCTTAGAAATTATTAATATCCAACAACTGAATATTTGATCACCTTATCCTATTTATCACTATCATACTTAGGACCACCTGTATAATCTATATACTTTTTTCGCTCTTCATTATTTGCCTCTACAATTCACTTATTACTTTACCATCAAATATATTCTATGTTGAAGATGTTAAGGCAAACGTATCAGCAGCTTATTTCAATACTCTTTTGCAATTACTCTGTTACTAGATTTGCTCTTGATTTTACATAAATTATTTAGTCTAATCTCCTAATCCATATTGAGTATTATAGAAATTGCCAGTTTCATATGATCTAAAAGTAGTTGTCTTAGTTGAATTAGGAATGTAATCCATCATTAACTCATTTTTAATTGTACCTTTTGATTGAAAGATAATTGGTTATGATAATAATAAGGTTTTTTTTGGTTTTTCTGACTTCCCTTGATTTAAAGGAATTCTCATTAAAAATTTATATTTTTTTATATATGATTTCAATATAATCATTATTTTAATGTAATATTAATCAAATTTTTACTAGGATAGAATGATAATATCTTTATTTGCCACATATTTAAGAATGAGAAAGGCTTGATTTATACTTAGATATAAAATATGAAGTAAAAAAATCTTTAATTCAAGAATATATAAAAATAAATAAAATATTTTATTATATAATTCAAGTTTTTAATTTCAATATTTTCTCTAATATTGAATTCTATTCATCAATGGAGGTTTCTTTTTTAAATTGATCCCAAAGATCCATCCAATGTGTTTATTGATTTAGACCCATAAACACAGGAATTTCTACCTTTTTTACTTCATTAAAGCTCTTTTTTCTTTAATGTTATTATTAATAACTGCTTTTTTTCCTTTCTTCTTTGGAAACATAAACAGGTTTTAATTATTATTAAATAACTATATTAAGTTTTCCAAATTATTGAATAGATGGCTCTGACATATTTTTATAAAATTCAAGTTAAATAAATTTATCTAATTTCATACTAATGATTAAGAAAATATATTTAAATATAAAATTAATGTACAATAAAGAATATGAAAATAAGAAAAATTATTTATGATAAAATCTTTTAATATGTTAAATTATTAATGATTGCATTTAAAGCTTATCTATATATTAAAATTAATTTGAATGAATAAATACGTCTTCAAATCAGAAAAAGAATATCTAAAAGCAAAACAAAAATTATATCAAGACAAATTGAACTTAATTCTCACAGACATTGATCAATTTTATCGTATTAGATTATCAGGTAAATAATTTTTAATAAGATACTTCTAATATCTAATGGAGGTTAATGAAAGATAATAAAGAGGTGATAATTCTTCATTTTTTTATGAAATGGCTAATTATTTTAGAGAATTCAACATTAAATAATTTTTTCCAAAAAAAATTTGGTATTTCAATGTTACAAGTATATATTGTTCTATATGTAGAGTCTTTTATAAATAGTTTATCTAATGTCTCTGAGACTGATATTATAAATATATTCATTCTATTAAACTTAATACTGGAAGGAAAGTTTAATTATTACTCAGAATCAATTATCAAAGTACTCCAATATGAAGGAGGGAATGTTAAATTTCCATTTGAATTTGATTACATAATAGGTTTTAATTTCTAAGGCTTTTTAAAATTAGTAATCTAAGTGATTCCAAAATTATATCCAATTTTAAATGATGAAGGTAAGCCATTACATTTTGAATTTCGACATGAAATAATTTTAGTAGGATTAGGTCCTGAAAATTAAAAGAATTCTGTTGGTTATTATGAAATAGATAAATATTTTAGAAATTAATAGACTTCTCCTAATTTTTTTGCTAATATGAAATTAGTTAAAGAAAAAATAAATACATCAGAAATAATTCCTCATGCAACAAAAATTGGAATAAAACCTAAATCTTGGAAGGATATATTACTTCCAAGAGAATTTTAAATTATTAAATTAGATTGTTAAGATTATGTATATAATGAAACATTTAAAAGATGGATTCCAGCTTCAACTTAAATTCTTATAGATAACAAATTAGCTAGAATCAATCAATTTTCTAATAATCATTTTTTAATTTAAAAATATAGTCAATAACCATCTGCATTCTAATTGTTTAAAATTATATAAAATATTCCTAATTATAAAGTCAATCTAACAAATGAGTAATAAGAAATTATATCATATAATGGAGATGGATTAGTAATTGGTAGAAGTGGTACAGGTAAAACTACTTGTGCCTTACTAAGACTGTTCACAACAGATATACTATTTAAAATTAGAAGTAAATTAGATTAAATTAATTATTAAACTACAGATATATAACTAAATTAATAATAAAAAGATTGTTAATTAAAGACAGTCTTTGTTACAGCCAGTCCCTTATTAGCTTGTTAAGTTAAAAGATTATATGATAAATTAGTATAAAATATATAAGATGTCATTAATAATAAAAAGAGATAGTAGAAAAATTAGATGGAAACAGAAATGTAGAATGATTAAGAGGATTTAGATCAAAGTACTTATTAAATTATAGATGCAATTAAAAGTGATTAAGAATAATAGGAATATTAATAATTAAATCAAGAAGAGGAAATGGATGATTAAGAAATTGATGAATATGAAAAAGAAATGGGAAAATTCTTAAAGTTTTCTGATATTACTTAATTTCCAATATTTGTAACATTGAGAAAGTTTCTATTTTTAGTTGATGCTTCATTAATCAATTCATTTTTTACTATTTTTGGTAATAAATAGGATAGATCATCTTAATGGCATAATGAATAATTTGGATAAATGAAATTATCTCAAAATAATGAAGTGATAGAAAAGAAATTAGAATAGTTTAATTAAAAATTAATGGATGATATAGATAATTCAGATTATATTTAAACAAAAATGCCTGAAGTAACCTAAGATATATTTGTAAGGATATTTTGGCCTAAAATATTAAATACTATAAAATCTAAGTGTCCAATATCAAAATGTTTTGATCCTATTTATGTTTGGTCAGAAATTTGTACAAAAATCAAAGGTCATGAAACATCTCATGAATATCCAGATAGATATATGAATTATGATAATTACTATTATATGTAAGGTTTACCTGAAGATTAATGTAGCTTTGTTTATGAAGCATTTTAAATTTATGAATAAAATAAATATTAATTAGGATATTATGATTTATTGGATTTAGTGAATCATATAAATTATGAATTAGCATATGGTAATGATGTAATTGAAAATGTTCATTATTTATTATTAGATGAATTATAAGATGTTCCTAAGGCTGTTTTAATATTATTAGATTAATTAACAGAACTTGGTTTATTTTGTTGTGGTGATAATGCTTAAAACATAGCAAAAGGAATTAGTTATAAATTTTTTGAAGTTTAAAATTGTTTATTGTCTTTTAGAAATAGTAAGAAAAAAATGCATAGAAATCTTAAAATATTTGATTTGAGTGTAAACTTTAGATCTCATAATAAAATTTTATAATTAGCTAATTCTGTAATAAGAATGATTGAAATATTTTTTCCATATAAAATTGATAAATTAAAAAAGGAAACATCAAATTTAAAAGGTCCAAAACCAGTTGTAATAAAAAGTGATAATGTAAAACATTTATTAAATAATCTATGTGATTTCTTTTCAAATGATAAACAAATTGTAGAATTTGGTTGTAATTAAGTCATAATTGTAAAAGATTAAGATTCTAAAAGTAAATTACCTATTGAATTGTAAAATATTTTATGTTTAACTATTTATGAAGCAAAAGGTTTAGAATTTGATGATGTGATTTTATTTAATTTCTTCCATGATTCAACTGCATCTATAAAAGAATGGGAATCATTAAATGATTTAGAACCTTAGGTAGAGTATTTAAAAAAAATAGATTATGAAAAATATATAACAAGTATTAATAAATATTAATTATTAGATCATTAGACAGAAGTAATAGCTTCAAGTAAATAGAAGAATAATGAATTAGTAGAAGTTTGGTAATTGAAAATGAAAAATATGAAAGAATGTTAAGAAATATCTATAGATTTATGTTAAGAATTAAAATAACTTTATGTAGCTATAACAAGACCTAAAAAGAGATTAATAATATATGATTAATCATTAGAAAAGAGAAGAATTATACAAAATATTTGGATAAAACTAAATGCTGTTAAAATTGCTGATTGTCAAATATAACCAAAAGATATTAGATTTTAATTATTATTATAAAATAATAATAAAGAGAATTGGAAACGATAAGGTTTTAAAATGTTTAGAATGAATAATTATTATTAAGCAGCAAAATGTTTTAAATTTGCAGAAGAAAAATAATTAGAATAGAAATCTATTGCTTATAATATTGTTGTTAATAATGCTCATATATCTAATAGTCATTAATAATTTTTATAAGCAGCTATTATTTTTGAAGAAATTGGTTTATTACCAAGAGCTGCTTAATGTTATTTTACTGCTAAATAATTTTAAAAAGCATAAGAATTATATGAAAAATTAGGATAGATTAATGAAATGGCTGAATCAGCATTTTTTGCTCAAAATTATTAAAAAGCAGCTTAAGGTTTTGAGATTTTAGGTGATATAAGAAGATCTATAGATTGTTATTGTTTATAAAAGGATTGGGATAATGTTATTATAATGTTAAATAAATATAAATAAGAATTCAGTTAACAAGAAAGATTAGCATTTTTAAATTAATTCTTTCCTAATTATTTATAAAATTTAGCTTAATAAATTTAAGATAAAGTTATAGAATAAAGTGATTGCACTTAAGAATTCTAAGCAATTAATTAAGAAGATAAATCAATTTTAAACTAATCAGAAAGTTTTATCATATAGAATTCAATACTTAATAAATCTGAAGAGGATTATTAAGTAATTAATAATTAAATCATTAATTAAAGTAATAATGAATCAAGTTTAGAGATTTTAAATAATGAAGAATAATCATAATCATTTTAAATTGAGAATGAGAGTTAATAAAACATGGAACATTTATCTATTTTTGATCCTGAAGATGAATGGTTGAAATATGATTAAAAATAATTGATTAAATCAATGTCATCTAAAATTAGTCATCAATCAGAATTTTCTAATATTGTACTCCTTAATTAACCACCTTAAATTACACTATTAACTTCTAAAAATAATATTTTCATTTCCAATAAGGTATTATAAGAATTGATTTATAAATTACAATTATTTTCTAATGAATTTAAAAATCATTTAGATTAATAAAAATATAAATCAGTTTAATTATCTAATAGATAAGATGATGAAAAAGAGTTTGATCACATAATAAATTTTGTTTATGATTTAGATAACATTGATATTGATTCAATTTATATGATTTTAGATATTTTGGAGTAATTTAAAAGTTATAAATTGTGCATCTATTTATGTAATCATTTTAAATTAGCTACATATCTAGGAAGATATTTAGTTTCTTTAATGTCCACTTATTCTACATTAAATAAAACTAAATCTTAAGTTAATATTCAAATGATTACATTTGGATCTATAAGAAGGAATCTATTGGAATAATCAGCTATATCTTAAATTGCAATTAATAATATACTAGAAACTATTAATCCAACATTCTTAACATTTAAAAATGAAGAAGAATTAAGTCTTAATAATAGTTTAGGATTGAGTTGCTATTAACAATTAATAGGATTAGGTTTTTGGAAGTCATTTATATACTAATTAAACTTTAAACATTCAATAGATTTGTGTATGTCTTTTAATAACTATTCAGATGCAATTGAAATATTTAAAAAAGTTTAATTAAATAAAAAATATGAATTATCAGAACAAGAGAAATTCAAATTGATGAAAATTAAATATTATTAATAAATTAAGTTAATACAAGGTTAACAGGAAAGGGCATCAGATTTTGCTAAAGAACTTGATGATATATTTTAAATTACAAAGAATTATTATATGAATAAAAAACAAGAATTAGAAGAAAAGGATCTTAATTAATTAATTATTAATGCTAATATTCATAAGAAAAATCTGAATTTTAATCAAAAACTTAAATAAATAGAAGCTGTAATATTAAGTTTTGATATTCTTAAATTGAGATTTGAATGCTCATATGAAATATTTATTGGATTGTTTGAAATAGTTGAATATTTTCATAATTAATTAATTACATTTCAAAATTAAGAGGACATCAAAGAAGCTTTATTAATTTGTTATGGTTTTTCAATTCCTTAAGGAGATATAATGACTCATTATTCTCACTCTTTATTTTTACATATTTCATCTAAAATTGTTAAATAAGCAGTGAAAGATTAACAAAATAAAGATGATATTTAGAAATCGAATAGTTCTTTAATGTTTGTTGATATTGGATATGAATATATTTCAATTCACTTTGAACAAGCTATAGAATTAATTAAAAATTCATTTTCTTAAAAGATTTTGATGATTTTAAATAATAAATCTAAAAAATCAATGGATTATTATTAAGTTAATGATGATGATTCTTTTTCTGTTAATTCTTAAGAAGATTGGGAAGATACATTAGCAGAATTATTAGTATTTTTAATGCTTGAGTAATCTAATAAAAAGTTTTAATGTAAGATTATTTAGAAAAAAGAGGAATAAAAAAAATTACATCCACTATCAATTTATTATTCTAAATAAACTGAATTATAGGAATATTCAATTGTTGATTCTGAACCATCCTAAATCTTATAACTTATATAAAGAATAATTTTGAAAAATAATTTAAGAATTACTAACACTCCTAATTATATTAAAAAATTGATTCGTGATATATCCTTGAATTATATAATTCAAATTAAAAATTAGTAAGATAATTCTCATTCAAAAATGATATTGGCTATTAATTTATTAAATTTGACTGATTAATTATCTTATGCTGTATTAATTCTTTAAAATTCAAAAAAAGGGAATGTACCATACCTTAAATATATTGAATTTCTTGAATGTTAACATTTTGGTATTGTTGAGGATGTCATAGGATGCTTTTTAGATTATAGTTAATTTGTAAATGACAAGTTTTATTTAGATGAATAATTATATCATGTAATTAGAATTGGTTTAAATATTCTTATATCATTATTGTGTAATAGTTAAGAGAAATTAACAATATCTAAAGGTTATAAAGAATATTTAAATAATATTGAGAATGTTGATGAAAACAATTGCAAATTAGAGACTGGTATATTTTAATTAACTAATTAATAATTAATAGAAGAGTATTTATAATTTTTATTTGAATTTTACTAATATTGTTGTTCATAGTATTACTAAGATTAAATATAATAATTTTTAATGATTTTTGCAATAAATCTATTAAATATTCAATAAGTAAAAACAATAAAGAGTCTTATAGAATACATAAAAGATAATTAAAAATTAAAAAATTTGTAAAGGTTACAAGATTATTTAATTAAAGAAATTTCAAAGAATAAATAGGAAATTTAAAAAAAAAGATTTATAATAATTACTCTTACAAGCTATTTAGATGAAGATATTATTGAAGTGAAGATATTAAATACAAAATCAGATTAATAATTAGATGAATGTTATGATAAATGTATCTAAGTTTGGAGTGTTTATTAAAGTGAAACAGATAGTAAAATAAATTGTATGAGAGATTTGATTAAGAAGTGGAAAGGGTTCAGATAAAATCATAAAATATATTTGACTGAATAAATAAAGAGGAATTTACAATTCATAAGAAGTTTAGAATACTTTAAAATAGGAGATTGTTAAAATTTAAGAGATTTAAATAGATATATGAGATAAAATATAAATAATTTTAATGAGTATTTACAATTAAGTGTAACATTATAGAGGTAATAAATATGTATATATATTTATAGATAATTATTAAAGGCAAGGTAAAACTTTGTTAATTCACTTGATATTCATTTAATAAATTCTTTATTGAATGATTTGGGAGAATAGATGAAATTATTGTTAAAGGGAAATGATATTTATAAAAAGGTGAAATAATTGGAAATGGATCTTAAAATGTGGGAAAAGAATGATGAAGAGAGATAGACTAATGAAAAAATGTTAGAATTAAATAAGTAATTGATTATAGAAAAGTGGAAACATTTAAAAGCTGGAATTAAAATAAATTCAAACAAATTAAATTAACAATTAAATTCAAGAGGTTAAAAGGATTAATTGACAACAATATAGGAAGTTGTAGAGGAAGGTTGATAATGATTTAAAGATGATTAATATCATAAAAAGAGAATATATTAAATACATTTAATAAATATTTTTTGATTTTGTATCAAATGATTGAATTAAAGATGATCTGTTTGATCTGATAATATAAAACTTTAAAGTAAATTATGAATATAAATCATATCAATTAATATTGGTTATTTATATATATTCAAATTACTATATTGTATATTATAGTTTTTCTACATTATTCAGTTTTTCTTATAAAAAATTTTATAATATATTTAATTTGTTTTGAATTATAATTTATTTATCAATCAATAGGATTGACATTACAATCTCAGATAATTCAATAGATATTCAATAAAGTTATTGCATAAATAAAAAGAATAGTAACTATGATTATAATATCTTTGTATAGTAAATATTAATAAAGATTCTACACAGTTTAATAAGTAAAAAGATTGATTCTTTTATTATTTTCTCTTTTATAAATTAATATTAATGAGCCTTAGAGACTTCAACTATATCACAATGTCTGCCTGTAAATTTTGGGAAAATTAACTAAAAACTACTAAAAAGGAAGAGGAATCTACAGTTTGCAGTATATAAAACCAACCTTAGCCGTCTATACTGGAAGTTTCAGCATAGAAGTGTGAGGAATACTTATTTGGTGGAGAAGAGAAAATCTAATCTGTTGTTGAATCGATTGATTGTATTGAATAATAGGATGAAGAGAAGAAAAAGTCAAAGGATGACGATAGTTCCTCATCAATGTCTGAGAAAGAGAGTAGAGGAGAATCTAGAAAGTCTAAAACAACTTCAAGTAAGAGAAAAGGTTAGTGTCTAATATAATTTTAGGAAAAAAGAGACTTACAATATAATAGAATCATCTTATAATGGAAAATATGAGGAAGGGTTCTAATTTCAATGAAATAGTGTAGTAGATTCCAGGAAGTTCCATAAGTTCAATCAAAAGGTAGTTTAGAAAAAAGCTGAGAGTGTTAAATGAGGAGTCTGAAGATGGAGAGATTACAAATACTATAATTCGGATACAAGAGTTGATAGAGTAAGTATAATTTGTAATTATTAAATAGAGATTAGAGTATAGAGAAAGAAGTAAAAATAAGAGAACTAAAGATAATGATATCGAACATAGAGAATCATTTGCACTAAACAAAATAATTAATACTATAGAAATACTTATCCTTATTTCAATAAGAGTGATGATCTTTCATACGTTTCTACAAATTTCAAAAACAAAAAAACTAATTCAGTCATATGATTCAGACAATTGAGAGTCTTAATCTTTTTAAGAATTATCTATTTCTTCTTCGTTTTCATTTCCATCTTCTTCTTCAATTTTTTATGAAAATAAGGAATCTGTTTTATGTTAAATACCAACCAATTTTTCTAATTCCATAATTCTTTTATGTGAAAATAGAATAGACTATCTAAATTAATATTTAAAATAATATCTACTGAATTTATAATTTATCTCTATTCAATCCTTCAATTTCTCTCATTAACTTATAATTCTCATTCTTTTCATCATGAAGTCTCTCTTTTAATTTGCTATGAAAACTCTTAAGCATTGGTTATAATTCTCTTATATTTGTTATATTGTCATTATTAATTTTTTCATTCATTTTTTTAAGTTCTTCCTATCATTTCCAAAATATTTAATTACTTCTGTTTTTTTAATTAATTCTTTATATTCCAATAAAGATTCTTATAATTATTTAATGGATGTTGTATATAATGTACTCATTGCAGCTACATTATCACTTGCACTCATTCTGGTTTTATACTTTTCATCTAAATTGACAAATTATTTCTATTTCTCATCATAGATATCAGGAGGTTCATAAAGTTAACCCATTCCAGCTCTTGTAAGCACTTATGACACAGATTTACTGACTTCATCTCCTTGGAGGAGCTAAGCTGTTACATGATCTAACCTTTAAGGATTTTTAATTTGTAAGCATGATATCCTTTGGCAAATATGGACCATTATTTTAACCAAGATTAAGACTGTATAATCCTCCTTGTTTGCTTGGTCTAACTTCAACTTTCATTATTAAAATAAATAATATTTTCTTATTAATTATTATATTTTATTTCGATTCTTTTATATTCTCAATTTTTCTCGAAATATACATAATTATTATACAAATATGTGTAATAAAGAATATTTGTAGATATTTTTTAAATGGATGACTTAGTAAGTTAAATAAAGTAATTAACATTATTATTGTATTTAAATCAAGTATTCCTTAATTTACGAATTTTTTGTAATTTGTAAACAATGTCTTCTAATCCTATTTATTTAGGTGTCTCATGAACTCTTTCGGATTATAATGAAAGATTTCTGATTCTCAAGTGTTAGTTAGCTTAAGATTTGAAAAGTTAATCAAAGGCCTTATGATCAAACTTTGTTAATGGAGCCACTAGCAATGGATCAAGTCTTCTAAATTGTGCTGTTCTTTTTCTTTCTAAAAATAAGCTTGGGGGTTAAAATATAGATTATTTCCACTTATCCATATAAATAATATTAAAATACAATAATTGATCTAAAAATGATGGAATCATTTAATTAAAATTTTATTATAATAACTATAAACTCTATTCTAAAATAGTATCTATTCTATTTGTAAGAGATATTTATATATAGAAATATTAATAATTTCTAATTATTTTACAAATATTAATTTATCATATTTATAGAATATCCTAAAATTTAAGAAACAAAACTTTTTTATAAATATATAATAAGAATAAATTTAAGATTTCACTATGAAATTATATATATATTGAAATTAATCAAATATTTTAATGAGCACTTTTATTTCTTGTTATATTTCTTTTATGTCTTCTATGTCTCAATCTAATTAATTCTTCTTCTTCTTCTTCACATATTTCTTGTACTTACAAAAATGATGGAGATAACATTTCTTATTTTTATTCTTAATCTAATTCTTTAATTTCATCAAAATTAAATGAATAATTCATCTATGATATAATTTATAATACATTTGTATCATTCTTTTGATTACATGAAGTACTTCTAATCATACTACTTTTACGAGATGCAGGTTTTCGTATAGAATTACGCATCTTAAGCATATTAGTAGGAGATATAAAACCAGGTGTTTTGGTGCCGTCATCTTGAAAAGAGTCAGTAAGAGGATTAATGCAAGGTGAACTTTCAAAGTAATCTTATTTATCCCACATCTCTTTTAGAACCTAAGTAAATCTAGTAAATTCATCTTCTTTAGGTTATTAAATAGAGATCGAACCATAAAACTCAATCAATTGTTTTTTTGATTAAAGACTTGGATTTATTAGATTATGTTTTTCTTTAACATAATAAAATGCCTTTTCATAATTCCAACCTCGACTAATTAGATAAGCTATTATAATAGTTGGTGCTCCTTGTAATCCATTATTACAAACTACAAGAATTGATGATAATTTCAATCCACTTTAGATTAATTCACAAATATTTTAAAGTTATTGTGTAGATTTGTTTTCTTATAAAAACACTTACTAAATACTAAGATCATTCAATTACATAGTATCGTGCAAAATCAGTATAATGTTTGGAAGGACTCTTGTCTACACAAATAATAGTCCTTATATTTCTGGATCTAAGTAGATTCAATTGATCAGCTGTATGAATGCTGGACATATAAAGGGAATGAAATTTGTCACTGATTATATGATAAACTTAAGACGAATTCATTTTGATAATAATAAATTATGAACATTAATAACTAATTACTAAAGATTGTACAAGATGTATAAAATGATCTTATTCTTATAGATTCAATTAGTAATTAAGAGTGATTTTGATCTCAAGCCTAATGTAGATGAATTGATCAAAATATTAAGATAATAAGTAACAATACTGATTGAGTTGGTACAACAACAAAAGAGTGTTGAGTATGATTAATTGGAGAAGGCAGTTTAGAAGGCTGAAGCTGAAATTCGAAATCATGTTAGAGTAAATATGCAATTCTTAACAATTTAGGTCGAATAGTAAATGAAATTATATTCAGACAGTCTCTAAGAGAAGATTGATTAATTAGAGAGGGAAAAATAAGAATTACTTGATAAAGTATACTATCATCTTACTAAACTTTAAGAATAAGACACTTCTTTAAAGTCAGGAACGTAAGATCTCTTCATAAAATGCTACCAGAGAATCAAGTCCTAGTTTATTCAAGAAATCCTATATATTAGGCAATTAGGTTTACAATAGATAATAAGGTACTTCATAAGACAATTGTACATCAGTCATATAAAATTGTGATAGTCATTAAACCAGAGATAAACGAAGTTCTGGTACTTAACATTCATATGTAATGATGAAAAATATGTATGAAATTTAAATATCCTTGTTAGTCGAGAAAAAATCAATATGAATGCATCATAAGAAAAAGTTAATGATAAAAGTTCCACAATTCTCAAATCTCAAAATAGCTCTGCATTAATTAAGATGTTTAATATATAAAAATTGATCATTAAAAATCAATAAGATCAACATTTACAATAATTAAAAAAGTATTAAAATTATTTATACATTTAGTAAAACATTGAATTAGATATTGGATGATTCATAAGCTACAAAAAAGAAACCTTGAAATTATTAAACATTATCTCAAAAATTATATATATTTATTAAACCGTTCATTATTTTAAATTTAAACAAAAATCATGTATGAAAAAGTTAAAGTAGCAGTACGTTTACGTCCTTTATTAGATGAAGAATTACTAAATAAGGATAAATCTATTTGTGTAGATTCTATTGATCCTTCAAAAAAATCAATTATAAGTATTTTTTTTATCTTATTCATTAATCAGTTAAGAAAGACTTTGAAAAAAGACAATTTAACTTTGATACTGTATTTGATCCTAAAGTTACTTAAAGTTAAATTTACAATGAAATAGCTAGAAATATTGTTACTGTATTAAAATCGATTGAAATTATAGAGTGTGATTAAAGGATTTAATGGAACTATATTTTGTTATGGTTAAACAGGAACAGGTAAAACATATACTATAATGGGTAAAATTGATACAGAAGAAAAAGGAATAACTCCACGAACATTTGAATAAATATTTCATGAAATTTAACTTGATGATGATTATACTTATACTGTATAAATGGGATATTTATAGATATACATGGAAATGGTATAGATCAATATCTATTTTTAATTGCATAGTTGTTAGATTTAATAAGACCTGATAATACTGAAGTTAAAATTAGAGAATCATTAGATCATGGAGTATTCATATCTGGTTTGGAATGGCTTAAAGTAGTATCACCATAAGAATGTTTAAAAATTATTAATTTAGCAGAGAAAAATAAAGTTGTTGCTTTTACTAATCTAAATGCTCATTCCTCAAGATCTCATTCTATATTAATTATTAAATTAGAAAAGAAATCTTAAAGATAACATTCTAAATCAATAAGTAATTTTTAAAAATCTCATAAATAAAAAACTAATCTTTCTTAAGATATTTCAATTGATTAGTTAGATAATAATAATAATAATAATAATTGTGGTACTTTATATTTAGTAGATTTGGCTGGTAGTGAAAGAATCAAAAAATCTAAAGCTTCAGGAGATAGATTAAATGAAGCTCGATCAATAAATAGTTCATTAACAGCTTTAGGAAAATGTATTCATGCTTTAACAGATCCAAAAAATACATTCGTTCCATTTAGAGATTCCAAATTAACTAGAATATTATAAGAAGCATTAGGTGGAAATTGTAAAACTGCTTTAATTGTAAATATTGGACCAGCAGGAAAACATGTTGATGAAACTATGTCCAGTCTTACTTTTGGTATGAGAGCTATGAAAATAACAAATAATCTAAAAATTAATTAAACAGTTGATTTTGAAGTATATTTGATACTCAATTATCTATTAGTAACTTGCATAATAACTAAAAGTAGAATTATAAATGAAAGATGAAATAATATTAAAATTAGAAACATAGAAAATAAAAGCAAACCAATAAGATAATTATATGAGTAATTCAGAAATGTAATATAAAATTAAATTGGAGAGAGTAGAAGAATAACATAAAGGATTCTTGGAAGAAATTGATAAAGTAATGGTTGAGTAAGAATAAGAAAATGAATAGTTAAAAAAATAATTGGCTCATATTATGATTGAATTAGAAGAATCTAAAAATAGAGAAGAATTTCTGAAATAAGAGATTCTAATATTAACATAAAAATTACATAAAATAGATATTGAATTATAAAAGGCTTAATCTAATGTAATTATTTTGTTATTTAAATTATAGAATACAAATCTGAAAAATTAATAATCTAAAGATATAATAAAAGATTAATAATTATAAGAAATAACATTTAGGAATTGTGCACTTATATAGGTAAGTAAAGAAAAATAGAATTAATAATGGAGATCTGAATTATAATAAATTACTTCATAATATGCTAATAGATTAGAAGAAGTTAAAAGATTTGAAATGTATCATTCAGGAAAAGAAAATGAAAATATACATGAAGAAAAATTAAAAATTGATGATTTAACTTCCTAAATTAAATAATTAAAATTTGAATCAACAATTAATCAAGATAAATAATCTAAATTAAATTAAATTATCAACTAACTTAATTAATAAATATTGAAGTTAAATTAATAAAGAGATTTTGAAAATCTACATAATTTACAATAAATTAAATAATTAGAAAATGATAAATTTGAAATTACTTTTCTATTAGAATAATCAGAAATCAAATTTAAATAATTAAATCAACAATTAGAAGTTAATTTATAAAATTATTGTAAATTATAAGAAGAAAACATTGAATTAAAATAATAAATTCTAATAATACAAGAATAATTTGATAATCTTAAAAATACTTCATAATAATTGTTATAATAATCAAATATTGAAAAATAAATACTTAAATAATAAAATGAAGAGTATCATTTAAAACTCTAATAGGTTTTAATTAATAATAAAGATATACATTTATAATCCAAACTAGAAAATAGTAGTATGTAATTAAATAAAACATTAAAAATTGATTTTTTAAATACTTAATTATAATCTAATGAATAAAACTTTGATATTGAATTAAAAAAATCTATGACAGTATCAGGATAGAATGAAGGTTAAATTGTCATTGAAATGTAAATGAGAATTCAATAACTTGAAGATTATATTGAAAAATTATAAAATCAAATTTAATAAAAAGAAATACAAGAAAAGACTACTTGTTATTTAACAATTTAAAATTTATTGGAAGAACTTGTTATTTAAGTAGAATAAAATATTTAGATTACAGATAATACATTTAAAAATAAGTATTCATTATGATTTATTAATTTATAGTAATGGCAATAATTAAATATTCGATAACCAGGTTAATTTAGTAAAGAGACTAGATACTTAAAACACATTGGATGTAAATTAATTAGTTGAAAGTTTATTTATTGATTCTAGATAATAAGATTAGCATATAACAGCAGAATGTGATGAATTTAATGATTCAGTAATTGAATATTAATTACAATAATTTGATTAAGAAGAGTAACAGAATCAAGTTTAATTCAATAATTGCAATAAAAAACTATAACCAACATTTTCATTTAGTTAAGAATAAAAAAATATTGATTGTCCAAGTTTTAAAAATAATTCATTTCGAAATTAAAATTAACAAATATTCGCAGATGAAATTAATTTTAAGATTGGTATTAATGATTCCTTTAAGCAGAGTATATTCAATTTATAAGTAGATTCCAATTCTAGTTAATAAAATAAAAATAAAACTAATGATTACAATAAAGAAGTCGTTTTGAGGGAGCAATAAAATGAAATGAAATCTAAATAAATAAAAAAGTAATTTTAATAGTATAAAAAGAATTGAAGGAGAAGATTTATAATAAGTAATTAAATATATGTCTTAATTACTCAAAGATCAATATAAAAAGGAATCTAAAAATGATTGCAATACATTGGATACTTTGAGATCATCAATGCTAGATTTTAATAACTTATGTAATACCTTAACAACTTACTTTTCATGATAATATATTAATTCAATTTATTTATTTTCTTAGTAATTCAAATATTTTAATTACTTTATTTATTTTATTGTAATTTATATATATATTTAATATGAAAAATTTATTAAGAAAGAATTTTATATAATATTCTTTCCTATTTATACAAAAAATTAAATTTAAATGAATACATTAAATTCTTTTTTAAATGGCACATTTCACAATAGAGAATCTTGCATGTATTAATGAATACCTTGCAAACACTAATTATTTAAATGGAGATCTTCCAGGAGCTGATGATGTCAGAATCTTCAATGCTTTGAAAGGTGTTCCACCCAAAAATCAATTTCCAGAAATTTATTTCTGGTATCTACTCCTCAACTCTTTTACTCCTGCTATTAGAGCTTAATGGGTTACAGTAGCTTCACCAAAGAGATAAGAACAAAAGAAGGAAAAACCAAAGAAATAAGAACCAAAGAAAACTGTTGATGAAGATATTGATCTCTTTGGAAATAATGATGATCCTGAAATAGAAAAGAAAGCTAAAGCTTTGGCTGAACAAAAATAATAAGAAGGCTTAGCCAAGAAAAACAACAAAAATTTAGTTGGCAAGACTATAGTGATCTTTGAAGTTAAAATATTTGAAGCCACAGATTAAGCCTTATTAGAATAAATAGCCAAAAGAATCAAGGACACTATCAATCCAGATGGTTTAGTTTGGGGAAAGGATATCAATTATGAAGAAATTGCATATGGAGCCAAGAAGATTGTTATGTCAATGGTCATTGAAGATAAGGTAATTCATTAAATCATCATTGTTTTAGATTTTTACTGAAGATATATTTGATCAAATAACAGCTTGGGAAGATGAAGTTTCTAGTGTTGACATAGTAACAATGTAAAAAGGTTGATAGATATAATCAAGTATATAAAATTAAAAATCACATAATTGTAGTTTAATTTACTGTATCCAAAGTTATTTACAAATCTCTAAGATTTATAACATCATTATTTTCTAAACTAAATATAACTTCATGATTTTAATCATTTATCCTTATAAATTTAGTCCCTTCTATTCTGGTTGTTAAACTTGAACCATTTCTTTTATCTTCTTTTGATCCTTTATAACTTTTATCTTTAGGTAAGGAATAATGTTTATTAGTTTAAATTTAATGAGGAGAACCATTTTTTTAAATCTATTTGAGATCTTAAAATCTTAGATTCAATTTTGGTAAAATTGGTTTTAAAGTAACAGGTTGAAAATTATCTTTTGAATCAGCTCTCTCATTTTTTTTAATAATGGATCCTAAAGTCTATCTTAATGGATGATTAAGTGGAAGACTGAATTATGATAATTGATAAGCAGATTTTATAATATTTTTGGATTCAATTCTTTATTTTAAATGTTCCATTTCAACACCCAAATTATGATAAGCCACAATCAAAATTTATATTCTTTCTTATTAATTCTTATTCAGATTATTTTAATCAAATTGTCTACTTTTTTATTAACTATTAACTTATTGAGTTGCTTATTCAATTGAATTTTGTTTTTTAATTAATTCAATATCTATTTATTAGTTTTATTTCAAGAATTATAGTAATAATTCATGTTGTAACATAATAATTGATAAATAAATATGTTATGTAGCCTCTTCATGTCTTTCTAATGATGAAAGAACAGCACAGAGATTCAGATAGAGTTCAGGAATCTATGTGGATTTTTCATTTCTTATATATTATTACAATTAACTTACTTCAATTCAATGGCTAAAGCTTACTGAAGATATGACAGAGCTATTCTTGTCTTTCCTATTTTTCGATAATAACATGCTAAATTACTAAATGTTTGAGCCTATTTTTATAAATAAATTGATACTTTAAGCTCTGGAACAGAAGATGTTAAAAGTTCAGCCTTTTTAAGGTATTTTAAACTAGACTCAAAATTTTCGACCTAAAGTGCTATCAATGCCTGCTAATTTAGTAATTTACATAGAATTCTATCATAAGTCAATTTCTAGAGAAGTTTTATTTTTATGATATACTTTTTAATCATCTTCACCATACTTTTCGACTCTCTATTAAATACTGGTTTCTATTTGCTAAATAATCCTATCCACATTTCCCTAGTTGATTTTTGTAAGATCAAATTCTTATTCTTACATTAAATATTAAAAATAATTAGTTCTTTTTTCTAATTTTACAAGTTATGATATTGTTTTATATAAGAAATAAATCTAAGAAAACAAAGAAATTAAATAAATCTTCTGGTGATTTCAATAAAATAATAGAAATTCAGAATATATAAATTAAGTTATTGTTAAGTGGATTAACAAACAAATTTATATAAATTAAATTTTAATTAATCCCAATATGAAAGCAATTTAAATGATGGAGTTGTATAATATGATGAATGTTAAATTATTCATAAAGATATTTAGGATTATAGACATTTATTGATTGCCGATTTAAGAAAGTTAGAATTATTTGAAGAAAAATAAATAAGAGGAAGTTTTTGTATTTAAGATAACGTATAGATTATTGTATCTCATATTGAGAAACAAAATAGTAATGCTCAGAAAAACGAAGAGAAATATCATACTTAACCTATTCGTAGAATTGTTATTGTTAATGATGATTATTTGAAGATTGAATAAGATACTTAATTGATCAAAGATCTAATTCAAAGTTTGAAAATGAATGAATATAAAGTATATTATTTGAAAACTTCTGTGGAAACATTCTTAGATAAATATCCTTTTTATATTTTATCCAAAGTCATATTATAAAATTATGAAAATTTGCATAATAATGAGGATTAATAGAAATTATTGTTCGCTTATTCCCAATTCCCTTAATAACTTTAAGAGAACAAACTCTATTTAGGAAGTAATTTGAATGCTAATAGTAAAAAGTAATTGGATGCTTTATAAATAAAAACAATTATAGATTTTAAGACATATGAACCAGATGCTAAATTTTCTGTTTGGAAAAAAGAATAATATAATTATATTAATTATCCTATAAGTGAGGAAGGAGAATAATTAATAGATTTTTATCAAATTACTGATTTAATTGAATCTTAAAATACACCTATATTATTGTGTTGTCCAGTAATTATGATATATTTAATTATAGGATGGTTATTCAATAACAAATGTTGTAGCAATAGGATATTTAATGACATTAAAAAAATAGAATTTTAATATTTCATCTTTGAAAGTATTTCAGATAAGAGGAAACACCACAGTGAATAAAAAACTTTATTGTCAAATATTAACATATGATCCAAAAACTATAGTTAATAAGATAACACAATAACTAGTATAATAATGATACCATAATTTATCAATTAAGCATATTTTTTAGTTTAAGCTTGAATTTTTTTAATAAAGGTTCTGTAGTTGTTTTATTTTTTTGAGAAACTGGATTGATTGAAGATAAGAAATTAAAATAATCAGTTGATATATGTGTATAATTGCACAATTGACTATTTGATTTCTGAGCAAATAGAATATTCTTCAGACATTTCTATCTATATTGACTTGTTGAGTTTTTACGAGATGATTTATTTTATGTTGAAATGATGATTCTTTAAAGGACTTTAGAATAATTTGGTTGAGGATTTGGGATTCCTTATTCTACAAATGTACTTTTATGATGACAACTTTTAGGTCTTGAAATATTAGTAGGAGTTTCAGTAGTTGATTAGCGTACTTATAATTGTAATATTGGTTATTTAAATGTAATAATTCTTTTTTTTTATTAACTTGTTTTTGCAGGACTTATAGGTACATCCCAAGGTTCTGCAGTAAAATTTGTGTCTATTTATTAAAAGAATTTATTTGTCAATGGCATTTGTATAAATTCTCTTAAAGTTGGTTCTATGTTCAATAATTCCAATTAAGGATCTCGAGACATAAATAAGTCAATTAAAATATATATATATTTAATGAATAAAAAACTTCAATTTAATTTGAAACCTTTTTCATTTGCAAAACGTTCTAAATATTATGGTGCATATTGCATCATCTTCTCTTATCCAACCCATGATGGTCTTATAAAATGTCCACTTTCTCTTGGTTTCCATTCTACCAAAAATATATATTTATTATTATCCAATTCATCTTTAGCATAAGTTATTATCTTTACTATTTATTCTTCAGTAAATGCAACTCTACTCCCTCCTTTTTAAAATGATTTTGTAATATTTTTCAATTCTTTATTCAATTCTACTTATTAATTATTTTCTTTTTTTAAATGATATACAAATTCTTAATTTTCTCTTTATGGAATCATAAAATCAGTTGTTGTTTATCTACATATTTAATCTTCTGTTGTTTTTAATGAATCTAATTCTCTTATCTATTCATATTAATCATCATCTTCAATTATCTCCTTCAATAATTCCATATAATAATTCTAATTATTTCTTGCTTCATATTATTCAATCAAATCTAAGTAATTGCCTAATTTGTACATTTCTATCCATTAAGTTCTCACTTTATGAGTAGGAGTCTCAAATTCAATCAAATAAAATATAATATTTGGATTTTTAGCTCTCTTTCCTAATATTCGTTTTGGATATTCACTCATAATATTCTAAACACATTTTCATGAGAGTGTGTATTTACATCCAAATAAATCCTTAAATTATTTTACAATTTATATTATTATTTATTTCCCATTTTCATAATTTTATCAATCAATCAATCAATCAATTTCATCTCATTTAAAACTTCTTATTTTTATTTTATGTATTATAATTATTACTCTCGTATTCATTATGTTTAACCTAATCAACCATAACAATGTTGCAATCCATACATTGTATCACCTAGAATGTCTGTAAAATATTCCATACTTATTATTATTAGGTCATTCCAACTTCAATCAAACAAATGAGAGAATCCATCCAAATACCATATAATTAAGATATCATGAAAGCAAGTGCTATATTAGAAGTGGGTTAACGAACTCGTAATACTCATTACAAACAACGATTAGAAGGTATTTCTACTCTACTATTATAGAGTTATATCTCAAATATGAAGATGGATGTATATATAGGGGTTAAGGAATTCCACCCTCATAAAGACATGGTATGGGTGTATTATTCAATACAGAAAATCAAGAAGTTTATTCTGGAGAATGGTTCAATAATTTATATGAAGGATTTGGAATATTGATAAATCAATCTCCACATGTTATTAAACATAAAATTGATCCAAAAGATTTAAACACAATTGAAGATGGTTGGCATGATTATAAAGGTTATTTTAAATAAAATAAAATGCATGGTGAAGGTATACTAACACTTAAAAATGGTCAGAAATTTGAAGGCCATTTTATTAACGGTATGATTCATGGAAAAGGACGTTTTTATGGAGATCAAATTGTAGTCGGAAATTGGTATGAAGGTGTTTTAATTTGATAATTAATATTTTCTATTTTACTACTCAAAATTCCTTTAAAACAAATTACAATAATCATCTATAAATCAATTTTTATTTTTTTTATATATTTTTAACTTAAAATATTCTTTAAATGATATTATGAATCCATATTTTTTATTATTTAAATTAAAAATAGATCTAACTCATATTTGTAATTAAGAAAATTATTTTTATTTATTAATATACTATATATCATAATATAATTTTTTTTAAGAAATGAAATAGATATTCGAAAAGCTATGACTTCTTTAAAAAATTGTTATTTCCTAGATTAAATTTTATTATTACTCTTTGGTAATAATAATCAAAGACAATAATCTTATGTAACTTTGATTTGATATGGTCTAGATTATATAGTAATGATATCTAAACTTTTGGAGATATATATTAAGAATTATAGTGTTTCAATATATAATAACAAAATGAATTAAAGATATATAAATGATTAAATTTATAAATATGCATATATTAGATTATTATTAATATTAATTATACTTAATATAAAATCTTAATTTTTATATAATCTCAGAAAATAAGTAATAATTTTCTAAATAGTAATGAAGAATGATAGGATTTGAGTATTCCATATTATTTATTAGCATAAGAAATAATGATATATAATTTAATTAATATTGATTTTATTAATAATGTCAAATAATTCAGGATATCTAATTGTTTCTTTTGTTCCTCTCTCTGTACCTACAAGGTTTCTTTCAGCAGCAACAAATAAATCAAGAGCATTAGAGAATGATTTCGATGTTAGAGTGACTAATAAAAATTAAGAACATTGCTATTTCTTATTAGAGAAAATTAATGAGAATGTATTCAAAATACGATTACTTACACATCCTAATCATTTTGTTTTTTGTTCAAATGATAATACTAGAAAATTTAAGGATTAATTTGATGTAAGAACACATGCATTTGATGAGTAAAGAAATAATTGGATTATTGAAAATGCAGGATGGAGTTGTTTTACAATTAGATCAGAGACAAATCCTGATTAATATTTATTTATAGCTGATGATTTTTCAAATCAACATGATGGTGAATTTGATGTGAGAACACATTCAAATAAAGATTAAGAAAAAAATCTTTGGTTTATTGTTACAATTCCAAATATTGTACATCCATATAGTAGTCTATAACTTTATATGATTGTTTAATTTAGACCTGCTCATATTAATACAAATTATTTAACCATTTGTGATTCTCATCCTTAATTTAAATCAGATTATGCAGCTAAGATCACAGGTGTTAAGAATATAACAACTTCATTTTATTTAGAATAAGTTCATGATAATAAATATATAATTAGATCTGTTTCTAATCCACTTCAAATGCTTTTTGCAGCTAATGATAAATAGTATAATAAATGGGGTGATTTTGATGTTAGATTACATTCATTTAATGAAACAAGAAATTAATGGATAATTGAATAAGCAGGTAATAATTTATGGACAATAAAATCTGCTACTAATCCTGATTAATTTTTGTTTGCAGTTTAAGATGAAGCAAATGGAAAAGAATTCCCTGTTAGAACTCATCCATCAATTGAAGATAGAAATAAATGGCATATCGATGGGTTTAAATAATGATTTATTATACAAAAGAATGATAAATAAAAATTAATTATAATAAAAATTTAAGTATGTCTGGATAATAAGAAATAAGGGAATAATACAGAATAGATACATCCACTAAAAATTTAATAGGTTAAGGTGGATTTGGATCAGTTTATAAATGTTAAAGAAAAGATGGTTCAGATAATGATTCATTATGTATAAAGATAATCAAAAAGGATAGAAACTAAATGAAACAATTAAAATAAGAAATAGAAATATAAAAGTTAATAATGAATCTTAAAACTGATAAACTATTACGTACAGAGAATATAATAAATACACCTCATTATTTTGAAGTTATTATGGAAAGATGTGATATGAATTTAGAATAAGAATTCGGAAATTTAAAAAATAAATAATAATGGTATGATTTTAATGATTGCTTAAATATTATTAATTAAATATCAGTAGGATGTCGTATTTTATATGAACATAATATTGTACATAGAGATATTAAACCATCTAATATTTTAGTTAAATTGGAAAATAAAGGATAGATTAATGAAAGGAAATTATATAAAGTAAATGTCAATAAATTAAAATTAGATTTCAGATTTTGATTTTAGTAGAATATTAGTTGATTTTCTTGATCCTGATGAAATTACAACTGTTGGAACACCTTGTTATGAATCTCCATAAATATTTTATAACTAAAAATATTCAGGAAAATGTGACATATTTTCTTATGGAATTTTATTCTATTAGATATTTTTTAATGGACAATTGCCATTTAATTCCATCTAAAATGGGAAAAAAGAAATTTATGAATTCATGAAATAACTTTATAACAAATAGTTCAAATGTGAACTTCCAAATTATCCTCGTGCAAAGGAGATAGCTGATTTATTGTAAAAAATGATTGTTTATGAGGAAGAAGAGAGAATTTCATTTGATCAATTTTTTCTACATCCAATTATTAATTTAGAGGAATATGAAATTTATAAAATACAATAAGTTCAATTTAGAAAATATTTACTTTATAATTCCATTTGTGAAAAGTATGAAAACTAAGATTAAATTTTAATATTGAGTGCAGTATTTTGTTTATAATTGTTAGGAGATCAGGAACTTTTATATTGTATGGGATTTATCCATATTATAATATCAGATATACATATATCTTACAAATAGAATAAGGATATTACAACTATAATGAGGATTCTATAATAATGTGCTTAAAATATAAATATATATCCATAATACTAATTATTAACAAAAAGAATAAAATAAGCTTATTTTTAATTAAAGAAAAAAATATTTAATTTAAGAGAATAATTTAGATAAAAATTAAATAGGAGTTACAATAAAAACCCCTTTATAACAGAGATTACTTAAATTTTAGAATAGAGTTAATATTTAAGAATTTAACCACAAAGCATATTTGATTAACTTAGGTCTCTTTTAGATCAAAACTTATAGGAGTAATGATATATAGTAGTTAAGGGACTTAAAAGCCGATATTACCAAGGTATTAAATTATTAAGAAAAAATTCCATTTGAAAAATATAAAGAAATAAATCCAGATTCAATCTTTTAAGAATAAAGTAAAATTATATCTACAATTAATAATTAAATAATTTGATTAATTTATTCACTTAAATCAAAATAGTAATTTAAAAAGTATACTATTATTTATTTATTATAATCATAATTATATTTATAATTCACATTAATCCAAAGCCTTCTGCATTATCTAAAGAAATCATTAATTTATCCTTTAATATTTCTTTCTTCTTATAAAAAGGTAATAATAAAACGTTGAAACAAGTGTGAGCTGATGGCAATTATTCAGTATCTAATATTATTATTCAAATCTTACCTTCACCATGCTTCTATATAACAAATTTTATTGATTTAAGTCCTCCAACAGGAATTCTATCTGTACCAGTACAAAAAAATAAAAATCTCTTTTACATTTCAATACTCAATGAATGTATACAACTCCAAAAATATCTATTGATATTAAATATCATTATATATATATACCTTATATATTCAGATTTATCATCATACCCATCATATTTTGTAACTAATTCTAAATCTTTTAAATCAAAGTGTGGTAAACCAATAATGAGGGCCTATAATTCTTCTCCTGAAAATAACTAATTCTTTATTATATAAACTACCTTAATACCATCTCCATCAACTACAGATTTAAATCCTGAATATAATAAATCAAACTAGTTTTTCACAAGTTTATTTAAGTACCAATCAGTATACAATTATATATATTCTTCTCTATTTTCTTTGGTAACATTAATTTAAAATCCATTAGGCTGTACATATATAAATAGTATATACTTTTAAATCATCAAAGTATGCTTCTCCCCATACAACATAACTTGCATTAAAATTTAATGCCAAACTTTATATTAGATTAGAATCACTCTATTCTCTCAAATACTAAAATCCTGTATAGATTTCCATATCCAATTCTTTTAAATCCTCTTCAGTAACTTTTTCATTCTATAATTTCTTGAATAAAACAGTTGGGAATCGTACATCCAACAATACTTAATTATAAAGAGCCAAACCTAACAACTTTCCTATTAATGAATAAAATATTGGAATTTCAAAAGACTTCGGATTAAACCAATATATAGTTCCATTATTTTTAGGTATAAACATACCATAATCTGGTGAAATCAATTTCTCCATCATCAATCTGAAAAATTCTCTTTTTGGACCTCCTTCATCTACACCTTATTCTCCTATGAATTACACTTTTAATGGATTCTTAAGTGGTATATGAGTTATTTATAATTATTTTATAGCTGATTCTATAATATTATTTCTATCAATAGATAAATTTAGATATGGAGCTTATCCAGTAAAATGATATTTTACAGAATGACTCATACTATCATGTTATTTAACTTTACAATCCAAACTCAATAATTTTGATTTAAATTCTATAGGGATAGACCAAGAATATAGACAAAAAGTAAATGAATAGTTTCTCCATTATTTAGCTGCATAATAACGAAATTATGAAAATTCTTCTTTATCTGCATCTTATTTATATAATTTTGTTATTAAATCAATTACGAAATCTGAAGATTATAATCTAGTATTCATTTTATTTGATATTTGTAGAATTTAAAATAATTCAAATAAACCTACCATTTTTTATATATCTTCTATTTCTAGGAATGGCATTAAAGGAGTGTGTTATTATCTTAAAATTTCAGAATTAATTAATTTTTTAACAATTTTTGTTGTTTCTTCAAATTCTGCTTTTGACAGATTTGTAAACCATCTAGATAATTATTATTTTTATTATTTATCTAGTCTTCTTATAATTTTTAAAATTATTTAAGATTTTTCATCAATAATAAATTCCAAGAATTTACGAAATTATAATATCAAATAAAGTGCTCTTAATTAATATAAATTAGTTAATGATTCTAAGCATTTTTCTTTATAAGAAAATAAGTTATTTATTATTACACTTAATTCTCCTTTGTATTTGATAAATCTTTTTTATGTCTCAATAATTAAGTTAGTATCAACATCTGCATTTTAAGGATCAATTTAATATATTCCAGATTTATTCTAAAAGTTTTCAACAAATGATGCTCCAAATAATTCCAATTAATATGATATTTTAACAGTAGCTTCACGCAAATCTATTTAAAATTCTGAAGTTTAAAATGGAACCAATTTATCATTAATACTTTTTATTGGATAACATAATTAATCCCAATTAACTTCTTCATTTTCAACAAATTATTAACAAATTCCTTTGATATCGTCTTAACTAAAATCTTGTTCAAGAAAACCATTATTTAATTTGCATAATGGAAAATCACATACATATTTATTACAACCCTAAGATGCTCTATTAAACAAGAGTTCAATATCAAATTCAATTTATTATTAATATTCCATTTTATTAAATTACCATTGAGTTGATTCAAAATCCAAAATTAAACAATTATCTCTATTTGATTACAATTAATAAATCATTAGATTTTCTTATATAACATCTCCATCAATAAACATAGTTTTTTCTAACTATTCCATTATTAAATCAACTTTAAGATTTTTATGTCTTGGTAACCAAATTCTGATATTGTTAATTTGTTTTTATTTATATTCATCTTAGAATGTCTCTTTTAATAAATCTAACCAAGCTTTAATTTCAGAATGTTAGTCTACTTATGCTTTGACATTATAAAATTTGTTGTCTCTTAAAGACTAGTAGATCAATGTAAACTAAAATTAATAAAATTGTATTACTCTAGCTAAATTAGGATATACAACTTTTTTTTTTTCATTCTCAGAATAGTATCCAATTCTTTTTTATGGTTCAATTGATGAATATTTCTCTTTAAAAAGATCAAAAACTTCTTTAAGAATCTAATTTTTTTGATGTTTATTTTTACGTATTCATAATCCCATTCATTTTCCAAATAACGAATGCTGGAATTATAAACATGATCTTCAGGTATATATTTAAAAACCTTTTCATTACATTACAAATCTGAATTTATTTTATCAGGCTAATATATTTAAATTTCAAAACTTTCTTCCTTGTCTCCTTTTATTGTTCTCCCATTTCTTCATAATAATCCACATAATATTTCCATTATTTAATAAATTTTTTTGATACTAAATAGTACTCAATTCCACCCTTTTCCCTTAATGTTTTATCATATCTCTATCGTAATCATATACAAAATTTACTCTTCTTCCATCATCATATCTTTTGATTTCTTCATATTCAATAGGATCTCCTATATTATGTTGCCATTAATGCAAGAAGTGATTAATCATGAAAATAAATATAATTTAAATTAGTATTAATTAATTCAATTCATAAAAGACCTTTAATAAAATTAAGCTATTCAAAATGATATATCAATATATATATATTAACTAATAAACTAAGCTCCTAAATATATTATTAATTAAAGTAATGAATGTATATAAATAATCAAATGAATTTATTACTATTATGTTTGGATATCTACTTTAATTACTTATACAATTTGTTTAATATATTAAGAATCATGGTAAAGAGTTATTTAATAAATATGAAATGAGTTTTATTCATTGTTATTGATTGAAATAATTCATTTTTTTTTTGTATTTTATTTAGAATTTAAATTATTTATTTGGAATGTAATAGGACTAAAATCAAGGAATAGATAATTAGATGGCTGATAAGGAAATGACCTCTTAAGAACATCTCTTAGAACAATAGAAGAAATTTAGAAACTTGGAATCTGATAGGAAGGCATATGCTGAAGAAACAGTTGCAAACATTAAGAAATAACGAGGAATTATTGATAAACTAAAGAATGAGAATTATATTTTAAAGGATTTGATAGCTAAAATGAATTCTTAAAAACTTTAATTAAATTAAACAACATATTCTAAAGGACCTAATATTGATACTATTATTGATGATTTGAAAGTAGCAATAAATGAAGAAAAGAAATAATAAGAAGAAATAGATACTCATGTTGCTGATTTTTAAAAAAAGATAATAGAAAAAAGACATGCTCTTGGTGGTTATAATGCAGGAGCAGAAAATGAAAGTGCATTATAAAAATAAATAAAGATTTTGGAAAATAGATTAGACAAAACAAATCAAAAATTTAATGAAGCTATAGCTATTAATAAATAATTAAGATAATAGATTGATAGTTTAAGAAGAGAACGTGTTATTTTTGATAATTTATACAAAAAATTAGAGAAAGAATTGCATGAAAAGAGAAAAGTAATACATTTATATCTATTATTATTAGGAAATGGCAGATATTATAGAAACTGCTAATACAGCATATGAAGAAAGAGATAAAGCTAATGATTTAATTTAAAGTTTGAAATAATAAGCAAAAAGAGAATCTGCTGATTTTGAAAAAGATTTAAGAGAATTAAGTTAAATTATGGAGAAAAATAAGAAGACTTTAGATTATATGAAATTAACAGAAAAGAATAGAGAAATGGATACTTAAGAAGTAGTTGATCCAGAAAAATTAACTAAACCAAAAACTACCAAATTAACTAGAGATAAAACAGTAAATTAAACTATTGTTGAATAAATTATGAAATATGAAGAAGATTTTGCTAAAATATAAGCAGCAACTTAAATTAAGGTTTTTGATGAATTAATCAAAATTTTCATTTAAAATGAAGAAAAGGTATATTAAATTTATTGATATAATTAGAATTTTCAAATGTTTAAATATGTCAATGAATTGAGTAATGAAATTGAAGATCTTGAAAAATAAATAGGAGAATTAAAAGAAGAAGCATCTTAATATGAAGGATAAGGATCAAATGTAGATGTATAAAGAAAAAGACATTTAAAAGATTTAGAAGAAAAATTATCTAGAGCTGAATCAAAATCAGAATAATATGAATTTAAATACAATGAATCATTAAAATTAATTAATAGTTTAACTGTAAGAGTATTAATTTGAATAATAGAATTGGATTGAAACATTATTTAATACTGTTGAATGTGATAAATAGATGGCAACTGAAATTGCTGGATCTCATGGAGTTACTGACACTAATATGATGATATATTTAGGTTTAATAGAAAATAAAACAAATAAATTATTGTAATACTATTAATAAATTCATCAAAAAATATCAGAAAATTAAATTAACTCTTTACAATAATTAGCAGCTATGAATGAGAAAAATTTATAAAATAAAAATAGAGCTGAATTACCATAATTTGGTATTCTTATTTCATTTATATTAGATGAACATGAAGAGGATGATATAGAAGGAGATAAAATTTTATCAGTAGAAGAATTTAAGAAAAAAGCATTAGAAAAGCTAGAAGTATAATAATTAATCTATTATAGAAATAATAGAATTAAACTAAAAATAAAAGATCTGGTCCAAATAAATTAAGAAAAAATAAATGATATATATATATTAACAATAAAAAAGTAATTTATTCATTAAAACTTCAATTTATTATTCTATTATAAAGGTATCACTTTTATTTAATTTTATTTTTAATTAACTTTATTTATTATTTTTGATTCACATAATGGTTATTACATAATAATATAATCTGTTTCAGGTTTTAAATCAACAAAATGTTTATATGGATATATATTCCATTTTTAATTAAAGTCACTAAAATATTGAATAATTTTATAGTCATTTTCAATATCAGAATTATGAGATTATTACTTCAATTTAAAAACAAAGTTTTAATGCTACCATTCATTAAAATCAATATTTAAATTTGATTCTTAACAATCTAGTTGAATGTTTTCAGTTAATTTAAGTGAATCTAGTAAAGATGTTTAAATTTTTAGATCGATTCTTTTTAGATTAGACTTGATGATTGATTATTTTAAGCAATATTATTATTTTGAGTTTAAATTACTGTTGTTAACCTCTTATATTTTTGGTTTCTTTTTAATTGGCATTAAGTGTATTTCATCATCTTCTGTAAACTATTCCATTTATGAAAATAAATGTGTTTTAATGTAAATAATTTAGAACCTTAATTTAGAACATTTTACCGCCTTAAATGTATAATTTATAGATCAAATGATATATATATATATATATATATATAAAAGAATATATTTATTTAATATATAGATATATCTAATTTAGAGAAGATTGATTTACTATCTAAAATTTAAATATTAAAATTTATATGAATAGAACAATCAATATATATGTAAAATTCATATAGTTTTTTTTAGAAATTTTGTATAGTATAAATTATAATTATGAAATTCATCGTTAAAAAGTATAATTTTATATATAATAAATAAAATTAATAAAAATGCAAGAAATTGAAGCAAAGAAGTAATTAAAAGCAAGTGAAGGTGCTCATTTTTTTTATACATTGATATTCCTTTCAGCATCTGGAATTATAGAGACTTAATTTATTGAACAGAAATGCAATCAGAATTTGTAATTGTTTGTTCACTTAGTATTCTATGGATTAATTATCTGGGGTACTTATATATTAATTACATTAATACCACGGTATGTAATATTTAATAAATTGAATTAGATATAAAAATGCAGCAATAAACTTGTTTTTTAATTTTCTTGATATTTGTTTTGGGATATATATAGGATTGTTATTATTTTATGGAGGACGTATGTATATGGCATCTAATGATTGTGAATCTGAAGCTCCAGTTTTATATTTCTTTTTAGAGACATTTTTATTGGTACAATTAAATTTCAAATATTTAGGTTAACGGCATCATATTTGCTATATTGTTTTTAGCATTTGTGTCATATATCTTAAAGAGATTTTCAAAATCATAATAAGTTTATGATGAAGGTAAAGATGAATTTTATGATGCATGAAAATAATTTTTAATTATATATGAATAATTCAGTCTAAAATATTCGAAGACCTGTAACATCCTAAAATTATAGATCAATAGATAAGTTAGGAAATAATAGCTAACAAAAATTACCTAATTTAAGTGATGTGATGAATCTTAAACTAAAATAATAAAGTGAAAAAGAGTTGCAGGAATTGATTTAAAAATTAGTGAAATAAGTTTAATAACTTAATTCAGCAGTCATCTAAAAAGATAAATAAATTTAACAATATGAATTCATGATTAAATCTCTTTAAATTGCAATAGAAAAAAGAGATTGTATTATTAGTGCATTAAGAGTTGAAAAATAATAAATAGTTGAGGTTGTGAATCCATTAAAACTTATGGTAAAGACTGATGATTCATCAAGAACTCCTAGTTTAGGTCCTAAGAAATCATTGAGGACAAGAACAAAAGACACTAATTTTGATGAGAATCTCTCTGTTATTCTTGATTCTGACTATGGTATATATATATAAATTAATTTGAGCCTTGTTAAGTTAATATGTAAAATGTTATGAAGAATTAAATCATTTAACATAAATTAAGAATTTAGTTTCTAATGAAGATTAATTTTTTGCTAACATATAGAAAATGGAATTGAGTAATATAGTTCACATTTTTGATGCAATTTAATTAGTATTATAAGAACATAAACTATTGTTTAAAAATGTAATTAAGTAAAATAAACTATTTGATGCTTGTTTATAGATATATGAAGTATTTGTTTAAATTTAATTAGTAAATTCCATTAAATGATTAATTAGAAAGTTTGTAAGCATTATTAAGAGATTCATTAAATTGTGATAAGGTTCAAATATATGTATTAGACAGTGAACATTAAGAATTATGGACTAAAACTAAAGATAGAGTATTGAGAATTTAAGCAAATGAAGACATAATTGGAGCATGTTTTTAAGAAAGAGGATTAATTAATATACATAATGCATATAATGATCCTAGATTTAAAAAAGAAAATGATAAAGGATATAAAACTAATACTATATTATTATGTCCAATTTTAGATAAATAATAAAATTCTATTGGAGTTATTATGGGAGTTAATAAATTAATTGGACATTTTAATAATGATGATCAATTATTTATTTCCAAGACATCAGAAATGATATCAATATTATTAAGAAATCATCAATAATCTAGTGAATCTATTAGTATTTAAAATGCATTAAGAAATATAATACATGTAATAAATTTATTATTATTCATATTAGGCTTAATTATAATTAGTATATATGAATGATGCAGAATAAATATTATTTGAAGCTGAAAACTTATTAAAGAATTTATTTCATACATAAAAAGGTTTAGTTTATGTTGTTAATAATAATCGATTATTAAGAGTTAATGAAAAGAAATTACTAGAAGTATCATAATTAGGAATTGGAATTGTAGGTGAAGCACATAAAGTCAAAGAGTTTTTATGGGTTTAAAATGCTTATAATCATTAATCATTTAATAATTTAGGTTTTTTACTTATTATATTATATTTAAGTTGATATTCAAACTACTATGCCAATCTACTGTTTTGAAATTGAAGGAAAAAATTAATCAGTGATTTTATAAGTTATAAATAATAAAGGAATTAGATCATAGAAGGTTAGTTCATTTGATTAGGAATTATTAGAAATGTTCGGAAAAATTATATTGAGTAAAATTGATTTTTTATAATTATGATTATATTTATCAGAATATGTAGAATTATATTTGATATTATATTCTATAACCTTATAAATAAGTTGTTTATACTTAAATAATATAGTATCATAAATTAATATAAAATTATTAATAATTAGGGAGACTGAAACACTAAGATATTTTTAATTAAAATTCAATTCATATACCTCTAAAATTAAAGATTTATTTTTAAACTCAAAGTAAATAGTCTGTTAGATACAATAAATATAATTTAAATTATAAGAACAACTAAGAAATCTTATAATACTCAATTTAGACATGATCTAATTGATATTCTTAATCAATTTAAAAATAATTGATATTATTTCATGCAGTCTAATGTATATGTCAACGATATTAAAAAACATAAAACATGGATAACTAGCTTTAAAAAGGAGGTTCATGAGAAAAAAGAAAAAAATAAGTTCCCTAATGGAGAATTCAAATTCAAGCCACCTAAAAGTATTGAAGATTAGCTTGATGAATTATCAGTATAGTAGATTTATATAAATAGTAATTATGTTAGGCTTGTCATTATGATAAAAAAATTACTATTAAAGGATATAAGGGTAATTTCAAATTGGAACATTGGAAAATGATTGAATTAAGGTTAAGAGGAGATTATTCAATTTAATAAATTAGAATTATAGACACAAAGCTTGAGGAAGATAATTTGATGATTTTACCTTTATGGTTTAGTTGGGTTAAAACAAAGAATTTGATTATAGAATTCTAACATAATGAATTAGATGATTAAAGTGTTGAAAATTTCATTTTTCAATTATTTGAAAGAAATATCAATCTAGAAAAAGTAATACGTTAATCAACTAATTTAGCTCTTTATAATTAGTAATCCTGGTGTTTATAAAGGATTTTTATTAAGAAAATTGAAACATTACTTAATTAAGAAATATGAAGAAAATCCAGATTTCTATTATCTATTATTGAAGAACAAAATAAAATATTCATTGGCAATAATAAAAATATAAAGATTATGGTAAGTCTAGAAAATTAGAGAAGAAAAGGAGATAGCTATGAAAAAAATTGATTAAACCTTTTATTTTAGTTTCCATTTATCTAATTGTTTTAATTAAATTAATTGGAAGGGATTTGAACATTTAATATAATGTACTTACAATTTAGAAACGTTGGAATAAATTTCATAATTGGATATATCAGACAATTTCTTGGGAACTTAAAGTAGTTTCAACATACTTTGTTAGAATTTAGCTACTGCCAAGGGACTAATTTCTTTAAAGTTAAGAAATTAACCTTTATTTCATAATACCAATGCAATATATTCACTTATTGGAGATAGATATGATAGTTTTAGAGTGAATCATTTAGATATATCTGAGAATTCAAATATTTTTGAAAAAGCCTTTTAATTATTAGCTGATAATATTTTCTTGAAATGTAAATCGATTAATTTAAATAATTCACTTACAGAGAATAATAGTACTCTGTATAAAATATCTGTTTTGACATAAGCTTATGAGAAATAGAATGAATAATTTTAATAATAAAAATAATAAGAAAAAGGAGTTTTAGGTATTAATTCATAATTAATTAAGGCAAATATAGATACAAACATAATTTATAATCATTAGATTTATCAAAAGTAGAAAATTTTAATAGATATGATTAAATAGAGATTTTGTTAAAGGTCATGATATTCTCTGAACATAGTAATGTTAGAACACATAGTATTTATTATTTAATAATATTTAGCTATTTAGAATTTAGATATTGGAAGAGCTGAAATATATTGTAAAGCTCTAAATCAATTTTTATCAGAATTTAATGTAAAAAAAACAAAATAAAAGAATCTTCAAAATTTTAAGTTAACATTAAAACATTTAGTTATGTTAGATTCTGAACCTGAATATAATATGAATGTTGAAGTTCTGAAATAGTTTTTTCTAGATTATTTATTTACAAAAGACAATTCTGTATTAGAAATAGAAAGTTTTAGATTTGTAAAAAGTTTTACAAAGTAAAATAGAAAAGAAGCATTAAAATTGGCTGCTGCCTATATCTTAGAGTCAATTCATAAAAATCCTAAGATTAAATATTCCTTAAGTTGTCTTAAGTTTTTTTCATCCTGTGTTGAATTGGATGTTTAAACATTTAAATGTTTTTTATTAACTTAAAATATAAGACTAAGAACATTTAAATATTTCAAAGATGAAATGAAAGTAATTATAATATATATATATATAGGGTGAAGGAAGTGTTTATTTGAATTAAATTTAAAATTTCTTAAATGAAATGCCAGAGACTTTTGTACATAGTTTACAAATCTTAAAATTAGATACAATAACAAATATTTCATTTGATGTAGGAAAATTGATAAGTTTGATGATATACTCTCCTAAAATTTAATTGAAGGAGTTTCACTTTTATAAAATAAAACTAACAAAATCTTCTTTAACTTTAAGAGAATTAGATTTGATTGTTTAAAACCTTACTGATTATAATAGAATATTAGGATTAAGATTATTAAAATTTGGAGATTTATAAGGTACTGGAGAAGAGGAGTTTTTTAAATATATAGTATTTAGTCGTTTTATAAGATTGAAGAATTTAACAATAAAAACAGTTAATTTTAATAATCTTATTGAAAATCTGTAAGCTACTATAATACCAAGAAATATTAATCCTTTAGAGGAATTAAATTATTTAGAATTTGAAGAATTTTAAGTTTAAACAAAAGAATTATGGAATCGATTAGCTTAAATTTTCATTTTTTAAAATAAAAGATTAAAATCTCTTATTTTCAATTCTTTAAATTTGGATTATAATTTTACTTTAGGTATGACATCAATGTCAGCTTTATTTATTTAAAATACAAAATCATAATAAGATTCTGAATAAGTTCCATTATTAACACTTACTGAACTTAGATTTATAGATTGCAATTTAAGTAATGATTTTTTATCATTTTTCTTTCCTATCAGTTAAGTTGAGAAACTTGAAATCATAAGATGCAAGAATTTAACTTAAGCTATGATGAAAGTTAGAGAAAATTACATTGAAGAAATTAATTAATTTACATTAAAATTATTTACTATGAAAGATTGTTCAATATCAGATATTAATTTATTTGAATGGATAGTTGAAAATTTAATTTTGAATTTTGATAGATAACTTTTAGAGACATTAAATTTAGATAATTGTAATTTAACTAATGATATGATTAATCCAATATGTAAGTAATTACAATTAATTGCAAGTAAGATTCTAGAATATAAAAGAATCTTTTCATTAAGATAAATTAATTTATCAAATAATCCAGATATTTCAGAAACTTAATGGATAAATGTAATTTAAATATTTAAATTAGATATTTAATTCTATTCTGCATCTAAATTAACCTCTATAGCTTGAAAAGGTTCTTTAAAGTACTCGTTAAGACGATATTATATAATTAATTAATGAGAATTCTTAATTTGTTACATAATCATTACTTGGTTTAAAGTCAAAATTGTATTATAACTAATAACTTTTTAAGCCTAGATTTCCTTTATAATTGTAATAATTAGATATAGATTTGGAATTTCAAAATATTATTCATAAAAATAATAATAGTTAATCTTAATTAGATTATCTTGAAATGAAAAGTTAAATTTATTAAAGAATTATAACAGGATTAATATTATTTCCAAATAGTGAATTAAGAAAATTAAAATTATCTCATTTAGATTTAGATTTATTTATGGTTTGTTGCAAAAAATCAATTGATTTTTTTTAGAAATATTTGGAATCAAAACTTGATAATACATTAAGAATTTAATTTATTAAATTAGAAAATATACATATTAATTAAGTTACTACATAAAGTAGATAAAGTATTGAATAATTCTTTAGTTTATTTCTTTGTAATAATCAAATTAATTTAAAAAAATTATCTATTCATGGATTCAAAGAATAATTTTTATAAATATTATTAACATTATGTGATAAAAGAGAATCATATTAACTTGAAAAATTGTCAATTGAAAATTGTGAAGATAAATTAACATCAGATTAATCTAATAAATTTTTAAATTATTTTATTAAAGGTAAAGTATTTCCAATAAAATCTTTAACAATATCAAAAGGAATTATATTTGAATAAATAAAATAATTTGAAATTCAATAAGATAATATATGTAAAATAGAGAAATTAAAAATATCAGTAGATGATAAGGGTAGAAATCATATGTCAACAATTTATAAGATATTTACTCTACTTTTTATTCAAGAAAATTAATTAGAATATTTAGAAATTACAACACCTAATGCAGATAGTATATTTTAACATATAGTTGAAATATGTAAAGTATAAAAATTAAAACTTAAAAGTTTTATCATAAATGGTGAATTGAGTGTTGATATGGAATTTTTCTATTTTATTTAGAAATCAGTTGAAACTTTGAAACTTTTAAAGATATTTAAAATAATATATCTAAAATAGAATGATTTGAATTATTAATTGCATTAAATATTTATGACACCAAAATAAGGAAGTAAATTGGAACTTAATAAAATAGAATATGAAGATACTTATTTTGTTTATTATAATTTAATTTTTAATGAAATGTTTGGATTTACAGATCTAATTTTAAAAGATGCTATTAGTTTTGCTAATTTATAACTTAATTATTCAATTTATAAATTTAGATATTTAAAATTAGATATGGGAATTGAATATAATTCAAAAATTTAATTAGATGTTGATGCTTTAACATTAATTTCATCTAAAATAATTTATAATGAAGATAGTATTTTAGAGGAATTAGTATTAATGAATTGTGATCTAAAAATACCTGCTATAAAAGCTATTGTAAATTCAGCTTAAAAATTGAGAGATAGAATAACATATACTTGGCGTTAGAAATCATTTTATTTGACATTAAAAAGGATTTGTATTCTTCATTCATTCCATATTGGATAGGAAGGAATGGATTTATTATTTAATAATTTAATTTATTATGAATATATAAATATAGAAAGAATAGAATTATAAGCAATAGAATTAGATGATAGAATAGTTACTGATATGATTAAGTATGCAATAGATTGGATGCATTTTCAAAAGAGAAATTAAAGATAATTTACTAGAATATTTCCTCTTCGTTATTTGGATATTGGAAAAAATGAATTATTTTAAGATAAAGCAGTTTGGTAAAAATTTTTAAGAACTTTTGTTTTTAGTGATAAAGCACCTTATTTAGAAATATTAAATCTTCATTTTATGGCTCTTAATGATGGAATAGCAAATAATATCTCACATAATGCATTAAAATATTTAAATTCTAAATCAAGTGATTTTAAATTCCCTTTAAAAAGATTAAATTTTTCTAAGAATAATTTCTTAACAGAAATAGGATGGAAAGATATCTTTAATAATTTTATTTTTCATCCTAAGGTTTTTTTAATAGAATTAAATATGACAAGTACTTAATTAGATTCTGAAGAAAAATTAAATTCAATAATGAATGCTGCTAAAAAAAGAGCAGCTATCTCTAAAAATAATTTACTTCCATTACATACATTGTTATGTTACAATGTTACTCTAAAAACTATGATAGCTTAATATTTGTCTCAAAAATCATAATTATATTAAGCTCCTGATGATTTACCAATTAAAATTGATTATAAATGTTGGAAATAAGGTATCTTTGATGAAATTCCAATTAATTTAGGAGATCAAATAGAAATCTTAAATTCATTAATATATAATACAAATGAATTAATTATACCAAGTCATATAGATTGTTCAGAGAATTTAAAATTCTCTTAATTTCATTTAAACTTTTTAGAACATTATTTATAAGTCTTAAAATTATCAAATCCAGAAGATACTCATTTAATTATTAATTTAGCTACATTAGATTAATTCTCAAATTTATTTAGATATACAAATGAGAAACCAGCAAAACCATATCCTTATTATATGATATTTTAAAGAGAAACATATATATTTCTTAGTTAAAAAGAAAATAAAATAAAAAAAATTAGTTTGATTTAAGCAGATTCTTAATCTTTAGAAAAATTACATTAATTTGATGTTCTTTAAATTTGGGAAAATATTTAATTATATTAATGTCAAATAGATTAAATATTGATGGAATATACATTAAATGATGATCTTGTAGAAAAGATGTTATAAAAAGGATATACAGAGAGAGATTTTATTTCATTGTGTAGATTGATACCTCCATCAAAGATTAGAATTTAAGGAACACTCAGTCTATAAGCAATAAAAGGATTGTATTCTATATTATATGATACATATTACTTTTAATATTCAGTTGTTGATTATAAATTTGATGATTTTTTGAATATTGGTATTGGATATGGATTAAGAGAAACGGCATATAGAGAAGTATAAGGAAATTATTGGTCAAATTTGATTAGAATGACTAAATACAACTTTTATAATACTTTTGTAAAACCTACATAAAAATATGTTTTTGATGAATCTGTTAAAAAGTTGAATAATTATTTATCAACAAAAAAATTAAATTTATTACTTTTAGTTTTAACAAACTTTTTATTTTTTGGAGCTGCCATAATAGCACCATTTTTCTTAATTGAATTTGCTACTTAAGAAAATGAATAATAATGTTAAGTAACAAAAGGATATTTATAATATTATTGTTATGCTGGATTTGCAATAATATCTGCTTTGGTTGAAGGATATTTATATTTCTCGATTTCAGATGTAATTCCAGAATATGTTACAGCTTTAGAACATGCAGTATAATTTAATGAATCAGAAATTGAGATTACTGAATACAAACTAAAATCAAGTGCTTTAGATACAAATATTATTTAAATTAATGATAGATAATAGGAATAATTTAAAGAAAAGAGAAAGTCTAAGATAGAGTTATCAATTGAATAATTTATCTCTCGTATATAAAGTGCAGGATAATCTAGATTTGCAGCAATAATTAATCGAATTATACAATTTTTTGTGTCTTAATTATTTAAATTTGATCTTTTTGGTGATGTGACATTTATTTTAGTACTTTAGAATTGTAATTACAATGAATTATTCTATTTAACTATAGCAATAACTGCTGCTACTTCAGGAGTTCATTTTTTATATTTCATATATTTAATCTTTAAAAGAATAACCAAATAAAATAGATAAACACAATAATTATCATCATAATATATTAATGATTTTTATACAATTGGATTTTAAGGAAGAAATGCAGCCTTATCAAACTTATTAGATTCTATTGCACCATATAATGTTTCAGTAATACCAAATAATAAATTTACTAGAGCTATAGTACCAAATCAAGCTGGTAAATCAATGAGTAATTTAGTTAAAGTAAAATATATATTTTAATATTAAAGGGATATTTTTTATAATTTATATTTGAAGATTTACCTTAAATTGTAATTTAAACTTATTTTACAGTAAGTTAAGCTGTGAAATTTGAAGGTGAATTAGAAATTTTAACTTATTGTAGAATAGCAATATCATTTTTAACAGTTGTTACATCATTTTTAAAGTATATCATAATTATTTAGATATAGATTTATGTCTATTAGACCTACTATTTTAGTACAAGATGATTTTGACAAATTAAGTGATAGAAAGAAACAGAACTATAAAGTTGAAAGGAAGGATTTATTACAATAAGAAAGTTGGCAATTAAAGAAATATGCATAGTATTGTTCGAAAAAAGATAATGATTAATAAAGATAGAGTTTAGATGAAACTTAACCTTTAAGATTTTAATCATCTTGAGTTTTAAGAAGAAACATTTGATTATTATATATGAATATAAATGAATTAATAGATATTTAAAATTTAATGATTAATAAATTTAACATAAATTTGATTGACAGATTTATTGAATCTAAATTAAAGAGGACATACATATACAATATTGAAATTGATGAGAAAGTAAAATAAGAAAAAAGGAGAGGAGATAAATAAATATAATATATAATAATAATTTATGGATATTTCTAGAATAATTGTGAAATTTTGATAATTAAGGAGATTGATTTTGATTTGGAATTAAAAATTAATTTGAGGTAATTAAATGCTCAGCAAATTATTGAGATCAACATCAAAAGTGAACTAACACACTGTGAATGCATTCAGTAGTAAGGTCATGAAAGGAGAATATGTGATTGGTATCGATTTAGGAACTACAAACTCTTGTGTGTCAATTATGGAATGTATTGATATAGTTTATATATATTTCAGCTGGAACACCAAAAGTTATTGAGAATGCAGAAGGTATGAGAACTACTCCATCTGTCGTTGCATTTACAGCTGATGGATAAAGAATAGTAGGAGCTCCAGCAAAGAGATAAGCTGTAACAAATCCTGAAAATACAGTTTATGCAACAAAGAGATTAATTGGTAGAAGATATGATGATCCAAATGTTTAAAAAGACATCAAACATTTAAGTTATTCTGTTGTTAGAGCTTAAAATGGTGATGCTTGGGTTAGTTTGAAAAGTAAATATTTTTATTAATCATTTAGGTGGTTAAACCTATTCACCATCATAAATTGGTGCTTTCGTTTTAATAAAGATGAAGGAAACAGCTGATGCTTATATTGGTAAGCCATAATCAAAAGCTGTTGTTACAGTACCTGCTTATTTCAATGATTCTTAAAGATAAGCAACTAAAGATGCTGGTAAAATTGCTGGTTTAGATGTTCTAAGAATTATTAATGAACCTACAGCAGCTGCATTGGCATTTGGTTTGGAAAAGAAAGATAATAAAATTATAGCAGTTTATGATTTAGGAGGTGGTACTTTTGATATTTCTATTTTGGAAATTAATGCAGGAGTCTTTGAAGTTAAAGCTACAAATGGTGATACAAGTTGTGGAGGTGAGGATGTTGATTCAATTTTATCTAATTGGATTAGTTAAGAATTCAAGGCATAAGCTGGTGTAGATATTTCTAAAGATAAAATGGCTGTCTAAAGAGTAAGAGAAGCTGCTGAAAAAGCTAAAATTGAATTGTCATCAACAACTTAAACAGATATTAATTTACCTTATTTAACTGCTGATGCTTCAGGTCCCAAACATTGCAATCTTAAATTAACAAGAGCTAAACTTGAATCTTTGACTGAAGATTTCCTTAAGAAAACAATTAAACCAACTGAAAATTGTATTAAAGATTCTGGTGTAGATAAAAGCAAAATTGATGAAGTCATTTTAGTTGGAGGTATGAGTAGAATGCCAAAAGTCTAAAAATTGGTCTAAGATCTCTTTAATAAACCACCCAATAAATCAGTTAATCCTGATGAAGCAGTCTCTATAGGTGCTGCTATTTAAGGTGGTGTTTTGAAAGGAGATGTCAAAGAATTATTATTATTGGATGTTACTCCTCTTTCTTTAGGTATTGAAACATTAGGAGGAGTATTTACTAAAATGATTCCAAGAAATACAACTATTCCAACCAAAAAGAGTTAAACTTATTCAACTGCTAGTGACAATTAAACTGTTGTTTCAATTAGAGTCTTTTAAGGTGAAAGAGAAATGGCTGCTGATAATAAATTATTAGGATAATTTGATTTATCAGGTATCCCACCTGCTCCAAGAGGAGTACCATAAATTGATGTTACTTTTGATATTGATGCTAATGGTATTGTCCATGTTTCTGCTAAAGATAAAGCAACAGCAAAAGATCATTCAATTACTATTTAATCATCAGGTGGATTAAGTGAAGCTGAAATTTAAGATATGATTAATAAAGCTGAAAAGTATAAGGATGAAGATAAAAAGAGAAGAGTATTATTTTATTATTAATTTAATAGGAACTTGTTGATTTAAAGAATGAAGCTGATGGAGCTATTTTCAATACAGAAAAATCATTGAATGAACACAAGGCTAAATTATAACCAAATGAAGTTCAAGAAATTGAAAGTGCTATTTAAAATTTGAGAGTACTCTTAACTGAAAATCTCACTGCCAATGATGTTTAAAGACTTAAGGATGCTGTTGAGAATGTTAAGAATTCAGCTATGAAAATTGGATAAGCAATGTATTAATTATTCATAATTGATTTCTAGGTATCGTAATACAGGTGGTGCAAGTGAATAATAACAATAATAATCTTCGGAATAATAAGGAGAATAATAACAATAATAAGAAGGTGGAGAAAACAACAACAATAAATAAAATTGATATATTATGTTATTAATATTGTACATTCCTTTAATATTGGCTTCTTATCTTTATGAGAATTCAACACTCATCACATAAACTTTGTTTTATGAAAGAGAAGACAACCCAATGTACAATTTAAGTGTGTTTGCAACATATGAATCATACAATTAATTGGATATTAAGATTGAGGATCTTGAAAAACGACAATTTCATATGCCATCTGATATGGAGCCATTTAAGAGTATTTATAATGATATCATAAATCCAATTGCATGTTCACATTATGATTATGAAACTAGAATAGATGAATCCCCTTTTAAATTTAATGTTATCAGAGCTGACACAGAAGAAACTATGCTTTCTTTATATGATATTATTGTATCTGAATTATACAGTGAATTTACAATAAAAATACCAACTAAATACTTATTTGGTTTAGGAGAGAGAAATTAAAAGGGATTTAGATTCAAAGAAGGAATATATACATTGATGGCTAAAGATGTACCATAATTATTAGAAGATGGAAAACAACCAGGTAAAGGTGTCTATTCATCTCATCCAGTTTATTTAATGAGAGAAAGATCAGGAAAATACCATGTGTTATTTTTTAAAAATAGTTCACCAATGGATGTCATTTATAAAGATGATAAATTAACATTCAAATATATTGGAGGGATACTATAATTGAAACTGTTTTTAGGTGATTATGATCCTGAAACTGCAATTAAATTGTATCATTCATATTTAGGAGGTTGGGCATTACATCCATTTTGGACTATGGGTTATCATCATAGTAGATGGCCAATTAAAAGCAGTTAGAAATTAAAAGAATATGTTTATAAACATAAAGAACATGATATTCCATTAGATACTATATGGTCAGATATTGATTACATGAATGATAGATAAATATTTTCAGTTGATGAAATGAGATTCCATAAAAGTGATTTTGAAGAAATCTAAAATTAATTAGGAGTGAATTATATTCCAATTATTGATGTAGCAGTAGGAGTTAAGTATGGTAAATAAGATAAAGGATTTAGAGAAGGAATTAATTTAGATATATTTTTAAGATCTCCTAATACTGGTTAAAGATTTAGAGGTAAAGTATGGCCAGGATCTTCATATTTTCCTGATTTCTTTCATCCTAATTGTTCAACATATTGGAGGACTATGATAAAACATCTCTATTAAAGTACTAATTTTAGTGGATTATGGATTGATATGAATGAACCTACTAATTTTTGTGATGGAGAATGTGATTTACAATAAGGAAGAGATAAATGGAATTCTACTATGGATTATACAGATGTTAATGAAACTTATAAAAATAATCATATCTTTTTCCCTTATATTCCAGGAGTGTCACCACTTGAAAAGATGACTCTTCCTCCTAATCTATATCATTATGGTAAATATCTTCATAAAGATGTACATAATCTTTATGGATTATAAGAATCATATGAAACTTATTAAGCATAAAAAGAAATTGGAAAACCATTACCATTTATTATTTCAAGATCTACATTTCCAGGTAGTGGACATTTTACATAACATTGGGAAGGAGACAATGAAGCATCATATACATTTATGTATTTATCTGTTGGATCAACTATGTAATTTAATATATTTGGTATTCCAATGGTTGGTGCTGATGTTTGTGGATTCTTAGACAATACTACTCCTAAATTATGTGCTCGTTGGGTTTAATTAGGTAGTCTTTATCCATTTTTCAGAAATCATAATAATGATAGAGCCAAGGATCAAGAATTCTATTCATTAGGTGATGATGTGTTATTAGCAGCAAGAAGAAATATTAAATTAAGATATTCTATTATTAAATGGTATTACTCATTATTTTTGAGATCTAATCATACTGGTACAATATTTCGTCCAGTATTCTTTGAGTTTAATGATGATGTTAATCTATTTAAAGATGAAGTGTTGGATACATAATTTTTAATAGGAGATGAATTGATGGCTACTCCTATTTTAGTTGAAGGTCAAACTATAAGAAAAGCATATTTTCCTAAAGCTTATTGGTATCATTTCTTAAGTGGATCTAGATTATAAAAATTTGAAGATCCAGGATAAGAACATTTTGTTATGTGTAAATACACAGATTATGTACCATTATATATAAAAGGTGGTAGTATTATCTTATAATAAAATATCACATAAGTAAAATCTGTAAAAGATCTTAAAAATCATTTTTATGCTGTTATTGCCATAGGTGAAAAGGATTCTTTTGGTACCATGATTGATTTAGATGAATTCTCTGATTAAAAGGTAAATAATTATAAATATAATGATAATAGATAGTAGAGAAATGTGATTAATTAAATTGCATACTTAATGTTAATTTCTATAAATAAGACAATTAAGCTGAATTTACAATAGTAAGAGCTGATAATGGAGGACCAGCATCATATCCATTATTTATAAGTAGATTGAAAATATATGGTTTACCACCTTCTTAAACCATAAAGTGTTCAAGCAATGTAATTTATAAAATATAATATAGAAAATTGTTGAATGTTCATATAGCAATGATAATACTTTTCCATATATTTCTAACATTTAATTAAATGAAGGAATAGGACTTGAGTTTGGTGAAACTACTGGAGTATTTAAATTAACATTGTAATTTTCATGAACATATTGTTAATACAAAAATATATATATATAAATGATAAGTTAATTGTTCAATTATAATTAGATTATTCTAATTATAAGTGTTGTTAAATATAATTAAATAATACTTTAATATAATAAACAATAATTATTATATAATATTCTCATTCTATTTATTATTAATTATCATTGAATTATAATTTCCACCATTTTCCACATCCAATAAACGTTTAAATTCCATACTCTTTTAATCTATCTCTCAATCCTCTATCACTAGTTACAACTGTAGTTTCCTTTGATTTTTATACATTTTAAGAACATAAATTCACAATCAAATCATCTGCAATTATTGGATGAGAGGATTGGATTGTAAATAATATCTTTTTATTATTAAATTCTATCTAAAATTAAATTTTCTTTCCCTCTTAACTTAAATTTATAAGATTCTTAAATTAATCCAATTAGTTTATTTCATTTTACAATTTTTGTATATTCTTAATTTTATAAACATCCCAAATCAAATGAACTTCATATAATTATGAATTATCATTTTAAAGCCAACGTACAATTATCTCCAACATTTTTACTATTTATTCTTTTTGTTTTCCATGAAATTCATTCCAATTTCTGTTAGCATATTTTACATTATTACAATCCACATACAAAATTTAGGTATCTTTTACAATTTAAACAATATCAATCTCATCAGACTTCTTCTTTTTTATTTACTTCTATAATAATGTTTCTACTATTTTAGCTTTGTCTGATTTATGCTTCTTAATTTATTTAAGAATCCTTTTTTAATCATCAAAACCCATTGAAAGTAATTCATGTAATAGATCTTATTATACTTCTGGTTCTTGTTTTCCTTTTTAAAATTAAGCTAACCATTGTTATTATTCTAAATAAAGTGGATGTTAATTAATCATAATTAATATTCTAATTCTTTAAGTACATCAAGTATTTATGCAACATTATTCTGATAAATACTTAAATATAAAATATTGTAGAATGATAATATTATAGAATTATTTTGTTAAAATACTCTAAATCATCATATATCCAAATTATGATAATAGTTTATATGTTTTATAAATATATATACTAATATAATTATTATTATATAATTCTTAAAAAGAAGCATGAGATATTGTTAAATATATCAAAAAATATAATTATTAATGAGAATATTTAATCATTTAATAAATGCTATTACTACTGTAATATCATCTATGACTTCATCTTCTCTTTACCATGCTTCTTTTGCAGCTTATACCAATCTTTAACAAGCACCTTGAGTATCATCTTTTTTATAATATTCATAAACAGTTTCAACAACCCATTCATTAGAGAGAAATCTAATTTTTATTATAATTAATACTCCCATATTCCATCAGATGCAACAATAATAAATTTATCACAAGGTAAGAGTGCATGTTTTATTATTTCTGGTTCACAAATAACACCAACTTAACTAGCAACATAATCTCCAAAACTTCTTGACATAGCTAAACCTGGAACATCTTCATCTTATTTCCAGACTCTTGCAGGTCCAACAGGATTCCCATCTTCATCACTATATGCTTATACACGACCTCCTCTCTGAATGATTCTTGCTTACTCCAAAAAACAATCAGGTTTGTGATCTTTTGATAATTCAATTACTGACAATTTATTATCAAATCTTCCTATAATTGCACGACTATCACCAATATTGGCACAGTATAATACATTTTCAAAAGAAATTACTGTTACAGTGGTTGCACCTGAGTAAGTTACATCAATTCCACTATCTAGTAATTCTTCATTTGTTTAAATGAAACAATTTTTAAGGATTGTATTAATTTATCTAAGAATTTATAATATATATATACTTATCTCTATCATAACAAGATGAGATACTCATGATACCCTATTCTATGAAGGAAGGTAACACTTATTATAAGAATTAAGCTACTTAATGACCATTTGTACCATGACCATCAGAAACTTGAATATACCAATCATTTTCTTTATTAATAAATTTGTTGATTAATTTGAATATGTCTTAATTAGTTTTAGATTAACCATTGTATAACATTCCAGGAGAACTTAATCCATTTGCTTTTTTTATGTAGAGTTGCAAGTTAGAAATATCTGGATTACTGATTGAACGAGGTCCTTTAAACAATTTGGATTTAACTATGGATTGTTATTGCTACTTAGTCATTTCCATTAATTTTTGATATTTTTTTGAGATGGCTTGTTGATTGAATATATCTTTGTTTTACTGAATTACAGGTTATTTAGTTTCAGGCTTATCCTATTTGATTTTTAACAAGAGAGACAAGGCATTAGCTGATAAGTTTTGTGTATTTTCTTTAGTTTCAATTAATTTACTGTTCTAACGTGCATGAGTTTTTTTGAGTAATACACTACTTATATCTTTTAAATCTTTGCCACTTGCAGGTCTTGTCTTTTTAGCTTCTATTTTAGAATTACCACTTCCATTCCTATTGCTAGGTACTAAATATCTAGTAGATAGTAAAATTAATAGAAATACTTATTAGTAGTAACAATAGGTGATTTTAGTCTAGCTTATTACTCTTACTCACTTTTTCTTTTGAGAAGAGAAGCATATAATTTATCAGGAGAAATTTAAGAGACTTTAGCTTTCATGCCAAAAAATAGTTGTTAGTTATTAAATTATTAATATTGTATATATTTTTTTACTTGATCAAATATTTTCATCTTCCAATTCTCCTTTCAAACTATCAACCATCTAATCAGTTTATCTTTATAATTCTTCTGGTGATAATTCACTTTATCCTGGAGTCTTTTCATATGCTTTTTCTAAATCCCATGTTGGTGCTGCATCCATTTATGGACTTTCATCTTATTAAAATCTGCTTTCAAATTATTTCATTTCTAAAAGTGATTATTCTTCAGGCAATAATTATAATGGTTAACCATTCTCATCTAATAAATCAAATTTATCAATAGCTCTCACATAATCCATATTTTCATCTTAAGGTAATTGAGCCATAGGAGCACTTGGAGAATCTTCTATTAATGCTTATTATCCCATATCTGGTGATGAACCATCATTTGTGAATAAATCTGCAAAGTTAATTTCCTTCTTTGGAGTTTGATCCAAAGTTTCCTCTACATATATTTCATTATCATTAAGTTAAATAAATGATTTGTGTGATTCAGATTTTTTAATTGCATTTAATACGGCATTTCTTTCTTTTGTTTCAGCTTTCTTTATGTTGTTCTACCTAACAAAATCATTGTTTGTTTATTCTGTTACTGAAATGACTCCTACATTTCCACTTAAATCTTATGCATCTCCCACAAATTTAGAACTAGATTATAATATATATATCATTACTCAAGTTCAACCATATTTTTAATATTTTTAGTTTCTTTTTATTTCTTATGTTCTCTCATGTTTGTTGCATTTGTCAAGGCAAGAATCAATAGAAGAATTGCTATAGATTTCATATTTATATTAATTATTAATCCGTTTTAATATAATTGTATAATATTTTCTTAAATTATGCTTTTCATTATTTCTCTGAATATATTTTTATTATAAAAAACATTTGATATTATAAATTATAAAATAAAATGTAAAATTAAGATTAAGAATATCTACTCAATATTGTGAATCCCATCTTAGAATAATTGGCACTCTATTTAGTTAAAGAAAAGCCTGATAATGTGGTAAATTCTATTCATTATAATTTAAATAGACCCAAGCATCAATCGAATGGTTAAGTGTAACAGGAGGTAATCTTATTATCCATCTATTCACTAGCTCAAATTGAAAATGGATTACATCATAATTAAAATCTTCATAATGAAACTGTCGAATCATCTGATGATACAGAATCTGATGAAGATGACTATGAACTTTATGCTAATAATCCAATTAGACCTGATAGAGCAAGTGTAAGTGCAGAAGTCTATGGAATTTATAATAAAAAAACCAATTTTAAACCTAAAATTGTTGCAAAGTCTCACTTACAAATTCAGAAAATTAAAGAAAAATTAGCTTAATCATTTATGTTCTCAGAATTAGATGAACATGATTTAAGAATTGTCATCAATGCTATGGAAGTCATCTAATGTATGAAAGGAGATGTTGTAATCAAATAAGGTGATGATGGTGATAATTTATATATTGTTGATGAAGGAACATTAGATTGTTCAAGATCTAAAGCTGGATAAGATTCTGTTCATCTTAAAACTTATAAACCAGGAGAATCATTTGGTGAATTAGCACTCTTATACAATTCACCAAGAGCAGCTACAATTGTTGCAGAAGAAAATTGTGTTCTATTCTCTTTAGATAGAGGAACATTCAATCACATTGTCAAAGATGCTGCTATTAGAAAACGAGAAAGATATGAATATTTTTTAGCTCATGTAGAATTACTCTAAGAACTTGATCCTTACAGTAGATCATAAATTGCTGATGCTCTAAAAAGCAAAAACTTCAATATTGGAGATTACATTGTTAAAGAAGGAGATGAAGGAGATATCTTTTATTTCCTTGAAAAAGGTGAAGCTGTAGCTACTAAAGTATTAAATCAAAGTATTAAATATTTATTATTTCTTAGGTTAACCTGCTTAAGTTGTCTATTTTTATAAGGAAGGTGATTATTTTGGTGAAATTGCATTACTTAGATAAGCTCCAAGAGCTGCCTCTGTTATAGCTGAAGTATTTCTTAATTCAACTTTTATATAGACTCCATGTACAGTTGTTTATTTGGATAGAGAAACATTCAAAAGATTATTGGGACCTCTTGAAGATATACTCACTCGTAATTTTAAGAAGTATGAAAAATACATGAATTGAGATTATAAAATATCTATTTATTTTAGAATAGAAAAAATTTTAACTAAATAATTATATGCATTAGTCACAAAATTATAACAGAATATCAATAGCTTAAAAAGAAAAGACAGAATTAACAGCTTAAGATTTCAAAAAGTTTATTTCAATTTCTAATTAGATTACTTTAAACACGAATTACTTAGACAAAAGAAGAAATTGATAAATTAGAAATTAAATTAGAATTATTTAAACCTGAGAATGCAAAATCATAAAATCAGAAATAATATTTTCATGATAGAAGAAAATTCATATTCACAAATATTAGATTGTAGAATATATATAAAAAATTAGATTATAAGCTCATCTTGGTAAATTAATTTAGAATCAAGCCCTTTTAGAAGATGAAAATATAGAAGAAGCTAAATTAGAAAATATATTAGGTTCAATATAAGATTTAAGTCATTAAAATTTGGAAATTATGAAAAACTTTTAAACTCTCAATCAAGTACCTGATGATCAACCCTTGCCACCTGATTTTATTATGATGAGTGAAAGGGTAGCTAGAAATTACAAAGTTATATAAACTCAAGAAGAAATAGATGATAAATTTGATAAATTAAACAATTACTTTTAAAATGAGATATAGAAATATTACAAAAATCCAATCTCTGCTCCATATCTTAAATTTGTGCCCAAAATTATATGAATGATAGATTATTAATTATATATTAAAATTTTATTATTTTATGTCAAATCAATTATGACTAAATATATTCATTATTTTCTTTAACATTGATATTTTCTCTTATTTCTCAGAAGTTTCCTTTTTATCAATAAACTCTGGTTAATTTTTCAATTATTATTGTTTTTCAACTTTATCTTACACTTATGGTATAGTTCTAAAGTTGAAACTTGTTCCAATAATTTATTTTTTTTGTTAAGGTTTTTGATTATCATTATGATTAACATTCTTCATTTTAGCAGCATTCTTGATATTTCTACTTCTTAAATTGTATGAATTATATATTTATTCATCATCCTTTTCCCATACCTAATTTGTTTTATAAATAAACTTGGCTTAATTAGCTGAATTATCTTAAGCTTCTAAAGAGTCATCTGTTTATTTTGTCTAATATTTAATTAATATATTTACATCTTAACTAATCCATTTTTCATGAGTTTAATTATCTGATTATAAAGCATCATTTTTGTTTAACAATTAAGAACCTAAATTTAAAGTAACCATCTCTCCTTCCTCATTTACATAATATTCCTCCCAATAATCAGTGCTTGAAGATACATTGTATGTTGTTGAATATGAATAAGTTTCTTCACCATCGTTTGAAGAATATTTAGTTGAGCTACTGCTACTACTTGACTTTAATCTTGTCTTATAAGAATTTGAAGAAGCATCCCAATAATATTCATATTATCCATCATCATAAGTACCTTATTGAGCTATTTAATCATTTGATACTACCCTCCATTTATATGATTAAGAATCAGCATCCCAATATTATTCATAATATGTAGTTGAACTTGATGAAGTTGTTGAATATCCACCAGATTATTAACTACTTCCCTTCTAACGTATTTAATAGGATTAAGTATCATAATCCCAATAATACTCATATTCAATTTCAGTAGAAGTACTGCTCTTCTTTCTTGTCTGATAAGATTAAGTATCCACATCCCAATAGTATTCATATTAACCATCATCGTAATTGTATGAAGTACTACTTTTCTTTCTCCACTAATAAGATTGACTTGATGAATCCCAATATTATTCGTATTCATTTGAATCATATGAATTTGCTTTCCTTCTCCACTAATAAGAACCTGTCTCCCAATCCCATTGCCATTCATAATCATTTTGTTCATTCTATTATTGCTATTTCAATCTCCAAAGATAGGCTTATTAGTTTGAATCCCAATAATATTCATACTCTCCAGTTTCCCATGTACTCGATCCTGTTTATTTTCTTCTCCACTTATTAGAATTAGAATTCTGATCCCAATATTGCTCATAAGTATATCCATTATATGTATAAGAAGTCTATGAACTGGATGATGTGGAACTGCCTGATTATTTGAATTTGTAACTCCAGCTACTTTCATCCCAATAATATTCGTAATCACCTGATTCCCAAGTGCTTGATCCTGTTTATTTTCTTCTCCATTTATAAGAATTAGAAGATTGATCCCAATATTTCTCATAAATGTATCCATTATAAGTATAAGAAGTCTATGAACTAGATGATGATTATTTAAATTTATAACTCTAGCTACTTTCATCCCAATAATATTCATAATCTCCAGTTTCCCATGAACTTGATCCTGTTTATTTTCTTCTCCACTTATAAGAATTAGAAGATTGATCCCAATATTTCTCATAAATGTATCCATTATAAGTATAAGTAGTCTATGAACTAGATGATGATTATTTAAATTTATAACTCTAGCTGCTTTCATCCCAATAATATTCATAATCACCTGATTCCCATGTGCTTGATCCTATTTATTTTCTTCTCCATTTGTAAGAATTAGAAGATTGATCCCAGTATTTCTCATAAGTATATCCATTATAGGTCTAAGAACTTTAAGAACTAGTTGATGATTATTTGAATTTATAACTCTGGCTGCTTTCATCCCAATAATATTCATATATTCCACTCTCATATGATGTTGAACCTACTCTGTATCTTCTCCATTAATATGAATTAGAGCCTTCATCCCAATATTATTCGTAAACATAACTATCATAAGTGTATGTTCCTGATGGTTTTGTACCTTAATCATAAGTCTGGCTTCCTTTCTTTCTTTTCAAATATCTAGAACCATCCCAATAGAGTTCATAATCATCTTCATTTGGACCAGATCCCTTAACTCTAGTTTTGTAACTTTATGTATCAACATCCCAATAATATTCATATTCAATAACAGTTGTAGATCTCTTTCTTTTAACATATTAAGATCCATCCCAATAAGTTTCCCATTCACCCTCATCGCCCTCATCACTTTCATCTCCAAAAGCCATCTAACCCCAATCATCATCATCATCATCAGGGATAGGTAAAGGAGCAGCAGATTTTGTTGTATTTTTTGCAGGTGTTATAATGATCTCCTCATAATATTCTTCATAATATTCCTCATAATATTCCTCATAGATTGTTTCCTCATATCCTTCATCTGGAATAGGTAAAGGTTAACTTGTTTTAGTAGTGTTTTTTGGATCATCCACAATTATAATTTCTTCAGGAATTTATTCCTCTGGCTCTTCTTCTGGAATGGGTACTGGTTCAGCTTATTTTGTATCATTTTTGACAACAACTATTTTTACAGGTTCTTCTTCTTCTTCCTCTTCCTCCACTTCTTCTTCCTCTTCTTCTTCTTCATATGGAATTTCTAGAGGTTCTGATGGCTTTGTTTAATTTACAAATGGTTCATCTGGTACAATTATTTCTTCCTCAAAATATTCTTCCTCAGGAATAGGGAGAGGATCTACAACTTTTGTTTAATTAAATGTATCAGCTGGATCTTCAATAGGGATTGGCTCAATAATTTCTTCTTCTACAGGTTCTTCTTCGGGTATTGGAAGAGGTTCTGAGGGTTTGGTTGTGTTCTTTGTATCAACAGGTATAATTTCTTCTGGTATTTCTTCCTCAGGAATGTATTCTTCAGCCTCCTCTTCTTCTGGTAAAGGCAAAGGTTCAGCTGGTTTTGTTGTGTTCACATTAGTAGGTTCTTCAGGTATTGGCTCTGATTCTTCTTCTGGAATAGGTTCTGATTCTTCCTCTGGAATTGGTTCGGGTTCTGGTTCTTCTTCCTCTGGGAGAGGTTCAGGTTCTTCTTCTGGTATAGGTTGAGGAATTTCTTCAGGTTCAGGCTCAGGTTCTGTTGTTGGCTCTGGAAAGGACATTTCAGGGTATAATTCTTCTTCCTCTTCTTCTTCTTCTGGTTAAACAATTGGAATTGGGTTTTCATCTGGTTTTGGTTTTACAGGTTCTTTACAATCATCATCATCTTATTGCACAACAACTATCACTGGCTAGGCTGGAGTAGAACAAGCAGGTTAAGTACTCACTTTTAATCAAATTATATAATCTACATAAAGCTTCAAGAATTGTTAACAATTCTCCATTTTAACTTCCAATTGTTGTTGTATTTGAATTTTAGTATACTGTAATGTTTATTGATACGTTCTCCATTTTCCCTTCTTACAATTATTTTATCAAATCTTAGACTTCAGTAGTTCTATTTCCATTAACTGTTATATTTGTTTTTAATTATTCAGGAGCTTTCGGTGGTTCTGTTGGAGGTTTTGGTATCTCTGTAGGTTGCTGAGTTGGCTACGAAGCTTCAACAGGTGGTTAAGGTGGTTAAACAGGAGGTTTAGGTGGTTCAACAGGGGGTTAAGGTGGTTCAACTGGAGGTTTAGGTGGTTCAACAGGGGGTTAAGGTGGTTCAACTGGAGGTTTAGGTGGTTCAACAGGGGGTTAAGGTGGTTCAACTGGAGGTTTAGGTGGTTCAACAGGGGGTTAAGGTGGTTCAACTGGAGGTTTAGGTGGTTCAACAGGGGGTTAAGGTGGTTCAACTGGAGGTTTAGGTGGTTCAACAGGGGGTTAAGGTGGTTCAACTGGAGGTTTAGGTGGTTCAACAGGGGGTTAAGGTGGTTCAACTGGAGGTTTAGGTGGTTCAACAGGGGGTTAAGGTGGTTCAACTGGAGGTTTAGGTGGTTCAACAGGGGGTTAAGGTGGTTCAACTGGAGGTTTAGGTGGTTCAACAGGGGGTTAAGGTGGTTCAACTGGAGGTTTAGGTGGTTCAACAGGGGGTTAAGGTGGTTCAACTGGAGGTTTAGGTGGTTCAACAGGGGGTTAAGGTGGTTCAACTGGAGGTTTAGGTGGTTCAACAGGGGGTTAAGGTGGTTCAACTGGAGGTTTAGGTGGTTCAACAGGGGGTTAAGGTGGTTCAACTGGAGGTTTAGGTGGTTCAACAGGGGGTTAAGGTGGTTCAACTGGAGGTTTAGGTGGTTCAACAGGGGGTTAAGGTGGTTCAACTGGAGGTTTAGGTGGTTCAACAGGGGGTTAAGGTGGTTCAACTGGAGGTTTAGGTGGTTCAACAGGGGGTTAAGGTGGTTCAACTGGAGGTTTAGGTGGTTCAACAGGGGGTTAAGGTGGTTCAACTGGAGGTTTAGGTGGTTCAACAGGGGGTTAAGGTGGTTCAACTGGAGGTTTAGGTGGTTCAACTGGAGGTTTAGGTGGTTCAACAGGGGGTTAAGGTGGTTCAACAGGGGGTTAAGGTGGTTCAACTGTAGGCTAAGGAGGCTCAACTGGTGGTTTCGGTGGTTCAACTGGAGGTTTAGGTGGTTGAACAGGGGGTTGAACAGGTGGCTCTATAGGTGGTTTAGAACAATCAACAGGTTATTGAGGTGGTAAAGGTGGCTAGACTGGTTGCACAGGGGGAATCTCAGAAGGAGGTTAAGCAGGTGGTTATGGAGGTATTTATGGTGGAGCTTAAGGTGGTGCTTAAGGTGGCACTTATGTAGGTGTTTCAGGAGGTATTTGTGGTGATGTTTATGGAGAAACTTCACGTGGTTCCTAAGTTGATGGTGGAGGGATATTAGGTGTTTGGGGGGGATTTTAAGGAGGCTCTTAAGTTGGTTTTGGTATATCACAGGGTGGATTTTATTAAATCTATGGCGGTTATGATTATGGAGGATTTGTCTGCATTCCTGAACTTGTTGGTGGTTGTGTTGGGTATTATTAAGGAGGAGGAGGAAATTGTTGTTGAGGCTGAATTGATGGTTAGCTTGATGGGGATGGTGAATTTTAAATAGGTTAATAAGCCTATTATTATGTTCTAGTAGGATCTTCAATTGGATTTTATGATGGTGAATTAGGTGGAGCATTTTGTTATGGGACTTATTAAAAATCTTATGTTTAAGATTATTGTTGGGGTTAGGGTTATGGATTCTAAAATTATTGGGAAGGAACTGTTTAAGATGTTGGTTGAGGCTGATATTAAGTGGGAGAATCAGTAGTTGAAGTTTGAGTTGATTATGATTAGGATACAGTTGAAGGTGGTTAATTCTAAATAGTGGTTGTTTGTTAGGTAGTAGTTGTAGTGTTACTTCCTTATTAATTTTATTATTAGTTAGAAGTTTGAGGATCTACACAGTTTATTGGCTATTAGGTTCCTTAAATATTAGTTCCTTATTATTAATTATTTGATTATTAAGAAGATGATGATGTGGTTGTTGATCCTTGACTTGAATTTGAAGTGCTTGGTGTACCATAAGCATCATCTATATAACCTACTTCATTTTTTATGTTTTGTGCTTGTTAATTAATTGCTTCTTGTGCTTTTCGTCTCTGTCTTTCTTCCTTTTAGAAACAAAATTCTTAATATGTTTAGACTTCCTCAATCTGAGAATTCAATGCGGAGATCTTACGCTGTTTATTTGGTGTTGTCAAAATCTCTTCAAGGGAATCAATAATTGATTGAAGCTCTTTCTTCAATAAATCTATTATATAGCCAGGCTAATCTAAAAAAAGATTATTTTGCATATTACTTTAAGCATCTGTGCATATATCATCAGTGATTTACATCAATCCATGAATTTTAAATTGATCTTTCTAAATAAAAGAACTCAAAAACAAGTTTGACTCAGGGAGAGTCGCTTTTATTTATTTTAATGTTTCTAAGTCAGTTTACAAATCACAATCATCGGTTTGCAATATTTCAATCCAATAACGAATACTTATGATGATATTATCAAATTTTGGTTATTCCACACATTCAGGTACATATAGAGTTATGGGATTGAATAACAATGCTTCATTCAATGTTGTAAATCTTCCTAGCACTTAGTTTAATGCATAGAACACTATAATATAAATTAATGTCATTTTATTATTAATTATTTGTTAACTTTATGAATTTATCTGCCAGATCCTATATGCCAACTTAAAAATCTATATCTCCATTGATTGATCGGACTACCAAGAAGCGTACTCTTACAATTTAAGAACTTACCAAGTCAACAAAGACTGCAAATAAGATAATTAAAGAAAAATCCACTGAAAAAAAATTGACTTCCAATAGTTCTCAAGAAACTTCAGAAACATGTTTAACTAGGAATGACTCTGCATAGGACAACAACAGATTGTAGTAATTGAAAATTAGAGTTTTAACGTATACATATATCTCTCAAAAAGCTTAGAGAAAAAGTCTAACAGATTGAAAAATTAGATCTATGCAAAACTACACTATTGCTTAAAGAGCTCCAATACTATCGTGCTAAGCATATTAATAGTTCAAATACTTCAGTGATGGTTGCTTTGGCTTTAGCACGTAATTGATGTTATAAAATTACTTTATAGTCACTTATAATACATAACTCCATGTCTTTTAAACTATAAATCAAATTTATATTATGAAAATAATTATCTGGTATTACTAAGATATAAGTATTAAAGTAGTCTAACTAAAATATAACTAAGTCAAAAAATATTAATATTATTATATATTTTATTATATATATATATATTTATACTTAATAGTTTGTTCAATTATTTATGAATATATAAAAATTAGTTGAATAAATAATTCATAATATTTATAATTAGAAAGAAATGATGAATAAGTAATATATAATATTTCAGTTATTTTAATATTCATATCTAGATTTTCCTGCCTCTCCTGCAGGTAAAAGGTTTTATGATGATTTTTAAAGAAATGCTAATTTAATATGAATAATTTACTCTTATAATTTTATAGATCTTATCTACCTCTTGATACATTTGAAGCATTATTTGGAATAGTTTCATTTCTATTTAAAATGATATGCAAATGAATTACCTAGTTTAAAGAATATTCATTGTTGGATAAATTAAAGTTTGATTTCTTGATAATTAACTTGAAGGGACATTTTACTTTTAAAAATAAGCACCTCTATCATCCAATTAGATTGGTGGTCTTTCATAATAGTTTTTATTTTAATCAGTTTAAGAATATGTTTAAACTGTTGAAGATTAATTTTATTATTGTTAATTTGATTGCTGCTATTCCTATGTTACTTTTATTTCTTTAGATGATTTTGCATTATTTAATTATGTTTTTGTTTTAGATGATCTCTTTTTCTTTTTCTTTTTTTTTTCATCTTCTGAATCAGAGTCTTCAGTGTCACTAAATAATTCCATTATTTAAGTCTATAATTGAGGATTAGTTAAAAATTGTCTCCAATTACCATATTTCATTTCCAATTTCTTTACTTCACTTTCACCTTCAACAAATACATAGGAAGGATAAGGACAATCAACATAGACTGGTTTAAGTACAGCCACTTAAACAGGAATTTGAATTCTCTAATTAAATAAAACCAAGTTATACTTAAACTTTCATTTCAGCATAATTTATTCGATCAGGTGGTGGCATCATGATATAAATTAACGATTATAATTTAAATAATATTAATCAATTTTAAGTTCTATTAATATTATAATCATAATTTTTTAATAGTGATTTCATATATGATCTGATTAAACTTCAATTTTCTATTAACTTGATTTAGATTGTATTTCTTAATAAAATTATCTACATGTTTTAAGTATATTTTTTGGATTTAACTCCATTTATTCTACTTTTTCTTTAAAATACAAATCTTTATAAAAGTTATCTTCCATTTATTATAAATAAACTCTAGTTTTTTCATCAAACTTAGATAAATCTGGTAAAAAGAGTATAATTCCAGGTTCAATACTCTTAATTCTTTCTTTCAATTTTCTCAATAATTCAATTTCATTATCTTGATTTTCTACTTTAATAATATACTATTATTATTCTATTTCTTATTCATTCTAAAACTATTATTACTGATCAAGATTTTTTTTAACTTTTTTCTTTTTTTCAGGTTCTTTACAAAAATCCTAATTGCAGAATTTTTCCAGTTCAATTTAAAATTGTTTCATCTCTTCAGACATTGTAAACTAATGCTCTTTTATTTTTTCTAAAAGAGTTCTTAACTTATGATAATGAAGTTATTGTATAGGAATTAAAGGACGATAATTATTGCATAATTACATTTGTATCAAAATCTGTTTTGATTCACTAACAAAGTTTTATCCTTTGGACCACTTTTTTCTCTTTACTTTCTATTCATTTTGATCTGACTCAATTGATGATAACTCATTAATATCATTAAAATTTTTAGATTCTTTGTAAAAACTTGAGAAATCAAAGTCTTTTAATACTCTATTTTGAAACTCTATCAAAATAGAGTGTTAGAATTTAGATTCAATAAGCTTCATCTCTTTTATTAAATATGTTATCAAATCCTTTTGCACATTTTCAGGTAGATCTTTTAAATATTTCCACACACCTTAGTTAGGATAAGATTATAAAGTTGCACATCTATTACTGGATCCTGGTTTGATTGACACACAAGTAGACAAAAGATGATAAGGCAATTAGTTATTATTGAAAAACTTTCTAACTGAGTTTAATGCCCATTTCATGAATAATTTTTTCTTTCCTTCTAAATCATGGATTACCAAATTAGATTAAGTTTGCATTTTAATATTAATATTTATTTCTAATTCAATATTTCCTAAAATTAATAACATAATTCATTTCTATAACTAATTAAACCTTAAAAGAATTATTTAGACCTTATCTGAATAAATTCTATTAATTTTCTAATATTTATCTATCTGATTAAAAAAACTGTAACTAGAAATTTTAATATATTCTTTTTTCACTAATTTTTAGATCATTTTTATTAGTTTCATGAACACATTATAACATGCAGTAATCTACCTATCAGTTAATGATGAATTGTTCAAGAAAAAATTCAAATCAGAAAATTATCATTCAGTAATTATTTACTCATCTTTATAAGATAATCTTAATGAATTGATTGTGAAAATTTAATAAAGTATTTCCGTAGAAAAAATAGTATATACGTCTTTTAGAAATAACCTATTGTTGAAGGCTTGAATCAAAATTTATTATATATATAATAAGTCCTAATTCTATCAAATATTTTTTTCCCGTTTAATTATAGGCATCCTTTAAATTATCTTTCCATTTAATACATACCATCTAGATCATGTAAATTTTTAGTTTTACTGTTTATTGAATGAATTTTCTACTTAGTTTGTTTTTTTTAGATTGGCATTTTTTTTATACTTTAGTTTTCATTTTAAAGTATTTAAAGCTATTATTATTTAGTTGCTTTGATTATTGAACATACTCTTAATGATTTAATGAAATTATAAATGAGTCAAACTTTGGAAGAAAGATTATAAATTTTATTATTTGAAAATGAATAAGTAGAATTAATAAAGAAGTTAAGCTAAGTCCTTTTCATGTGTAAATCTTTGAGTTTTTAGTTATACTAATTAATTAGAGAAATATAATTGAATGTTCCTATTTTAATAATAATTATCATAAATTCCATGATTTCTTTAAAATTGCTTCAAAAGTCTCATCTTATTATATTGCTGATGATACATCCTATTATATATATATTATGTATTTTACCTAATAAAATTCACCAAACTCTTAGAATGAAATGACTTTGTCTGGTTAACCCTTATTCCAATGTGATACAAATTCTTAAAATACTTGTCTTTCTGTTTTGTATCCCTTGAGTACATCAGGATGTTCTTTAACATTGATAGTTCTACCCATTGTATCCAAAGTAACTTTGCCTGCTTTTTATTCAATAGATGCATAGGCTCTTTAAACAAAATAAAGTCTTTTATCACTCATTTGTAACTAATTATTGATTGAATTATTTTACTCTAAAAGCATCCAAGAATTCATTAAATTCAATTTTCCCATTATTATTTTTATCAAAAGTTTAAAATATCATTTTAGTTTCATCTTCAGATAGATTTAGTCCAAAATTTCTAAGTCCCCATTTAAAGTCATCATATTCAACTACTCCATCTATTTTAATAAGTAAAATAATTTACTGTTATTTTAATCCATTTCGAAAAAGATTTTAGCCAATCCTCTCAATCCATAAGAACCTTTACCAGTAATTTATTATTTAACTCTAATCATTAGATTTTTAACATTTCTATTATCATCCATAACTGATTCATCAAATTATTCATTTTATTTAGTTGCTACAATAAATTTCCATAAATTCTAAGGTCTATAAATATTTATATTTTATACTCTTAATTTCTTAATGGAATATCAATTGTTGTTCTACCTTCTTTTTCTGCTATCAAATTCTATGTTTTATTCAAACATTAATAAGAATGAACAAAAACTTCACGTTCTCTCCCAAAATCGTTTTAGTATACAATATCATCACTTGCTAACCAATGTTATGTAAATGAATGTTTAACAAGAACAACATCATCAATTCTAATAGGTAATCCTTCCATCTCAAATCTAATTTTTGGATCTGAATGTTCTAATTTCCATACAGTATTAAAAACATCACTTTCTATGGCACAAACTTCTTATTTTCTAGATATCTTCGCACATCTAGTTGGTGTCTAAGGAAGTGAATGGAGATAGAATGTTTTATTATTAGAAATTCTTGGGTTTGCAAGAATTCTAAAATGTTATCCATAATGTAAAACATCATCACCAAAGAAATTGGGTTCTTTGGTATAAGGTACAACTACAAATACAGATCTTACTGTTGGTTATGTTGCTGGTGCTGTGGTAACATTATATGCTTCCTCAGCTATTTTCAATTTTTCTTAAATGTCTATGGATAAGAAGCCTTATGTTTTAAGGTTTTGAAGCATAATATGGAATCCGAAATGAATGTATTCATCTTTTGGAAAGGTAAGTGATGCCAATCTAAGACTGAAATTAGTTTTTTAATCCTTGACTATGCTTGCCAGTTACCCATTTTATCTATTTTTCAAATAGTCTTTTTTCCTAATAAATTCATGAACAAATTCTCACTTGGTCTCATCTAACTCCCACTCTTCAAACCAATTACCAATGCGTGTCTAGAACTTGTATTTGTGATCGACGTTGTAATTATGCATAATAATTTAATATTGAATAAATACATCAATCACAAAATATATCATATTCATTTTTAATCAACTTTTAATGTTTAATATACTTCTATTCCATCAATAAAAGTAGATAAAACTTCAGTTTGATGTATTTCTGATGGTTTAACCTTTAAAACATTTTAAGAAATAATAATAAAATTAGCAGGTCCTCCATCCTTCAATATTCCAAATCCTGGTTTCTATATTAATTGAGCAGATCCTTCAGTATAATAATGCATAGCTTAAAGAATTGTAATTCTTTGTTTTAAATCTCCAATTGGAATAGGTTTTTAAGTATGTCCTAAAGGTTATCGAGTGACTGCCACTTCTATAGCATCAAAAGGATTAGCTGAACTAACAGGCCAATCACTACCTAAACCAATAATACATTATTCAAGATCTCTTATAGGATACATTCCTTCCATATAATGTTCAGGTAAGCAAGTTGGCATTAATGAAAGTTCTGGACTCTCATAGAACCATAAAGCTGAAAAATTAGCACCTAAATTAAACTTTTTAAATGCTTCAATAGCTTTTGGTGAAACAAATTCAAGATGAGCCAAATAGTTAATAATATTCTTATTGAATTTATGAGATATCCTCTCATATGATTCAACTACAATATCTGTTGCTCGATCTCCAATACTATGAATATGAGCCTAGATTCCTCTATCATTTAGACCTTCAATTATTTAAGGGATGTTCTAAATCATTAGTTATCCATTGTGTTAACATTTACAATATTAAACATTCATTAAAGCTGTCTTTGATTCCAAAACACCATCAACAAATATTTTTACACTATGACAATATAGTTTCTATAAATTCAAATCTCTTATCTATTTAATTTAATTTTCTATTGTCTCAAATCTTACTTCCTCATCAATACCTTAATTAAAGATAATAATTACTTTAAGTCTATTCTAAAAATAAATCATTCCAACATAAACTCATACAACAATATGGTAATTGATTACAATAATTTTAATTTTAATACAACTTTATGTAATTATGAAATAGTTTTTCTTTCACTGCAGCATCTTAAAATGCAACCACTCCATATTTAATCAAGTGTTGTAATCCTTTTAATAAACAATCCTATTGTTCAGTTTCACTTAATTTTGGAATGAATTTTCTCACAATATTCATTTATTCTTCTATATAAATACCATTTTCTTAGGGACTTTATGTAATTTCAAATATTTTAGAATTACACCAATATGCATGGCAATCATCTCTCATTATTATCAATGGCTTCTCAGGACATATATCATCTAATTCCTATATATTCTATTTTATGTCTTTAAACCATCCTTATGCTTTTCACATATTTAATTATTTCATTACAATATCCATATGCAAACACCCATTCATTTTAATCATGTTCCCCTTTCATTATACTGTTCTTAATAGCATTTTTAGCATCCTCCCAAGAACAATACTTTTAGATTTTGAGTCTACTTAATTAAATCCCTCCACTTTAGGGATGAACATGACTATCTATCATTCCAGGCATAGCCATCTATAATTCATTTAATTTAATTATTCTATTATTTATCTCTCTATTTACCTCATATTATCGATTTCTAATTCCCAATAACCTGATTTTTTCATATATTCTTATAAATGTTCATTTTGCATTTAAACTTAATTTAGAATTTCATCTATTTATCCCATTTTTGATATTTTTCCAGCTTTTATTTACATACATTCAACTTATACTAAGGGTTAAAAGGAAATATATATAGTTCCAATAACAATGATATCTAATTATTAAATCTGATTATTCATTTATTTAATTAATACTTATATTTTATTATTGAATGAAAATTATAAAATGTTAAATTGTCAGAATTCATCAACAGATAATCAATTATCATAACAAATCAATCTTTTTTATAATTAAATAATATTTTTTTTTATTTTTTAACAATTTCTAGAAATGTCTATATTCAATAAAGAAATAATTTTCAAATATATAGATTGTGATGATGGATTAAACATAATTCAAAATTAAATAATTGTGTCAATTTCATAGTAAAGGATAATAATGAATTAAGCAAATAAATTATAATATTTAAGATTATTTTTATTCATTTATGAAAGCTTTCGAAACTTTGCGTGATAAAATTATATCCACACTTCAGAATGTTAATCAAAAATCAGTAACACTCTCAAAACCTATAAAAAGCCTCCTAATAATACAACATCAATTTTTAATGCTATCATATATATTCGAATAGAAAAATAATTCATTTTTTTACATTATTGCTACTACAACTAGACCATAATTACTCTTACATTCTAATAATATTTGCTATTTGATTTTACCAATCCTATTATTATATATGATTAGTATTTTTGTTAAGAAAATACCAGGAAGATAAAAGATATTGGTAATAGGATAGTTATTAAGAGTGAGTGTGTATAATGTATTTTTTGAAATTTCAAAGGGAGAATTACAATTTATTGTTTAAATCCTATTAATTATCATTAGCACTATTGATATCCTATTCATATTAGGGACTTTAAACATTAAGTAGATGAATTTCTCATAAATTTCAATTAACTATTTTTAAATAGCTAATCACATTTTAAACAATTTAATACTAATTTTTAAATAATATTCTAATTATAGTCATCTCATTATAATATTGTTATGCATGCTTTATTCACTAAATGGATTCCTTAATCAAATTATTTATTCCCCTATAAAATCAACTAAACTTCATCCTTATATCCTCTATGCTCATCTTATAACAATCATACAATGTATTCTTTATTTTGCTGATATTAAATTAAATGAATTTCCTAATTTAATTTTATGTACCTTAATACTTAAACTTATTTAAATTTCAAGTGCAAATTAATTGAGATTTCCTATATAAAATTTTGATTCTTTATTATTAATAATAGGTGATGGTTGCATAACTCCTGAACATATAAAAATTATAATAAACAAAAAGTTAATTCAAAAAGAATAGGATAAAATACTATATGCAACAATAAAGATAAAATAGAAACATTATTATGAAGCATTGTGTCTATTATACAATTAAAAGAGTTCAAATTGGTTGAATTAAATAAAAAAAACTATAATTATAGATGAATGTCTATAATAATTAGAATTCAAAATAAAAACATCTTCAAAATTTGATTAAAGTGTAGCATTAGCTGTTGAGTAATTAATGAAAAGTGAAGACAGAAACTTCATTATTCAAGAGAAAATTATAGAAATAATTAAATAAAAATAACATATATAAAAATGTATTACAGAATAAGATTTAAAAATATATCAGAAACTTATGAATTTTGTAAATAAAGTATAAGAAGTCAAAAGAAAACTTGAAAAATAATATTCCTAATTTCCAAATCAAAAAACATAAGCAATTTTAAGTTTTTTATATGCTGAAATATTGAATGATTATATTTCTGCTAGTAAACTCTCTATATCTGCATCTAAATAGGAACTTATAAAATTTTAAAATCATTAAGCTATTTTTAATATGTTTAATTCTAAGATGATTTACTTCATAACAGATTTTGATTAGCAACGATTAATAATTAAAAGAATGTCTAGTAATACATCATAATTATTGAATCTTAGACATGATTAGTTAATTAATAAAGATATTGATCAATTATTACCTTGGGGTATTAGAGAACATCATAATGAAATGATTATGAATTTTTTAGAAGAAGGAATTTCTAAATATATGAGAAAGGTAGATTTAAAATATTTTAAATGTCATTAATCTTCATATTTAATAACAGCTGATTTTACATTAGATATTAGTTTTACTAAATCATCTTTGAAATTTGTAACATTTTTATAACCTGTTATTCATTAACCAATGATAATAGTACTTAATTAAAATAAAATAATTACAGAATTTAGTGAGAATTTGATAGAAACATTAAATGAAAAGCCTGAAAATATATTAAATAAACATATGAATTAATTTTTACCATCTATTGATACAATTGAATTTAGTTAAGTATTAGAAAATGTTGAAATGATATCTTAATAAAGTAGTTATAGTACAATGAAATCTTATTCTATAATTACAACAGTTAATGTAAAAATTAAAGAATTAAAAGGTAGAATTATTTATTACTTATTAACATTTCAATTTATTAAAAAAATGAATTAAAATTATACTTATAATTAGATGGTATAGAGTTTCTCAAATGGAGCCTTGAGTTAAGATAAAACAGATATTAAAACTACAGAAATGAAAATTAAGATTGAAGATGATAGATTTTCTGGTATTTTTAAAGAAGAAATAACTATCTCTAAACCATATATAATGGATGAATAAAATTAAAGACATTAAGTAAATTCTACATTTTTTTAATTTTAATAATTCTCTAATAATTATCTTTAAATTAATTAAGATAAATAAAAAAGAACTATTTAATAAAATTAAGCACTCTAAACTAAAAGTTAAAATAATTCTACTCTAATTAGTCCAAATAATAGTTTATATTATGATTAATTACTCTCTCAATAATAATATTTTTGTAGGAATTCTTAAAAATAATTATCTTATGTTAAAGAAGAATGTAGTATAGATATGGTGAAAGAATTACATGCTATCAATGAAAGTAATTAAGAAGAAGATTGCAAACGATCTCAAGTATCTTCTGTGTAAAATTTAAAATAATCTCAACATTTTAAGAAATATTAAATTTTATATAATGTAAATAAATAGTAATGCCATTCAGGTTCATGCTTATTTTTAAGAACATCATTATTCTCATTGATTGCTCATTCAATCATCATTTATATAGTAAATTATATTTAAATCATAGATAATTTAAAGTTTATATAGTAGCTTAAATTAGTTAGTAAGGGATATTGAATTACTCTAAGTTAAAAATCAAGCATTTTAACCTTTGGAGACATTTTGGGTAAATAGATGGATTATATTTAATTATATGAAAATGAAACAGAACCATATCTTGGATGAGGATGAATATAATTAATTGTTAATATTTCCAGAATATACAATACCATTATAATTTTAGAGATTGTAATCTAATTTGAATGAAATTGTAAATAAAAAAGAATTACAGAGTTCTATGTCTTCTATTAATATTAAAGTATTACAATATATAGATTCTGATGAAGGAGAGATTTATGAAATCTCAATTAGAAGTTGTATTAATATATTATTAGAATTTTAATACACATTAAAGTAATTTTATATTGAAAACTAACTACCATAAACTGACAGTGCCTATATATATTATTGTTATAAGAATATATTCAATCTAAAGTAACAATTTCAAATTTTAAATGATAACATTTATGAATAATCTCAAATTAATTCAATTTATATCTTAACATAGTAAAGAATACTCTATTTAATATAATCAATATTGATTATTTTAAATCTTATAATACTAATTATTTTAATAAGGAATGTTGAAAAATAACATTTAAAACATTTAAGATTGTTGTTTTCTTGTCCCAAAGAAACTTATTATTAAGAAATTCATAATTATTAGCTTTTAACAAAGTTTATTCTTAAAGATAGTGATAATTTATTCAAATATTAATTTTTTGTGCATGATAAAGAAAAGAATTTGATGAAGTCTACTTCTACACTTATGAAATCTAAAGATCAAATGCAAATAAAAAAAAATAATAAAGATATCAAGATTTAAGTAGGAGATTAATCTGTTAGAATAATATCATTTCTAATAATGTTCTTACTTTTAATCTAAGGTACATATGTTTATTGGATGATGTCATAGTATATTATTTCATATCAACCAACTGCATAATTTTATAGGAAACTTTCTGATGTAGGTACTGATATTCCTACATTATATTCTCATATTAGTGTATTATATGGAATTACAAACTTTACATTTCTTAATTAAAATGATAAACAAAAATTCATTAATGAAATTCAAGATTCACTTTAGAGATTAGAAAATTTTGTAAATATTCAAAATGATTAAGAAAAGTAATTATTTTCTATATAATAATAGCATATTATCAACAAATTTTATGAATAAATATGATTATCTTTAAACTGCTAATCTTTGTGAATATATAAATGAAGAAATATATGATAATCCCCCTTAAATTTGTAATCAATCACTCAATTAAAATTTATAAAGAGGGATATCTTCTGCTCTAATTTACATTTTAAATTCAATAAAAACAGAAAGAGATTTAAATTAGTTTAGTGAAAAAATAGGTTATGATAAATATGAATTAGAAGGAGCTTTGATATTTTCAGAATTCATTGAAAACCTTAATGGTGAATTCTATCAAGACTTAAAAAATGTTACAATATTAAAATTAAACTAATTAATTGTATTTTTATAATTATATTTCAATAGTTCACAGTTATTGGAATTTTCTGTGTTCTTATTTTTATGATGTTTTTTACTGTAACTGTAGGAAAATTTTATTTGACCAAAAAAAACAACGCAATTAGCTAATCCATTTTTATGATACCTTTTTCTGTCATCTTTTTTGATGACTATTATGAATTAAAACTAAAAAAGATTTAACAAAAAGCATTTCAGAGCAAATAAATCATATTATGATATTCAATCTTTATGCTATATATTAAAATTACATTATAAATATTCAAATTTAATATATTATTTATACATCTTTTATTAATTAAAAATTAATATTTAAAATATATTCACCAAAAAATTATTGATGAAATTAATAATTAATATTTATATTTGTTTCCATTTAATTTCTATATTATTGAAACTGTTGGTATATGGTTGTATTACAATATTTTTAATAATGCATCAAACTTACTTAGGAACAAGTTTAATATATTATTTCTAGAGAAATTTCAATTAATTATTTAATAAAAAATGATAACATATATATATATATTAATAATAAATTTAGTTCCTTTTGAAATTTTTATTGTAATATTAGAATTAGCAAATATCATACAAATATCATTACGTAATTATATTTGTGAAATTAATGAGATGTTACCTATGTTATTGTTAAATCAATTATTAATACATTGAATATTATATATATATTATCTTAAATGAATGAAAAATTGTCAAGATGGCTAAATTATTTTATAGAATTGTATTTGAAAAACGAAGAATAGCAGATTGTTTTTCCTAGCATTTTAATATTGATTCTAAGATTTCAATAAGCATTTCAAACCCTGAGCTATATTTATGGAAAGAACGCTCACTCTTATTTAAGTTTGATATCGATGTTTGCCAGACCATAAGTGTATTTGCCAAGCAGTGATATAGCATAGTATGTAATATCAATTATTTGCCTATTTTACCTGCTAAATATTGTATCAACTATCTCTCATTTTAAATACATAAAAGTATATGGATAACTATTAAGGAGTGGTTTGCTGAATTTCTTCTTTGAGTATTCAACTGGAATAATTAAAATGTTTACACATATACTATTATTGTTAATTTCAATAACTGAAACATTAATTCTTTAGGGTACTTTAAATGCTTAAACTATAAACTTCCAACATACTAGATATACAATTTTGGATTTTATTATCCAAAGTTTAAACTACACTATTATGATTTTTTATTCTTATGAATTATCAAATTAATCAATTATATTTTTAGCTTTTGCTATAAATTTACTAAGAGCGATCAATTAACTATATTATTCTCCTTTAAAAAATTTAAACACTAAATGTATGTTATTAACTATTTACATTTATAATCTATATTAAGGATTCATGTGGATTTTTTCTATACAAAGAGATTTCATCTCAGAACTTGTATTGATACCTTTAATTTATAATGTGTTTTATTTAACATATATGAAGATATTTAAATAATGTATATTATTAAAAAATAATGGAGTTTGTGATATGTTATCAATACTGGTTTTTTTGGATAATATTAAAGAATTAAAAACAATAAAAATACAGACACCAAAAAATTCAAAGGATAAAATTATATATTGTTCTTTATTAATGATGCAAGGTCACAATTATGAAGCCTTTTGTGAATTAATAACAATTAATGATTAAGAATTGAATATTTTAGAAAAGTTTAAAAAAAAAGTGATTAAGAAATTATGTATAAATAAAATAGACATTAATATTTAAGTTTAATCAGAAATGTAGCATAGATTATCTATAACTGTTGCTTCATTAATAGCAAGTGAATAATAAAATTCTATAATTTATGATGATGTTATATAAATACTAAAAGAAAAGATACGAATCCTATTATTATTAGCATAAAGTTAAACCTCTTATCATTACTCTTAATATTTCAGTTTCACTTCAAAACTATTAGATCTTCAAAAAAGATTGGAAATATAATATAGAAACTATGCATGTTCTAAAACACAATGTATTTTGGGGTTTTTTTATGTTGAAGTCATTAATGATTATTTAGCAGCAAATTCATTATTTAGTGTAATGTCTATATCAGATGAAAAAGTAAGGAGAATCAATATTAATCAAGATGTTTTTTCTAATAAAATGGTATTCATAATTACTACATTCAAAGAGAATTTAATAATTAAAAAATTATCAAGTGATGCTCCTAAATTTTTTAATAAATCTATAGATTCCTTATAAGGTTAAAGTGCAAATATACTTATACCACCTGGTATTTCTGAACATCATGATTAATTTATCCTTGAATTCTTATCAACAGGATAAGCTAAATATATGAGAGTCATAAATTCTAATTATTATTATTCAACAGAATAGAATTATATGACAAATATCGAATTTGCATTTGATGTTAATTTATAAAACGATTTCAGTTTTATATCCTTTATTTAACCTGTCATTAATTAGCCCATGTCTTTAATTATAAATAATGAGCATATTATAACTTGTATTAGCGAAGGACTCATCCAATATTTAGAATTAAAATATTCAATTACAAAATATCTTGGAAATAAAATCTAAGAAATTTTACCAGAATTTTAATCACCAAATCAGAACTATTAAATTATTGAAAATGCAGAAGCAATCTTTTAAAAGAATAGTGAAGATGAGGGATTATTTTAGTAAATTTAAGAGTCATACATAACAACTTATAATATATATCACAAAAAATACAAAGAATAAATAATTTATTATATAATTACATTTGAATTTTTTAAAAAGAATTTGGGATAAAGTTCTATGATTTATTCTAAGATGAGTCCTATTAATTCATTTAGAAAAGATTAATTGATTTAATCATGTTTCAATTTAATTAATTAAGAGAGTTTTGTTAAAATCCCATATAATGAATAGAATAGTTAATAAAAGATTTTAAATTAATAAGATGCCCGAAGATTATTTTAAATTGAAGATATTTCTGAATAACCAATAATTACTAATGAAATTAAATTAATTTCTTAATCAGAGAATTTTAATTTAATTAGTCCAAATAGTAAAGTTGAAATGTTAACATATGATTAAGTCAAGGTTTCAAAACAGAAATTAAATAAGCATAATGTTAGAATATCTATAGCTGAAGAATAATCAAGTTAAGAAAGAGTTGTTGCCTATTAAGATGATCGATCCTCATAAGTCTCAAGTTTATTAGGTGTAAGAAAATCTAAATTTTATAAAAAATATGAAATAGTTTAAAAAATTACAAATTTATAAAGTTTTTCCAAAAACCATCAAATTTTAATCACACTATTTGTATTTAGCATACTTATTTAATTTGCAGTCTAAATTTTAGTAATTATTATATATAATTTTAGTAACTAATTTAATTAAATATAAATTTAACAAATTTAGTATCAGATATAGATTTAAATAAAATATTACGTTTTTTAACCACTTGAAACATTTTTATTGACTAGATACACTATTGTAAGTTATAGTTAGTAAAGAGATTCAAAAGCAATTACTTTAGCTTAATTCAATGAACTCATTAAATTTCCAAGATCTAATCTTGTACTTGGTTATGATTCTTTAGATTAAAATCTTAAATAAGTGATGAACCGTCCTGAATTATAAGATTTTCTAGAAAATACGTATTTGGATATCTATATTTATATTAAATCTGGTATTGGTGAAAAATATAATATTTCATTGAGGAATAGTATAAGTATTTTAAAGAATTATTAATACACTTCTAAAATGGCATATGTGATTGATGGAGTAGCTTAAGCAGATAGTCCATATTCATATTATTAATACAAAAATTATTTGCCTTTAAAGACATTGTTTTCTGAGTTAAATCAAATAGTTTAAGAATAAACTATAGAGAGATCATATAATTTATAAAGACAAATTTTAATAATCTTATTTACTTGTATTTTTCTACTTTTCATATTCTAAATTGAAATTTTCATTTATTATATTAGAATAACTAAGAGAGTAAATAGACATTTTTAATTGTTACACAATATTCCTGGTTAATATATAGATTATGAAATTTTAAGGATTAAATATCTTGTTGAAAGATTATTTAAAGATTAGAATATTCTTTTTAAATATTAATTTAATTTGAGTGAAAAAGAAAAATTATTAGAATAATATAATGGTAAAGTATTGGCTATAAGAAGAAGCAATCAAAAATTAAATTCTATCAATTGTAATGAAATTCGATATTACTTATTTATGATTTTAATCATGCTAATCATGGCTGGAAATTCTCTACTTACCTTTTTAGAAGGATGGAATTATCTGGATAAATATCCTGCCACTGCTAAATTTTATAGAGCAGTCTCAGATGTAGGAACAGATATTCCAACTATGTATGCATAAAGGGATATTCTCTATGGAAGAGCTAATTTAAGATTATATACAGAATAGGATTGCTAAGATTTGTTGAATGAAGTTAAATTTGCAGTTAATAGAACATCCTCTTTTATAGATAGAAGCATATAATTTGATAAGTATTAAAATCAATTATTTTTAGATATCTAGTGTCATCTACATTTGAAGATTTATATTAGTCTATTTAAACTCATGATTTATGTGATTTCTTACCTGATGATTTGAAATAAAAGTCTGTAACACTTTGTCCTATAGTTATGAATTAGAATATGAAAATGGGTTTAAAAGCAGTTTTGGTTTATATAATAAATTTCATTACTACTGATATGGAAATTAATTAATTCAAAAATAGAACTTCTTAAAACTTTCTTGAATTAGAAGGTGCCTTTTTAGTTTCTAATATTATAGGATCTATCAATTAGTTATTTAATAAAGATTTAACATAATAAACTGAAAAAATTATCTCTTAGATTAATGTATTTATTTTTATATTATATTTTTAGTTACATAACATTTTTATTTTATCTGTTCTTTGTTTATTCATACTATTTATCCTAACTGTATTTAAGTAAAAGTTAATTTCAAAATACTTAATTGTTTAAAGATTTGTCTATATATTACCTGTTTATCATTTATTTTTAGACAATGTTTTTGAAAGGAATTTAAGACAACTAGTATAATAAAATTGATTTTATATATAGTTTCTTACTGAATTTTATTAATTATAAAAATAACCATATCTTTAAATACATATAAATAAATTTCAATATCTAAACAATTAAAGAATATTCTTCATGTAGTTGGTTGAAATTAACTAAAATGTTATTGCATTGCTTTGATTTATGATATAGTAATGTCTAATCTTTATTTTAAGTTGGTTTGTCTTTAAGCTTAAGGAGATTGTAATTAAGGAGGAGACCAAAACTTTTTTCCACTTTAATTAAAATTTTATTTTGTATTTAATAAATTGTAGGTTGATCTAAAGTCACTAACTGACGTATCCTTCATTGATGAATCTTCAGTGAATTCTATTTAATTATTTTAGAATCTTTTTGAGGAAGCTTCTGTTTAATTAGTCTTTTAATTTGTTAGAGTATGTTTTGAACATTTTCTTGAGAGATCTCTTAACTAGTAAAAAAATTTATTGTTCTAGACTTCTTTTTAAGGTTATTTATGTTCCCTAATTTGAATATATATATTACTTTAAGCATATTTATAATTTTTCAATTTTAAATTGATTTTGAGAATTAATTTTGCTTTCATTTTCATTTTTATTAATTTACTCTTATAATTTTAGTTATAATTGATTGATTTCTTTTTATTTATTCTCCACTTAATCTTATAATATAGTAGTGTGATCAATAGCTAATTTTAATTAATATTATAAAGTAGCAACTTGTTTCTCTAAAATCTATTTTTTTTTGATAAATTTATACTTAGTTTTTATAGATTTCTTCAGTTAACCTTTCTGATGAACATATAGCTTTAATTTAAGTATTATTAGATAAATCATCACTTGTTTTGTCAATAATAGATAATCTAGAGAGAGTAGTTGATTAGTCAATTAGATTTTATTCCATCTTAAATTTAGTGTAAAAATCTTTTGATAGATACTAAGAAATATCTTTAGATTAAAGGAAATTTGACTTTGATATATTCAATGAATCATTTTAAATGTCCATATTTGCTAATCCTTTTCTCTATAATTAAAAATAATAATAATAATTGATTTAAAAACTTGAGTTATTCTATCGGAATAACTACTACTGAATAAAGGTATTTTAAAAAGAGAAAACAGGGATTTTTTAGGAGAAGATATATTTTGAAAAATTATAATTTATAGGTGTTGATGAAAGCTTTGTCACTTCTTTGAGTGCACGCACTGCTTTTTCAACCCCTCATTACTGTATATATCAGTATGAAGGGTTTGTTTCACTACTACTACTAATGCTAAGGCCTTTCCTACTACTCATTTGGATCATATTATTAGAAAGTTTTCTAAATAATTCCCTCACATTGATTATTAATAGTATTAATTTCATTATTGTTATTATTTTAAATAACATTGATTTTATTAACTGTATTTATTTTAACATCCACATTATTTACTATTTTCATATCAATCTGAGATGCTAAAATTAAATAAATACTTAACATAAATGCAACGACGAAATACTAATAATATCTGGATTTATAATAGGTTCAAGTATAATTGTATTTTCTTAATTATCAGTTTTTTAATAATTATTACCTATTATGCCATTATCTGGACCCTCATTATCCGGATAATTTTTAGATTAATTTAATTATGTCATTGTACTATTGGACCCTCCTTACCCTTAATCTTTAACAACACTCCCTCTACTTATTTGCTTTCTCATCAGTTTACGAAGTTTTCGTTTTAAGATTCTCAATTTTTTTGTTTACCTAATAAAAGTAAATTTTATTAAATTTGTTACTTTGAAATATCAGACTCTTAAACAGTCTAAATGAACAAGCTAGTAGTGTTATAATGAGTTTAAAACATTTAAGCGAAAATCTATTTTTCTTCTTCCAATTCTTATTATTCCAATTCTTCATCGTAATAGGTTTCGATATATTTTAATGAAGTTTATGAAAAGAATGAAGAATTGTTAGCTGATGAGTTGTTAAATGACATTTTATTTGATATGATGAAATTTTTGTTTTAATTAATATCCCAAAAGTTATATCTAAAAACTCAAAAACACAATATGAAAATCTTATAATCAATTATAAAATCCTATTTAAATTTAAAAGAATTGAAAACTGCTTATCAAATGAAGAGCTTATGTTTATAAAAATCTAATTTTAATTCTAAATTCATTAAATAAGGATGTCTTAACATTCACATGATACAATTGAATTATTCCATTTTTAAAGTAGAACTATTTAAATTGCTCCTATCCATTGATATTGTTATATTTAATTTTATTCTTAAAAACAATATAAAAAATTAACATAAAATTAATATCAAATTTAGGGTTCTTGGTAATGATTCTCTAAATTTATTAATTTTTTCTATAGTTGAGGTAATTTAATATAATAGTTGATTAAACATTCTTTAGATTTTTCTAATTTCATTTAGAAGGTGTTATAATTACTTTCAACTAGAATATCTATTCCTAAACATTCTCTAACCTATTCTCTAGATCTTGAATAAAGATCATTCTCAATTTAAGATTTAAAAATAATATCAGATATATTTTAACTATTTATTTGTAAGAAATCCTTCATATTGATATTATTTTGTAATTTATTCTATTTTTAAATGCAATAAAAAAGTTCCATTAAACTATGTTAATCTTTATTTACTTATAGGAATTCATCTTATGATTAACTTAAATTAAAATTAGTTTAAATTGAATTGATTTACTTTTAAATTCTAAAAGCTTGAATCTAAAAGTGAAAATTTGCATTTTATTGGAATTCCTAATTAAATTTCTAACACACAAATCTACAATTCATTATATCCTATAATTAACAATATGACAATATAGATTTAAAAAACAAATTTCCTAAATCAGAAATCTTGTTTAGATAATTTTATTTAGCTTTCATTTTTAATAGTAATTGATTTAAAAACTTAGTTTATTTTTAGATTTTCATAAGTATTTAATCTTTATTATGAGCATCACAAATTACTTTATAATTTGAACTAGTAGAAAATTCAAAAAGATTTTTTATATATTCTTTTAAATTATCGTATTCTTTTGAATCAATTAGATTATTTTTAGTAAATTTTATAGAACTTATGTTTTTTATCATTCTTCTATCTTTCTCAACGAAACCATACCAATTTAAAGGATAATTCTGAATTTAATTAGTTACAGTTTATAAAATGTCATATTTTGACAAAAATTCATTTCTTTTACTATTTTAAGATTTAACTTAAGTATTTAAATCTATAATTAAAGTTAAATAGGATAGAAGTTGATTGGGAATTTTATTAATTTTTCCACTATATTACATCAATTTTTTTAATGAATTACAAACATTTCTTAAATTAGGAATTTTAGGTTCTTAAAAATCTCTGATATTTAGTGATTCAATGTATTTAGTTCTTTATATTTTATAATAGAATAAATATTCTATATTAGTTTCTATTAAATAGTTAGTGAAAACACTCACTAATCTTAATTACTTTATATCTTGAGTAGATAAAAATTACATAATATTTCTAAAAACTATTTGAGAAACAAAACGTTTAAAAAGATTTTTCTCTTTATAGACTTTTATTTATTTTAAAATTTTTGTATTTTACTTTTATTTGATTTCATTAGCATTTACATTTACTTTTAAATTTTTTTTTGGCAATTATAATACTTATAATTACTACACTACATCATTAAATTAATCGAAAGCCATTTTTAATTATTCTTATGTTTTCTATTACTTTTCTCTTAATTCTTAGAGTTAATACTAAAGAGATATATTATCTGAGTTCATTTTTATAATTATTATTAAAAATTATACAAACTTTTATATAAATAAGGTTGAAATTCTGATCAAATCTATTAGGTCAAACAAATAATAATGTTGTTATTTAATGAGATAATTATGCTTATTTATTTGAAAACCATAACATTTCTAAATTTTTATACAGTTATTTCTATTAATTGATATAACAATTCAATTTAAATGATCAAAATAGTATTATTTAATTATTTGCCCTCATATACAATTTGAAGATTAGTTATAGATATTTAGATTTAGAGTTTATCTCTCAAATGGAAAAATACAGCATTTTGTACTTGAAATACAAGAAATAACAAAAAAAATATTGAAGGATTATTAGAAATTTGAAAAAATATATTGAATTTATAAGATTTTTTATAGAATAATATATAATTAAACCTTTAAGGTGTAATTTTTATAGAATTTAAGACAAGAAGTCAATAATTCAATGTAAAATATTCAATAAAAGATATGAATTCATTTAAATTTGCTTGATATGGTAATATCAATTCACAAACAATTAATTATTATTACTACAAATCATATGGGGGTGTGCTCATCAAAAAAACACCACTATCCTCTTCAGAGAAGCTAACCTTAGAGAAATATTGAAATCGACTTTGTCAAATTGTTGGAGTATAATCGTAAAAAGGAAGTCAAGGATAATTAGAACAATTAACAACAACAGTCATTCTGTTAGATTTTCTTACAAGAAAATAAAAATTCTAATCCTCAAACCTTTACATAAAACTTAGCTCCAACAGCATAGTTAGACTACAAGAAAATATGATTCTATTCTTGGTTAAGCATTGAAACTCTTTGAGTGATGAATTTGTTTAATAAACTGAATTATTAATAATATTGCTCCTGTTCTCTATTCTATTTTAATGCTTCCTGATACTCAAAAAGTTTCATATTTACTGTATTTAATTTTGAAAACAATCCAAATTAATCAATTAATAATATATATACTCATTAATCTAAATCAAAGAATATTTTTATATTCTGATATTTACAAAGAATTTAAATATGTAATTTAAAGCTCTTAAAAACTAATTGTTTAAGGTTTCAATCAATTTTTATTAGAAGCTTTTAATTATTAATACTAAATTCAACAACTAATTTTGATGACTTAAGTTTAATTTAAAATTTCTTTTTTAAATTTCAACCTTTAAATTCTATGCTATTCAATCACATAGAATATAAGAATAATCTGAATCCTAACAAATTATTTTAATCTTTGGGTATATGCTCTAAAAAATAATTTTTAGAGTTTAATAAATATATAATTCCATTATTTTTTTCACTTTTAAATCTTTGAATTATTTTCATCATATATATTCAATAATTATCAGTTTTTTTGAGAATAAAATTACTTAAAAATAATACACACCTTAATTATAATTCAAAATTCTTTATTGATTTTGAGCTTATTAAAAATATTAAATTTAAGTACAACCTTTAGAATAAACTATATATAAATTGATTTTTATCTAACTATTAAATGAGACATTAATTTCCTATTTTATTTCCTTTTTGATAATATTATATTTTTTTAATGTGTCTTCTTTCTTATACAGCTTTGATTAATTCTACTTAATTAGATGATATTTTGTGATCATAAACTACAATTTGAAGTTATTAATTAGCTAATCAATCATATAACTTTATTATTAGATTAAGAAGATCGCCAATTTAACATTATGAAATCTAAAGACTTAATTTTAAACTCGTTTTATGTTGAGGAACTTAAAAATCATTAATAAACAATAGTCTAAATGGTATGACTTCATTTTTCATAATTGTTTATTAAAAGATTAATGTTTAAGTAAATTTATTTATAAATCATTTCATTCATTTATTAATTGATTTTTTTTGTTTAAAAAAATCTTTCATTAGAGGACTTATCTTAAAAAGAAATTGTAATCCATTTTTAGCTTCCATTTTTTTTGAATATATTATTGATATCTCAAAAATAAATATTATTGATTGCTTTTAACTTTATTGCAAAGTATTAATTGTTTTAAAGACCTTTTATGAATTGGTTTATGATAAGATGAAATGAATACAACATTATTGATTAATTTTCTTAACATATTTATTCATGATAATGTATATTTCACCATTCAAGGAAGGGATCATCAGCTGGCTTAAGTGCAGGACTCTAGGTATCAGATTCTGGATAGGATGAGAAATTTGATGTATCATTTGCAGCTCTAATTAATAAATATTAAAAATTTTACTTAACAACAGGTTTATATGGGACTGGTAATTTCTTTTAGGTTAACAAGTTCCAATCTAGATTACCAAACCATCTATGATTCTTGATATCAGCAGCTCCTATAAATATATATATCGAAGAGGATTACCATTTTTTAAGTTTCCATATCTTTTTGATAAATCTGCAACTAATAAATGTTTGACTAAGGATTTTGCATTTCTAAAATAGGAATATAGAAGTGTACTTATCAAAAGACTTAGGAAATTTAACTTTGCCCTTAAGAATCTTTTAATAAATAGCCATAGGATCTTCATCAGAAAAAGGATCAATTCCTGCATTCATTTCATAGATTAATATTCCCAAAGTCCACCAATCAACAGCTTTACCATGTCCTTTATTTAATAAAATTTCTGGGGCCAAATATTCAGGAGTACCACATAAAGTATAAGTTCTTCCTTCAACAACTTTAGCAAATCCAAAATCTGTTAACTTTAGGTATCCATCATCTGCAATCAACAAATTTTCTGGTTTTAAATCTCTATAGACAATATTTTTGGAATGAAGATATTCAAAAATTGAAGCAACTTATGAAGCATAAAATCTATAATAGAGATAATATAATATATTTTTACGCAGCATGTTAAGTATCAAGTCTTCCAATGCTTCTCAAATAAGTAAATAATTCACCTCCTGATACAAACTCTAATACTAAATATAAGTATCTTGGATCTTGACAAAATCCCTCAAAATTGACCTATTATAAAGTAATTAAGTCAATTTACAATAAAAGGATGGGATAAGTTACCCAATATAGTATTTTCATTAATAACATGATCAACTTATTTTAATCTAATGATTTCAGCTTTCTTTAAACTTTTCAAAGCAACATATTTATTTGTTTATTTGTTTCTAGCCAATTTAACTCGTCCAAATGATCCTAAAATTTTGAATTTCAATTCAATTACCTGTTCCTAGTGTTTGAAACACTTCATAATCTGTCAATTTCAACTTCTTTGGTTTTGCCAATCCTGTACTCATCTTTCTTAAGATTTATGAAATAAATAAAATATATAGATATAAATTAATAGTATACGCCTAAGAACTTTATTCAATAACATATATTATGAGTAAAATTTAATGATTACATTGACATCATTTGAATAAATAGTAGTTTTGAGAATTTTAAAGACAAATTAGAAATACAGTTTTCTAAAATTGAACCAATAAATTCATTATTAATGATTAAGTTTAATGGGACAATATAAAATATGTCTTAAAGAATGTTTGTATATAAAAATCTTATATAATTATTGGATTTGTAAATATTAGATATTTATACATCCTTAATAATATTTAACAAATATCAACCATCTCTTTAATCTCCAAATGTTTCTTGAGGTTCTTCCTCTCCTTAACGTCCTGATTATTATTATTTTTTTTTTATTCCAGAAACAACATCATCAATTCTTAATAACATACATGCAGATTCAATGGCAGTTTTAAAAACTTATCTATATTAAATATCTCTATTTAACTTACTTTTTAACTGAAAGTGGTTCCCAAACATTAATATCATTCATCTTAGCAATCTTTCCAGTGTTTCCATCAACTCCAAAATAAAGTCCACCAGTTTCACTGTGTTTTGCTCTTAATTCAGTCAACACTCTAACTGTGTCAGCTCCACAATTAGCTGAAAGTGTTCTTGGAATGATTTCTAAGGCATAGGCAACTAAAATATGATTAATTAAATATACCTGATTTATAAGGTAATTAACCTAATCCTTCTACTTTATTAGCTTTCTCTAACAATCTAGCACTAACTTCCATTTCAACTGCTCCACCTCCTGGTAATAGTTTTGGATCTTAATATATATTCTTAGCCACTGCTAAACAATCATGTAAATTTCTTTCCTATTTAAATAATACATAATATAATATACCATTTCATTTAGAACATCTTTTGAAGCTCCTCTCAATATGATAGAACAAGCAGTAGGATTTTAACAATCAACAAAGAAAGCAAAATAATCATCTCCTATTTTTTTGACTTCAAATGTTCCACATAATGTACCAATATCAGTTTCTTATATTTCTTCTGGTCTATTGACAATTGTTGCTCCAGATACTCTTGCTATTCTAGTATTATCTGTTTTTCTGACTCTTCTAATCACAGAAACATTGCCTTTTAATAAGAAATGTTAAGCCAAATCAGATACTCCCTTTTCTGTAATAACAATATCAGGTTTATGTTTTAATATATCATTACACATTAATGCAACTTCATTAATTTCTTATTAAAGTGCATCAGTCATATCTGATTCTTTTGTCATTTCCATATTAGTCATAGATTCTCCCTTTTTGTATTCTAATGTACAATCTAATAAAATGATTCTTGGATTTTTAATTTCTCTTCTCATTCTTGGATGAGTAACATCTTTATTAATCATGACTCCTTCAAGAACACAACTTTCTTCAAGTGTTCCACCAGGAATTTTCTCTACTTTTGCATATCTCTTGATTTCCAAATTCAATTTATTAACATTTCCACCTCTTAAAACAATTCTTGTAGCTTATAAAGAAAGATCACTTATTAATGTTCCCCATCTGAATGCAAATTTAGTACCTATACAAGATTACAAAGCTTTCATAACTTCTTCTTTTTTTTCAGTGTCAATCTATTATGCAATTTCATCCAATATTGAAAGTGAATCTTCTAAAGCCTTAAAATAACCATTAACAATTTCAGTAGGATGAATATTCTTTTCTATGAATGGTCTAGCTGCAACCATCATTTCACCTGCCAAAATTATAACTGATGTAGTTCCATCTCCAACTTCTTCATCTTAAGCCTTTTAATTATAAAAAGTTAATAATACTCTTGCTAATTCAATCATACTCTTAGCTGCTGGATGTTGAACATCAATTTCCCTTAGAATAGCATTTCCATCATTTGTCATTACTATTCCTCCCATTGGATCTAATAACATTTTTAACATCGAACGAGGACCAAGAGTAGTTAGGACTATATCTGATACAGCCTTAGCTGCTTATATATTTCCCAATTAAGCCTTTCTTCCTTATTCTCTTTTTGTATTAGCATTCACAACAATCACTGGAGCTCCTTACATATATTTTTAAATATAAAAACTTTTAATGGATTTTATTATTTTCTTTTATATTTATTAATGTTTATATTCATTATTATAATATAAATCATTATCAATTTCAAAAAATAATTAATTCAATTTTATTAGATCTGCATTTATAAGTCTTATTCATATCATTTAATTTATTTAAAATAAAATTTTGTGATCTACTTTAAAATATCTATAAGTTTATAGAATTAGAAATAATAAATGAATATAGAATACTCCCTATAAAATATTATACTAATCATAGTTGAATTAATTATTGTTCATTTACATTTAGATATTCTTAAGTTATAATCACAATATTACTATTCTAATAACAATAGAAATAATAAAAAAAATATAATTAATTTATTATGTATATATAATTTATATACAATTTATTTTATTAATAAAGGACTTATTCTATTTTGAACTCTATAAATATTGATAAAAATTATGCTTCAAATGATTAAATGCATTTTAATAACTTCAACAATGTACATCACATATGCAGAAATGATTTACCCCATATTAAATAAAGCTTATAAAACATAATGGGAAGATAATGTGTGGATAAATTGTGAGACCAAATCTGATATTTAACCTAAAAAATGTTATGAAGGAGAATTAGATTGGTAAGAATGCTATGAAGTTCCAAAAGAGGGTATTTGTTTAGCTAANTTTTTTCTCAGTGTCAATCTATTATGCAATTTCATCCAATATTGAAAGTGAATCTTCTAAAGCCTTAAAATAACCATTAACAATTTCAGTTGGATGAATATTCTTTTCTATAAATGGTCTAGCTGCAACCATCATTTCACCTGCCAAAATTATAACTGATGTTGTTCCATCTCCAACTTCTTCATCTTGAGCCTATAAATTATAATAACTCAATAATACTCTTGCTAATTCAATCATACTCTTTGCTGCTGGATGTTGAACATCAATCTCTCTTAAAATTGCATTACCATCATTAGTCATTACTATTCCTCCCATTGGATCTAATAACATTTTTAACATTGAACGAGGACCAAGAGTAGTAAGGACTATATCTGATACAGCCTTAGCTGCTTATATATTTCCCAATTAAGCCTTTCTTCCTTATTCTCTTTTTGTATTAGCATTCACAACAATCACTGGAGCTCCTTACATATTTTTTAAATATAAAAACTTTTAATGGATTTAATTATTTTCTTTTATATTTAATCATTAGTATAAGTATAAATATTATACGATTTCATTTCCAAAAAAAATCTATAATAAATCATCAAATCTGCTTAACTAATTCTAATAAACTATTCAAAGAGTTAATTATATCAATATTCCATTTAATTGATTGCTTATCCACTTTAGCCTTTGAAAAATCTATTAGTCTGATTTTTAAGTCATCTTCTGAATCAGAAATGATTAATAGACTTGTTCCTTACCATGAGATCACTTCTTTACACTTTTATGTTATAAAACATTTAAGATTTTCAATTTGTTCGGTCAAATTTATAATCATTTCTAAAAATATCATAATTATATAACTTACAATTCTTTTTTTAAATATTAAAAAATGTTTTCAACTCCTCTGTCAATTCATCAATAGAAATACGTCTCCCCCAATGCTTATCTCTAAAAACAATAATTTTATTGTTTTCTTGAACTTTCATACCACAAATTCGTAAACCAACTTTTGAAGAGGTTGATTCTTAATAACGTATTATATGTGATTGCTTTTCAACTGTAAACCCCAATTTGATATCTAAAATTCGAAGGTTCTTTTAGTTTTATATTAAATTTTCTAGAAGTAAGTATTCTTAAAGTTAAAGAACACTATTTACTTTTATTATTAGGATTAAACCTTTTAGCAATAAGAGAATCCATCCATTTTTATTATCGTTAATCTACTTTTGGCTTTTCAATTACTTTATTTTCTTCCAAAGTAATGACACCATTATATTAAGAGAAGAAATCCTAATATCCTTGGATATGTTGTACCCATTCATAAAAACTTATATTATACTTGAATACATACATTTATTCATTGTTATTTTCTGTTGAACATGACTTTGCTACAAATTTACCATCATTAAGTTTAATAAATATAGAATGTCCAGATATTTGTTGTTCAAAAAATGATTGCTATAATTCTTATTCAAAATTCATTTTATAATTAAATACTAATTTAATCAAGTTAGCATATTTTTATACTAAATTTTTCAACAAATATTCCCCTATTATATTATAAGTTGGATAATGGAATAGATCAAAAAAGAAATTACTTCTTTCAATTGATAATAAATATTTTTAATATAATTTAGAATTCTAATGTATCTTTTAATTTATCATTAACAATACATTCTAAGTTAAGATTATTGAAATATTATGAAGAATATAATTTTTAACTAATCTAAAAATAGTTTGATACTGTTATTTTTAATTCACATAGAATCACAGCAATCTTATTTAAAATAGGTTATTGAAATTAGTTAATAAGCTTATTAATTCTTTATAATTAATTTTTCATAATATTAACAAAAATCACTAAAAAAACTAAAACATGATTTAAACAAAGTTCAAAATATTAAATATTATGAAGGAACTTTTAGTAATTATAATTATTTAAAATTAATTAAAGAGACTTTTCAATTGATAGCTTAATTTCTAATATGGGATAGGAAAACCACAGATAATTGTTCAATACATAATAATAATAATATATTAAATTCATTTTATATAAGCAAATCAACATATATGTATTAATTATAATATAGAAGCATATTTTATACATTTTGCATTCTGTATTTACATAAATCCATATATTATAGAATGATTAATTATAGAATAATTATTATTTTGATTTAATCATGTGTCTTCCAGTTAGTTGTTTGAAATGCATAGTGGAATTTGAAGCAATTCTCATATTGATAGGAGGATTGGGTAGTTTTGGGTTTACGATATACTTATAGATTGAATATAACATAGAAAAATAAGATGATGTAAATATTAAACTGATTTAAAGACAAATTAATTAGGACCAGGTACTATAGTTACTTTTTGGATAATCTCTTCTTCCATGATTCTAAATGGAATAATAGGAATATTGGGAGGAAAGAAAAAAAGTGCTTGTCTATTGTTATTATTCAATTTGGTTAATATTGGATTATTACTTGGATTTATTGCTCTTATGATTTTAGGATATGTGTTGGCAAATAGAATAGAAAAGAATGATATCAATGATTATTGTTCTTCAACTACTCCTTTATAATAGACTTAGAATTTAGGATAAAATCTTTTATGTTCCTCTGATTGTGAATGCTATATTGAGAAACCAATTAATCTTCCCCTCTCTTATGTTAATTATTCAACAACAGATACATCATAAGTATAAATATAGTTTAATATATATAGGCAACTAAAGTTTAAGATTGTTAATACTATAGTGATAACTGGAATGATACTTAGAAGAATTAAGCTTATTTTTTTTTAAATATTGAAAAAAAATATGATTGCTCTGGTTGGTGCAATCCATTTTCTTTATAAATATTTTATGATATCAATAACAATTTTGATTAATCTGTAAATATTTATCAATAAATTAGAATGATCAATGCTTATATTCAGCTCAATTATAATTAAAAGATACATGTTAAATAATAGGTGATATTTCAGCTGGAATGGCTGGATTAATGGGATTAATGGTAATATTTACTTTTTGTCTATGTTGTCATCCAACTAAAAAAGATTAAGATTATTATTAAAAATTAGCATATTATGATTCATGATATATTTAAAAGATTATATAATTTGTAATTGAACAATAAATTTTAATTAATTTATTTGATTTATTTTTCTTTAATAAATAAAAGATAATCAAATTATCCTCTTTGTATTCTTATTATTAAATTAAAATATGAATTAACAATATTAAATCTAATTTTGTGATATCCAATAGAATCTAAAAGTTATACTAATTATTATATAATTAATAGCTATATTTTTGTAAATTAATGATTCTCCATATATTAATCTATATTTTTAGACTTATCTATGTTATTTTCTTAAATATAAAATACATTAATCTATGATTTTGATTTCCTAAACTATAAAGTTTACAAAAGATTAGTTCTCTAGATAACCAAAGTATTTAGTTAATATAATTCTATCATATAATATTAGTATATTTATTACTAAAAGTTAAGAATAAAAATGTTATTTAAATATAAAACAAAAATATTAGTAATTTAATATTAAACATGATAATATATATAACCTTTTATGTCTAAATTATCATCATAATTTTAATCAATATGAATATATATTATTAATATGTTATATAATTTTATTAAAATACTAATCATATTCCTTTTGACTATAATTGGATTAGGATTTCGGTTTCTCTTTTAAATTCCAATAGCATCAATTTTGAACTTACAAAGAAGAATAGTTAAAATATTCAATTCTTTTATTGAATTTCAATACAATATGCTAAGTGTTCTAAAAGGAGAACGTGTCCTTGTAATAGATTTTGGAGCATTATATAAAGCAATTGGTTTATGGAATGATGAAGATGAGGATGATGATGATAATTCTAACCTGATCACTAAGCATTATTGAATATATCAAAATAATAAATAAACTCATCTATTAAAATTTTAAATAATTCAATTATCATTATTATCTAGTATCAATTCTTTTTATAAATATTTGTTTATTGCTTAAAGACATCTTGGCCAAACATAACAAAATCTTCTTTTTCTAATTTATTATTTAACTAATTTTGAAATTATTAAAATTCTGATTCCCCATTTGATTATCTAGTAGTAGATTTTAAATCTAAATCATTTGCATTATACATATCTTATGTAAAGATTACACCATTATTATCTAATCTTTATATCCATGGTGCTTCTGGTTTATTTTCCACTAATAATAGCTAATCATAATTATTAATAATAATATACACTTATAGTTTCCAGTAGTTTAAGATCAAATTAAGGAAGCATTTCTGGTATTTCTATTTAAGGTAAACAAAATGATAATCTTGTTTAAAGATTTTATTTATATTTTTTTAAAGGAACTTTTATCATAGGATATATATTACACAATCTATTATCCTATGATAAAATAATAAGATTAGTTAATTAAGATAGTTCTGTTCTTAATTCAGTTTCTTCATTTTAATCATCTATTAATAATTCTAAAAATAATTAAAGTAAATTCTTTTATTCTTTCTCTTATAGATTATTTTTTAATTGTTTTAGATTTTCAATTGCCAAACTATTTTAACCTGAAAGTAATTAAAGTATAGATAGATTAAATTAGAATTCTAATTAATTGTAAACTCTATTAATATGTTTTTATTCAGTTTATTATTTGATTATAATATTATCAGATGTTTAATAGATTTAATAAGATTCAAGAAAAGAAATTAATGCAGTATCAAATTATTTTAAATAAAATTCAAATAAACTTCTATAAAATATAATATCTTATGTTTTGAAGATTTTACCTTCATTTCCATTTTTTAAGAATTAATTTAAACAATCTATACTATTAGATAATTAAATTTAACCACAATTTATTATTGAAGTTAATTTTAATTACTACAAAACATTCAAGTCAACAAAAGGTGAAATATCATTAGAATATTCAACTAATTTTTATAAATCTTATATTGCATTATTTAATTCCTTTATAGTAATAAATGTTTTTGCTCTCTAATATAAGGCTTATAAACATTTTTCAGAATTGATAATATTTGAATATGATTAGATTGCTTCTTCAAATGCTCCCATTTAATAAAATAGGTTTCCAATCAAAATTTAATCTTATACTTTTAAACAAGATTCTTGAAATTGTTATAAATCATAATAAGCATGATTAGTATCTTTTAGTATTAAAAATACCTTAGCTCTACATAAATAAACTTCAGAATATGATTCATCTAAATTAATAGCTATACTAAAATCATTTAATCCTTATTTATATTGTTATCTACAAACTTATACTAATCCACGAACATAAAATTATTTTGCCACATTTTCTTATGACTTATCAATTGCTTTGTTTATATCACTTAATGAATCATCCAATCTATTTAAAGAAAACAGAATGATTCCTCTACAAAAAAATAAATTAGAGTTTTCATTAATTTTTAAAGCTAAATTTAATAATCTTATAGCATCATTCAAAAATTTATTCTTTCTCTCTTAATCATCTTTTGGAATAAGTTAACAATAAAATTGCACTAAAGTTACTGCTCTATAAAAGTATGGTTCAATTTTATTTGGCATTAATTTTGAAGCCTTCACAAAATATCCTAATGATAATTCAAATTAATTAGAAATTGTAGACATAATCCCTTCAAGAATAAGTTTATTATAAATTGAAGGCTTTTCAAGTTAATCTAATGAATCAAGATCTTATAATGACTATTAATATTAAGATAGACAAAAATAACCATATGATCTGTATTATAATATTAATCTTTTTAAGAAATCTTCTATTTAATGATTAGATATTAATTCTGTTAATAAATTAACTCCTTCCTCAAATTTTGTTTTCATCAATAAAATAACACCCTCTGTAAACTATTTGATGTTTTCAATAAACCTTTTATCAATATCTAAATGTTCTGCTCTTCTTAATTAATATTAAGCTTCATAAAAGTCCTTTTATTAAATTAATCTTTTGGCTAATTCATATAATGACTTGGAAACAGCTTTTTTAGAATTATTATGTTTGATTGCTTATTCATATGCTAAGGTAGCTTCTTAAATTTCACCTAACTAGTTTTCAATAATTTACTTTTCTTTGTACATATAAAGCCTTTTAGATATAAAGCATCAGAATCTTAGTCATTAATTTCTATAACTTAACTGATATCTTTCATAGCTGATTCATAATCCTTCTATTCTAAATATAATAATGTTCTTTTGATCAAAGCAGATCTTTTAAATTAATCCTCTAATTTTATTCCTTAAGTATATGCTTATATGCTCATCTCTACATTATTCATCATCCTAAAACAATCACAATAACCAATATATCCAACAGCTTTATTTGGCTGTAATTCAATAGCTATCATAAAGTCTCCCAAAGCCTTATCAAATTTTTGAATCTTTATATACAATTTACCTCGAATAATATAAGCATCAAAGTATTTAGCAAAATGTTAAATACAAATAGTAAGCTAATGGTTAATATAAAAATAATACAATATTTAAAGATTCATTCATTAAATTTAATTTTTTAAATGCCATTGAAAGGATAATGTATGCCTTTTTATTGAAAAGAGGATGTTCTTAAATTAAGTGATTCAAATTCAAAATAACTTAAGAAAATTCTTATTAGTCAAAATATTATATTGCAATTTAAAATCTTATTTCAGGATCATCACAAGTCTGGATTACTTTCTCAAAATAATTTAAAGCTTCTTTTATTTTACCTTATCTAATCATTTTTTTTCCTTCAACAATCTTTTTAGAATTTTCAGTACATTATTTAATGTATTTTACTTAATTTAAATTACCTTGTTTATTGATACTATCCTTAAAAGAAATATTTGATAAATGATTGACATAATTCATAATATCCTCATTCTCTTTCTAATAACTATTGTCATCTAGAAAGAATAAACATTTTTATATACTATTATAATAACTTATAGAATGTTGCTTATTGGAATGGTTTTTTATGATTGTATATTAATTTTTGAAATTGACATTTTAGATAACATTAGATATATTATTTTTAGATTCCTATAAGAATGTTTTGGGTTGTTTCTAAATACAATAATGGAATACTTGAATCACTGATTTTACAAACTGTGAAATCTTGGATTTAGGAAACTCTTATTGTTATGTTTGGAAATGCATTGAATATGCCTTCTATAATAACTCTAAAAATTAATAATGTTTTGTTTATTGTACATTAAAATTAGTGTTGACTTTGTAATTTTAGGATTTGAGAATTTAAATAAGTATCTGTTGATCTTTATCTGTTTTGGAATCTAGTAGATGAGGTTTTCTATTGAGAATTTATCATTCTAATAGTTTCTAAATAATAAATTACCTTAATTTACTGTTAACTATAAATATAATTCAAAAATAATCCATTTAGAAGAAACAATTTTTTTGAATCTCAGAATTTACGAAAATAATTTTATAAAAAATAAAGTGATCATTTATCAAATTCTCTATCTTCCTTATATTCTTGTATTGCTTTATTTAAATCCCAATCTGCAACTTCTAAATAATACTTAGCTACTTTTTCACTATGATCAGTGGGATCCAGAATGTTTTTAAGCATATATTGCAACATAAATATTTTATGTAGAGAATTTTAATCCATTTCTTTTTATTAATTATCATATGAGGATTAATTTGGAATTATAATTGATTTGAGATAATAAATTTCATTTGTTGTGAGATTGTTAAATTTTCGAATAGATTCTGGAGTAATGTTATATTTTATAGCCAAACCTTGTAGAGTCTCACCTTTTATTTCATGTTCAAAATAATGATCTTTTTAGAACTATTATACTTATTCATCAGTTATTTCAGGAGTAGGTGTCTCTTACATTATAAAATAAATAATTAAAAAATAGATTAAAGTACTTTAATCCTCTTTAATTTGATTCTTCTAAAGATAAATTATGTCAATTTTATTAAAGATCTAAAATTTGATATACAAAGATAAGGTTTAAAAATTGAATATAATATGAAAGAAACTCATATTATTAATATATACTTAGAATATAATATGAGTTCAGTGAATACTATAGTTAAATTGATAAATGGATGTTGAATCACAAATAAGTATTGTTCAATAATATTAATATTGAATAAATATTTATTATAATAATTCTTATTTTTATATATAAATCTAACAGATCATAAATTTCTTATCACTTTTTTTCATTAATTTATTAGATTAGATTATGATCAAATTGATATTTAAATAGAATTTACAAACAATAAAATTTCTAAGTTTATATTTTATCATTTTTATTTTAATAATCAATCATCACCTGTGTTTTTGAAAGTAATAAAATTGATTAAATTATCTTTAATAGCACCTGGAAACAAGTTGTGTTTTACTTCATTATTATTACCTACTGAATAAAGAATTACTACTATCTTATTAATTGTTAAATATTATTAATTTACCTTTATTATCATATTTAACATGGCAGTTAGAATGACAATAGAATGTAAAAGGGAATCTATCTTGGTTTCTAAAATTTTGAATCTACTCCATTAATTGTGCCAATACAATGCATAGACAAAATCAATTATGAAAGAGAATAACAATAGATAAATGATCCTAGTATGAAACTATGTTAGAATGGAATAATTTGCACTTTCTCGAACTCCCATAAAAATATAGCAAATATAAAGAGAGGTAGATTGTAATCAGCTCTTCCAAATGAGCTAATAAGCGACGATAGAATTCCAAATATTAGCACTTTCTATACTAATTGCCACCTAAATGTCTTATTAAATAATATACTAGTTTGCTTCAGGCATCTTTTGATAATTTTTCTTAATATTAATATCTATAAAATTTGAATTACAATTAATTAACATCTTAAAAAACTATTAAACATAAAAAAATTGTCTAATTTTTAGTTTAATTTTATATTCAATCAAGATAAACTAATTACTAAATTTAGTTAAATCTAATTGATTGAAATTATAGCTCTAATATGTAATAATTAATTTATAGTAAAATAAATTTATAATCCAAGTATTTAAAATACTTTATATTATATTAGATTATAATTATTTTAGTGTTTTCATTTATATAAATAAAATAATGTGAAAATTCATATTAATATTTATTAATGATTGTGAAACAAAAAAAATAAGTCTTCTCATAATTAACTAAGAAGAAATTAAAGAGAATAAATGTTTTCAAAAAAAAGAATTTTAGATTCACCATAATAATCTGATAATTCTGAATAAGATCATAAAAATATCAGAATATATAGTTCTAGAAATATTTTAGTATTTAGGTTCATTAAGATATTAAATTAAGGTGTAAAAAAAGTTAGAAAATTTACTTTAATATATTAATAGTCATATTTAACTCAAAAAATGAATTAAGAATGATTGAAAGATTATGTCCAATTTATTAAAATCTTATTTTTTGTTGATTTTTAAGATGCTTCATCATATTTACTAAAGTGTAACATTGTAGCAAAATTAGAAAATCAATTCTTAATTTCTAAAGTGAGTTGAATAATCTTGCTCCAAAGTTTAGAGTTTTATAATTATTAGACAGAGTAGTTTATTATGAATTGATTTAAATTCATCCATTTTTACATAAATTACTAGACTATTCATCAAAATATTTTGAGATTATTGAAGGATTCTTTACTTTTCTACTAAAATGCCAAAATACATCAACAACATAAAAAAAATTATTACAATTTTAGTTGTTTAATAAATTATTTGAATTTAGTTTGTAAATTGGTGTGAATCTTTATTATTTAATGAGATTATATTAATAAAAATCTAAACAATAAAAATTCAAAAAAAATTAGTAACAGTTATTTATTCATTTCTTCATAATTTAAGTTTAGGAGATTGTGAGAATAAATTAATTTAATAAGGTATATAAACAGTATTATTTGAAAATATGTCTGATAAGATTGTATCTTAAATCAACTCTATTCAATATTAACTAATTTAATAACAGATAATTTTGATATTGTTATCAAAAGTGGCATTTTTGGAAGATGCTTTTAAATATGTGAAATAAGTTAATCAGAAATATAGAATATGGAGAATTCTTAAAATCTTTTACATAAAAGATTTGATAATGTATTTAATTGTAATTATTCTTATTTATTAATATTATATTCTCTATTTTCATATAAATTTTCTTTAGTGATTTATCAAATTGTAAATAAAATAATTTGATATAAGAATATATTTAAAATATTTCTTTTTAACATTTGTTTTTTATTTACAATAACTACTAGTTTTAAATAAGAATAATATTGTTACTTAAATGCTATTTTGAGATTGTGAATCTTATTTTTATGAAAAACTATAAATCAATCAGAATTATTAAATCAACATGGAAATAAGATAATAATTTTTTTAAAGAATTATGAAGTAAGTTATTTGGTATCTCAATATATAAATTTATTAAGATATATTTAATTTAGAATTTATATTAAAAAAATTAAATATTGTAAATAATCTTTAAAATTATTTTTCAAAAAATCTAACAATTAACTTAACAACTACATTTTTAATTTTATGGTTTATCAATTTGTTATTCTTAAATTTATTTTGATTGTTCTTATTATTTTTATTATTTTATTTATTATTTATTTTATAATATATTTTATTATTTATTTTATTATTTAGATTATTATTTATTTTATTGTTTAGATTATTTTTGATTATAATCTTAATCTTGATTATAATCTTTATCATAATCTTAATCATAATCTTAATTATCATCTTAATAATCATCTTAATTATCATCTTAATCTTAAGCTTAATCTTAAAAATCATCATAATCTTCAATTTGCTCATCTTAATTTTCACTATCAGATTGAGGATTCTAATTAATTTCTTAATTTTAAATATATTTTTGATTGTCATTTGCTGAAAGAACTTAAACTTATTCATTAAATATAATTCCTAAAACTAAATCATTTGATCCAAGATTAGCTAAAAAACCTTTCACAGCTTAACAAACTTTGTTACATTGATTAAGATATATCAAGATTGAATAACACAATATAATTGTTAATTTACACTTAGAAAATTGGTGATATCTATTATTATCTTAGAGAAATAGTTGCTTATTGATTTCCTATTACTAAGTTTCTTTATTCAACTCTAACTCCAATTTTCATTTATATTTTTTAAAATATATCATTAATTCCATTACTACTAATTGAATGATACTCAGCAGAATTTCCACTACATTTAAGTATAGCTTGCATTTCTTATTTAACAATGTAATTGTTTTCCACATTTACTCCTATGTAAAATGTTTATAGAATATTTTTTTAAAGTAATAATTATAATAAACTTTGATAATCTAGAAATTCTTTTAAGGATATTTTTGATCTATTGTCTTCCCCATCAGTAAGTATTACATGTACAAACTTATAATGGTCTTGAACATCAAATTTACAACATAAATTATATAGTTCTAACATTAATTTATTTCCTTCACAAACAGCATCTCTAAATGCAGTATATCCATTACAATTAACCATCGGTAACTATTAGTTTAATTTTGATTCAGAGGCAAATTCAAAGCCCAATAAACGCATCATAGTTGGTAAATCCATAAGAATGCAAAAATATTAATATTACTTTTAATGTGATGAAATATTGATTTATAAATAGAATATATTATTGAATATTATAATTTTATAATTAGTTAATTAATTTAAATAGTTCTAATTAATAATTAAATATAATTTTATAGTTCTTTAAAAATCTAAAAATAATAACATAATAATAAAAAATCAATATTCTATTTTTATAATATAATTATTTTAATTTAAAGATATAAATTATATGAATATTCTTCATAACATAATATAGATCATTTAAATAATAATTCTAATATATTTATTACTAAATAAATCAATAAACAACACATCTATCCCACCAACTTGGAAAAGAAGTTTTTGATTTAAAAATACGTATCTAAGATTAATATATATTATTTACACAAACTTTTCTTCCTTCATTCCAAAGAATCAAAACTATTCCAAAAGGAAGACCACAAATTCCATAGTGTATAAACAATATGTCTCTGGTTCCAAATCCTGTATTGAATACTTCAATATATGATAGACTCCAAGTAATTAAAAATTCAATAAAATATGCCAAGTACATATAAACATTATCAAATCCTAAACATAAATATAAAAAGATACCATTATAGATTGCTGATCCTTTGAGTTATCTTAATGCTTGATAATTACAAATTTATCCTAATACAACTCCAAAAAAGAAGGAAGTCTATGAATAACTTGATGCTTCTGTATGATAGCAATATGGTCTTTTTGTTACAGGAGATATTAAATCTATATTACAATCTCCCCATTCCATATTTGAAACTATTTTACCATTTTCACATTTGAGTAAAGCCATTCTTAAATCATGAGCTCCATGCTTAGGATATATCCAATCTATATCTTCTTATCCTATTAGATCAGTTCCTTCACAAACTCCATTAGGGTAAGATTCTCTAAGATTAGAGTTACCGAACCATGGATCTTTAGGATTATAAAGATCATTATATTTTGGAAGAACTCCTTATTTATTCAATAAGAAATAAAGAGATGATGGAGTAAAACCAAAATCATTAAAGGAAACATACCATTAAAAGAATCCACAAAATGTCTCTAAGACTCCATTTTAAGCATAGGCAAAAGTAATCAATTAACCTCCAACCAAATGTTCATTTTTATTTCTAGGTCGCCTTGTCATCACATCTAAATCAGCTTCCTCAAATACAAAAACCATTGATGGAAATATATCAGTTCCTACTTAAATACACAAAACTAAAACAGTAGTAAGTGGCAATGGTAATCTAAATACAATAAATCCTAAAAATGGAATTAATTCTGCAATATTAGAGGTTAATGAATAAACTATTACTTTTTTAAAATTATCAAATATTCTTCTACCTTCTTGTATTCCAACAACAATGCTAGAAAAATCATCATTTAATAAAATCATATCAGCAGCATCTTTAGCTACATCTGATCCTGTAATTCCCATAGCAATTCCAATATCTGCCTTTTTTATAGCTGGACTATCATTAACACCATCCCCTGTTACTGCAACTATATGTCCTCTTTTTTGACATCCAGTTACAATAATTAATTTTTAAGCAGGACTAGTTCTTGCAAAAACAAGTTATGGTTTGTTTAGCCATTCTTATAATTATCTTCCTTTTTCTTCTTCAGGTAATCCTTCATCATCAATAGCCATTTTTGTTAATCTATCTCCATGAATTACTAAAGCATTTGATTAATGAAAAGCTTCTTCAAATGAAATATTTTTCTCTTCCATTATTTCATTTACTGTTTTTTCTGTTATTATATTACATTATCTTGCAATAGCTGCTGCAGTAACTGGTTAATCTCCTGTAACCATAATTACTTGAATACCAGCAGATTTACATTTTTACACTGCATTTGGGACTGAATCTTTTGGTGGATCAATCAAAGAAATGAGACCAACAAATGTTTATTATTTGAATGGAAAGTTAAAATTGTCTAAATCAAATTTATAATTTTTTGGAAATTGAGATTTAGGTAATGGAATTCTTGAAAATCCTAATACTCTTTCACCTTATCTTCCTAATTTACTATTAATTAAATCAAATTCATTAGACCATCTCTCATCTATAATTTCAACTTTCTCATTACAATATATACTATCACATAATGACCAAATCTTTTCAGGAGCTCCCTTAGTCAATAAACAAAAATGAGAATCTATTTGTTCGTCTTCTATGATAATACATGCAAATTTATTTGTTGAATTAAAAGGTTTTCTTGCAATTTATTAATTTTTATCTTTTGCAATTTTCTTCTTGGATCTAGTTTCTAATATATCTTCAATTGGTTAAAAGAACTTTATAAGAGCAGTTTCTGATGCATCTCCAATAGTAGGTTTTTCTTAACAACTTAATTTTTATATGTCCTTCTACCATTATATTCTAGCTTCCTCTAATTTTTACTCTTTTTATGCTTATGAAAAACCAATTGAATTATTAATCTTCATCATTATATTCTAAGGTAAAGTATCATCAAAGACAGCTTCTGAACAAAGTATTGCTGTTTCATGTAATAACCTAAATGTTGGGTCTTAATCATTATATTAATAATTGAATTTTGGACCCATCTTTTATTTATTATGTCCTCTCATCTTCTTACCATTATACCAAATGTTTTCAACAGTCATTTTATTCTAAGTTAAAGTTCCTGTTTTATCTGAACAAATACAAGAAGTAGATCCTAATGTTTCTACTCCTTCAAGGTTCTTTACTAATACTTTCAAACCTGCCAATTTCTTTGCTGTTATTGATAAAGCAACAACTACTGTAGCTAATAAACCTTCAGGAACATTTGCAGATATTATACCAACTGCAAATATTAAATTTTAAATAGCAGCTAAGCATTATATAATAATAATTACGATATCCTACTGCAAAACCTAATACAAAAAATAAAATTCCTATAGACAAAGCTATAATAGCTATATATACTGTAAATGCATCAAGCTCTTTTTTTAATGGTGTTTCATCTACAATAGAACTCTAAACCAATCCTGCTATTTATCCAATCACTGTTTTGTCTCCTGTAAAGATGACTAAACCTTTACCTGTACCCTTTAAATAATGTATTTAAATACTTCTTTGCATAGAGTACCAAAAAAGACAAGATTTTTAGTTTCCAATGGATTTTCTTAATGAGTACATTCTGGAGATCTTATCAATAACACAGATTCACCAGTTAAACTTGAATTATCTACTTTCATTTGGTTGCTCTCAATAATTCTTATATCAGCAGGTATTTTTTTTCCAAATTCTATAATTACTATATCTCCTGGAACTAAATCAATTGCTGGAAGTTTCTACTATTTGCCATCACGTATCACAATAGTTTCAGGAGGTATAAAATTTACGAATCCTTCCATTATTGCCTCTGATTTCCTATTCTAAAAATAAGTCATTAGAGCTGTTATTAAAATGCAAGCAATTAGAACTATTCCAAGATATAACTAAATAATAATGTTTTTTTTTTACGTTAGATGGATCTTCTGGAGTTAATCCATATGCTAAAAAACATAATCCTGCTGCTCCCCAAAGTAATAAAGCAAATACATTTGTTAATTCATGTAACAATTATATATACCATGGAGACTTTTCTTTCTAAGTGAGTGTGTTTCTCCCATATTACTTCAATTTTTCATCTATCTAATGTGAAGATAACCCATTTATCAAGGAAGTTTATAGTCTTTATTCTAATTCTGTTAACGGTATGGAATGTTCATCCTAAAAATAATAAAAATGTTGTACCATGTTTTTGAATTTCTCTGCCTTAGATGTGTCCACCTTCTCATTCTATACTCCTTTTTCATTCTATTTCAATAACCTCTTCCTCCTTTGCATCATCTCTTTTGTAATCTCATCAAACTCTCTTTATGCATCTAGTAATTGAATCTCTTAACTAAATCCTTAGATAATCTATATACTATTATTAAGTAAATGCTGTGATGATTGCAGAAGCACTTCTACTTTAAGGCTTTTAATTCATATAATTAAATTGAATAGGATATCAATTTTAACATATACTTTAAAATGCATTCTATTTTTAGAACATATTGATTATTATTAAATTCTTATATATGAATTAATTATAATCTTGAAAATAAAATATTTAAAGTATTTTAAGAATAAATAAACACTTTCTTTATTTGGAAAATTAATTAATTTCTTAATTCTAACATTATATAAAGGACAATCATCTTTTATTATTCTTACATTTTTAATTGATAGTCTTTATTATAACTCTCAAAAAGATGTGATGGATTCAAATACTAAAACACTAACATTTTATTTTAATACTTGTTCAATTGAATTTTAAATTAAAAACAAAGTCCAAAATTTTTAATAATATCTTTATTGTTATTAATTAAATTAATATCAAAAATTCTTGTTAAACAATAATTAAAGAAGAATAACTGTTTAAATATTGAGATTTCCTAAATATATTTAATATTGAGCCTTATTAAACTGAAAAATAATATTCATTTATCATAAATTTTAATTTAACTATTAAAATTAAAAAATAAAAAAAAAGTTTTTATCAATAATCTTAACAATTTTATTTTAATTCTAAACAAAATTAGTAAAGAAAGTTTATCATCAAATTTTTTAATTTAATTTTGAAATATTTTTATGAACTAAGCATATTTATATTCAATAAAAATGAACACACGAGTTTAGTTAGTATCAATTCAAACTATTAAGCGTATCAACAATTTATTATTATTATCATTTAAAATTTACTAGTTCAAGAATGAATTATTAAATTTCCTCAAAGTTATCAAATTAAAATAATTGTATTTTTAACCAAATAATATTTAAAAATATTTCCTTTATATTTTAATAGAATTATAAAAGCATTATTAGGGAATACGATTGAATATAGATTAGATCAGAAAATAAATTATTATTTATCTATTTTTAGAATAAATATTATCAATTAAATTAAATAAAATTATATGGAAAGTAGTACAAAATCCTATTCAAACATTCTTTAACATTTATTAAATATATAATTAACTAAAATCATAAGAACATCATATAACAGGTGTTCATAATATTTATATTCTTGTATAACATTTGATATTTATAAAGAAAATATCCTAAATGAAAGGAATAAATAACTTAAATGTATTATTTGTTTTAACTTAAATGTAGTATTTGTTTTAACTTTAATAAATTTATGAGATTAAATATAGATAATTATAAAATATATACATTAATATCTAATGACATAATTAAAAAGAATAAATATCATCTAGAAGAGAAGAGTATATTATTTAAGCATCTGAGATTCATAAATATATAGAAATAATGAATTTTCCATCTTTCTTTATAATTAGTACATTTTATAAAATTTAATAATATTTAATGGCTCATAAACTATCTTAGAATTGGGTTTTGTGGTATGCTCCTAGAGGCAGGAAGGCAATAGCAGGATCAGATCATTATGATGTGAATCTAAAAGAGATTGGAGAATTTAATACAGTAGAGGAATTTTACAGTTATTATTGTTTTTTACAGAGACCTAGTGAAGTAAAAAGAATTTAGATTAATATAGATTGAGATTGATAACAAAATTATGATGTTTAGAAAAGAGCATAAACCAATGTGGGAAGAGTGTTTGGATGGTGGAACTTGGATTATCCATTTTAAGAAAAGAGAAAATGAATTGTTGAATAAGAAATGGGAAGCTCTTCTTTTAGGTTATTTAATGTGATTTTATCATTAGCATGTATAGGAGAAGAGTTTGATGATGATAATGTTATAGGAGTAGTACTTTCAATTAGGGAGAGAAGAAATTTATTAGAGATTTGGTTGAAAGATAGGAAAGAGAGTGAAAAGATAAGAATAGGTGAGAAGTTAAGGGTTGCATTGGAAATGGATCCAAATAATCTTACATTCTTTTTCAAGGAACATAGTAAGAGTTTAAATGTATATATAATATTTATTGAGTTTAGGATAAATCGACTATGAAAGGGGCTGAATCTTATACCTTTGTCAAAACTCCACTTGAAACTCCTTAAGCAGAACCAAAAGGACAACATCCCGAATTAGATTAATTCAAACTTTGATTAATTATATACGAGATAAATAGGCTTACATATTTTAATGATAAATCAATTTAATAATCCGATTTAATGAGTATTCAAGGGTACATATTGGACGGAATATTAAATATGAAATAAATACACCTATTGTATTAAGAATAAAATCAAAATTTAGAATATCTAATTTTATATAATGCAGATTCATTCTGAGTACACATTTAACTTTGATTGGGAGACTGTAGTTAAAGGCTTTTGGAGAAAGTATCCATGTAAAGAATTCGATTTTATCAAATTCAATCAAGTTGTAGATATGATGCTTAATGACAATAATACTATGTCTATTAAGAGAATCGTATGATCTAATTCAATCTAAACATAGGTCTATGCTCGTAAATTCATGGTTTGGTGTTTAACTTTGGAAGAGATAACATTTGACATTGAGAATAGAAGCATGTAAATGCAAACTAAATTATTGAAAGCTTGTAAGTATTATCCAAATCTTTCAGGAGATGAATCAATTATATATAAAGCAATTGATGATTAAAAAACTCATTACTCTGTATTTAAGCATCATTTATATATAGAAACTATTGTCAAATTTTCATTAAACCTTTGTATCTAAATTGATATCTCAATTTAACAGTTCATTTAAAAAAGGCATTGAAGTTGTCGAAGCTAGATGTAGAGAACTTTAAAACAATTAATGACGATAAATAAATTTTTAACTATTAATCAATTATTTATTATAATATTTTAAGATGATCAAGAAAAAACCATAAATCCCTTAAATTAAGGACTCAGAGATTATTGATAAAAATCAATCCAAAAAATAGATCAAAACTATACCATATTCCCATAGTCAATCCATTTAAGAAGAGGAAGAACATTCTTCTTTGTCATAGATAAACATTTATGGTCACTCAAAGCCTACTTTTTTAATGACTTTTCCTCAATAACCAAGAGACTTTTAAGGTAGCGAAGACTTAAGAGCTCCTACTATTATAACTAATTTGATTTCCAATAAAAGTCAAGAGCAACTTGCAATTAAATAAGATTGTAGAAAATAACATTAAGTTCATTATTTAGATGAAAGTTCCTAATTTTCTTCTCAATTAAATTCAGTATATTTTATAGATAGTTTATTTCTAGATGCGTTCAATTTTGGAAAATAAAAAATCTATGTAAATCAATTAGGATAGGGTAAAATTATTGGTTAATCATATGAAAGTTAAATTTTTGAATTTAATACACTATTCCAAATATAATGATCCCATTCTTACATAAGAATATAAAGAACGTAATACTGAATTTTTACTCTATAATAGTTTCACCTCTTAAGTACAATTACTTCACTATGTATATATTTTTATCGACTACCTTATCAAATATGCTCTCATGTATTTTTATTCCAATTGCTTAATTTTTTGATGTTTCTTTAATCATTTACTTAATTTCTTAAATGGCTTATGGATTAGCATCTTTAACTATTTTCCAAGATTTGTTTTTTCAAAGAGGCCCTTATAAATTGTAAAGGGGAGTCATTAAAGTCAATTACAAGGATAATACCAAAAAAGTATTTGATGTATTAAGACTTCTCTTATTATCTATAAGCAGTCTATTTGAAATAGATAGCAAAATTAAAATAGTAGCAATCTTATTGATGATGATATTTTAATTTTTAAGATAAGTTGAAAGTTTTGAAAATATCTATAAGTCCACTCATCATTTTATTTTTATTTTATAACTATGGATATCAATCATAATTTCATTTGCTTGTATTTATCAAGGTATATTAATAAAATAATAAGAGTTTCTCATTGTGAGGAGGATCCAAGTCTCTACTTTTGTATCACTTTTGCTATTTCTCTATTGACTCATTGTTCTAATATATGTAAAACATACATAATAATATTTTAGCCATTGAAATTACTACTTAAAATTCATTAGTGATTTCTATTTACATGATATTATCATATCTTTGTTTAGCATACACAACAATGATCATATATATTTGGATAAAACCAGAAATAGAGATTGAAGAGGAGAAACAAAAGTTATTGAAAGGATTTGTTGAAAGATTTAGGGAGAAATGTGAAAATGATGGACTTTTAAGAAGATGTTATTCTTATTTAGAATTTAGAATAGATGTAAATAAAATTGTAAATTTTCTAGGAAGATTTAAATAAAACTAAAGATCAATTAACTAAGAAATTGAGTCCTGAATTAGAGGATGAGATTGATTTGTCAATAAGATCGACTATGATTGATAAAATTGAATTGATGAATAGATTCTCTCCTTAATTCAAATAATAATTGCTTTATGAAATTGAATAAGTGACATTTAATCCAGAAGACAATATCATAATTGTACAATTAATAAGTATTCTAAGGAACATCAAATAGAGGATTTAGGATTGTTTTATATTTTGAAAGGATAAGTAAAGGTTTAATTTTAAGGTTCTTCATTTGGTACAAATAAAAGAGCAGTAACAACTTTATGTGAAGGATAAACTTTTGGATAATATTCTTTTATAACAGGAATTCCTTCAAATATAAGTATTTTTAGTTCTGGAGTCACTACATTAATGAAAATAAAGAGATCTGATTTCACTTCAATAATATCGAATTATCCAAAAGATAACGAAATATTTTGTACAATGAAAGATAATGCATTTTATAATTCAAAATTATTTGAATGTTATTATTGTAAAATTAGAGGACATTATGTAGTAGAATGTAGACATTTATAATATTTTCCTTAAAGATTAAATGCAATTGAAAAACATTTATATACAGAAAAATAACAAAGAAAAAAATTTTCAAGGAAATTAAAAAAATATTTTGCTTGGCAAGATATGAATTTAAATTAAGATAAAGCTAGATAATATGCTAATAAATAGAGTTAAGAATAAGTATCAGATGATTTACCTGAAACTTCACAATTACCTTATTCTGAAAGTAAAATTGTACAAATAAACTAGATTAAACACATTAATCAGTGAGTTTTGTAAGTAATTCTTTGGCATAGAAAAATTATAGTCCTGATTAATACCAATCAGCTAGTAATGTAAATGTTGAAAGTTTAGATCAATTTAATATCGAATAAGAATATTAAGATGAATAAACTATACCTATATAAGAACCATAAATAAAAAGTATTAGAAAGAATTCAAATAAAACAACCTTAAAAACAGCAGGATTCCCTATCAATTTTGATCCTAATAACATAACAAATTTAGGAAATAATTTATCAGTTATAGAAAAAGATGATAGAGATATCTTAAATTAATTATAAGAGGCTTAAATGAATAAAGATAGAACTATTTTATTTCCTGCTGGAAGAAACAATAGTTAAAATAAATTAACATTTCAATATTATAAAGAACCTTCTTCAGGAATCATGCTGAAAGAAGATCCAATTAAAACTGATTCTTATCAATAATAATAATAATAATAATAATAATAATAATAACAATTAACTCATAATACTTTAAAATAATCTATTAGACAACCTTCAAATAGATCTTATACATATTCTAATTCGTTGTCTAAAGATATATCTAATAATCCTTCATCAAATTCCAGATAAAATAAATCATAAAAATTATCCATTTTATCAAGTTAAAACAGAGTTGTAGATTAGACAGGCATTAAAAAAATGAATAGTTCTAAATCTCTTAGTGAATAAAATAAATTAAATAATAATAAGAGTTTAAAATCAGGTACTAAATAGAGTACTCCAAATTAAATGTCCTAGTTTTAAGCCTTAACAACTCCAGAGGTAATATTAATTTTTAGAATAGAACCAAGGCTACTTTATAAATGATATTTTATTCAATAAATTCGAAAAAATGCAGGAGTACAAAATTTATTATCCACATAACAATTATAATTAAGTTATAGATCGCTATGTCAAATTTTTAGATTCGAACAGAAAAAATTATTTTAAAAGGAAAAGATTAAATAATGGTACTCCTTATTCGATAAAATGCTTTGTTGCATCCAAAATTAAAAGAGTAAAAAAGCTATTATAAAACTGACTAATTATCTAATATAAATAATTTATTAATTCAATTCGAGGAGGTTAGTTCTGATAAATTTTTAAGACTCTAGTGATTTTTTTTGTATATTTCTTTAAGATATTAACAATATCCAGTGCAACTATTACTTTCATTGCAAAATGTTTGAGTTTAAGTTTAAAATGATTATGTAAATGGTTTATGATAACACTCATTTTTTATTTAACTTCTAGATAATTTAAATCTATCATCCCTATTTGTGAAACAATTAAATTAGTTCTCTCCATAATACTTGTAAATTACTTTATCCTTTGTTGGAATATTTTTTATGAAAAATGTCTTAAGATATTTTGCTTTGAGATCTTCTACCTATCTCTTTTTTTTTGCATCTATAGCAGTTCTAAAATTGAATTAAGTCTAAAAGCTATCTAAAAGTTCTCTAACAGCAGCATCTTATGCAGGAGATTGCTGTGGTAAATTGTGATTTACAATATGATCTTTTACAGCTTATTTTGATTTTGCTAAAATATTTATTTAAATGTATTTATTTTTTCTAGTTGAATTCATCAATGTAAGTGGATCCTTTGGAATCTTTTCAAAAAAGGTTGGTGGTTACCTTTTTAATTTGTCAAATTTTTATTTTTTCTCATCTGATTTATTCTCTTATAATTGTAAACCCTCTGCAGTAGACAAGTCTGTTCTTATAGGATTTTCATTACTCTATGTTTGAAGTCTTTGATTTAGTAATCTAATATACACAATAAATTTACTTCAACTTCGTCCTATCCTATGACTCATCATTAATATTTTATTATTATTGGTTCATCAAATCTTTCTCAGAGCATTGTCTTTATAAGCCTTTTGTGATATTTCCAAATTCCACTTTTTTCATAATTGCTGGACATCTTTAACTCAACATGATGATAATAATTAAAAATTGGAAGATTATATATATTAAATTAGTGATATTACTGATGGCAAAAATAATATATAAATCTTTATTAATCAATAAACTTTAAATTGATTACTATAAAATCAATATAGATTTATTTTTATCTAACCTTATTTTCATTTAAACATTATTTCAAACATAATTCTCTTTGAAACCATTCCTAAAAATTAAAATTAATTAATTTTATATCCTTGTAAAAATATGAATGAATAGATATCTTCAATAAATCCTTTTATTTTATTTTTATAAAAAATAACTACATACTTATAGTATTCAATTTTATATAAAGTATTTATGAATCATATTTATGAGGAATAATATATTTATTAATTTAATTGTTTATTTTATTTTATTATTATGCAATCTATTTCAATTTTCTGATATTTGTTTTTATAGAAAAGAGATAATTCTTCAAAAACTTATCAATTATTTTTTGTTTTTAATTAATTAAATGAGAATTATACATTATTCATTTTTTTTAATACAAATTTTGTAAAGATTCTCTTCCTTATTGTTTTAATTGATTAATATAAATATTTTAATTTTCAAAATGTATAAACAATTCAAAATGTTTTTATTTTATTTTAGAATATGAATTAAAAAAAATCTCCTTAATTTGTATTTTTTGAATCATCATAAACAAAATAAGAATAAAAAAATAGAAATTAAGAAGTTTAATTTATATGTATTACGTTTTTAAAAATAATTACAAATATTTATAGATTTATTTTTATATAAAATTATTATTTATAATAATGGAAAAAATTGGTGTAACCAAATTATTTCTATAGGAACTTTAAATATTCTTTGCACTGTTATTAGGTGAATAATTATCTAATTTAGGTTTACAATAATCTTAGGGAATAGACTCAATAATACCTATAATTATGAATTTAATTTCTGGAATAGTTTTTGTTATTTTAAAATTCAAAGATTACAATAATGTAAAACTTATTTGGAAATTGAAATTATTATTAATTTTGATATAAGTATCTATGAATGTGGAAATGAGTTAATATTGTTTAATAATTGCTCATTTGTTGGATGATGAATTGTTGAAAGGTTTCTGTTTAGGAACAGCATTATTAATAAATATAATATAAGATTAAGAAATAAATTACATAACAACTATTCCAAATAGCATTTTAGTATTTTTCAATATAATCATATGGTTTGTGTTCATGTTTATAAATTGGACAAACACAAGAAGGGAGGATGCTTATATTGAAAAAGAACTTCAATAAAAATCTATTTAGTGTATTAATTAGATTGATATGTAGTGAAAGAATCCATAAATAATAGAGATATTGGTAGTAGAGTAAATTAACAATAATCATTGATGCAAGAATTGAATCCTTTGAAAATAGAGTGTAATGAAGATGAATAGATTTTATAACATGTTGCATGGATATAAAATTAATCAGTATTGGTTTACAACAATAAGCTAAACATTGTTTATTAGAATATATTTTTAGGAAAATTATTAAAACAATCTACTTTAGATGAATAACAAACTTAGTAATAATCGAAACCTGAATATGAAGAACAATTTTTAAGTAGTTAGATTATGATAGGAAGTAAAGAATTGATTGAAATTAATAATAATAATGTTGATTAATCAGTAAATAGCGAGTATTATAATAAATTTAATTTAAGTGGTTCCTTCCTGTTGAATAGGGTGAATGATTATCATAAGTGCCGATTGAAATCAAAAATTACAATACGAGAGTTGAGTTTGATGATGCAAAATGAGTTCGATAAGTAGTTTACTTGGAATTAAAGAGATGGCGAACGTGTATGGTGACTTTGTTTACATTAAAGAGTGATGTGTTCGATTTTGAGAATGTTTAAATCAAAGCATTTGTGAATAAGATAAATGAGTGTTCCTATGTCTTTTTCCTTTTTGATTAGAGACCAGTACAAAAGAAGACTGAAGAAAGTAATCTATCAATAATAAATGTATTCACTACTTTTGTACATGAATCAGTAAGTTATATTAATTGTATTTTAACTTTAATTTTATTAATCTAAAGTGACCATGAGAATACTCTGAAAATATCATTGAAATAGAATAATTATACACCAATCAAATTAATAAGTTAGAGATTTTACTTATTTGTAAATAGTATGAGAGATTATATTTTTTATATTTAAAATTAGTTGTTTTTAAGAATTTCAGCATTTAGAGTAAGTGATTTAGTAGAAGAGATAGTAAATTTATATGAAGATAATTTAAAGATTAGAGAAGTCAATTTAATAACTTCAATAGATTTAAGTGATAACAATTAAGTTTTATTCACTGATAATGATAGAGTAATTATAAATATTAAAAATATAGTTAAAATAAATTATAGCTTGTTTATTAACTTATTGTTTAAAATATACTTCAGGATCATCTTTAAAATTAGATATCAAAAGTTATACTGTTAGTGGAATTATGATATCATTTAAAGATAGTATGATAGCTAAAGATGAAAGTCTTAGAAAATCTATATCCATTTTAATAAAAACTTTAAATTCATCATTAAAAACATCATAATTTTATTAAGTGGATCTAAATAATTTATTAGAACTTTAAATTTGTGTGATATTATGTTTTTAATTAAGTGGTACTTTCAAAAGAGGAATTGAATTTCTATATGATAGTTAAGGATATGGAACATTTACTTTTGTAGTAGAATCATAAGCTAATTAATAAAGAATTTAAAGTCATCAAGATACAGGTCCAATTAAAATTATTGGATAAAGAAAATATTATGAAACATCTTTATCTTTATTATTAGCTTAAGATAGTAGTGGTTATAGAGAAGAATCAAAGTATATCATTTAAAATTTTACATTAGATATTACACATTAAGTCAATTATCTAAATAATTCTCTATGAAACCTGGAGATGCTTTCGATGTTCATAGTGCATACTTCTCTTAAATTTCAAGGATTAAATAAGATTCATCTAATTCTAAACAAGTTTAAAATTCTGGATCTGTTCCTAAATAATCGAAAGAATAGACTATCAGTTATTCTGGAACTTGGAAATAAGGTTTTCCAGATATAATTTAATAGACATATAAAAAGAACAGAAATGAAAGAAGTGAATCTTAATAAGATTCTCTTAGAACTCATTCTATTTATGAAGGATTAGAATAAAGTATTCCATCTATACATCCACCTGAATTCACTCCTAAATTACTACCATCTGTTATTAAGTATAGATTAAGGTTGACATGTTGTTCTAAAGTCTTAATTGTTGATAATGATCATTATAGTGTATTATCATTACAGAAGGTTTTAGAGAAATATAATATTAAATGTGACAAAGCTTTCAATGGAGTTGAAGCTTAATAGATGATTTCAAATAAACAAATTAAACCTTGTCATTGTGGAAACAGATCATACTTATTATTTTTCATCGAATTTTATTTACCAGTAATTATCTATATATATAAAATAAATTTTTAGCTTTTTTAAGGAATAGAACTTATGAAATTCTTGAAGGATTAGATGAAAATAGGATTAATTGATAAAGGATTTGCAATAATAATATCTACATTTGCTGATTTGAATTTAAAATTAGAATGTTTTAAGAATGGTGCAGATTATTTTATTGCAAAACCATTTGATTTAATAGATATAGGAGCTGCAGTTTAATATTTAGATTTTTGATAGTTAATATATTTTCATATACCTTTAGATAAACAATTTGATCTTTGCCTGATTTCTATAGTTTTATCAAAGTATAACTCTAATTGCATATTTTATGAATGTTTTTTTTTTGATTTTTTCATTATGTCTATTTCAGACGCTTTAAATATTTATTCATTTGGTGATAAAGAGACAAAGTTTGTATTGAACCAAATTTGTAAGATTTTGGATTCTGAAACTATTGATTTTTAGAATATTTATAAAAGAACATCTCCTTAAAGATATATGCCATCAAATGTAAAATAGATTTCCTTATCTGATATAATTTATGCTTTTTCTATTAATTATTTCCCATTATTCTACAATCTAATCAATGTTCCATGAATTGAACCAACCAAACGAACTGAAAGTAATTCCACCTTCTGAAATGGTCTCTTTATTAAATCATTTTTTAAAGCAAAACTAAAATAATGTACATATCTAATCTAACTTGGAATAGTAACGCCTTTCTAATTCAATGTTCTAACTAAACCATAATATGTTAAAGCATCTTGACTTGAAGTATACTTACCACTATATAATAAATAACAACAAATCATCACTCCTGTTCTACCTTTACCAGCCTTACAATGAACTGCAATAACATGATTTGGATTAGATATCAACCAATCATGTACTGTGGTACAGAATTCTACTATCAAATTAAAAGGAGGTGCTTAATGATCATCAAAAGGAAATTCAGCCACTTTAAAGAATGATTCATGCTTATACTTTCTTTCTGAACATCTAGGTAGCAATCTAAATTTACAAATTTATGACCATATAATTATTTGGATGACGTGTATTTAAGAATTTTTATACTTCTGACATGGGATTTCGATAAATAGCTTCAAAATTCTCTGCAGGAAAACCCATTGCAATTAGATTATCTGTAATATCTGGATAAGTTATTATTTATTTACAAGTTAAATCCAAATTAAAACCATCCACTTTAAATCTTTTCTTTGATTTAGATACTAGTTCCTTTATAATTTCTCTTTAAAAAGCACACTTAACATTTTTCATCATCTTTTATGTGATTTCATCTGCATGATTTTGTAATACTGAAGTATCATTTATTCTCTAATCAATATGTCTATTGAAACATATTTCTATAGGAATTTCACCCATTGGTACTTCATCATCACATTATTAAAGACATTGTTATTCAATTTCTTGAACTTTCTAATTGTTTAATGGGCTTTCTAAATATTCATCCTCATCACTAGATATCCGATTAAGTGACGTTGTGTCTTCTATATTATGCATTGAAATCATAAATAAAAAATATTTCTTTTCTATAATATTAAATAACTATAATAACTAATCCTATACAAATCAATTAATCAATACTATAAACTCTTCATAATCATTTAATATCAAAATTAATTCATCAATAAATGTTACAAATTAACTTATCTATATTATTTTAACATTTACTCTCTATAGAAATCTAAGATATAGTAATCAATAAATCAAATTAATGATTATTTTCATATATCAGAAATTAATGGAATTTAAAATCACATCAGATTTTAAGCAAAATTCTAAAAATTCAATTAATTAATTAAATTTGATAATTTTATTCTGCATGCTTTAAAATTAAAAACCTATTTAATGTAAAAATTAACAGTAAAATCCTAAAACTAGAACTAACTAAAGTAATTAAAGCCTTATCTAAAAACCTAAGAAATAAACTTAATAATAAATACAAATAATTTAATAAGTAAAATCTAAAAATTCAAAACCTTCCTTTGTATAATATTTCATGAAACCTGTTATATACAACATTATCCTATTTCTAAATTTTAAAGAAATATCCTCACTAAGAAGAGTTAATAGCTACTTTAACTAAATATTTATTGAATGTTTACCAATCTTAAAATAGTACTATAATGAATAGTTAAATATTTAAAAAGAATTGATTTAATCTAACATAATTTTTAATCAACTTCCTTAATTAAATCATGTCGATTTTGATGAATTTAAATCTGGACTCTATAATGAATTTTTATATGCTTGTCCTGAAAAAGTACCCTAATTTTATATAAAATGTATAGAATTAATTTCAAAAGTACTTTTGTCAGAATTACCTAAATGGAGATACTCCAAGTATACTTATTAAATGAAGACTAAACTACTCTATGAAAAATTATAAATGAAAGAACCATTAGAAAATTTATATGATTTATCAGATATATAAGTTGAAATTATTAGATCAGAAGCACACAATATAGATAATGGATTTACTTTTATGAAATGTTAATTTGTTCCTCTTGTTAATTTTGTAGATAACTTAATCATATTGTCTAATTCACCACATTATAAAGAATTAAAAAAATATAAATAAATATAGCATCGTATCTTAGAGATATAAAAATTTCTTAATGCTTATTTTAAGAATTAATGATATATAAATATTTATATTAAAATTTTAATAATATTTTCAGGAAACTTAATTAAGATCTTGACTATGTTATTTTAATTCAATCAAAATATTTAATTTATATTTTAGAAATTTAATTATTTCTGTAAAAGACTTTAAAGTATATATTAGCAATTAAATATATAAAATGAAAAAAATCTACTTATAACTTTTTCTTTTTACTAAATATATATATACAAATGTATAAGAATCAACCAATAAAATGAATCTAATAGTATTAGAAATTTAGATAAAGGATAGAGAAATTATAAAAATATTTATTGTTTTTTAATTTTAATCAAACTATTTCATTTTTATATTTAAAGTATAGATTTATTCTATTTATAAAGAAACAATAACTTGTATGTCATTTAAAATTATACCATATACATATTAATTTTTCAATTATTAAGCTAACTAAAATTAATATATATATGGTATATTTCGAAACTTTCTATCATGTGAATTCAAATTAGAATACTCTATATAACAAGTTATACCTAATAAAAAACACTTAATTATGAAAATAAAATTAAAAAGAACTTCAATAAATATTCTATTATATTTATATACATTTACTATTTTAAAATATATGTTTCATAGATATTTATTCTAAAACCAAGGAATCATTTAATATCAAATAAATTATTTAATGATATCTAATAAAATTATAATATCAAAATATTTAGCATTCTTCATCTCTAACATTACTAACTTAATATTAATTTTAGTATTATTGAGATTAGACAGGTTTTTGAGGCTGTGCATTTGATTAAGTCACAACCTCTACTTTATCATTAAAGACTATGCCTGACACTAAATCATTGGATCCAAGATTTCCCAAAAATCCACTTACTGCATTACAAACCTAACCCCAATTTCCTGACATAGAACCAGAAATGTCTAGGGTGAAAAGGACAATATAATTATTCACTTTCATTTACAGAACAGGTTAAAATTACTTTTACATTAATGCTATTTATCTTTTATCGCTTTCTATTACTAATCCCTTTTATTATACTCTAAGTCCAATTTACATCTAGATCTTTTAAAAGATATCATTAATTCCATTGCTATGTATAGGATAATATGAAGCAGATTTTCCACTACATTATAAGATTGCTTGCATTTCTCTTTAAACTGTTTAATTATTTTCTACATTCACACCAATATAAAATGTTTGTAAAATATCCTCTGGAAGTTCTTATCGAAGGTATGCTTAATACTTAAGAAATTCTTGTAAACTGACTTAAGACTTATTATCTTCTCCATCGGTTAGAACAACATGTACAAATTTAAATTTATCATGTGCACCCTTCTTACAAAAGAGAGCAAAAAGTTATAACATTAATTAATTTCCTTTCATAACTGCATCTCTAAATGCAGTAGCACCAGTGCAGCTAATTCTAGGTAAAAGATTATTCAATCTAGATTTTGGGGCTTATTCAAACCCAAGCATTGCCATAACAATTGCAATTTCCATTTTTATTTTTATTTTTATTTTTATAAGATATTCAATGATAAAATATGCGCTATTATAATAAATTCAATTCTATTTAATTATTTTTAAAGATCAGAATTTATTGTATTTATAAATTATATAATATAAAGATCTAATAGTTATTCTATTATATATTATTAAATTGAAAATGGTTGAATATTATTTTAATTACAAGATAAATGGTTATTTGATCAATATTAGAAAAGTGATATTTTATTCTATTTGAAGTATCTTATACTAAGTTATATATATAATTGAAATTTATATTATTAATAATTTATATTATTAATAATTTATAATTTAAAAAGAATTTTAATTATCTTAATTAATGTAAATAATATAGAATTATAGTAAGTTTAAGATAGTGATGAATTTTATGATTGATTATAACATAATAACTAATAATTAATTTTAGCATTAAATTAGGGTTGGAATACATGTTTCGATAAATTTGTATTCAATTTGAGATGACTAATTCTGAAAATTTTCATTAAAATTAAAATTCATATTTAAGAAGTTTGAAAGAATCAAATTTAATTTTCTCAAAGAAATTAAGTGTAATTTTAATATAATTATGATACGTCAGTTCAAATGCGAAAGATTACACTATATTCTAAACACTAACTACATTGTTACTATCTATAAAGATAAACTGACAATTGGTAACGAAGTAAATTGTACATTATGATATAAAATAGAGTCATCCAAAATATGAGTATAAATTTAAACTTGAAAATGTTCTACACTGGTATGTAGATAACCTAAAATTATAAGGTTTTGGGATTGAATATAAGGGAATTATCAAATTTTTTAAAGCAAATTATAAAGATTTAGAACAATTAAGAAGCTTTTGTAGGAATCTCATATGTTTTGATAACATAGTTGAGTTATACAAATAAATAGATATTAATAATCCATCAAGGATATAAGACTAAATATCGTTATAATTATGTGGAATGAAGATCGTAACTTAGTAGCAGTTATTAACATAAGTTCCACTTATACGATAATTGAATTATAATGGAATAATTTCATACCGTGAATGTTTTCAATATAAAAGCCAATATTATATTATAACAGAATTCGTTGGAGAAATTACATTGCGGAAATTCATAACTTAGAATCCAAAATTGAGTCATTTACAATGCAGAGCAATAATTCTTGTAAGTATTCTTTTATATTGAAAGCAATTGTTCAAGACTGTCTAATATTTACATGATAATTACGTCATTCATGCAACAATCGATATTAATCACATCATTTATAAATCAGATTTTATCAAAATAATTGATTTTTCTTAAGCCAAATATACTAATATCTTAGATGATTATGATATTAAGAATTGTAGTCGAATTTTATTTTATATGTATTGAATATTTCATAATCATAATTAGGTACACTGGAAAAGAATATAATGATATAGATAATGAATAGAATCTATAAACTCTATAAAATACTTAGACACCAAAATTAGCACAGGAACTAATCTTAAGTATTATGACTGATAAGAATTTAACTGTGTCTTAAATCTTAGAGCATCCTTACTTCTCATTTTCATTAGATCCTTAAGAAAGAAAGAATAGATTTTAGAAGTTTTAGCGAATATAAAGATCAACATCAGAAATGGATGATAGTGATGCTATCTCTTAAAGTATACCTGAATTGTAAACAAATAAGAGTAAATCATTAAGATAATTAATGTGAAAATATCTTTGTATTCATTTATTTATTAAATTTATATCATAAACATCATCTATAAATGTGGAATATTCATATTTTTTTAAAGTAGTTTTTTAGAATAACTGATGAAAATTAATTGATTATAATAGTTAAATTAAAATTTTGTTTATGTAAAATTAAATAACTGTGTTTGATTGTGATTTTATATTAATACTAATATTGAATATATTCATAATTTTATTTAAAAAACTGATATGTCACATGTTGTAATTATATGAGTTAATTTGAGAAGTTGAATTTTAGAAATTGATAATTAGTTTAAAATCATAAATTTAAAATACATATAAACCTTTTTGAAGTATAAATAATGAGAATTTAAAAAATATTAATTTTTGAATAAAAACAATATTTTAAGTTTTATAATTAAAAATAAGGTTCAAATAATATTAGAATAAGAGAATGAATATTTAATTACACATATAAACATAATTATATTATTTATTAACAATATTAATTAAAATAAAATTCAAATTTTCATGAACAGAAATAAATAACAACCTTAAAGATAAACTGCTCCTTAAAGAAAAGCTCGTTCTGAACTTAATGAAGAATAAAAGTAAGAAATTAAGGAAGCATTTGATTTATTTGACACTGATGGCACAGGATATATTGATGTTAAAGGTATTATATATATGTATATTTTATTAGAACTTAAGGTGGCTATGCGAGCATTGGGATTTGAAACAAAAAAAGAAGAAGTCAAATAGATGATTAAGGAAGTTGATCGTGAAGGAAAAGGAGTAATTGAATTTCCTGATTTTCTTGAATTAATGACTGTCAAAATGGTATAATGGTTAATAACTATTGACAGGGTGAAAGAGATCCAAGAGAAGAGATGCTAAAAGCATTCCGTTTATTTGATGATGACAACACAGGAAAAATCACATTGAGAAATTTAAAACGTGTTGCAAGAGAATTAGGAGAAACAATGACAGATGATGAATTATAAGAAATGATTGATGAAGCCGATAGAGATGGTGATGGAGAAATAAGTGAGGAAGACTTCATTAGAATAATGAAGAAGACCAACTTATTTTGAAAATTAGTTAATATAATTATATAATAATAATGGCATTTGTATATTAAGCTTAACGAGATTTAAACTAATTATTGACTTCTGTTCCAACTAATGTATAATTAATATACATATAATAGGTTGGTCCTGGTTCTTATGGATATTAAAAGAAAAAATTAGTCAAGTAATCAGTTGCTCCATTCAATTCATAATCAAGTCGACTTAATCCATTAAAAAACTCATCCTTTCCAGGTCCTGGAAGTTATAGTTTAAATTTTGCAAATGCAGGGTATAAAATAAGTTAAATAATAGGTAGAAAGTGTTACTTTCATCTAATTAATCAGAACTTAAGATTCTTGAAATCCATAAATAACAGTCCGTTTTTGCATCCAAATGTAAGCGCTTTTAAGAAGTAAATACAAGCGATACTCCTGGGTAGAGTCTTGTATTGATATCTTAGTCCTGGTTTTTACAAACCAGAATCTATTTAACGTCAACATTATCATAATGGATCTGCTGAGAATTTTATTGAGTCATTATTAAAACTGAATCGAAATAAGTCTATTCCATCAATTCCAACTAATGAATAAGTATATGGTTATGTAGATGGTGGAAGTATATAAAAATTAATTCATTTTTTAGCTCTTTAATTAAATAAGAGTCCTTAAGTGGTTATTTCAGGATTAAAAAATGATTCAGTTGGTCCTGGTCATTATGAATTAAAAAACTCTTTTGATCTAAATAAAGAGAAGGGAGTTAATTGGCATTCTTCAAAATAACCAAAACTTGCTCCTGTTATTTCAAAAGATTAAAAAATGATAGTTGGACCAGGAGCATATGATATTTAAAATGAAAGTTAACCTTTATATAAATTGATGCCATCAGGATCTTTTCAATCTAATACTTAAAGATTCAATAATTAAGATAAAGGATAAAGAAGTAAAGAAATCCTTAAACTTTAATTTGAAAAGAAGAAATCTCAATTACTTTAAGATCCTAAATTTGAAGATTTGAAAGAAGAATAATTTGAATTAAACTAAGTATAATTTATCAAAACTTTAGAATGAAATACCTGGCCCTGGATATTATACTAAAGATCAAAGTGCAATATCAACTCATACTAAATCTACTTCTAAATTAGAAACATAGTGTTTTGGATCTAAATTAAAAAGATTTGAAAGTGATTCAAATTTGATTACAATTGGACCAGGAGACTATAAAATTGAAACGTCACTATCAAAAAGTAGTCTTGCATAAAAGTACCCACCCTTTTTATCATCTAATACTCGTTTTGAATAAAAACATATGAACAGGAAGATTGGTCCATAATCTTATAATATAAATTAGAGTGTAAGGAAATTCCATATTTAGTTTAGTTAGAACATGATTTGATTAAAAAACTGGAAAGATCTCCTGTAGGTAAATTTGGATATAATTAACCTCGATTTGAAGATGATTAAAATAGAAATTAGCTTCCTGGTCCAGGATACTATGAATATTCAAATTAGTCTCCTTAATAAGGAGGAGCTTAAACTGTGTTTAAATCTTAAACAAAAAGAATAGATCCGAGTATTTAAAGCAAATTAGACATACCAGCACCTGATTAATATTATCCAAGAAATCATACAATTGAATTTAATGTAAAAAAAAATGAAGAAGAGGATCCAGAATTTGAAATCTAAAGACCTCCATTTTAATCATCAGCACCTCGATTTTAAAATAAAGGGGATTTAAAAATTGATGAATAGGATGAAGAACTATATGAGAAAAAGCATAGTCAAAAAAAAAAAGAAGATCACAAAATTCCTTATAAATAAAAATAATCGCCTCCCCCTTTTAATGTCCAAGTATTCTTATGTATTAGTAAATATAGGAAAAAAGATTTCAAAATGGAAAAGTTTCTATTTAATCCCCTGGCCCAGGAGAATACAACCAATATGTTAATACATCATGGGAAAAACCATCTTTTAATGTTCAATTCTCTTCAATTATTTGAGTGGATAAAAAATATATATATATTGAAACATATCATTTCTTAAAAATTCTAAATTATTATCTTGTATGTTGATAATATATATATCTTTTAGTTTAAGGAATTTTATCAGTAATTTAAATTTGTTTCTAAAGAGAAAAACTAAACTTATTAAGATAGAAAACTTTTAATACTAAAAATATAAATTTAGATACTTAGATTTAATTTATTTCAAATTTATGATGGGTAAAGTGTGAATTAATATTATAAATATTTGCAGGACTCAATATAATAGAAAGATGATGAAGGTTGTAAGATTAATTCATTTGTGTTGATGTTAATAGCATTTAATTTTTATTTGATTGTATTAATAATTAAAGAATATTTTGCTTTAAAAATATACTTGATATTTAAGAGAAGTAAATTTAAGTTCTTCTGATTAATTCCCAATAATTACTTTTTTGATTTGTTTAGATTTTCAACTTCAATAATGAATGAAAGAATAATATCTTCAAATGTACTTATTTATCATATAAATAAATCTTCATATACTTTTTCATAAAATTGCTTATTTTATATTTTAATTATCTTGAAATTTTATTATGATAAAATAGAATCATAATAGTATTAATATTACATATTCTTATATAAATTAATAAAATTTGATCAACTATTTTTATAGGATATATTTAATAGCCAAAGTTTATCCTGCAGTCAATCCAAAAAGTGAATTAAATTTATTATTGCAAAATAAAATTGTCTAAAGGTTCCAAATTGTATTTATAAGCTAAGGCTTGAATGCTAGTTTTTAGATTGAAATTGAAATGCTTAGCTGTTCTATTGATTCATGAATAAAGTTATTAAATTTATCTGTAATTTATTTAGACAATATATTTGAGTTATTTTATCAATCAAAATAACCTAATTAAAAAAAGTAAATATATATATTTAGTTTAATTAAAGGCTTACAGATTAATTCAATATCAAAATACATTTTGATATCTTAGTGAATAAAGAGAACTATAATGTTTAGATATATTTACTTATTATTTTTCAATTGATATAATAACTTCTAATAATAATTTTAAAGATAAAAGAATGTCAAAATAATAGAACTTAATGATATTCTAAACATTACTTAGCTTTAAATATATCTTTTCTTCTAAATTTCATTTGGAATTAATTTTTTATTAAAATTGATTAATCAAAAGAGTTCTAATTTTCTTTAAACTTTCAAATGCTAAGAGTATCATTTTGATATTTGATGATGTATGCTAAAATGGTTTAATTTTCTATTATTAACAGAATATTGATAATAAATAATACACATTCAAATTGAGATATTAAAGCAAAAAGATCCTATTTATAAAAGCAAATTGTGATATTTAATGATTCGGTTTATGTAATTATAAAACCTAAAAAAATAATAATTGCTTAAAAAATGTGAAACTTATAACTTAATTCAACAGAAATCTGATTTCTAAATATCATCATAAATTGTTCATATTTTTGTTTAACATATTTATAATTCAAGAATTAAAAAATTTATGCAAATATGATTGCTTATTTAGGTTTTCTAATCTAAAAATTTTAACTATATTAATTTCATTAAACTAATTATTATTTTATTATTAAGAGATGAATCAAGGTATAAGTTTTGATCCAATATCAAAATTTTTTATAAGAATAAGGGAAAGACAGATGAGAAGCTATACAATAAATATCAAATAAAGCTAAAGTCCAATAAATTCTTAAGAAAAAAGAGCATCGACAATTATATAACCTCCAAATAGTTTTAGATAAATATAATAAGATTAAAAAAAATAAAGTCATTTCTTATTTTAAAAGAGTACTCTTGTTAATAAATAACTCAGAATTTAACATAAAAAATATTATTAATAATAGTATTATAAAATAGCTTCTAAATAAATAATATTGGATTAACATGAGAAAACCTGCCTACCATTTATAGATATTTCATAATTATCTTAAGAATCTTAACCATTACCAATAGTGATCAATAAAAAAAAAGAACTAGTTAAATTTAAGTCTCAAAGGCCTCAATTTACTTTATTATGAATCAGACTATTAATTTTTAAAGATATATATTTATCTATTCAAAATTAAGCTATTTTCAATTATAATTATATATAAAAGTTTTTCAATAAGTAATCTAATTCAGATATCTAATTCAACTTTTTCATGTAATTTGTTGAAAAGTAATTCTAGAATATATTGAATCCTCAAAGTTTGAGAATACTGTATTTATCAATATATTACTTTCATTAATAAATGAGACTATAATTAAATTTCCAAAAATAAAGTAACTAGTATGTAAATTACATTAAAATTTTCAATCAATTTTTTAAAAGTATTCTTTTAATCAATAAATATTAAGCCAAGAAAATGGATAACAAAATTATATAGTAATGATTATTAAATTTTTTAAGTAAATATATTATATAGATATAAATATGAATTACATAATTTTCATTAAACTTTTTAAATTTATTTCTTTAGAGCAATCTATTGTAATAGTTCCTATTTTATAAGTTTGAATTATTACTTATTTTCTACTTTAAAATTCTTCCAAATACATATTACGTTTTGCTTATTATTCTTCAATCTTATATTTTAATTCTACATTTTAATTTTCTATATTTTCTACAAATTCTGGTGAATAATCCTCACTTTACATTAAATCTTCGTCCCAGAATGCTTCTTGTTATTATGATTGTAATTAAAATGCTTATTATTATTATCCTTATATTATTTATTAATTTTATTTAGTTTCTGATTTTTTTACTGATAATCCTGTTGGAGTATGAAAATAAGTTTATACTTATTAATACATTTATTGTAATTCAGAATTTTCAATAGATAATTATTTGTATTATTGTACTAATAATTATTGATCTTCTTCAAGTTCTTTGCTTTGTTATATAATTTTAATTCTCATTTAAAAATTAAATTAGTTTAAGATTCTTTTCCACTTTGTTAAATATTTACTTATCATTTAATTTTCATTCATATTAATTTTTGATAAATATTTATAAATAATAAGATTTCTTCTTTTTCTTTGATATTTCATATGAGCTTGATTCAAACCTTAATTTAATTTGCTTGAAATAACAGACTAAATATTAAATGGTAATTACTAAATTTTTTATAATATCAACATTTGCACATTATGATCCCTAATTATTTCTATTATAACAAACTATTTTATAAAAGGCAAACGAAAGGTTTTTTAATATTAACCTTCTAAATAGGATTTTTAAATTAAACATAATTACAATTTTTTAAGCATTTCTTTATTTATTTTTTTTTAAATCAACAAATGCATTTGAAAGAATCTTAAATTTCTATTTTGTAAGAAAGGCAACAATTTAAAATGTTAATTATATGAACTCATTTTATCTTTTACTATCAATATATGATTATTCATTTTAATTAATTTGAAATTTTTTTTTCCATTAACAAAAACAATGTAATTTTTTATTTTCTAAAGACATAACAAATTTAGAAATAGCTTCTTATTTTTTCATTTCTTTTTATAATTAAATTTCTCTATTTCTTTAAAACTTTTGTAATATTTTAAGAAATCTTGATTGATAATTAAATCTGTAAGTGAACACTTTTAAAAATGGAATAATGTTTCTTGATTTTTTATTTATAACTTTAATTAATAAATGTCTATAATGATGATTGACTCTTTTTTATAAAATATAAACCATTCTACACAAAGTTTCTTTTTTCAATATTTCCAATTGTACAAGGTTATAATTTTGTAATTAATATAATGCTTCTCTAAATTAATTTGTATTTGATATATTAATTTAAAATGTACCTTTTTCATCATCCTTTTCAGATATTAATTTAACATTGTTTCTATTTGCTATTTTGAAGTTTTTGATTTTAAAAAAGGCATAGTTTCTTAAATTGTACAATTTTTAAACAATTCTTCTATCTATAATTTTAATAAGAGATTTTAATCTCTCTTCTTTCTAAAGTTACTTTTTTTGAAGTAAAGAAACTAACTGTTCCATCTTTAATCAAATAAATTTATATTATTTGTAAATTAGAATAATATAAAAATCAATAAGGTAAATAAAATGTATTATCAAATATAAAAATTCATTCTTTTGGAGTTGATATGATGTATCTTTATTCCAAAGTTTGTAAGATATAAACTATTCACTAAAAATTGAATCAAAAATTGTTTTTAATCTAAATATATTATAAATTATACCTTAAATCATATTATTTCATGATTTATAATTAATCGATTTATCATCAATAGTAATTGCTTTATCCTAGCAAATATGTCTTTATATTTAGAAGACTTCCACCTTATTTCCAAGTGAATTATTCTTAGTTAACTGTTATTTTATTAAAATAAGAAATTAACATTATCATTTTATAAAAAGATTATTTAAATTCTAATTTTTGGATGGGTATTAATTGTCATTACTACTTAACTTAAAAACAATAATTATAAATTTATTTATTTCAAGGAAATAATAATATATACTTATTTAAAATAATTAAATATTATTTCTATATATAAATAAGGTTCTTTATAATATTACAATAATCTAAGAATTTTATATTCTCATATACTCATTTTAATGGTTCTTATACCTTTTTATAATTTTATTTTACTTTGGAATAGTAAATTCTTTTTTGAATGAGATTGCGAGAGACTAATAAATTAATTTAAATTGATTAGAAAAATCTGTTTTTGATAATTAATATTAACTATATAGAAATGAAATCCTTTCAATGTGCTAATCATAAATAAGATATTGTCTATTATTGTAATGATCAACATTGTGAAAATAGATGTCTATGTGCTTAGTGTGAACATGAGCATGATAAAACTACAGTTCAAAATTTATTAGAAGGTTACAACATAAAAGAACTGGTCTAAACTTTCTAAAGTTTTAAATATATCATTAATGATTTAATGTCAAAGATGGAACATGAATTGAACTAACATCTTCAATAAATTAAATAACCTCAAATAACATCATCAAATTTAGAATAATTCAATAAATAATTGAGTGAAATCTCAAATATCTAAAATACATTATAAAACAAAATAAAAAACAGATTACAACATATTATTAATGCATTAAAAGGATAAGATTTAGATTCAAGTCCAATTGCAGTAATAGATACTAGAAAAAAAGAACATTCTAAATCAGTCATTATTAGCTAAGCCTAATTATAATAGGATATGATTAAGAAAACTAGATAGTCAAAAATATTCAAAATGAATCCTGCTTAATCAAATTAACAAGAAACATAATAAATGGTACAATAACCAAATTTAAATTTGGATAGAGTTGAAGTAGCAAGATTATAATAATTAAGTACTTAAGATTGGGCTTGGAAAATGACTTCATCAACTATATTTTGTTGTATATTTTCATCTTTAAGAGACTTAAAAATTATAGGATTTTTATAGCCATGTTTATTTAAAAGTAGTACTAAAAATTATCAAAAAAAATCAGCAGTTATCAATTTTGGTATTTATAATAAAAAAAATTTGACTAAATAACCAATACATTAAGAAAAATACACTTTAAGACATAGTAAAATGAAGATAGTTAATGATTGTTATGAATTAATGTTAAGTAAACCAGTTTCAATAAAAGAATTTACAGAATATTCAATTGCAATATGGCCAAGCAAAGTCTTGTATTGTCATTATTTTAGTATTGCTGCTCCTATTAATCCATTCATTGCATTTCAAACTTAAGATTTTAATGATAATCCTAAAATAAAAAGATCAGAAGAATTTCCATAAGTTATATCAACATTTCGTGCTGGTTTAGTACCATATTTAATAATTGATCCAAGATAATAATGAAATGACTTTATTTTATGAAATTAAGTCTTTTTTAATATATATATATAAAATATGATTATATATATATATAATTATAAAATTCAATCATTAACACCTTTACCAATAATTTTTAATGTGTCTTAAATTGTTTTAATGACACTACTTAAATTATCTATAATTTAGTTTTATTGATTAAATCTTTAATTCATTTCTTCTTTCAAATTGTAAGCCACATGATTGAATTCATCAATTGTTTTAACATGGAAATCTTAATTATTCTTTCTTTATCTTTAAATTTCTTAATCAGTATGATCTCTTAATTCTTTACTTTAAAGAATTCTTTCTGATTTTTCATTACTCAATTTTTCATTTAATTAATAGGCTTCATCATCTAATTTTCTTAATATTTCCTTTTCTCTTTCAACTCTTGTATTTTTTTCTGTTTCATAATGTTCAAATAAAGCTAAGATTGGTAATTAAATATACTTGTTAATTATTTTCTTATTTCTCTAAGATTTTCATCAGATTATCTCATTCTTTCTTATTTTTCTTCTTCTAATTTTTAAGTTAAATCTCTTAGATAAATATTAGCATCAACAATTCTTTAATCTGTTTAATGTGCAAATGTTTCATGTTAATTTTACAATTTTTAATTTGTTTAATTCAACACTTAAGTAAATTTTGAATCATAAGCAATTAAAGTATTATTTATTCTTTCTCCTTCTTAAGTAATGAATTCTCTAGTATTTTGAATTTTTCTAAGAATAGAGATTAGAATAACCTATGTACATCAAGAAATTTAGCTTCCAGTTATTTTTTTGCTTCTTCTCTATTTCTTTTCATGTCTTCAAAATCATTTGCTAAATCTCCCATCTACTTTTCAAGTAAAGTGAGTTTTTCATTATCTTTTGGCAATTATTTATAAGGTTTTTAAGTTAAAGGACCTGTAGCTTATAAATTTGCTTATGTTTATTACATAAATTAAATTAATAAAATTTTGACAAGATTAACAAGTAACATATTTATCAATGCTAAAAATTTTATCTTCTTTTGATTACTACAGATTTTGGATTTACACTAACTCTGGCAGTATTTGTATCATCTAATTAGGTTTTGATTCTTTAAGTTAAACAATCAATTCTATTCTCTCTAACTCTATCATATTTTCTTTCTGATTTTGGATCTTGATGATTTAATTTGATTTTTAACTTTGGCACTTCCATCAATCTTAAAGGCTACATTTTATAAATAGATTAAGGTTTCAAAGTATTTCCATTAGAACTATTTACAATACTTGTTTTAGTGACAAAATTATGATTTATTGTACTCTAAGTATTCGAAGTTTAAGTTGAAGGATTAATATTAAGGTTGAAAAAATGAAAATTAGATGCAACAATCCTATTATTAGTTATAGTAGTTGCTCCACTATTATTTTATGTATTAATTTAATTATTTTAGGTCTAGATATTAACATTCGAGTTAGCATGAGTACTGCATCCTGTGCTAAAATTATTAGTAATGAGATTGCTAGCTTTTCTTGGTGTACCTATTTATAGATTTAGTTATTTTTTCATATTTCCTAAGTAAACTGTTCTAGAAGTAGTATTTTCTCTGATTTAAGATTCTTTTTATTTTAACAATTCCTTTTATTATAGATAAGTAGAAAATTGCATAGCTTTAGTTAAATCTTATTCGACAAGAGATTAAGTGTATTGTTTTTGCCAATCTTTCTCTAGAGTTCTATCAGCTTCAACATTCTTAAGCAATTATAATATTGTTGTAGATTTTTGAGTATCATTTAATTCTTACAAGAAACAAGACAATTCTTATTTAATTAAAGGAGTGCTTTTCTTTTTACTTTTATTTGGACTCACTTTGCCTTCCTTTTAAGCCTCAATTTCTATTTGATTAATTGCCCACTAATATTCAACCTAAGATCTACTACTAATGTATTTTATTATAATGGCTTTTAATTCCAGAAAGTATAACATAGGATGATCAATGCTAAACTTATAAGTTATTAGATATGGTTACTTTATAATATTGTATTAGTTATTTTAGTTATAGTTGACAATTAGGCATATAATAGAACTGTCTAAGATATTCTTCTTAAGTGTCTAAAATTTTATAATCTTCCACTTTCATATAGATAGTATGCTTTTCCTTTTTTATAATTTAGTTAATAGGTCGAGAAAAAAAATAATTTTGGCTCTGTCCATGTTTATAGTAAAGACTAAGATTCATTGTTTAAATAAGATCTCCTTTTTTTGAAATCTAATCAATAGAAGCATACAAGCATTAACGTCTTTACTTACAGAATCTGCATTTGTGATTTTACATTAATTATATAATTCATAATTATTTCATATAATTCATCAAATTATACATTATATATATATAAATAAATTATGCAATTATCTCCTATTGATATAGATTATTTACACTAAGAAAGTATTGGTGGAGTCATTGCAGATGGATTAACAGTCCTTTACAATACATAACCTGAAAAACCTATTGAATTTTTAGCCAAATGGTTATTATAATATTGTAAAACTTCCACTCAGAAAACTCACTTTTATGATGATGTATGATAATCTTCACTTAATAGTTAACAGCTCTAAAAGAAAGAATAAAACATTTAGAATTTTATCCAATAACAAAAATAAGAGAAGGAAAAATTAGAAGAATTGCTTTAATTCAAATAATAAACTATATAATAAGAACTAAATTATATTGAATATTTAAGAAATCATCCTTATCATTAAGAATTGATTATTCAGGAATTTCCAGATTTTTTAATGAAGAAATTTGTAAAAATTACTTATATTATTTCAATTTAGAATTTATCTGGTGTATATATCTGTTATTTCACCCATCAAAAATAAGAAGTTGATATTGACTTAGTAGATGATGAAAATGCATTTATAAATCAAAAAGCACCTAAACTATTAAAATATGTAGGAACCTCTTCAAATCAAAAATTCCTTCTCAATCTAAACTTAACTGAATAAGCTATTCTTACATATGAAGTACTTAAACCACCTCCTGTTGAAGAAGGCAAAGCTCCAGAAGTATATTAAGGTTGTTATATACCTGATGTTGTTAAAGAGTCTAAAATATATTTTCATAGATTCCCTAAATTGGGATGCTATTTCGCTATTCCTATGAATTTTGAAACTTCTCTTTTTGAAGTAATGAAATTTAAATAATCTTAGGATGCCTTTGATGCAGGTTTAGTGAATAGGATAAAATATAATTCTGAAGTTGAAACTTAAAAGTAAGAAATTAAAGCAAAAGAATTAGAACATGCAGAATAATTATAAAATGCAGAAAATGAAGAATAAAAACAATAATTGGAAGATGAATATTAAAATTATTTATCTTCATTACCATAAATTGTTGAACCATCTTTTTTAGGCATTTAATAATAATATATTGTATGTGGTGATACTTTAGGGTAAGATAGAAAATTGTCATAGGAAGAACGTAATTAATTATATGATATGATTCAATAATTTGGATAAAGTTATTAAGAGAAAGAGATAGCCTTATTATCAGAAGATATCAATTAATAAATTGAATATCATAATACTATTCCTGAGAAATTGGAAGAGAATTATTTAGATTAAGAAAATCAATTTGTTGAATAATAAGCTGTAAATTTAGAAGAATTAAAGTAATCAAATGAAAGAGATTATAATTATGAAATAGAGTGTATTAAATTTGATTTTCTGAAGTAATAATTTACAGCCAAAGATTTTGCCTCTACTTTTCTTAATTTAACAAAAAGGAGAGTTATTAAATTCCCAAATATTATTAAAGCTTTATTTTATTTGTTAGGTTATAAAAAAGAAGAAATCACATTAGAAAATAAATTGAATTGGAAGATTGTAGCTTCCTATATTGATTATAGATTCTTAGCAAAATTAGCTCTCATTAATCATAGAGGACCTAAAGAAGCTCCACTTTAACATGCTACAATATTTAGATTAGAAAAATTGATAGATATATATGATGAAGAGAAAGTTATGAATTACAATTGGGCTTTAGGATATTTATAAAGATTTCTAACCTTGTATTGTAAATTGAGAAGAGAGGATGTTGCAATAAGAAAGGAAATTTTACAAGAGAAGAGAGTTCAATTATAGGCTGCTAAAGAATAATTAGCCTAGTTATTAGTATGATTTTATTGATATAACAATAGGAATAAAAAGAAATAGACTTATAGACAGCTAGAACAAACTTTTAAGGAGAGGAGGGTGAAGAATTTGATGAATAGAAATGGATTGAATAATGGGAATCTGAACATAATCTTCCTGAAATTGGACCTGAACCATAAGATGAAATTGATGATGACTTAGAATGATATACATAAATTAGAAATAAAATTATATATATATTTAGAAATATGAGAAATTCATAAACAACTCCTATGCGTAGATCAATTACATTATAATCTAGGATTATGTAAAAAAGTGAAAGAACTCTTTTACCTTAAGAAGATATCTTGAAAGAGAAAGTGAAATCTGATTTTGCTTTAGGACATTTTAGAGGTTTAATGAGTAGAAAAACACCATAAAAAGAGTTACCTAAAACTGAAATTTAATTAAAGAGATTTGAATAATTTGGAAAAGCAAATTAACAATCTAAAAATAAAAGATTAACATTCTTAAAATATGGATTCAGATCTCATGAAAAGAAAAATAATTATTATCTTCAACCCTTCATTCGAAAAGTTAGAGATGCTGAAGGAGATGTTGCAAATGATGGATCTATGGGAGTAGTTGATTTATGGAGTGATAGATGCATAAATAAATTAATGGAAGGAATGCATATGACTAGAGATAATTTAATAGTAAGAAAAATGGGTAGAGAACTTAATGATAGTGATTAATAGATGAAATAAAAATTAGAAGAAAGAAGAATGAAAGATAAGATACTTATAGAATCTATGAGAATGGCTTCATAAGATACAGATACATTTGCTTTTAAATTTCAATTACCTTCGAAAAATAAAAAAATTGTTGAGCGTATTGCTTAACCAACTATTGTTAGTACACTAAGAAATAATATCAGTCCGAATGATAAAATAACCTCTATTGTTGATAATATTGACAGTTTACATTAAGATTATTTGGAAATTTATACTGATTTATATAGTAAAATCAGGAGCTTATAAAAATTCATCAAATGATATCTTTTAATTCAATTTTATATTATAATACTTTGGGTCTAAAACCAATGATTCCCAATTATTTTAGTTTCTCTATTTCACAAGAATTAATAGGCACTCTTTGTTGATATATAAAATCAGAAATATGTTTAGCCATTCTAATAGGTTCATCTTCATGAATATTATGACCAGACTTTTCAAATAAATGAATTGGATATCTTGATTTAAGAAATTAATCTGTAGGTATTCTATCACTCTCTGCAATAAACAGCATTTTTTAATAAGGAAATGTATCAAATCCATTTTAGATTCCCTCAAACCATTATTCCCAATATTACTTTGTTCCTATTAAATCTACTTTCCATTCTAAATTCTCATTTAAGTAATGAGGAACTGTTATTTAAGCTGATATCGGATTCCGTATTAAATTATTATATACATGATAATTTATTGCACTAGAATATGAACTGAATAAACTAGGCCTTTTTCTTAATTAATAATCCATTATTTAAATGCTTTCAAAAGCTTTACTTTCAATCATATCAATTACTATTAACCCTCTTATGTAAGATTAATGCTTTATTTTTGATGCTATTGCTGCACCTAAACTATGACCTAGTAATATAATATTCGTATTTGGATTTTTGATTCTGATAAATTCTATAACTGATTCACATTCTGATATCAAATTTTTTATTGTGAGAGTTTCATTTCTTTAAGATAAACCATGAGAAATAATATCATAAGAGAAGCAACTACAAAAAGTTTTAAGTTCTTATATTAATAATGCAAAGGTCATTGCACAATGTCCTGCTCCATGTATTAATAATATAATTGGTTCTGATTTCATTACCCAATAGATAGGTGTACCCTAAAATGTAAAGTTTATTTTGAAACATTAAAAATGACAAGATTTTCATAATATAAGTTCCAATTTAGATTATGATTTCTGAAATTTGGTTGTAAAGTTCCAAGTTATTGTTAAAGTATCGATTATGATTTTCCATTCATTTGGAGAAATATTATAATAATTAAATAATTCTCATAATTAATAAAATAATTATTTATGATTAAAAAATTATCATATTTCACATATGAATCACTTCCTGTTTATACAATGGTAACTTCATTAGTATTGGATGGCAATGTATTGTAATTCTACTTGGTGAATGTAATGAGTTTGAAATGAATTAGAGCCTACATTTGCAATAACAGATTAAAATCATATCATGGCATTTAGCAAGTTTTCAAAAGCAAAATTTGCCTTACAATTAAGATTATCAGCAGAAATTGATTAAAGTGATGATACATTAAAAATTAAAAGATGGACAAGTTTTGGTTTGACTTATGAAGAATTATCATAATTACTTTATCCAAATTTATTACCTGGATAAGAATTTGCATTATGTAATTAAAATAATTATGCATATAAATAGAATATAAATAAAAATAATTATTTGGAAAGTTGTATGATAAGTATTTCAAATTAGTGTTCATAGAAAATGTGGATCAAGATAAACAAATGACTTATATAATAAATACAGATTAACATGGATAATTAAGAAAACAAATAGAAGTATGAAAACAATAGCATTTTAGAAATCATTAACATGGATAGCAGGTTGGCATCATCCAAAATAATTTATTAAATAATTAGAAGTATAAAAGCCAATAAATTGATTTGTTATTTATTTTATCACAATATAAAAGAATAAAGAAATGTTCATTACAAGATTATAATATTTGATTTTATTGTAATTTTAATGATATCATTAGACCAATTAATTTTTAGGTGCAAATACAACACCAGCTGGATCTAGACTGCATAATACAATCTTATCCTTTCCAGGAGCTAAGTTCATTTAAATAATTATTTCCAATTTCTGGCTTTAAGAATNATAATTGGTTCTGATTTCATTACCCAATAGATAGGTGTACCCTAAAATGTAAAGTTTATTTTGAAACATTAAAAATGACAAGATTTTCATAATATAAGTTCCAATTTAGATTATGATTTCTGAAATTTGGTTGTAAAGTTCCAAGTTATTGTTAAAGTATCGATTATGATTTTCCATTCATTTGGAGAAATATTATAATAATTAAATAATTCTCATAATTAATAAAATAATTATTTATGATTAAAAAATTATCATATTTCACATATGAATCACTTCCTGTTTATACAATGGTAACTTCATTAGTATTGGATGGCAATGTATTGTAATTCTACTTGGTGAATGTAATGAGTTTGAAATGAATTAGAGCCTACATTTGCAATAACAGATTAAAATCATATCATGGCATTTAGCAAGTTTTCAAAAGCAAAATTTGCCTTACAATTAAGATTATCAGCAGAAATTGATTAAAGTGATGATACATTAAAAATTAAAAGATGGACAAGTTTTGGTTTGACTTATGAAGAATTATCATAATTACTTTATCCAAATTTATTACCTGGATAAGAATTTGCATTATGTAATTAAAATAATTATGCATATAAATAGAATATAAATAAAAATAATTATTTGGAAAGTTGTATGATAAGTATTTCAAATTAGTGTTCATAGAAAATGTGGATCAAGATAAACAAATGACTTATATAATAAATACAGATTAACATGGATAATTAAGAAAACAAATAGAAGTATGAAAACAATAGCATTTTAGAAATCATTAACATGGATAGCAGGTTGGCATCATCCAAAATAATTTATTAAATAATTAGAAGTATAAAAGCCAATAAATTGATTTGTTATTTATTTTATCACAATATAAAAGAATAAAGAAATGTTCATTACAAGATTATAATATTTGATTTTATTGTAATTTTAATGATATCATTAGACCAATTAATTTTTAGGTGCAAATACAACACCAGCTGGATCTAGACTGCATAATACAATCTTATCCTTTCCAGGAGCTAAGTTCATTTAAATAATTATTTCCAATTTCTGGCTTTAAGAATTTAACACTTTATTTATTATTTAGAGTTTTCTTTAACTTAAAGGTTTTTTATGAATTATTCTTATAATAAAAATAACCTAATCTAAAATTAATATAAATAAGATAATACCCTTTAGAAACAAATGTTTCCATAGCACAAAATAATCCAGTTGTTAATTATTATTAAATAGAATTATAAATATTCCTTTCTAAAATAAACAACAAAAATTGATTAGAAGTATCTTTAAAATCTTTGATTTCCATATATTTTTAATAACTTCTCTTGGATCACCACCTTCTATATCTGTATAATCTATATTCATTTTAGCCCATGTTTTTCTAATAATGAAACCCAAAATTCTGAACCTGTATTCTTAGAAAATTCTGGATTACCCTAACTATTAACAGGAATAAAATCATCCAATTTCCATTCACCATCTAAACATAATCTAATAGCATATAATTTTTCATTATTATTTCTTTAACTTATAAAAAGATCCTTAATTACTTCTGGCCTTAGATGAATAATTTTTTTAATACCATCTGAATGCTATAGTACTAATTTATGATAAAAAGTAACAATCTCCAAGAATTCCTTATTTAATATTTCTAAGAGAGAGATCAACTTTCCTAATCCAACTCTACTATCTTATGAATCATCTACATTAAACATTTTTAGATTATTTTTTAAAATTTCACTCATTCTTTTCCATGAAAATTACAAAATTTCATTCCTAAACTTCTTACTGATGCTGGAAACTCTTTATCAATAAATAGTTATTTTCATTTTCTTAATTCCTCTCTTATTTGTACTAATTCTTTAGCTCCTATTATATGTAAATCTATATTTAAGAAATCAGCAAAATCAACTTCATCATTTTTACTTCCTATTGTTCTACATCTTCAACAGGAACTGGTTGATGTACAACTTCCTCTTTTTATTTCTTTTCTTCTATTTATGATCTTATTGTATATTTAACTTATTGTTATTAAGGATTTTTATTTAAATTATCAACAATTTATTCCCACTATTGAAATAATTATCTCAAATGATCACAAGAAAATTTTATATTTCCAATCTATTTTTTAAGAGATAAATATTCTTAAGGCGTAATTGAAGTGTGAAAAAACTCAATTAGTTCTTTTGATTCTCTTTCTTCTAAGGCTAGATCTCTGTTTTTATCAGAGAATTTGAATACTCTTCCTATGTCAAGTCTTTTTGCTCGATAATTTTGAATTATTATAGTAATTGTTTGTATATCTTATTTAGATAACTCTAATTCAATCTTTTCTTATTTTTCTGTTAATTTTTTTAGGATTTCAACTGTCAAACCTACTTAACTTTTATAATCAATCAAAGCTTACTAATAAAATCTGCAAATGTTGTTTGACCAAAATCTTGAATCATCTTTATCAATAGCTTTTTAATAGCCAATTTATATAATGCATTCAAAACATGATCATCAGATTCCATTAATATTAAAATAAATAGAATTTTTTATAAATGCTATATGTTATTTTTGATATCAAAAGAAATTTTTGATATTTGTTTTGATTTTCTATAATTTATTTTATAAAAAAAATAAGATAATAATATATAGAAAAAATTCTAATTTAAATAAACTTATTTTGTTTTGAAAAATAAGAATATATTATTGGGTTTTAATTAAATTATTAATAAAATGAAAAAAATAAATGGAGGAAAAAAGTAGCCATTTATACCTGCAGTAGTAACCACAGAATTTAGAATTCAAAAGAGAAATCAAAGTACATATATCATTTTATTTGTTATCTAGTTGCTGATCTAATTTAAATTAATTCTTTACTTAAAGAGATTAATGAATCAATCATTTTAGCAAGAGTTAAAGAAATTGAAAATACAATTTATTTAGAACATGCAGCTAATGTTCATTTATACAGTAGTAAAATTGAAAAGGTTGTTGCACTATTTAAAGGCATAAATTAAAATAATTATATAAATATTGCTTAAAAATTAAAAAAGTAAGAACTTGCTACTAAATCCATCCTCAAATTATTAGAAAAGAAGAAATAACTAAAAGAATATGACTAAGATATTTTAAATAAGACTCTATAGAAATCAGAATATGATCCTCTAAATACAAAGTAAATCAGATCAAAAGAAACACTTTTGGTTGCTAACAAAATTACTATAGTCAAATAAAAAAATTAGACCTCAGATTCTAAAGGGAATTTTGCTTCTAAACCAAACATAGTTTTTGCAGATTCTATTCGAACTATAGAACCAATTCAAGAAAAAAAGGTTAAGATCTAAAAAAATACAGATGATGATGATGAAATAGATATAAGAATAATTGATGGAATATAAGGTGCTGCATTAATAAGAGTATATTGTTCTAAATAAATTACTTTATTTGATAATAAAGTTAAAATACCAATTGTTCTTTTGGTTTAATTTCTACCTCAATATAGAATTTTATGTGACAAGATTGACATTACTAAACTTCATAATGCTAAAGAAACAATTCAATTTTTATCTTCAAATTAAGAAAGAAAGATCATATTTGGTTAGGTTATATTGAGACCATGTGAATATACATAAAATTTGAAAGAATTAAGTGAAAAACTTATCAAACAAAATAAAATAGTAGCTTAAAAGTTTGATAAAGACAATGCTTCTTTCTTAATATTGCATCAAAATCAATTAGAATAAATTTTAAAAGCAAGAAAATAGAGTTTAGCATTTGATGCATCAGATATGATAATAAAAGAATGGGTAAACTAGTAATCTTATTTGGAATGGTGGGGATTAAATAAACAGGATCATAATTTACATTTTCTAATTTCATATAAAAGTATAACAAATTCAAATGATTAAATTTATGAAAAAGTTATACTTTAAAAACCTTCAAGCAATCCTAAAATATATTAAACTATAAATTCATTAAAATAGAAGAAGGACATTGATGATTTATTATAAGGATTTCTATAAACAGATTTATCTCTAATTTCATTCGGATAAAATGGAGATATGCTATAAGAACAAATTTCCAATTAATAAGTAGAATAGGAAATTCATGAAGATGAAAAGTAAATTTAAATGGATTAGGATGAAGAATAGCATGATAATAAAAATGATGACAAACATGAAACCATTTGTGAATAGGAAAATAAATAAATAAATTTCAATATTAAAATTTCAGATCTAACTCTGTTACTATCAAAGGATGATTATTTCTGACATTTGATCAAATATAAGTGAACAATAATTAAATATTATCTATTTATTAATATTTTTAATAAATTTTATTCAATGACTAAATCCCACTTACTAATACTAAATGTATTTTAAGTCACAACTATTAGTCATAAAGTGAATACTGTTATTAGCTAGACAATCTTGATCTTAATATTTGCTTGTCTTTTTTATAATAGTAACAACCATATATAAAATTTATTCATATGTATTCTCAAAATATGTTCAAAATATTTATCAAATTAATAAGCATTGATGTGCTAATCACTCTTTTTAATTTTATACTATCTTTTTTTTGAAATATATATTGGTATAGAAATATTTCTGGTTTAGATTATTTTTTTACATTAACATAATTATATTAATTGAAATGGAAGGTAAACTTAATTTATATCTAGACATTTTTAAATAGCCTTCTAATAAATTCTTCATTATTAAATATAAGACAAGAGGATAAGCAGATTAAAGTCTTAATAATAAAGTCATTTTTGTTTAAAAAAGATTTGATTTGTAATTAAGAAATGCAGCCTAAGTATGCGAGTAAGTAGGAGTCTTTTTGAGTTGTTTAGATCAGAAATCTTTTATTGCTTTTGGTACAATTTAGAATGAACCAACTGATTTCGATTATCTTACCGTATTTCTAAAAGTTAACTCATTAGGAGGAATAATAGCAAAATTTAAGTAAATTGCAAGAATTTTTCTAATCATTTGTGAAGGTAGAGTGGATGTTTAAAGGAGTGCTTAATTTTGAAAAAACTTAAAATATCAAAAATGATTTGAATGAAATGAAACCTATCAATCATTGTAAAGATGTATAAGAATTAACTTATCAGACAGCAGAATAAGTAATAAATACAGAATTATACTAAGTTATTTTCATTACTATAAAAATAAAAACCATATAAACCTTAACCTTAATAAGATATAAGAATACCACATTAATTAAATAAAATTTTTAGGGAAAATTTTGGGGAAAATAATAGTGACAAATAAATAAGTAGTAAAAGTAGAAGTCGACTTAGAGAAAAGGATTAAGATAATGATAAATTTAAAGATTAAGATGATGATAAAGATAAAGATAGAAGAAAATAAAGCAAAGATAGAAAAAAAGAAAAGAAAAGTTATGATCATAAAAGCAGAGATAGAAGAAGTAAAGATAGAATAAGTAAAGATAGAATAAGTAAAGATAAAAAACAACATAGCAATGAAAAATAAAATTACAGAGAAGATAAAAGCTTAAATATTTAAGAATTTGTTATTGATGATAGTATACTAATACATAATAGATAATAGATAAGGATTTAAGAGATTTTGAAAAATAAAAAGAAAGACAGGCAAGAGAATAAGAATAAATTAAAGAAAAGGATTAAAGAGAAAGGGATAGAACTAAGGAATAAAGAGATAGAGAAAAAGAAAAAAAATAATTAAAAGAACTAGAAAAAAGAGAAAGAGAAGAAAAAGAAATGATAGATAAGTATAAATAATAAGAGAGAGAAAGAGATAAAGATAAAGAGAGAGAAAAAAAAGATAGAGAAAAAGATAGAGAAAGAGACAGATAAAAGGATACAGATTATAATAGAGATAGAGAAAAATTGGATAAAGGCAGATATAATAAAAAAGATGATCTTAAATATAGAGATAGGAATGATTCTAAGCATGATTATGATAAAAGAAGAAAGGACAAAGAAAGAGATAAAAATAATAGGGAGAGGTCTATAGATTAATCTTATGAGAAATCAGATAGAAAAGATAGAGACAGTAAAAAAGATAAAGAAAGGTAGAGAGGTGGAGACACAGAAAGAGAGAGAGATTACAATTATCATAAGAAACAAAAAGATTATAGAAGAGAGACAAAGAGGAAGAGAAGCGAGGAAAGATTAAAGCCTAGATCTAGAAGTGATGAAAGACGCCAAGATCATAACTAAAATAAAAATAAGAAAGCACTTGATATTGCTTCATTAAGTGAACTACAAAGAGAATTATAGTACCAAAAATAAATAAAATAGTTCATCTGTATCACTATAATCCCATAAAAATGAGTAATAGTAAAAAGATTGTGAATTAGAAGTATTTTCTAAGTTACCAAAATAGAAAGACGAAGTAGATTTAGGAGTAATTTTGGATGTTTTGGATTCTCCTAAATAAAATGATTAATAATTTCAGCCTCTAATTTAACCCGTTATGATTACATATAATGAATAAGCAGTATTAACTAAATAAAGTGAATTACACTAATAAAACAATCATAGTGATTCAAAAAAAAGAATATTAGTTGTGAAATAGGAGAAAAGCCAAAGTATACCAGATATTGTTGATTAAAAAAAATCATAATAGTCAGGTTCAATGAAGATCATAAAAGATGCTCCTGTTAAAATTATTTAATAAATAAATAATCAACAAAGTTATTAAGAATCTAAGCAAGTATTCATTATTAAATATTGAAAAGGGTAGTGGGAATTCTATTAAAGATAGGATAATACTTAAAAAAAAATGAGAATTAAATTAACATTCAAATAATAACTTATATTTTACATATTTTATTTTTATTTATTTTTTGTATCATAGCATTTTAAAACAGTTTTCTTGAATTCTTTTTTAGTTTTATTAATTTATATAAACTCTAACTACAATCCTATTTAAATCAATATGAAAGAAAGTTAATATTAAGAATATTCATTTGAAGATGATTCAAATATTAGATAATTACCTCAACCTATTGATTATATTGATAAAGGTTACTCATTAGAAAATGATATGGTTTTGGGATGGGTTCCTGCTTATAATTAAGAGGAGTTAATAAATGTATAGTTTTATAATGAGTTGAATGATTAAGTCATTGAGTATTATCATAAGAAAGACCCAAATAAGATAGTTTATATAGGTTATAGGCCAAATGATGCAATGTAATTTCATTAATAATTTTCTGCATAATCTAATTATGTATTCAAAAATACTAAAAATTATAAAATCAAATCAAATAAATATTAATAGTTATTTGTAGGAATGAATCCAAATATTGATTATTAAATAAAATTCAATTCATAATTTGAAAGTGGAAATTTGGATTTAGCTATTTAGAAATCTGAATTTGAGTATGATTTATTTATGAGAGTTGATACAAATACTAAAGGTCATACACTATGGTATTATTTTGAAATCACTGGTTTAAAAAATTTAGAATAAATTAAATTTAATATATGTAATTTTCGTAAAAAAAGGTGTTTATATGAACGTGGAATGAAACCATATGTTTAAAGGGATTCTTAAGATTGGTAATAAGAAGGAGAGAATATAAAATATTAGATATATAAATGTTAATTTAACGAGATACAAAAATAATATTATTGTCTGTCATTTACTTTATTGAATAAAAAAAGAGATGATAAACTAAGAATAGCCTATTGTGTACCATATACATTTAGTCAATTAAATAATTTTTTAAAATCTTTAAATTCAAAATATATGGAATAATCATATTTTTGTTATTCATTAAGTGGTGTTTAAGTACCAAAGTTAACATTTTCTAAAGGAAACATTTTAAAGAAGAAAGTAGTTGTAATTTAAGCTAGAATACATCCTGGAGAATCAAATTCATCATGGGTTATGTAAGGATTATTAGAGTATTTAAATTCAAGTAAAGCAGAAAAATTATTAGATTAGTAAATAATAAAATAATTATAAGATTAATATTTGTAATAGTCCCAATGATGAATGTTGATGGAGTAATTTTTGGAAATTATAGGACTGGTTGTGCAGGTAGAGATTTGAATAGGTAATTTAGAGATAATAGTAAGAAATTATATCCAACTGTTTATGCAATGAAACAAATGATATCTGATTTATATTAATTATATGGAGATTAAATAATTGCATTTATTGATATACATGGACATTCAGGTATGTTATGTAAATTTTATTAGAGCCAAAAAGAATGCATTTTTATATGGACCTGAATTTTAATTATGGAATTGTAATTATTATAAATCTAGATTATTTGCTAAAATTTTATCACTTAAAACTCAAATTTTTCGATATTATTCATGTTTATTTAGAATAAATAAATGTAAAATTAATACTGCTAGAGCTGTATTTTGTGAGAAATATGAATTTATTAATTGTTTTACTTTGGAAGTATCAAATAGTAGTTATTATTATGATTAAATTACAGAGAATTTTACTGAATAGAAATGGATTTAATTTGGTTAAATTATTGGAGAAGCATTTAATGAATTTATAATATATTTTTAAGAAATAGATACATTATTTAGTGATTTTAAGGATAAAAAAACTAATAAATAAATCAAAAAAAAATAAAATAATAATCAATAAAATGAAGAAAAATAATTGAATCTTTAATTAGTTTGTTAAAATTCAAAATATTCTAAATTATTTGAAGAAATGAAGAATGAATAACCTAATTTATCATTTTCTGAAGGAGAATCTGATAGTGAAAGGGAATCAGATGATTTTGATGATGAAATAGTAAATAATTTTGTATTAACATAAAATAAATAAAGAAAAATTAAATATTCTAAAAAATCATTGAAATTAAAGGATCTTAAAAAAAAGTCTATTAAAAGTGAAAATAATTCAACAGTAACCAAAAATACTGTCTTATTAACTAAACAATCATTTTTAGAAGATTAACCTAATAATATATATTAATAAATTAAAAATTCAAATATTTAGAGAAGAACAACCTAAAAATCATATAAATAGGATGATAAATTTTAAGATAAACTTTTTTCAAGTAAATATACAATGGAAACTAGAAATATTCCACATTTTAGAGGATAGTTTCTAGGAGGAATTCAATCAAATTTTCAATAAAATAATAATTATGATAAAAATAAATCTCCAATAAAATTAAAAATATTAATACAAGAAGCTTAAATGAAAGGAAATTGTGAAATTAATGAAGATAATATGGCTGATTAAATTTTTCAACCATATATAAAAAGACCATAATAACATCAAAAAAATAATACAACTCTTAAATTTACTGGTGATCCATACTCTCCTACTCAAGATTTAATGTTTCTTAATGAAATCAATAATAAAGTATTGTAGAATACACATTTTTCAACAGATTAAAATTACAATCAAAATATTACTACAATCTATCATAGAATAAATAAAAATTAAAAACAATAACATAATTATAAATTTAATAACATATAAAAGTTTTAAACTACTTAAAATCCTTCAATTAATTTAAGAAATACTTTACAACTATCAAAGTAAGGAGCAATAGAGGATTCTTTTGGAATTAGTATAAAACCTAAACTATTTTCATCACCTTAAATAGATGAAGTATATGATTAGACAGAATAATCAAAAAATGCAATGAATTAATATTAGAATACTTCAATAAATTAGAAGCCATAAAAACTCAGTGTACCATCTTCATATAATTAAATTTAAAAAAATTGCAATAATACGAAAAGAACTTAATAATACCTGAACTTAAATAATTGAATAAGTATATCATTTTTTTGTTAATAATAAAAAATTTTGATAAATATTAATTGGGTCACACTTTAGAAAAAAACTTTTTTTCTTAATTTATTCTTTCTAAAGAAGGTTTTAACCCAGAAGCCTTATAGAAATTCTATTTCTAACTTAACATTTACCGAGATCTAGGATTATTCTTAACTGATTAAATTAACGGAATGATATCCTAGGATTTTGCGGACCTAAATCAATTCATTAGTTATAAATACCTTCCTTAACTATGATAAGAGGCAACGCAAGGAGTATTTGGTTATAAATTTGTATGCTAAATCCATTCTTTATATACTGATTTGGTTTGAACTTCTTGAGGAGATTCATAATAAAAAGAAGAACCAAAAATAACAGGCAAATTAATTGATTTACCTTAAGCTATTTTTTTTCTAAAATCTTATTCTCCTCTTTGAGACTCTTTTTCATCTAGATTCATTTTTAAAGGATCAGGTTTAAATGGAGGTTTGACTTTTTTAAGTGCCAATTATCTAAAATCAATTTATGAGAAAAAAGGATGTTTTAAAATTTCTTATATTCCTCCATTTGAACCCATTCTCTTAGTTGGATCTTTTTCAAGAAGAGCTATTAATAAATTTTTGACTTCTCTAGACAATGTTAACTTAAATAATATAATAAAATTTTACATCATTAGGAAATGTTAATTTAGAATATAAAATATCTTAGTAAATTTGATTAGTATTTGTTGAATAGTAAGGAGGTAATCCTGTGAGTAGTTCATATAGTAATGCTCCTAAACAATAAAAGTCTACTGTTTAGGAATGACCAAGCTTTAATAACATTTCTGGTGCCATATATTCTGGAGATCCACAAAAGCTATATGCTTTTTCTTCTCTTCCAATTTCAGGTTTACTTAAACCAAAATCAGCTATTCTAACATGACCTTCAATATCCATTAAAATATTTTCAGGCTTTATATCTCTATATAATATATTTAGAGAATGAATTTCTTATAAGCCCTTATTATAATAATTAATTAGTTACCAAACATATTTCAGAGATGTAAAAACAAGCTTATTCTTCACTCATTCTTTTAATTTATTTTAGTTAAAAAAAGAGTTCTCCTCCTTAACAAAATTCTAATACAAATACTACAAATTATCTTGATTCAAATGCATATGATAAATGTAATAAAAAGGGACTGTTAAGTAAAGTCATTATGTTTCTTTCATTCAAAACAATTTATTATTTCTTTTTTGCAATTATAAATTCTTTATCTATTAATTTTAAAGCATAAAATTTTCCAGTATCCTTCTTTCTAACAAGATAAACTAAAGAAAAGCCTCCTACTCCTATATTTTTTAGGAATATAAAGTCTTTCAAACCAACTTTAGGTTCAGGAGTTGATTATAATAAGAATGCTTCTAATTTCAACCCTGAATCCATAAAAACATTAAACGATAATTCTGGTTAGGCAATATAATAATCTATAGAGATTGAATGTTATTAAGATACAAAACTAACTATTTAATTAACTGATGGTTTATCTTTAAGATTAGCATAACATTCTTATGGATTTGCAAATTCTAAATCATGTAATCTTTACAAAATTTGAAACCAAATCTATCTCATATTATAACTAAAGAAATATTACTATAGACATACTGAGATTCAAAATAAAAATAAAAGTCTTAATTTCCAAATCTAACAACAACATTATGATGTTTGACTTATTACATTTATTCATCAGGGCCTAGACTTTTTGCTTTACCTAATACTGATGCAGGATTTCCCATATCAGTTTTAATGGTTCTTTTGACTGATTCCATGCCTTCAATAGTAACAGATTATGCAGAACGTTTTTATTATCCACCTTAATTGTTAACGAAATTGGCATTGATGAAGAACTTATTTTATTATGCAATAGAATTCTATGTAGATCTTTGTGTCTATTTGCTTAATTATTATTTCATTCTAATATCATTCTTTTTCTGTTTATATAAGTAAAACTTTTCTAATGCATTATCTGGTATTTAATCTATTGATTATTATTTATTTTGTGATGTTTTTCGATGACTGGGAGTTGTATGCAATTGATTCATCTGGCTCTTTCTAGAGAATGAATCTTATGATCCTATTCTTAATACACCTTGATGTTGCATGTTAAATTATGTAGTTTAATTTAATAAAATTTTGTAAATACAATATATAAAAAAATTGATTGTTTTCAATCTGAATAAAGAAAATTTTCAAATATTTTATAAAATTCAAGCAATAGTTTTCAACTAATGATTTATTTATATCAAACTTTGGAATTAAGTAATCATTGTTTAAAAACTAAAGTTTTGAACTTTAATAATAGATTTATGTCAATGAAACTATGAAAATCTCACTACTATAATTGACTTGGGATGAAAATAAAAATGAAATAAAGGTGAACACTTCAAAATTGATAATTTAATTATGGAGAAAATATTTAATGTTTTAATAAGGTAATATGATTAATCTTAAGAAATTTATAAGGACTTTATTGATTATGATGGATAGTTAGATAGTTATGTGTATCTAATACAAGTTAATGGGGAATATCTTATTTAATTATAATATAATAACAAATCAGCAATCGGATATCTACTGTTTTTTTGGCTAAGAGGATACACTATCCATAGATCTGTTTGTGGAACTTTTAGCTAAGAATTCATCGGCCATCCTATTCCAGAAGCAAGCCGATTTTATTACTACTCTATCTACTATTGAAATTTTATTTGGAATTATTAGGATTTAAGTTTGATCTTTAATTGTTGTATTGAGTCTCTATTACCAGAAGTTTAAAGAATTCTCGATTATATTATCCATAGATGCAATTAATTTCTATAATTATATTATTATTATAATTAATACCTAATGTGTTTGTTTAGATTAATGAGTATTAAAAAATTCTAGAATGAATATATTTAAAAACATCGTTTAAATAAGAATACAATTTAAACCAGATTTTATTTCAATTTGTGGTATAGATTAATTTGCCTTTATTATTTGCAATATTTAAATAATAATTAATATTTATTTTATTATTTATAATTGCTAATGATGAGACATTTTGATTAAGTGACATTCATGATCTTTGATCTAATCTTCTCGCTGAATATCTAAGTGAGTAATTTGCATATATAATTATTTTATATATATAATTATTAACAATGGAATAATAGCCACTTAGCAATAATAGAGTAATAACTAATCTTACTTAACAAGTAGTAAAATATAGAAGAGGATTAATTAACCTAAAAAAGAGAATTAACATCATATGAGTCTTGTCTCGATTGTTGTGGAAATGTTTCTGGATGTTTGAGAGTATTACCAAACATATGATCATTTAAGGCTTGGCTCCCCTGTATATTTTGTTGTTGTGAAAATCCATTCTATGCAGTCCAATAGAGTTCTGTCGGATTAGTTGAGAAATTTGGAAAATATCACAGGAGTTTACCACCAGGTCTAAATTAAATCAACCCTTGTACGGTAATTTATTGTCATAATATTGTAAAAGGATATTGTTATACCAGTAGATTTGAGGACTAGAGTATTAGATTTGGACAGATAGATTATCTTAACAAAGGATAACATCTAAGTTAATATAGATACTTGTATGTACTTTAGAGTTATTGGTACGTAACTGATATTCAAACATACTCCATAGATCCAGTACGTGCAACTTATAGAGTTTCAAGATTGACATAGTCTGTTAAAGATATGACATATGCAGCATTGAGACAAGTTTGTGGAGAACACTAATTACAAGATCTCTTGGAACATAGAGAAATGGTTTAAGATTCTATTGAAGCTTACTTAGATAAATAAACAGAACAATGGGGAATTTATGTTGAAGAAGTTTTCATTAAGGATATGGTTTTAACTCCATAAATGTAATCAGATTTGGCAGCTGCAGCCAAAAATAAAAGAATTGCTTAAGCAAAAGTCATTTCTGCATAAGCTGATGTTGAAAGTGCTAAATTGATGAAAGAAGCTGCCCAAGCCCTTGATAGCAAGGCTGCTATGTAGATAAGATTTTTAGAAACCCTTCAACTTTTAGCTAAAGGACCATCATAAAAATTAATGTTCCTTCCTCTAAGTCCAGAATCTTAAGGAGCCCATAATGGATGAGATTATTTTGCTATGATATGATATAAAGATAGATATAATTCAAATTTTAAAATCTTAAGGAGAGATCCATTTTTCTTTTTCAATTATCCTAAATTGATGTTATGGTACAGATTAATTTCTACTGATATATGATGTAATCAAATTGGCTTATGCAGGTGTACCACAACGAAATTGTTTAGGTCCAATTATTTTCTTACTTCTTTCTTTTTCTTCTTCTAATTCAAGTTATTTTTGTGTCTTATAAACATTATCATATTATGTTTCAATTGGCATTGGATTTTAGAAAGTTTTTCTTAAAGATAACTTTTAATTCCAACATTCTTTGGAACTGTGATTTGATAATTTATTTCCACGATTTTAAGATAAAAAACCTGGTACCCATATATGTTTGTTATTCTACTCAACTAAAGCATCATCAATTGATGGATGAAGTAATTTCATTATCTCTCCTGATGTTTTATGGAATTAGGGTTTTTATTCAGGTGGATCATCAAATTAAGTTAATGTTTAACCTTTTAAAGGGGAATTCAAACCATTTTAAGAATTAGTAAATGATACAAATTTTCGAGATTAATTGTTAGAAGTTCTAGCAGTTTATCTATATGAATTATCATTCTAAATAAAATAATATTCATACTGTTAATATTTTATCTAATTCTTTGCTAGGTAATTTTTAAATTTATTATTTAAATCTTCTCTTACCAATAGCATTATTTACAACAACATCTAATTTATTAGATTTCTTTGCAGCATAACCAGCATGATGAAATTCAGTAATCACATTAAATTTTATTGTTTTTTAGTGAGCTTAATACTTATTCTTACTCATATGTTCAAGAAATATGTCCATTGCATTATCATTTTATTTTATTGATGCAATTTCTATTGGTATTGAATGAGCTTATCCTGAACATAATTTAGTCAATTGATATCCCATAAAATTCTTTAACACTACTGTTGTATCTTTGTATTTTCTTTTTATAGCAAATTGTGTTCCTATAATATTATCTGATACCTATATAATTAAAGGTCCTTTTAATAGACAATTAATATGTACCTTTAGTACAATCAGCCAAAGTTTAAAATGTCTTTTTAGGATTAACAAAATTGAATGGATGTACATCCCATGAATTTTTATAAGGAACAACAAATTCAAAAGGTAAATCATTAAATAAGAAATGATGCATTTGATTTTTTCTCAAAGAACAAACAATTTCATTTTCTTTAGATACATATAGAGTATCTAGTTCTTTCATTCCTTTAACCTTGTATTGAGGTGCTTTCATAATGTATTTGCCAATGGTTTTAAATTCTTCAGCAGCTTTTCTAAAATGAATTCCAGCATTTCCTTTACTCACCCACTCACCTGTATCATAATTAAATCCATACAAATCTCCTGTTACATTGTCAAGAAAGAAATCTGTCTGTTTTATATCAGTCAAATCCTTTTTAATCTTTGAAAGATCACCCAACTATCCTCCATTTAATCCATTAATAACGCTTATTTACTAGTAAATATCATTATTAATACACACTCGACATTTGAGGCTATCAAGAATACTAAGCCTTACATAGCAAAAGATGAGGCAAAAATAATTTTGTTACTTCTAAGACACATCCTTAAAAAAATTAAAAACTAATGTATTTTGAATTCTATACTTTATATGCATTTGGAGACCATGGTCTAAGATTGGCATCACCTTCAAAAAATATGATATCTATTGAATCAAACATTTTTCCACATTCCACTCTCACAAAAGAACTATCTATTTCATACAATAAATCATCAATTGAATCTCTATCCCGTATAATGAAATCAATTTCAGTATCAATCATCTCCTTTTTACTTAGTAAAGCTTCTTTGATGATTAATTTGTATTGTTCAAAGTTTTTCATACCTTTATAACTCTTCCCATAACCATTAATGATTAGAATTTTCATTAAATAATTTATATAATTCCTTATTTTAAAGATTATGAAATTTTCAAATAACATAAACTTGAAATTCATTATATATCTAAAACAGTAGACATAAAATCTTATTAAATTTTGTAAAGGTCTTTGAATATTGTAAAATTAAATTAAATAAATTTGATTATGTAATCATTAGATGGTTCCTCAAGAGGTATAAACTTAATATTACAAAGACATCATTAATTCTATCGATTCTGCCAATAAAATCACAGCCAAATAGTTTATGAAACAAACTTATGCTGATACTGAGGCGAGAATCAAAATCAATAAATTACAGGATTTACCTCCAGAGGAAACATAGAATTAATCCTAAATAGATTAATAAGGAAAGCTTGTTACTATAAAATCTACACTTACTATTAATGCACTAAAAGAGAAATCCAAATTTTAAGTAAAACAACAATATGGATTATTGATAGATCATTATTGAATCATTTCTCTATGGTTTTGCAAATTTCCCATTACTTTATTACATTATATTGCTAATTGCTTCAATTCAATATTAAGTCATAGGTTTTTATAATCAATTATACTTGGGATTGTAAATAGTCTTCTGTTTTTTAATAACATTTTATGATACTTTCATGAATAAAATAAATCTTTATAGATCAATAGAATAAGCAGATTAATAGTAGATATATGTCTACATAGAAGATGAATTTAGAGAATGCAGTATTGGCCAATTATAACCTGGTCATTTGATTAAACTCTTACCTAGACAAAAATGCCCTACAGATGGAATTCTAGTTGGAACTACTGGAGTTTCTGAAAACATACCTTTATTAGAAATTGGAGGTTAGACAATTACTCGTAGAGCAGGGGTTGCAAACTTTAATGTTGGAAGATAACTTGAAGGCAAATTAGAATTTGATTCTGAAAATAAAAAGGTTAGAGTTACTATGAAAATGGAAACAAATTAATTTTGTCTAGATTTCTAGTATATTAATTTTAACTTATATTTAGGCAATAAAATAAAATTTAAATTTTATAAGCCAATAATTCATTTGATGAAATTTTTATTCTTGTAACAGGTTAAACATTACAAGAGCAAAAATAAGAATAGAGTTCTGCATATGAAAAAACTAAAATTAATCCAAAATTAGGATTCTCTTTACATATTCAAAACATTATAATTATATTGTTTACACTTCTTTTATCTGTAATCTTATTAGCTGCTCACTTTATACAAACTAAATATTTATATTTAGATGATAAAGTGAATGAAGAATAGATGAAAACCTATTTATAATTTTTATGCACTTTCAGTTGGGGAATTCCAATTATGTAAATTCCCCTTATGTTAATAATCAATAGGATTTCCAAATTCTAAGCTGAACATGATCGTCTTATAGAGTAATTATAATTCTTTTATATTTTCATAGTGTTGATATATCTGGAAAGAGAATAGAAATTAGTAATAGTAATGCATTAGCTAATATGGCCAGAGCAAAATTTATTCTAACTGATCTAAATCTATTAACTAGATAAAGTTTAGTAGTAAATAACATCTTATTAAATAAATAATCTGATGAAATTAATTTAAATGATCTAGTTACAGTAACACCTATTGAAGATATTGATGATTTGAATTTCTGTTAATAAGAAGCCAAATTTGCACTTTTATCTTTTTAAACTAACAAAAAAAGTGAAGAGGATATTGCAACACAAAAACGAATCTTAGATTATGGCTTATCATTAGGAATCAATGGAACTTAAAGAATAATATAAGATTAAGAATAAAATTAATAGTATTTTAAAACAAAGTTTGAAGTAGTGACTTAAAAATATCTGCTTATTGGATATGAATAAATTCTAAAAGAAGTATTCTTCTATTAATTTATACTTTTAGGATATTAAATAATATCTTATTGTTTTTAGATCAAAATTTACAGATTGTAAAGACCTATTAACATCTGAAATTTAATTACAGATTACTAGTTTATTAGATGCTAAAGATAATCTTAATTAAATGAATATTATCTTTAGAAAGATTGTTTCAATGTAATATTTAGATAAAATAACAAATATGGTTAATTAACATAAAAAAATTGATGATGAAACTTTAAAACAAATAAAATCTGATGTTGAACCTGTTTTATTTATTGAAATTATTGAAGACTTTTATGATTGTTCTCAAGAAATCATGGATATTAGAGAATGCTAATATAAAATTTGGATTAACTCTCATATTAAAGATGTAATTTATTTTAATATATGCTAGCCATAAATCTTAGAGAGTGATCCAACTATGGTAGGACTATTTGAATAAACAACTCCTTAAATTATGATATGTTAGAATGGAGATGAACTTTAAGTTGCTCTTGATTAAATAGAAAAAAATAGTGTATATATATATAATAGTAATTTAGTAAATCAAATAGTTTGGTAAAGAAGTTAACATATTTATGAATGAAAGACCTGTTTTACTTATTATTGATGAGGCAACCTTATAAACTGGGTTAAAGAATCAATTACTTAATGAAAAATTTAGAAATTTCTTTCTGAAAATTCCTCTTGTTTTATTACTCAATTCTAAACCTCATTTGAACTATTTGTTATCATCTATCATAAAATCACACGAATTAATTTGCATCACAAATTATATAACTACTACTCCATCAATGTAGATTTGTTTAGAAAATCAAACAGAAACAGCATTTGATATAAAAATGCCAACTTTTAGTTTCTTACCAAAAATTTTAATTGTACATGGAAGATTAAATAATATTCGATAAGGCTCAGCAATTTCGCTGATCAATTATTAATCTTTTATTTTGTTTTTTATTTAATTTGTTTATGTATGCTACAACAGATTTTCCTAAAACTATTTGTTAAATGAATTTATACACTTTATTATGATGTTTTTTACTATTTGCTATATTTTCATATTCTTTAGTATGGCATAAGTATTAAATTATCTTAACAATTATAGGATTTTCCTTTTGAAATTTTAAGAAGTCAACCAGTTTATCATCTGATGGTGAGAACTACTAAGAATCCTTATAAAATGTTACTAACTCAATTTATATAAGGGGGTTTTCATGGAACTTTTATAGTCATATCAGTAATATATACATTTTATGGTTCAAATGATTAAAATGGATATGTTCATGGTTATTAATTATAATAATTTATGATTCTTACAATAAGTTTATTAGTGATAGCTTTTAAGCCAATAATTGATTAATATAAAATTGTCAAATCATAAATGTAAATGGATTATTCTATATTTAGATATTTAGCCATGGCATTTATTTTTATTACAGTAATGATCATCTATTAGAATAATGAATAAATGGCTTATTTATTTGAGACTGGAGTAAAAACTAAAGATTTATGTGCTCTTGTATTTTATCCTATATGTGCTTTGAGTCCAAATCTGATTGGATAATTTATTTAAAGATTATTATCGTCAAATAATCTAAATTAATGTCTTTACAAGATGGAATAGAAAGTAAAGATATAATTATTTATATAAAAGCATGAAGAAGATTCTGAGAATCAAAAATTAAGAGATGCTAAAAATTATATCAGATTATATTAGAAAGAGGAATTAGAATAATAAGAAGACATAGTAAATTCCAAGAAAGTCCTATGAGTTTATTTAAATATTTGTTTATTCAATATTTAAATTCTATATGTATATTTAATATGAATTTCATAACAAAATAAATATTTTTGGTTACATAACAAAACTCATAATTCATTGATCATTTTCCTCACATCAGCATGAGTTAATTTTCTTGAGCTTGTCAATAATTTGGCTAGATTCATGACATTTTGATAATGAGTAAATGAAAAATCGATACTTTTGTTTTTAACAAATTTATTAGCCCATGTATCAAATAATGATAATACATCTTCTGCATGATTAGCCATAACAAAAGTCTTTGCATAATGATTTCTATTTTTTGGTTCTCCTGGAAATGCAATGACAAGATGTAATAATATTATTCCAATAGCATAAAATTCATCAGCCATGCTATAATGAGAATCCTTAACATAATTAGCAGTCTAATAACCACAAGTGCCTGTTGTAATAGTATTTTGAGAAGTAATCGAATTAAGTTCTTCTTAAGGAAGTCTTTCATCAGTCATGGTAGATAATTTTTCTTCTCTAACATCTTTTCCCTAATCGAAATCTGCTAAAACAACCTAACCAGTTAATTTGTAATATATTTTACTTATAAATCTCCTTTGATATTAATAGTCACAAAAATATTTTCAGGTTTTAAATCTCTATGTATTATCCCTCTTTAATGAATGTATTCCAGACCATCTAATATTTAATTTAGAATTGATTTAATTTTATTGATTTTTTCAGCATTTTGCATAACATTTAGATAATAATAAGAAAATGTTAACAAGTCTGTTGGTTGATATTTATAACCAGGAAAGGAACAATATTCAAGTTACATATATAAATAATAACCATCGTTTGTTTATTCAATCCACCAAGCAAAAAGTCTTTAATTAGTTATTAATTAAAATATACCTTAAGATATTTGGATGAGTTAATTTAGAAAGTATTTTGGCTTCTCTAATTTTTCGAATATCTGGTGTGATTGGTGTATTGGATGCAGTTGCTGAAAAAACAGAGAAAAAATCAAGTTAAGTTGCCTATAGTTTGCTCTAAAGTTAAATTAAAATATATCTTACTCTTTTTAATGCATATATTTAATCATCTTCAGGTCTATAAACAAAGAAGATTGATACTCCACTCCTTAATTCATCTTGATTGGTTTAAGATAGGATTATATAATCATTAAAAAATTTGTTATTTCTAATAAAGGCACTTCTAGGATCATATATTTTTTATGCTGGAATAATTTGTTAAAGAGAATCAATTGCAAAGAATGTTAATGTAATTTTAAGAGGAATCTTCTTAAACTATAAATTAATCTTTTTTCTGTTTATTAATTCAATAATTGACTTAAATATAAAAGCATAGGCTGTTGATTTTATTTATCCAGTTGATGTAATGAATCCAATATTAATATCTTGATAAAATATTTTTATCAATTTGTCACAGGCCTCTTTGAACTATTGTTTATTTTCAAGCTTTTATAATTACAACAAGATATTTCTTATTGCTTTCTTTATTGATTTCTCAACATTCATAAGATGTTTAAGAAATGGATCATCATTTGTAAAATCCATTCTTATTTAAGATATTATTAACATTTATGAATACTCTTTACAGTCATTACTTTAGATAAACTCTTATCTCTTTTATAAACTATCATCCTATGATAATAATAATTTAATAATCATACAAGCATCTTTTAAATTAATGTTTAATCTGGTTGTGGAACAATCTAATCAAATTGTCTCTCCTCTTCTGGTACTTCCTCAATCACTTTAAACCCATAAAATTAATCTAATATTGAGTCAATCTTCGCTTTCTCATTATTACTATTCATTATAATATTTGTTATATTCAATTGAATAATAATAATACACAATAACTATTATATTTCAATACCTTTGATTTTAAGACTAAATAAAGAATTATAATTATTATTAAAAGGTTTTCATATAAGTAGAACACTGTTATTCTCCAAATTCTTTTTTTATAGATTTACAAAATTCTTTGATTGCAACTTTTAAGAAAGTTCAATTTAAGACTTTAAACATAATTATCAAATAACATTTGAATAAAATTTGATAAATTCATACACTCATGCAATTAATGATTGATTTTAGAATTAATTTCATTATTAATTATGAGAAAACTAGAAAATTAAACAGGAGAATAAGCTAGTGCATTCAAAAATAAGCTCAAAAAGCAAAGGGAAATAGAACAGTCTTCGAGGCAGACTGTAACTATATTATTATATTTATAGTAAATTTTAATGGAGCTCCAAAAAAATTTGTTAAATTAAATGAGTCTAAATAGACTTTGAAATCAATTAAAGATTAAATTGATTATTTTGGATATGAGATTGAACTTTTTAATATTAAGAATGAAAGAGATGTTGGTAAATTTGATGATAGTGGATATTTTATATTTGATAGAGCTAAAGATAAATCAGTAAAGTATATTTACTGTTTTACAATAGTGATGCTTGGCTTGATTAATTAGATTAAAGTAATATAAGAAAATAAAGAAGAAGTAGAAGTAGTAGAGAATTAATAAACAACAGAGAAGTAGAAATAATAGGAGGAACCTAAAGAAAATCAAGATGTTAAATTGGAATAGCTTTCAATTGATTAATTAAAGGAAATTCGTTATGAACTTCTTGAAACAAATGAAAATGCATCCTAAGCTATGAAGAGGGTTAGAACAAAATTAGCAAAACTATAGAAAAAAGTGTTTAAGAAAAATGTAAGAAAAGGAAATTCTAAATAAAATTAAAACTAAATGACATAAGAAAATATTTATGATGCTTATGATGAATCAAAATAAACTTTGGATATTTTAGTTGATATCTGTAATACTATAGTCAAGAAATCAAATGATCCTTCGATTTATTATATAAAAAAAAAGAAGAATTAATACCTCAAAAGTATCCCATTTAGAACAGGATGATATATTTTGAAGATTAACTTTATATTATATTGCTAAATTTATTTCACACATTTGATACAATGATATAGGTATTATATATTCTACTCTATAAAATGCTTTTTTATATATTTTATCAGAAAAGATACAATTATTCTCTTATATAAAAAGATGCTATTTAAATAATTGATTTATGCTGAAACTTCAATCTTAGCTGTATATAGATAAACAAATTAATACTCCTCTCTGATTATCTTTAAGACAAAAATGCTTAGTAATAAATAGAATTAATTATGCCCATTATAGGAAACTTATAAATTTTTTAGATTGCGAATAGTGATGCTTTGTCTCATAAACAACATCTAAGAAAAAAGTTTTAGTTATAACTACGAATTTATTGTGCAATTGGATAATCTACAAAAAATAACATTATTTGAAAAAAAAAATAAATTGCAAAAACTCTTTAGAACTTAGTTTTAAATGCAGGTTCAGTTCTTAAAATAAATAAATAGCAAACAAAATTCTTAAAACTATAAAAAAAAATTGTTTTATAATATTCTCTTTTAATTTTTACTTATTTCAATCAAATAAGAATCTCTTTTTACCTATTTTAGCCTAACATGCAGGGCAAAAGTGAACTGCATCTTTACAATCTTAGACAAAGCAAGGAATCAAACAACATCTGAAAATGAAATTTAAAATTACCCTAACCAAAGACCAACAGCAGCCAAAAGTGCACCAATTGCATAAGCTCCATTTCCGACTTCATAATTAACCTGTGTTTAAACTTATCTTTGGCATTAAGCACATGTAATCATGTGAGGATATTTAGAATAAACATGTTAGACTTTAAATAATTTTTATTAAATACCTTATGAAATAGCTGTAGGATTGTAAGTAACTAATTATTGTTATTAGAATTATGGAAATTGTTATTATTATAATGGGATTTATCTAACAAATGGTTGAGTTGGAATTATTGGTTGTATTGGCTAACCAATTTACATATTTGGATTAGGAAGTTGTGGATAAACAACCTGAGAGGTAGGTATTTCATAGGGAGTAGGTGTTATTTCTTGGGTAAGTCTTACATGTTGATTATTCTGCATTAGGATAGTTTAATTATAATGTTTAATAAAATGAGTTTTTAATCAAGTTTATATCGACTTTGAATTAATTAGGTAACTAATTAAATATTATTTCTAGATGATGGATTTAATATCTTAAAGCTATTCAATTTAAAAATTTTTGTTTCAAGCAATATCCTATAAAAATTATGGATATTAATTCAATATCATTTAAATGAGAATAATAAAGAATTAAGAAGATTACTTATTGAATATATTATTATTATTAATAATGCATAATGAAACACTTAAACCTTTATTATTAATTTTTAACTCAAACTTATCTATTTTTAAAAGAATAAAACATTCTTTATCAATTATAGAAATTATACTACTCATTTCAAATAAACAAAAAGAGTTACTAGAGAATAACGTAACTGATGGGTTGTTTATGAATTCATAAATGAGATTATTATTTTTTATAAATTTGTATGTCCAGACCTAGACTACCTACAGTTCATAATGAAGCATCTTTAAATAAAGAGCCTATTGAAACAGTATATGCCATAGCAAATAGATATCATACAGATTGGGGTTTGAAAGAAATGCCTGACATGAAAATATATCCAGATGTCTGCAAGGTCAAAAGATTGACTAGTATTTAAGACTGAACATAAATTTAGCCAAACCTGTCAAGCCTCCAAAAAGAGGAACTTTTATTGAAGATTTATAAGAATATCATTCAAAACTTCCTGGCCCTAAATATGAATATTAATCATTTTGGTCAGAGCCAACAGAATAAAAGAAAACAAAAGAATCAAGCAAATATATTGAGTAAAATTAAAGAAAAACGATTATTTCTGACATTATAACAGATGAAAAAAGATACCCAAGACCTGGACCTGCAGATTATAATAAAGAGTTCAAATCCAAAAGTATAGAGAATGAACCCATAATATCTTAGAGATTAAAGTATATATAATCTATTAAGTAAATAAGATAACAACACAGAACAAACTATTTTGAAGATCTTATAAGTTAATAAATGAATGTTCCAGGACCTGGGGCTTACAATACCCCTTCAAGAGTAGTTAGTGAACATGTTATTAAAAAAACAAAATCTAGATCTCCAGTTGTTCATTATCCAGGTCCTAATAGTTATTCACCAGATGACCCTACCTATTTTACTTTTGATAAAAAGTCTAAAGAACAATCCAGTAGAAAACCAGTTAAAAACCTAAAAAAATACAATAGTAGCAGACCTGGTCCTGTTCTTGGCTAATCAGATTGGAATAAAGGCTGGATGTCTAAAGTTAGTAAAGCTCCTTAGTTCTCTATCTATTATGATCACTGATTATCAATAACTATAATCTAATTTGTTTGTCTTAACTTTTATCAATGATATCATAGATGCTTGTACCATTCTTTATTAAATTTTATAATAGCTTTAATTTTGAATTTCATGATAAATTAATTAAAAATTGATAAATAATTTTTTGCATAATAATAATATTTCTCTTTATCATTCAAATAATGCTCCAACAGATACCAATAATCCACTTGTGCTTTAACTGATGATTGTTATTTTCTCATCAGATTTGAAAGATGCTTTTTCATAATCAGTTTATTAGAATCCTATAAGTTGATTTTCCAAACTTTATTCATTTGATAATTTAAATTTGACATCTTGATTACTTTTGATTTCCAAACTGTAGCATTCTCCTTCTTTGAAATACACATTATCTGGTAATTAAATTTGATAAGAATCATTTTAGATTATCATTTTATTGTGATCTATAACTGTTTTCCAATTATGTAATTTTTCTTATAAATTCCTATTTAAAATGAATAAATTAGGTACATGTTTTTGAATATTGAGAATTCTAATTCAATTTATTTATCATGAAAAGCTTTTTCTAACAATGATAAATTTAATTTAGTTAATTTAATTGTTTATTTAGGGTATAAAACACTAATATTTACTTATTAAGCACTCAAATCGATATCCTTTTCACTTAATTTTTCGAATCTTTTTAAATTTATTTATATTGGAGTAAGTATGGATTTAAATTAATTGAGTTTTTTATTCCAATCACCTTTAAATTCTTCAATTTATTATTTGCATTTGTTTTAGAGATCATTTAGGTCATTCTCGCATTCATCACCTATTTATTGTAATTTATTCTCTGTATTATTCAAATTATCAAATAATTGACGTACTTTTTCTTTTAAAATGAATTCCAAAACTTTTAATTGGCTTAAGATATCATTTTTAAATTCATCAAACTTCCCTAATATATCATTACATTGAAATGCTCCTCTTTATTTGATGCAATTTTTTCTGATAAATGCCTCTACATCTTCTATTGATGCCAATTCTCCTTTATGATTTTAATGAAATTCCTCAATACAAGTTAAACAAACCTTCCTTTTTTAACAGTCTTTGTTAAAGCAAATCAAAATAATAGGCTTGTTGTCATGATTGACTTCTTCACATTAGAGTTTTTAAACTCTGTTTTAAAAATTTGACATTTCTTTTTTAATTTATTTTAATGTTAATCAAATTTTCTTTATTAATTTAAACATATTCAAATGATAATAAATTTTATACATTGATTAATTCCTTTAAGAAAATGCATCTGTTTCATTATTCAAAGGATAGGAAAAATATTGATAATAAAATATTTAATCTTTGTTTTACCAATTAAAAAGATTTTTTAGAATTCAAAACAATCTAATTTATATGATAATATCTTTCTGATACTTAATTTAATTAATCATACATTAATTTATTTAGAGGTAGGGAAAACTAAAATTGTCCTTCAGTACATTATTTAATAATTTTCCTAAATTATAAAGATTAGTTGTTATTTAGGAAAAATATAAAAAGATTATTAGATGCGTTGAGTGGTTAAATACAAAAAGGACACTTTATTTGAGAATCTCTAATTTAGCTAATGAACTTTGAATTTTTATTCAAATAAGATAATGATGTCCCTTCCTACTAACACAATCTCATTTATTTGAAATTCCAAAAAATAGTTTAAAATACTTTTGAAATCAAAGAACTATAAGAATTTGATATATTTCTTCTCCCTTAGATAAACATTTTATAATTAAGAGAAAATTTAATAATATTTCAATTCTTTTCTTTTTTTCTCTTGAATATTTTATTTTAGATATGGAAAATTCTCACTCAAATACAATAAGTTATACTATTATCATTTTCGGATAGTTAACTGAATTACTTGTAATATTTTAAATATGTAAAGAATTACACTCATTTATAATAATTATATAATAATTCTAATGAACTAATTTGAGATCGAGACAAAAAAATTTATCGATGAATTAAAAAATGGAGTTAGTAACATCTTAGTATATTTGTGTATATAATGTTTAGGTAGCCATTAGAGTTAGACCTTTAAGTTAAAAGGAGAAGAGTCTATCAGAATTTGAGACAATTAAAATTTTGGATAATAAAATGATTGTTCTTATGGATCCGGAATAAGAAAGAGATGAGGATGTATTGCGATAGATTACAATAGTTATTAAGAAAAAATAGACTTAAAGAAACTAATTTTGCATTTGATTTTGTTTTTGATTAATGGGCTTCTTAATAAATGATTTATGAAAATACTACTGAATTTCTGTTAGAAGGAGTGTTTGAAGGTTATAATACAACAGTATTTTGCTATGGAGCAACAGGATCAGGAAAAACGTTTACGTAAATTTAATCTATAATTATTAGAATGATAGGTACTCAACTGGAAGTAGGATTGATGCCAAGAGCATTATAACAACTATTTAATTTTTCAATATAAGATCGATTTAAAAATACTTAGTTTAAAGTTTGTTATGTGGAGATTTACAACGAAAACATAAGAGATCTGCTAACATCCGAAGATAAAAATTTAGAAATAAGAGAAGATAAAAATAATGGCATATAAATAGCAGGTGTTACAGAAGTAGAAGTGAAAACAGTTTCAGAAGTTTTGGCACTTTTAAAAGTGGGCAACAAAAATCGTTCTAAAGAGGCTACTGATGCAAACAAAGAATCTTCAAGATCTCATGCTATTTTGTAACTGTAGGTTGAAAGCAAAGATAGAGCTGCTGGATTACATGAATAAATTATATAAAGTAAATTTAGCTTAGTAGACTTGGCTGGTAGTGAAAGAGCAGCCAATACAAATAACAAAGGATAAAGGATGATTGAAGGAGCTAACATAAACAAGTCTTTATTAGTGTTAGGCAATTGTATTTAATCCCTATCAGAAGCAAATGAAAAAGGTATAAAAAACCCATTTATACCATTTCGTAATTCAAAACTTACACGTCTACTCAAGGATTCTTTGGGAGGAAATTGTCGTACTGTCATGATCTCTAATGTTACTTCTGCTGTTAGTTGTTTTGAAGAAACTTATAATACTTTAGTTTATGCTAATAGAGCTAAAAATATAAAAACAGTTGCTAACCGAAATGTCTTAATGGCATAAAATCATATAAGCAATTATGCTTAATTGATTTAAAATTTAAGATAAGAAAATGAGGAATTAAAATTGTTAATTCAATAACAACAATATAGTCAAAATACTAAATAGTTAAGTATTATTTGAAATACAAATCTTAGAACTACCATCGATAAACTAAAAGAATCATCCAGTTCCTCAATTAAGTTTAAAATAATAGGCAAAATAATTAGAATCTATTATTAACCAAAATATTGAAGATATTACTGAAACAAAAAATAAAATATATGAAATGGAGGAGTAATTAAATCATTTTTAATAAAATATTGGGTTTCTATAATTTTAAAAAGGAAGAACACAGGACAAATTTGAATAAATGAGATTGCAGGAGAGAATGGATAATGCAAAAACTTAAAAAGCTATAATCAAAAGAAGTTAAGATGATTTGGAATAGTAATTATTAGAATATGAGATGCAAAAGGTTGATATTTAAAAATAAATTTAATAAATTCAGGATTCTAATTACAAAAACTATTTAAATGGAATAATGAAATAGGGTGATTTTAAAATTGTAAAATATTAAATTTAGTTAGGAAACTGTAGAGATAAAAATTTTAGAAAAGAAAAGGAAGTATTAGGAATAAATTTAGGATGAATAAGTCAAATAATTAAGAACATAGATAAATAAATAATAAGCTAAAATTGTTTAAAGTACTAAATAAAAATCAAATGGTTCTAAAAAAAGTATCCTAATAACTCTAATATTTTTTAAGTACCAAGCTTGCCTGGAGTGGATTCTCCTTACTATTAATTATAAGGTGGGTAAACTTATAGTATTTAGAGGTAAACTATGTTTATAAATAGATATTCAAAAAATAAATCGCATTTAAAACTGCCACCAGTAGTTTATATTAACTAAGTAAGCAAATCTCCAAACACACAACATGCAAGTAGTATTATTTTATATTTAATTAGATAAAATGAATGATCCAATGAAATATAGGGTAGCATAGAAATATTCCTCTAGTTTGAATCGCCCTCCTTCTTTTCATCCTCCAAGTTCCAACAGTAAATCTGAAAAAGGGAAATATATAAATCGTTCACTGGATTTAGGATCAGGTAGAGACAGTATTAATAAGAATAATGGAGATCTGCAGAATGATATAAGTTTGAGAAAACTTCATAGACTTAGATAAGAATACTAATAATAAAGATTTGAAAAGGCTATGAATAATAAATCTAATTAAAAATCAGTTCCTTCTTTTGGTAGTAAAATTTTACTTCCAGGAATGATTCATATGTCCCCTTATGTTAGAAACTTTTAAAATAATATTGAACCAATTGAATTAAAAAAAGAGAGACTTAAAATGTTGAATACAAATCAAAAGGGCCAAGTAGGTGATAAATTTTAACTTTATATTTGAATAATATATAACTAGTTTAAATATGCATAATAATTTTATAAACTTTAAGAATTGAATAAATTGTTATAATCAAATACTAAGCATTGATCAAATCATTGATTTACATAAACAATTAGTTAAAAATTATAAAATATGAAATCAAGTTTAATTAATTCTCAGTCCTTGCCTTAATTATAATAACGGATTATCCATTCGAAGATATTAGATGATAAAGTTCCTAAACCTTGTAAATATCCTATATTTGAGCAACCTTAGTTTTCATACAAATCTGAAAAACCAAAATCGAGATCTCCATTAAGATTAAATCCTGCAATAAAATCAACATATTCGAAATTCAAAGCATCTATTGTAAAAGTAAAATGATATATTATTATATTATTAAAGAGCTATAATAATTAATTGTTTGATTAGCATTAAATGACTAAGACTTAAAGAAGAATATAAAATGAGATAGAAATAAAAAAATAATGGAGATAATAAAAATATTTGGAAGAAAAGGCTAAGATTTAGTATTTAAACTTCGAAGAGAAAGATATTGACTTAAATAAGGAACTTTTGAATCAAATAAAACTTAATTTATTTGGCGAATGATAGACATAATATATTCATATTCTTATTATGAGTAAAATAAGCTCAAAATAAAATTGATCCAGTTTGCTTTAAAATACTTTATTTATTTATAAAATTAACAACAACCATTTAATCAAGAAAATAGTTTTTTAGAACTACATTAATATAGTTCAATGTCATATTTATGTAATTTTGTATAATTTGAGAGTTGGAAAATGAATTGTGAAAATTAATATGAAAAAAATGTATTCTAGAGAGTTTTCTAAATAGAAAAATAGATAATTACTGCAGATTAGAAATACAATATTTTTATTGTTGGGCAACTGATATTTAGTTATTATAAAAATAATACAAATTATTCTTTAATTTTTAAAGAATTTATAGTAAAATAGTTACATAATTAAGGTTAAATAAATTACTCATTTAAGTCTGCTTACACAATATTAGGATGTATATTGAAATTTAAAAAATTTTGTGATTATTATAAATTGATAAATAAGTTAATCAAAACGTAATCATTTGTCTTGAATTAAGTCATCAATTAAAATTTCTTAAGCCATTAAGCTTTAAAAAATAATTAAACAACTAATGATAAATCAAAGACCTCCTATCCCAAAATTCAATGACGGATTCTTAACCAATAAAGTTGAGATGCCATTGCTAGAGGAAGCTTAACATTTGATATTCAAGTTGAATTTGGATTTTGAGATAGAAAAAAAGGCAATCAAAATTATAAAGCAAATTCCATTGCCAAATACTTAAACAGCAGCTCGTGGAGTTATATTATATTGTTTAAAAGAGTTTGGAAAGAAACTGCCTAAACTTGATAGCAAACTGGAATAAATGATAAAACATATTGATAAATAGCAAGCCAGTAATTTCTCATTTGTTTGTGAAAAATTGGGATTTTGTGATTAAGTTTCTGGGGCTTGTGTAATTTTAAAAAAATAGTTAAATTATTTGATTGGAAGATTAGAATAAAATTTACAAGTGGCAATAACGGTGAAAATTGCTGCAGACATTATTTTCTTAAAATATGGAGGATTAAATACAAGAATTTTATCAGAAATTACTTAGGTTAACGAAGAAAAACTAAAGATTTCTCTAAATCGTATTACACCTTTCTCAGAAAAGATTATATTAGATCTAATAAACCATTATAATTAAAGTGATCTCTGAAATTTATACTAATTTTCATAATCAAAATTATTATAAAAAATATAAATAGTTTACTAAAAACTTGGTTTATTTTGTTCTAAGAAATAGATTGGTTGAAATCCATTAACATCTTCTGAATATTTTTTATGTTAATTATATTGTTTTTTAATTTTAGATCTCTTTTAACTGTTCTTTATTATAAATATTTGGATTTATTGATATTGATATTGAAAATATCTATTGAATTTTACAATCTTTTCATACATCTGAGTTAATGATGCTATTAATTTACAATTAAATTAAGTATGTGAATAAAATCATTTTATAGTTAGGCTATTTCAATTTATTAATTAACACCTTATATCTTTTTTAATTCACAATATTATTATTTCTTTATTGATAGTTTTTANTTACATAATTAAGGTTAAATAAATTACTCATTTAAGTCTGCTTACACAATATTAGGATGTATATTGAAATTTAAAAAATTTTGTGATTATTATAAATTGATAAATAAGTTAATCAAAACGTAATCATTTGTCTTGAATTAAGTCATCAATTAAAATTTCTTAAGCCATTAAGCTTTAAAAAATAATTAAACAACTAATGATAAATCAAAGACCTCCTATCCCAAAATTCAATGACGGATTCTTAACCAATAAAGTTGAGATGCCATTGCTAGAGGAAGCTTAACATTTGATATTCAAGTTGAATTTGGATTTTGAGATAGAAAAAAAGGCAATCAAAATTATAAAGCAAATTCCATTGCCAAATACTTAAACAGCAGCTCGTGGAGTTATATTATATTGTTTAAAAGAGTTTGGAAAGAAACTGCCTAAACTTGATAGCAAACTGGAATAAATGATAAAACATATTGATAAATAGCAAGCCAGTAATTTCTCATTTGTTTGTGAAAAATTGGGATTTTGTGATTAAGTTTCTGGGGCTTGTGTAATTTTAAAAAAATAGTTAAATTATTTGATTGGAAGATTAGAATAAAATTTACAAGTGGCAATAACGGTGAAAATTGCTGCAGACATTATTTTCTTAAAATATGGAGGATTAAATACAAGAATTTTATCAGAAATTACTTAGGTTAACGAAGAAAAACTAAAGATTTCTCTAAATCGTATTACACCTTTCTCAGAAAAGATTATATTAGATCTAATAAACCATTATAATTAAAGTGATCTCTGAAATTTATACTAATTTTCATAATCAAAATTATTATAAAAAATATAAATAGTTTACTAAAAACTTGGTTTATTTTGTTCTAAGAAATAGATTGGTTGAAATCCATTAACATCTTCTGAATATTTTTTATGTTAATTATATTGTTTTTTAATTTTAGATCTCTTTTAACTGTTCTTTATTATAAATATTTGGATTTATTGATATTGATATTGAAAATATCTATTGAATTTTACAATCTTTTCATACATCTGAGTTAATGATGCTATTAATTTACAATTAAATTAAGTATGTGAATAAAATCATTTTATAGTTAGGCTATTTCAATTTATTAATTAACACCTTATATCTTTTTTAATTCACAATATTATTATTTCTTTATTGATAGTTTTTATCAATGATTAAAAAAATACATTTGCTAATAAATTGAAAATATTAACTTCTTAATAAGTTGTTCAATAGGGATGACATTTTAATGATGTATTTTAATTCTTAATTATCATTAAATATTCAACAAGAGCAAACAAAGGACATTTTAATTGAATAATAATTACAATAGAAAAACTAACAATTAATAATTTCTTTTGTTAGTGCAAATGAATAAAATTATCAAAAAAATAAATAGAGTTTATTAATATTATAATTATTCTTATATAGTTTTTGATTATGATGTTGATTTAATAATTATTAACTCATTAATTTAATATTTAAATTTTCACAATCGTCTTTTCTGTAATCGTTTAATCGTAAACAATATTTGTAATTTCAAGGGATGATGCTTGAATATTTATTTTTAAATGATTATATTATGGAAATTCCTATTAAAATATAGGGTAAAAACCAACATAATTCATTTAATTAAAACAATTATAAGTAAATGAATAAGTCTTTTAAATACTACAAGCATTGCATTTATTAAAATCTGCTTTAATTTTCTTTCCATTTTCACATTTAATTTAAATATTCATTTTAGGTTTATTAATTGATTTATCAACCGAATAATCATAGATTCCATTAGTAGTATAAATTTAATTAGATTAAACCAATTCTAAATAAAATGTTGGTAAGATGCTTAAATCAAAAGCTTATTTTCTACTTGTTCTAATAGTAAAACATTCCAATGGTTTGAATGTCGTTGTAAATTAATATGCAATCCATATCTATGAATGGCTATTTGGAGTGTCAGATTCATACCCTTTTCTAATTATTATAAATATTTACAGGAACCCCAAGTATATGAAATGGTTGTTGGTAAATTCGTATATGTTGCTCTTACTCTCATATTTTAAGTATTTGGATAATTGAAGCCCTGTGTAGCAATTGCAAACCATCTATTTGGTTATATTGTAAGTGGTCCACTACTAAACGCTCCAGTTACTGTCTTTAATCCTAAATTAATAAATGCTTCTTAAATTCCGACAACAACAAAATAACCAATTTATTTAAGATTTGTAAATTTTCCTGCCACTTTAGTTATACTCACTGTAACTGAATTGGTTGTTATTTGGCTTATCTAAGTATGTTATCAAGTATTACCGATAATAGAAAATCGATTGCTCCTGTATAATGCATACTTGTCAAAATTACAAATCCGGTTTGAGCATTAGGATTCTTTATTGAAAATGTTTTATCATCTGGATTGTCCATATTGAAATTACTTATTACTTCAATACGTTAATCATCAATCGCAAACCATCTTAATCTGAGTACAACAACTCTATCGTAATTACAGCTGATTTGAGTTGTAAAAGCTGTAGATATTTTCATATAAAAAATACATGTTTTTGTTATGGTTGTTATTGACAATCTAAATTCTAAATTAGGTCTATCATTATCAAAATATTCATGGGTAAAGAATACTTAAGGAATATTTTGAAAAATATTAGAAAATGGAATGGTTGCAGTTTTAGAAAAACCAAGTTTACACATAAAACCTCCCACATAACCTGAATCAAAGTCCCTTGCTAATCCGGTTTCATAAGACAACTAAGGGAATGTAAATTTCCAAAAAATCAATAAAATTAGGAATTTCTTCATTTTTTAAAATAATTTATTTTATTACTGTTTTAATTGTTGATTCAAAAAAAAATGATGAACTTATATTCATCTTTTTATAAATTTGAAGTGATAGTAATTGTTGGCATAATAAAATTGTTATCAAATAATCGAACTAAATAGTTTAAGAGCAATCAAAATTTCAATTTATTATCTCTTATATATTAGATATTCAATTATTTTATTAAGATACCAAAAACATAACTCAGAAGATTACTGGGACAATCATGGTCATAGAGAGTATGGGAAAAAATAAGGATCTAGCCAATAAGATTTTTCTATTAAACTATCTGATTGTTTAAGGACACAAATTAGAGCAAAAAAAGGATAAAAATGGTAAATCACTCCTAACAGTAATTTTTTTTTCTTAATCTCATTTTTATAATTATACAATTATTTACTATTTTGATATGATTCTAGAATTATGTAAGATTTAAAGTCTTAAATAGAGAAAATTAATCTTTCACTTAGCATGCATAAGGTAATATTGCTAAATTTTGAAATACTTTTTAAAAGAGTTTTTCGTTTCAATTTTGAAATGCCCATTATATACTTTATTTCAGAATTCTTAAGGTTAGCAGAGTTAGACTTTGTTAAAACATTTTTAGATAACTTAGTTAAAATTTCTTAAAATTTTTGTTTTTTAAAATAGGATCTCTATTTTAGATTTAAGTATAGGATTATTGAGACAATCATCATTAAAATGAAATGAAATATAGATAAAATTCAATTAAAAATGAATTAATTTTCCAAAGTTGATTCTCTCAATTTCAATTATTCCTAGAAATTAATTATTTATTTGATATTGATATTACAGAATTCTTGTTAAAAATTTATAAAATAAGTTCATAATGAAATGATTGTTTCTATGAATTGTTTGGTGTTTTATATTATCATATTGTCTTTCACATCAAATTTTCTAGAGTTTGAAAATCTTGTAAAATAGTTGAATATTACATACTTAAGTTAATCTAACAATTATCTTTCATATTGTATTTTGAAAAACTTCTCACTCTCTAAGAAATTAACACATTTGAAGCAATAATTATGCTATTTCAAGATAATTCATTTAAAATTATAGTTCACAAATATATAATTTTAGCACGAAATCATAATTATATAAAATTTTATTGATGAATGATATAATAATGAGATTTTTGTTAAAATGATTAATTATTATCATTANATTTTAAGTATTTGGATAATTGAAGCCCTGTGTAGCAATTGCAAACCATCTATTTGGTTATATTGTAAGTGGTCCACTACTAAACGCTCCAGTTACTGTCTTTAATCCTAAATTAATAAATGCTTCTTAAATTCCGACAACAACAAAATAACCAATTTATTTAAGATTTGTAAATTTTCCTGCCACTTTAGTTATACTCACTGTAACTGAATTGGTTGTTATTTGGCTTATCTAAGTATGTTATCAAGTATTACCGATAATAGAAAATCGATTGCTCCTGTATAATGCATACTTGTCAAAATTACAAATCCGGTTTGAGCATTAGGATTCTTTATTGAAAATGTTTTATCATCTGGATTGTCCATATTGAAATTACTTATTACTTCAATACGTTAATCATCAATCGCAAACCATCTTAATCTGAGTACAACAACTCTATCGTAATTACAGCTGATTTGAGTTGTAAAAGCTGTAGATATTTTCATATAAAAAATACATGTTTTTGTTATGGTTGTTATTGACAATCTAAATTCTAAATTAGGTCTATCATTATCAAAATATTCATGGGTAAAGAATACTTAAGGAATATTTTGAAAAATATTAGAAAATGGAATGGTTGCAGTTTTAGAAAAACCAAGTTTACACATAAAACCTCCCACATAACCTGAATCAAAGTCCCTTGCTAATCCGGTTTCATAAGACAACTAAGGGAATGTAAATTTCCAAAAAATCAATAAAATTAGGAATTTCTTCATTTTTTAAAATAATTTATTTTATTACTGTTTTAATTGTTGATTCAAAAAAAAATGATGAACTTATATTCATCTTTTTATAAATTTGAAGTGATAGTAATTGTTGGCATAATAAAATTGTTATCAAATAATCGAACTACCAAAAACATAACTCAGAAGATTACTGGGACAATCATGGTCATAGAGAGTATGGGAAAAAATAAGGATCTAGCCAATAAGATTTTTCTATTAAACTATCTGATTGTTTAAGGACACAAATTAGAGCAAAAAAAGGATAAAAATGGTAAATCACTCCTAACAGTAATTTTTTTTTCTTAATCTCATTTTTATAATTATACAATTATTTACTATTTTGATATGATTCTAGAATTATGTAAGATTTAAAGTCTTAAATAGAGAAAATTAATCTTTCACTTAGCATGCATAAGGTAATATTGCTAAATTTTGAAATACTTTTTAAAAGAGTTTTTCGTTTCAATTTTGAAATGCCCATTATATACTTTATTTCAGAATTCTTAAGGTTAGCAGAGTTAGACTTTGTTAAAACATTTTTAGATAACTTAGTTAAAATTTCTTAAAATTTTTGTTTTTTAAAATAGGATCTCTATTTTAGATTTAAGTATAGGATTATTGAGACAATCATCATTAAAATGAAATGAAATATAGATAAAATTCAATTAAAAATGAATTAATTTTCCAAAGTTGATTCTCTCAATTTCAATTATTCCTAGAAATTAATTATTTATTTGATATTGATATTACAGAATTCTTGTTAAAAATTTATAAAATAAGTTCATAATGAAATGATTGTTTCTATGAATTGTTTGGTGTTTTATATTATCATATTGTCTTTCACATCAAATTTTCTAGAGTTTGAAAATCTTGTAAAATAGTTGAATATTACATACTTAAGTTAATCTAACAATTATCTTTCATATTGTATTTTGAAAAACTTCTCACTCTCTAAGAAATTAACACATTTGAAGCAATAATTATGCTATTTCAAGATAATTCATTTAAAATTATAGTTCACAAATATATAATTTTAGCACGAAATCATAATTATATAAAATTTTATTGATGAATGATATAATAATGAGATTTTTGTTAAAATGATTAATTATTATCATTANATAAGACAACTAAGGGAATGTAAATTTCCAAAAAATCAATAAAATTAGGAATTTCTTCATTTTTTAAAATAATTTATTTTATTACTGTTTTAATTGTTGATTCAAAAAAAAATGATGAACTTATATTCATCTTTTTATAAATTTGAAGTGATAGTAATTGTTGGCATAATAAAATTGTTATCAAATAATCGAACTACCAAAAACATAACTCAGAAGATTACTGGGACAATCATGGTCATAGAGAGTATGGGAAAAAATAAGGATCTAGCCAATAAGATTTTTCTATTAAACTATCTGATTGTTTAAGGACACAAATTAGAGCAAAAAAAGGATAAAAATGGTAAATCACTCCTAACAGTAATTTTTTTTTCTTAATCTCATTTTTATAATTATACAATTATTTACTATTTTGATATGATTCTAGAATTATGTAAGATTTAAAGTCTTAAATAGAGAAAATTAATCTTTCACTTAGCATGCATAAGGTAATATTGCTAAATTTTGAAATACTTTTTAAAAGAGTTTTTCGTTTCAATTTTGAAATGCCCATTATATACTTTATTTCAGAATTCTTAAGGTTAGCAGAGTTAGACTTTGTTAAAACATTTTTAGATAACTTAGTTAAAATTTCTTAAAATTTTTGTTTTTTAAAATAGGATCTCTATTTTAGATTTAAGTATAGGATTATTGAGACAATCATCATTAAAATGAAATGAAATATAGATAAAATTCAATTAAAAATGAATTAATTTTCCAAAGTTGATTCTCTCAATTTCAATTATTCCTAGAAATTAATTATTTATTTGATATTGATATTACAGAATTCTTGTTAAAAATTTATAAAATAAGTTCATAATGAAATGATTGTTTCTATGAATTGTTTGGTGTTTTATATTATCATATTGTCTTTCACATCAAATTTTCTAGAGTTTGAAAATCTTGTAAAATAGTTGAATATTACATACTTAAGTTAATCTAACAATTATCTTTCATATTGTATTTTGAAAAACTTCTCACTCTCTAAGAAATTAACACATTTGAAGCAATAATTATGCTATTTCAAGATAATTCATTTAAAATTATAGTTCACAAATATATAATTTTAGCACGAAATCATAATTATATAAAATTTTATTGATGAATGATATAATAATGAGATTTTTGTTAAAATGATTAATTATTATCATTATTTTTTTTATGCATATTAATAATTATTTTTTGTTTTCTTAAATTCATTAAATTCTTCTGAGATTTGAAATTTTCAATTTACTTGGTTTATGAATTCTTAATTCTTATATTCTTAAGACATAGTTTTTTGATATCAATTTTCATCTCAACTAACAAACTTAATGAATTTGAACCACATTATATGAATTTTTAGTCTATAGTTGTGAGAAGAACTAAAAATTGTAACAATTTTATAATCTTCTAATTTTTTGATATCTTTTTAATTAGAGTTTGTCTAATTACAATGTAATTATCACTTGAATAGTCATTTTTATTAAAGTCATGTTCAGATACTTATTGTAATAATATAATGGTCTTCTTAAAGTCATTTTAAATAAATCGAGTTTCTATTTCTTTTCTATAGTTTTTAAATGCTAATTTTCAAAGACATATTTTTAAGGATCGATAGACTCAAGAAATGTTAAACAACCATCTGAAATTTTACTTTTTTCTAACAGTTCAATCGTCTCAATGAAAATTCATTCATCAAGTGCTGTTGCTTGAATTAAAATTTCATACAAGTCTTCTTTCGATTCATTATCGTATTACATTATCAATTTAAAAAAATGAATTTCTATTACTTTTTTATACTCTTGGATAATAAAAAATTTTATTAGCTTTTTACAAAAAAAATAAAAAGATCTAACTTTGAAAAGGTTAACAAACTACCATGAAATTAAATATAATTGGCGTTGCTTGATTTATTCTTTAATAATGTAAATTATAAATGATTACTGAATTTGAGATAGATTATAGATATTTAATTTTTTTTGTGAATCCTTTTTTAACATAAATAAGTATAATTTTTTATATAAAAATTAAGAGTTAGGAATCTGTCTGAAAAAAATCGTTCACTCCTTGATATTGTTGATGATGACTATTAGATTTATAAATTGTGGAGATAATAGTTATAGTAAAAGATAGAGATATTTTTTAAGACGAACATAAATATTAATGAATTTAATAAATTTTGATACATTAGATAATTTTTCAGAAAAGGGGATTTTTAAGCATATTTATTCTTGGAAATTCCATTGTTTTCTTATTAATTATAATACTTGGGTAAGTGAAATAATGAGGAATATAGCAGATATTTTCTAATTAATACTAAATGTTTGGAATGGTGATGACATAAAAAAATAGTACTAGCAACACGAATATTTAATTATTCTTGGTCAAATGAAAAACGAATTGATGATACATTAAGGATAGTAATTGATAATTTTATAAGTTCTATTATTATATATATTTAAACTTAATTAATCTAGGAAATTAAAAATCTTGAATTAGATAAATTAACAAATAATAATCAATACTTTTACATCTATCAGAATTTATTTTTTCAATTAATTATTGTGAATAAAATTACTTTTAAATTCAAATGATAGGCATAAATTCATAAATCAAACAAAATTAGTTTGACACAAGTTATAAAATAATCTTAAGACAAAAATAATAGAAGTTCCAACTGATTAATAGGATTAATTTAGCAACATTCTCAACCATTAATTATGAGCCTTCAATAAGAGAAGAAAAAAAATTCTATCCTTATCATCATCGTTAATATTATTTGCTCCTTTCAAAACTCTTCTTTCCAGATCTAACAGGATATTCATTATTTGAAAAAAATAAAACAAAAGAACGCTTACCAATATTATCATATTGTGAAGATCTAAAATAAACTGATGAGGATTCTTAAAAAATTGAGTAACAAAAATAAACGAAAAAGTATCTGTTACGATTTAATGAACATAATATTTTCGGCTAGTTAAAATGTATAATCTTAGATTTTTTACATATTATTGAAGCTCCAGCAAAGAATTGGGAATCTATCACAATGAATAAAGGAATTAAAATTGCTTAAAAAGATCAAAAGGATGATGCATATCTATCCGCTCTAAACCTATTTTGTGTTTTTTAACTAGCATAATTATAATTTGGCAAAGATTTTCTCAATCAAAGCAAGGATTATACTTATTAATTTAGTTTATTAAAAGTTAACTAAATTAAGTGCTTATTCAATAGCTGAAGCGAATAGGTAAAAATTTTAATTTAGCGTCTGGTGATATCAATTATCCTGAGTATGTCTTTATTAAAGTCCATTTAGTATTATAATATTCTATAATAGTGTTTGTTTTTTGTCCATGATTTTTGGATACTACATATTATGAGATAGATTTAATGGGCCTATTGGCTTGATTGCACTCGCTATGAAAGTGAATCCCTAGAAATAAAATTGAATTTGACCTAGAATTCAGTTCAAGAATTTTCCCTCTAGAAATTTATTCAGGAGAAGCTTGGGGCCTTTATTGGTAGAGTTGGTTGTGTGAAATTCACCTTGCTTAATGCTTTATAGCATGAGATTTATGTAGATAGTGGCTCTTCAAAAATTGAATTAAAAGAGGCCAATAAATGTATTTAACTGGCAGCATATTTTGGATAAGTCATTTTTATAATAATTATACAATTCAAACTTTAGTTAAACATTCAAAAATGCTTTCGATTTTATATTCACTGAGTGTATTAATAAGCAGACTTATATTAATCGGATGATCCATTATATGATTTTGATACAAATGTTGATAAAAAAACTTTTAGATTGGCAATCAAAGAACTTATTTCTTAAAATTAAATTAAGAGAAATTTAGAAAAAAAGAAATCAAAAAAAATTGTGATTTTTGTCACTCATTAAATCTAATATGATATTTAATGTTACAAAATAGGCATTTCAAATGAAGGTGAATTAAAAGATCAAGGCTAATATTAAGATATTAAATCTAGTTTATATATGATCAATGAAGAGTTAGCATAATAAATAAATTAATAAATTTAATAAAAAAAAAAACAACCATGAGAATTAGAAATTCTTCGAAAATAAAAACCTAAAATTTTGTTGCTAATAACGTAGTTTGTAAAATAATAATAGCAGAACTATAAGAACGTATTTTAAATATTAACAATTTTCGAATATAAGAGTAATTTTTTTGTTCCTCTTTTAGAGGCTGGATCTTCAGTTCTAATAAATTACTATTAAAGAATTGTTTCAATTTTTTATCAGCATCAATAAGAAAATGATATTGATACTGTATAATATATCTAAAGAATGCTTAGTTTATGACGATTTCATATAATCAAATAAAGTATTATTTTGAATACATATTACATATTCAGTATAAAATTCTTCTCAGAGGATAAATTAAGAAATTATAAAATTTTAAATATTGTCACCAGTTTCATATTTTGATGAAAATCATCTGGAAGAATTCTCAATAATTTTTTCTAATAATCTATCTTTATTTGATAGTCAAAAAAATTGAGTTAGCTTGGATGTATTAGAAATAATTGGCAATTTCTTATTTGCTCTAATATAAATATTGATGATTTTATTAAGAGACAAATCAATATTCCTGTATTATCTTGAGGATTATTCGTATTATCTGAATATAATGGTTCGATACAATGAGTATTAGAACAATAAATAATTTTTCATACTCATTAGAACTCTTATTACAGAATGCTTTAGATTATAGATATACTGCCGAGCTTCCTTAAAATGTTAAAGAAGATGATAAAAATCTTGATTTTTCAAAGGATGGAAGAGGATACAGATCAAATCTTTATTTAGTACTTAAAGAATTGTCATTTGAAATTTAAAGTATTGAAAAAGTTTGTTGTGTTGGAAGAACAGGCAATGGAAAATCTTCTAATATACAAGCTATTTTTAGAATGTCAGAAATAGAAGATTTATAGGAATCAAAATTATTAATTTCTGATTAAGATATTAGAAAATTAGGATTACATAAAGTAAGAAGTAATATTGGAATTATCCCTAACTCGAACGATAAGAAGAAATTTAGATCCATTTGATATTCATTAAGATGAAAAATTATGGAAAGTTTTAGAATAAACAGACCTTATAAGCCATGTAAAAAATTTATAAAAGGTCTTTTGACAGACAAGAGTGATGTAAATTTTGTTTTTTTCTGTGGGTTAAAAATAATTAATTTGCTTGGCCAAAATGATATTGGATGAAAAGAAAATCATAGTATTAGATGAAGCTACCGCAAATGTTGATATGAAAACAGATGATTTTATTTAAGATACTTTAAAATATAAATTTTCAGATTGCACAATAATAACTATTTCTCATAGATTAAATACAATTTCAGATTATGATAAAATTATGGTTATAAGTGAAGGATAAATAGTAGAATTTGATACTCCTTTTAATTTATTAGCCAATTCTATAAATTCTATTTCTGTTGATAAA